GCGGAAGTCGATATTGCACCAGGGCCAGGATCATGGGTTCTCAAATGATGTGAGTCCTGTTGGTCAGAGACAGCTGCTCTCTTTGCTGCTTTCTATTTGCGACTCCCTCGTAAGGCCCTTTTGAGTCCTCAAATGGATTGTGGGATCTCTGGATATCTGTGTAAATGAGAGATGGATTACGGTCTTGGGCTGGCTCCCTCCTCGTCTATATTTCGTCATTGCGTCTTTTCGATACGGTTGGTTGCATTGGTTGAGCTGGGGTGAGGGACAGAAGCCAGGCACAGAAGCACAGGATATTAGATGATCGCACAGGGGATTCGGGACGCAGCAACCATTGGACTGCCTGGGCTCAGCTTGGCTCCCACAATCTCGCCTGAATTGAGTGTTGGTCCAATGCTCCCCTGCGCCTGCATTTTTGGCTTGGACCTATCGGAGGATGAGACCCGGAAAAACCTCGCAGTTGCAGGAGGCAGGATCGTCCATGATGACCGAACCGTTGCACGCGAAGAGCGCAACAAGCAGGTCCAACTGGTCCAACTGGTCCAACTGGTCCAACCGGGCCAACCAGCCCAACTGATCCAACTTGCCCGTACAAACCTCTTGATCTCTGAAATTCTCTCTTCGGCGCCGCGCAAAGCTCGCTTAACACTTCAACTCTTATCCGACCGAGCAGCCCCAATTCCCTGTCCTTCGGGGTGTGCAGGAGTGGGGATTGGGGGTGGGATCCACGATTTTACGCGAAACCTGGAGCCACCCATATTTCCCGCCGTGCTGCCGCCTTCTGGCTTGGTTCTCATAGGTCGCGTTACCGCTCGGCAACGCCAACTCAACCACAGCCCATGCACCTACTCATCACGAAACTGGGGGTCGAGTGGATCTGTCTTGCGAAAACGAAACGGCAAGGCGTCTCCATCGAGGCGGGTTTTTGCCCATTACACCTCGCCCGGCCCCAACCAACAATGTCTATTGAGAATTACTTGCGCTGTGCATTCTGAGTTGGGTGACGCTGTGGCCGCGGGTCGGGAAGCAACTCCTCGAATGAAGAGCTCAAAGGCCACTTGAAGGGCTAGGTCCACGTTGTTGGGCTCCCTGCAGAACCAAAAGGTAGTATCTCGCAACACAGCATGGGGCCGATGCAACAACTATCGTCCGGCCTCCTAACCCAGTGTTCGTGCCATCTGCGACGGAACAAAAGTGGGAGGGAAAGTAAAGAAAGAAAAAAAAGAAAATGGAAAGGGGACAAGGTTCAAAGAACAAGAAAAGGAAAAACGACAGGAAACGGAAAAATGGAAGTTCCCGCCAGCCGGCTGCGCGCCCCGGTCAGTGCTGTATCAGTGTAGAACAGGGAGGCAAGGGCAAAGCACCAGCTGCGCATGATTCGGATTGTCACAAGCTGGCCGCACGACCGTGTTCGGGTTAGTAGGATCACTCTTCGGCTGATCTACGATTCTTTTACTGGTTGATGGGCGCACTCGTCACAGTTTCATCCATCCAGTCCGTCGGGTCGTTGGCACATGTACAAGTACTACACATGCGTGCCCGCATGCGTGCGTGACTCGTACTAGGATGGACGAACAAGGAAGCGAAGCCACTTCGAGGGCCTGGAAATTGGCAGGGCTAGGGCCTGCTTCGCACCGATGATGTTGGCTTCTGTGTGCATCTGAAGGATACTATTTCGTGCCACTGGGACCTCCAAGTGAAGCTGGAAGTATACCATTCTCGAGAGATGCCCCACGTTGTCCGGGCCCTCTCATCGTCAATGACGCTCTTGGGTACGTAATGAGCTCACGCTTGTTATCCCCTTCCAATACCCAGAAGATCACCTTCGCCCGTCGTCGGAAAAGGTACCCAAGCTATGATACGCACCCTAAGAAAGGTGCGGAGCGTGTGGGATTTGCCGATGAACGCAATCAAACCCAATGCGGTGATGTGTTCCTCGAACGGCTTGCTCCCCCGGGCACCCCCAATTCAAGCAAGTCCAATGCATGGTTATCCTCGCGTTCAGGAGCCCCTTGTTTTCCCGAGATGACCCAAGTTCTCTCTCTCTCTCTCTCTCTCTCTCTCTCTCTCTCTACCTATGAAACGTTCCCTAGCACACCGGCTTTACGTCCTACTTTCGAGTATTGGGAGGGGTCATGTCCACCTTCATCACTCCGGTTGTTCAAGGAGACTTGCTGGTGACATGATCGTCGGAAACCGGCGCTTCTCCCGGAGACGACCCTCTCGGCAGAAGGCTATTCGTCGCACATTGATCAGGCCTCTCTGCCTTTTTCTCTCTACTCTCTAACCCAGAGCCCAGGCATGAGAGTGAAGAGATAGCAGCGACACAAGGGCCTATCTTTAACATGTGTACCAGATCTCGGCTCACATTGAGGGCTTTGGCAATAGGACGGCTTTGCTATCCTCCGAGCGCGCATTCCAAACTCTACTATCGTCACTAGGAGCAAGGAAGCGCGGGGGGAGATAGCCAAGGGCTCGGAAACACTGGGCCTGTGGACCGGGATCTCTCTTGCCTAATTTCGCAGTCGCCCAGTACCTGCCATCCTTGGTCACCTCGCAGCCGGCTACGGACAGGCGGAGATCGCCCCCTCCCCTAGTCTAGCATGATCGCAGTGCCATACACATCCCCCGCGCACTCTACCTTTAACTACATGTCTTACACCACTAGATCATTCGTATTAGTTCCCAGACACCGACTTCCCCGCCCCCATTACCCACACATGTACATCTAGACCCTCTTCAGACCCCAGGCTGAAGGCTGCATTGAATTCACAATGAGTCCACCAAGGACGCTTTGAATGTCGACATGTCGACATCCCGCTGCCCCCATCCCCCAGGACTGCATGCATGGATAGAGGTGCCATCGACACACGGCCCGCTCCAACTCCTGTAGGTTCATATCAACAAAAGATACCGGAGGCACACAACGCTTGGATGGATACTGCCGTCATTCCTCATCACCTGGTCGTCGACACCGAGGGGTTCGATTTTGCCACCACCAACGGGCGGGCATATGATCAAAAGCGGCCGTTGGCTCCACGGAAAGATGTCTGGTTTACAGCCCTCCCTGGTGTGAGGATAGCTGGAAACAAGATAGTTGGTTTGCCAAAAAGCTTTCTAGAGCTAACTTTATAACTCGGTACAGAAATGAACCGCGAAGAAGCCACAGGGGCGGAGGGGCGGACGCTAACACGATCATCCTTGAGAAACTGAGAATTGGATGACTTTGGGCTTCGTTGGAGGTCGGTTCAGGCCGAGCGCGGCGCAGATTAGATCAAGGCCAAGGCTAGGTTAATGAACATCGAAGCATGAAGTCGGGAGGAGTAGGCAGCAAAGGCGTTAGGGTCCTTGTTGACAGTCTTCCAACTTGTCTCTATCAGCTCGCAGGAAACGGATCACCCGCTTGCTCTTGATTCCAACATTCCGAGGCCGATCAAAGCCCCAACCGAGTGGAGCAATGCAGACGTCAGATAGATTTCCATTCCACTCGGTCTCCAATCAATCTCTCATTACTGAGGTAAATCAAATTTCTTTCTGAATCCTGCTTGACTCCCTTGCAAAATTTGCGGTACCCGCGTGCAGAGTCTTATTCTTCTTCCCGTTCGTGCTTCTTCGACTTTTAGCAACACGCCCCCATCCACCCCCACCACACCATAATGGGACACCGCTCTGGCACACACGTAGGTTCAAGTGTAACCGAGTGTATTGCAATGCAGGAAACAACCCCCGTCACTTCCTTTTTGTTTTATTTTATTTTATTTCTTCTTTTTCTTTCCGAAATACACTCGCACTCCTGGTCGCTCACGACCTTCCTATCACTTGCTCTTGATCAACTGCGGTGGATGGGGTTGATCGCAACGTCCTTGCGCACGCCCTCCCTGATTCTGGCTCCCACACCATAAACCACGCACACCACCACACACCCGCGCACACACACACACACACACACACACACACGCACGCACAATACCGCGACAAAGCAAAGCAGCCACCAATTAACCCCACACTCCACACTCGTTCCAGGCGTTTCCTTACTACCTCCCCTCACCCTCACTCTTACAGCCGACCTTTCTAGCCCCCCTTCCTTTCCCTCTGAAGCAAGCGACCAAAGCTATCAGGAGACCTGGCCCTTGCGGCAGATGGAGCCCTACGGAATCGACCAACTAACCGTCTAACCATGCGGGCAAGCGTGCCGTGGAGGGATAGCCGGCGACCACACCCGCGCCTTGCAGCCATATCCAAGGTCGCAGCTAGGGCCAACAGCTCTTGAGGACTCAACAGGGAACAAACAACCAACACCCAGTTATCGCGAAATATAGCTTTCTAGTTCTTCCGTGGGCCGATTGTGCATACCGGAAAGGGCCGTTTTTTATTTCAAATTTTCGTTTCCCTGGGAAGGGTGGAGAAACTCATCCTTTGACGACCGGAGCTAGACCAAGTGACGGAGAAAGCAGAAAAACTCTCTCGAGCAAACACCTCCATCTGACTGCCTCTCGAGCGACCGGCGGACCCTCGTCACCAACCCGCCTGTTGATTGTTCTGGTGTTTCTCCATCATTGTGTGTGCAGAAAGCTACCTCATCGAGAGGCGTGACGGGCATATAAGACCACGCGCTCCCTCCGGTTAATCGATGATGCTTCTATTCCTTTCCCCATCCTCTCAACCCATTCCACATCTCCCACCTTGCCAAACCGCACTATCACTCTTCTTTTCCCTAGTCTCTCTCAAGACTCACTTCTCCTTGTCCCTTGATCCCACTATCACCCATCCTCTCGTCCACCAACACTGCCAGCGCCCGCCCGGAACAAACTGAGCCCTACCAATCCTGACAAGAGAAGCGCACTCTAGCCAGATTGCGATCCCTCTTGCACTCTTATCTTGGCTTCAAGCTCGACTTACCAGCATCGTCAACCGCGGCGGCTACCCGAAAGTGCCTCTTGATTCCTAATACCTAATACCAACCAGCCTTACCAGAAACCCCCTCGTTTTAAACACCCACCATGTGTGTCGTTTTCGTGACAACCTACGTCTGCGGCGACGTCGACCAAAAGAGGGTACCATGCAGGGATCAGTACTCGCCTAGCCACCAAATCCGCTACAGGCCTTCGACCGTCCCCGATGTTTGCAACAAGTCAAACTGTAGCAACCCTTCCGCCCAAGCCGCGTAGGTTAGTTGGATCCTTGTGCCTCGAGTGAGCTAGGCCTGATACCATATTCCTATAGGAGCTACGTTGCGAGCTACTACGGCAAGCACGATGGCCTTGATAGGAAGCCGCGATTATAGAAGACAGGACCGTCTTGTGACCCGCGTCAGACATTCGATCGTTTAGAGTCTGGTACGCCGTGGACCGGAGCTCGCTCGCATTGTAGCGTGCACTCCCCCTTCTTTTTCTTCTTTTCTTTTTCTTTTTCCTCCCTCCTTCTTCTTCTCCTTTTTCGCCCATCTCCGATCTTTTATCTATCTGGTCGAGATCTCTCTCAACTGATCGACTCTCCTTTGGCCACTTTTTCAAACGCCCACTACCGTCAGGCTCGCTTTCCTCTTTCGGCCCACAGCAATCTTCACCCACTGGCATTCTCCGGTGAACGCCGCGCACGCGCGCACGCCTTGTTCACTTTCCTACCCTAAACGGACTGGCAAGACTCCATTGCGAACGGCCCTCTTCTACGCCTGTGGTTACTAGGTGCTATCATCGATGGCAACTTAGTGCCTCTCCGCCGAGCATCTCTAACCCTCTTGTTACTTTCTCCCATCTCTCCGTGCGTTGCACTGAATTCTGCTAGAGCCGAAGGAATGTGGTTGAATCAGGCGCTCGGTCTCTATTAGATCCAGGGCAACATCTGCCTGCTGGGTTCCTGCTTGGACGGGGTTCTCCTTCTATCTCTTCTGGTTACTAAAGTTTCTGCCGTGTTTTTCTTCTTTTCTATACTTTCCTTCCATCCTTCCTTTTTTATACTAGTTGCAACAACTTCTTTTTCTTCACTTATTATATTTAGATGCCACGACTTCGCCGTCGTCCCTCTACCTTTCTCTATGACTTCCTTGAATAACATTTTATCTATAACGCCGCGATTCTCCAGCGATGCCCTTGTCATTCTCCGTACGAGTCCTTTGTTGGCTGAGAAAGTATTGTCTTTGGCTACAGCCAGGGCGGAGTTGGTGGCCCAACACGGCACCCGGGCTTCCTTTCGCAGCCAACACGTGCTGACCCAACCGTAAAATTTATGGCCGCCGCCCGTATCAATTGTTGGATTTCAGTTTCCAACAGCACTCGTACCAAGCCAATAGTCTAACTAAAATCAATTCATCTGCGAAATTTTGTGTGCACCGTATCGCCGTACAGTGCAATTTTGCCTTGTAGTGAGCAACCTAAGGGGATTAATATCAATGCACCTGCCTTCTATGTGAGTGATGGCTCACTAACAGCAAGGCAGGAGCGGAGGACATTGCTGCAAGGAACGATACTCCAACAGCGATCGATGATGAATTTCGTAGGCACCACCGGGCTGGCCAAGAGTTCGCCAGGCAGACAAATCAATATCTGGGTCTACTAGCGTTGGTTGGTTGTACTCTTCGCTTCTTCGCTTGCGAAATTAGAAGACTCGTTGGAAAGATGATGAACGAATCTGAAGAGTGCACATAAGGAGCACTTCCCTGCAATGCCTTTCTCGAAAAACACCGACATTATGTCAAACTGAAACGAGAAACTCCTCCTACATCCAACGCTCGGCCCAGGCCGCATTTGTTTGTCTTCTTCCTCCCGTGTGAGAATGGCGGACCAGGCGCTGGGATTCACTTTAGTGCCTGCCCGCAGTTCAGCAAGCACAGGATGAGCGGTGAAGAAAGGGACGGGAGTTGTTCGATAACACGAAGGCAAACAATAGGAATAGTGAGATTTAGCGACCGAGAGTAGAGGAAGCGACCGGTACCCCAGGTTTCCAACGCTTCATCTGCCCAGTATCACGTTTCGCGTGCCTTGTGCCTCACTAGGGGAGGCCCGTTGCCGAAACGCATCGTGCTCTTAGAAGGGCAAACCTACAGCCGCGCAATCACCCTTCACCCGCCTGGGCGCGTCGGACGTGAGAGAGCGGTCTTGGTCCCGGACACTAGCTAGGGGCCTCACAAGCTAAAGTGAAGATTATGCATCATGGTATCTCCCGAAGCCGCCAAGAGGTCTAAGGTTTGATAATACTTCAATGGAGCTTACACAAAGGGCTGGAACGGGCCTCCCTTCCATTGATCTACGTTGCAGCCTCGTCAGCCTTGCATGCATGACGGGACCATCATGTGATTGCATTTTCGCTATCATCACATGATGTGCCTTATTTCTTGAGGTGTAGCTTTCTGGCGGTGACTTTGCTCTCTCGGCTGGGCGTGCTTGCATTTTACTCTGGAAAGATTGTCCGTGGTGGTGAGGCCTCTTGTGAGGCCAAGGCCTGTGGGATGGTGTGGCCGTGAGAGACGGCCGCAGAAGTGGCGGGCCAAATTGCCCGGCCTAACGGCCCCCAAACGGAAAAAGGGCAAAAAGGGCGGAAGGAATATTGAAAGAAGCTAGTGTAGCGATGATCGAGGCGATGGTCGAGGCCGGGGGAGGAACAAGGAGGAGAGAAGGGAAAGGGGAAAATGAGGGGGAAAAACGCGCACAGCTGTACGCCCTGCCCCGAGTGATCGCATTAGGTCCATACAACGGGATGATATAACGGCTAGAGAGCCTCGGAGCATGCAAAATCCGACTCGTATATCATTACAGGAGACACATGACCCATTGGTCGGGGGCTATCTAAGCCATGGACTAACACGAATTTCAGGAGAGATTCACGCTGACTAGAATTATGATGAATTTGAGTCAGTCGGCATGCACGCACACCACGGTCAATCATAGTCCAAATCATGGTGGGAGATATGTTAGTTCTATAAGCTACATGTAGGCTCGATACCGATGATATAGGCCTGTCCTTGCTAGACAAACCGACGTGGCTTGAAGTATTTCAACTCTCCAGCATCTCGATTCCTACGCTTCACATAGCGGCAGGAGCGCCTGCGATCAAACAAAGTTGGGAATGCCGTGGTGGACCAGGGAAGTAACAAATGTTTCTCAGTATCGAAAACGCCACCGAGTTGTCCAAGCTGTCGACTAATATGTCTCATCACGAAGATTTTCTGCACATTCCAACAACACGAAGGGTAAAAGTTACCATTCCGATGACGAAAGGTGAGATGGGGCCACAGGGAAGTCTTGGCCCCCCTCTAAATCCCATCCTTGTCCCCATGGTCATCCCACGCACAAGGGTGTAAGTGGCCCTGAACTAGCCCCGAAAAGTAGGTGGGGGCGTTGATGGATCGACTTGTGCTGTTTGTCTGTTGACGTTGACAGTGGAAGGCATCCCTGCCAACATAGTCGGCCTCGAGCAAACGAACTTTTCCACAGACTTTTCTTCTTGGCCTTCATCGCATTGACAACCTTACTTCGATGGGCAAGGCCTTTCTAGCATGACCCTCCGAGGAGAGAAAGGAAAAAAAAAGAAGAAGCGGGAAAAAGGAAGAAAAAAGGTCGTGCCCTCGGCCCCTTCACACTCTGAGTGGTTGGCGGCGGGTGAACAGCAATTCTCCCCCACCTCGCATTCGGCAATCTGGAAGCCAGCGCTAAAGGAATCACTGACATTGGCAGGAATAGAGATCGACCATACTCTTTTTGGAGGACGGCGGCAGTTGCGGGGACTTGGGGTCGAGGATGTTCTGAAGGGGGCCAAGTCGTCCCCTATTCTACAGAACCAGGGTAACACCCTGCGAGGCCCTGACATCTGCTATGAATGCTCTCTCGCGGGAGAGTTGTTTCCCCTGAGGTGGGGACAGGACTTATGGCTGGCGAGCTGGCTAGTGTGCCTTGGCCTGCGTGCCGTCTGTGGCGCTATCAATCTGCACGTCAAGGTCGACGTTCTTGCTGCCGTGCTTGTCAGTTGATCACCTTGGACCTCAAACCACCCTCGCCTCTAGGGGCCGTGGATACGCTTTCATTTTCACATTGAGCCTAATCAAGGCCGACGATACTAATTGATGAGGGTTAAGGCGTCCATAGCTACTACTACATTGACGGCCTTCTACCACAAGCCTAGAAAATAGACGGGTTGATCGTCAAACCTGGTTGACAAAGAACAACCCTGGACCGAGGCCAGACAAATAAAGAATGGCCCAACTACCTCTGTACACAGCAACATGTACGAAGAAAAGTGGACTCGAAGTTGCGCCTACCCGTGGGCACAAACATCACCTCGTGGTCACACTCTGGCCATGCACGCGGCCCTAACGCTAGCTGTAGGAGGGCCAAGGCTAAATCGGGACTAAGACCGCTGGAGGTGTTGGTTCTTGATGCAATCCTCGAGGTTCGAATTCATCGAGCGGCATAAGAAGAGTGGGAAAGAGTTGTGGAATATGGCATTTGATCCCAAAAACTCGTTCTCAAAAGGTTTCTCGGCCGTCTTACAAGTAGACTTGAGCAAAACAGCTAGGGCAGTTGAGTCAAAAGCTGCTTCACGAGCTTGATGATCCTTGGGGCGCGGCTGGCTTCTGGAACAAGATCTAAGCAAAACCCAAAGCAGCTAGCGGGGCGCTAGTCAGCGTGATTCAATGGGTAGGGTGACGCTAAATCCTGCGCTCCTTGAGACGAATCGGTGGTGGGCCCGGGGAGGGGAGGAGGTTGCCCCGTCTTCGAACCTCGAGGGCCGAATCTAGCCATCAGCAGCAACTTGATGCGGTGACGGACAATGCTTGACTCGAGTTGGGCCCGTGTCAATCAAGGGATTATTCACAACTTGAACAGATTCGACTACATTAGCTGATGCTCACTGGCGGCGCGCCGCCCTTGTGGCTAGCCAACCAACCAACCTCTGTCGAAAGTAGCCCGATTAGGCGAACTTCAGACGCTGTTCTCCAGGGACAGGTACACTAATACCTGTCCCTACTTGAAGAAGAGGGGGTTGCTCTTTTTACTATTATCTTTGCTCTTTTTATTCATCGTCACGACGGTCTAGTAGTTGGGTAGGGTGTACCAGTGAATACTCCCCATCCCCGCCTTCTCGAGATAACAAGGGCAGGAAGGATCGAGGCCCGGATTCTCTCTCAGGCGCGGCAGAGAGCCGTGCAGAGAAGAGTGGGTGTTGGTCAGCCCCAATTGCTTCCCCCATGTTCACACCGGATGGTTGTTCCGGGGCCGGTCTCCGTCGACACAAGACCTGCGTAGACCACATGTCGGTGCTCTGCTTCGTTTCCGATTTGACCTTCTCTCTCTTTCTCCTTTTACTACTGCTGCCCTTGGGTTCTTTCGTCTCTGGCTGCCTTTGCTCTTTCCGCCCACGTTCAGTTTCACGCCTCTTTGGTACCATGTAGTGTAGAGACACGAGAGCGCGTTGGTCTTTTCTACTTCCTGCTACTAACCCCCTTTTTCTGGATCACCTGTGGTGACACGCCTATCCTGTTTAATCTCACCCTTTCATTCTTTCCCCCTTAGGTCGGTTGTGGAAAGGGGTAGGGGGATCATCCTCAGTGACATGCCTAGATGGGCAACTTGAAATAGCTCGCTTCGGTGATGCCACCAACACCATGCTCGTCATCAAGGAACACGACGACTACAGCCGTCTCCATTAGATACGTCTGTGAACAGCAAAAGGCTGTTCACCCAACAATGTGGGACGCAGTTTCACACGCCCTCGGGCGGCTTTCTATTTTTACTTGAGAGGGATGACGCAAATAGGCGGGCGCAAGGAGAAGAAGGTAGACCCCGAACAAGGACGAGACGAGGGGTGAGGCGAGGGAGAGGGTCCCTCCTTCCAACGCGCGCACCAAGGGGGAGGGGGGAGAGGTGACACTATAAAAAATAAAAAAGGAAAGGAAAGGGCGGATGCAGCTGTTCATTACTATTTTCAAATGTTCTTCATTGATTCGACCAGTTCTAACAAGAATCAATGGATCGCAATCTATATACTACTACACCACCTCTTGCGCGCTGGGGGCCCTTCTCTCCTTCAGGATCAGTCTGTTGAGAAGTTACTTTGGGGGCAGAGACACGGGGAAAAAGAGCAAATCCAACGAACACTTGACGGATAGACGCAAGGGCGCGTCGCCAAGGAAAGGACGACAAGGAGGACGGAAACAGGAAAGAGAGGGTGTGTAAAAGAAAACCGATAACAGGATCGACGTCATGGGAAGAAAAATATAAAAGGATTCTCCCTTTGGAATTAATGTACAGTCTGCGAGCATACCAGGCCCCTGTTCTGCTCAGCTGAAGAGCTTCCCCTCAAGATCGCAATCGCTGTAGAGTACATCCATCTTCAGAGTCAAGGCCGAAGCCTCCTCGTCGCTTTTGCCCCCTCTGAGGCCCTCGCCGGCCTGGCTTCTTCTTCTGCTCTCTTTTTCTTCTTTTTTGGGGGAGTATTCTTGTCCTCTTGTGTAACCTTTTCCAGTTTAAAAAGAAAAAAAAAGAAATCTGCAACTTTTGGATGCTTCGCTGTTCTTCATTTTCACACCACCCCCATTACCGAGGTGTTCGCGAAGCGATACACATCATGGTTCGGCGTCCAATCCACCCTGCCGCTCCTCCTGTAGCTTCAAGATACCCGTCTTTCGGTTCTATATTGCGCGGCTAGCCCTGCGTGTAACACGAAAAGAGCAAAAAGAAATGAAAATGTAAAAAGTGGGGACAAACGCAGAGATGAAACCCCTTATGACTACCATGTCATGATGCATTAATCAACGCCATGAAGAAGGAAAGAAAGCAACTACTGTTAACGGGAATAGAGAAGAATAAAAAAAAAAAGACAGAGGCCGACAGTCTGCAGAAGCGAGCCAACGCCAAAATGCAGTATTGAACGCAGCATCTTGTTTCGGGCCGACGGCTAACGGTGTGCGCCGCCACGGATGACTCGCTTGGCTTATTGATTCTGAGGCCCAGGGGTGCGCGGTGACCACTGAGGAGACTAAAGAGGGAAAAAAAGTGTTAGCTCGCATTCAGTAGCAAAGTTTGGTGGTCAAGAACAAGACTTACGGTAGGGGAGTAGCTGGGGCTCGTCGGCGACTGCTGAGCCGGGCTTCGTTGGAAGGTAGGGCTCGTAGGCGAGTATGACTGAGGCGAAGTGGGAGACCATTTGGGCGACGCCGGCGAGTATGACGGCGAGGTCGCCCCAGCTGCATGAAGATTGGGAGACGCCGGGCTGTAGTTGGGACTGGCCGGCGAGTAGTTGGGTGACGTCGGCGAGTTGAACTGGTTCGGCGATGTAGGAGAATAGTGCCTGGGCGACGTTGGCGACGTCGGCGAGTAAGTCGGAGACGTCGGGCTGTAGTTGGGGCTGGTAGGCCGGTGGAGCATAGGAGACGTCGGCGAGAAGGACGGCGATGAAGGGCTGAATGAGGGCGACGTAGCAAAGCGCGCTCCTGATCCATCCAACATGGGCGAAGTGGGTGAGTATCCCACATGCGGCGAAGTCGGCGAGTACCCTCCGTATCCGCCCATGGGGGACGTCGGCGACGTATTGAACGGGCTGGTGGCGCCCCCGCGAGAATAGGGACTGAAACTGCCAGAGCCGTATCCATCTTGTCCATACGAGGTTTGGAACCCAGCAGGAGACTCGCTGCCTGCTCCCACAATTGGAGAGAAGTTGCCCGCATCCGGCGTGCCCGGCCCCAAGGAAACGTAGCCAGAATCTGCCATGGGCGAGCCCGAATCGTAAGGGGTGGCAGCGCCCTCCGACGGCCCTCCCTTGAGCGACATCCCAGGCATAAGACCCATGCGCGCATTATCCGAGATGACCGTGTCGAGCATCTTAGGATCCAAGAGCACCTCGAAATTACCAGTACCCATGGGTGCCATTTGTCCAAGCATGACATTCTCAGATATACCGCGGCAATCATCGAGTTCTCCAGACGCGGCCGCCTCCAGAAGAATTTCGACAGTCTCTTCGAAAGAGCAACGCATCAGTGCACCAGTATCGGCGCGGTTGATACCGTGGCGAGTAACGGCCGAGATCGATCCACGATAACTCATCACGTCCACGAGAAGGGCAATGTGTCTGTGATTGACGTACGAACCATCAAAAGCCAACACCTGCGTTAGCTCGCGCACGAGCGCTGCACGAGTTGCTTCGATACCAAAGACTTCCAAAATCTGCCAGATATTGTTGGTGTATGTCCGGGTCGTGTCGACGCCATCAATCATGAGCACCTCTCGGAGCGCGCTACCCGAAGTATCGAGATACCATTCTTCGCAGCGAGGATCGGCCTTGGCCGCGAGGAGGGACCCATCGTCGATTTCAATCAACTTATCACCCTTGGTAAGGAAGGCCCTCTCAATACCCGGCACACCACGCAGCGTGAGTGTGTCGAGAAGATGACCTTCGAAGCGCTTGAGCATGACGTCGTCTTCAATGGCGGCTGAGTCGCCATCCTTGTCATTGTTGCTTGTAATTGTTCGAATGCGGATTACTTGCTCGTCGGCATTGTTGTCGCTGGATATCACGGCAAGGTCGGTGGGGTAATCCTGGCGGATTCGGGCCGCCACATCCTCAATGTCGAGACCCTTGTCCAACATCTTCTGCCGGTCAAGGGCGATACGAAGGAGCCAGCGTGACTGGTCGTCCACGGTGTGACGCATCGTATCATCCGTCAGCCAGTACGACTCAAGCATATCCATATCTTCGGGAATGGTCGTCGAGAGGACATCTGGGTCGTAATAAATCTCCGTCACTGCTGTGACTGAGCGGAGAGTAGTATACTCTACAGCATTACGCAAGACCTTGGCAGCTTCCTGGGTGGCGTTGGACCCGTCCAGGTAGACCACCATGGACGGGGTCTTGATATTGGTCGCCAGATTGAGAATCTCCTTCAGACGCGGCACACCTAGAGTAACGTTCTTCGACGACACACCAGCGAAATGGAATGTGTTGAGCGTCATCTGAGTGGCGGGTTCTCCGATGGACTGTGCCGCGAGCACACCAACCATCTCGCCAGGGTTGACAAAAGCCTTGTCCCAGCGACCTTGGAGCTCACCGAGGACGTGTTCGAAAGCGAGTTTGTTGAGACGCTGGTTGACGGCAATGCGCTTATATGCCAATCGCGATCGAAGCTGTGCCTTGAAGAGAATGGTGGCATTCTTATCCGCCTCGTGTGAGATGGGATCCCTGCCGCGTACGATTGTCATCCGGTCCAGCATGGCCTGGACGGCGGGGACAACATCCTGCGGACGGAGGTCGCTACGCTGGCTACCATCGACGCCAAACAGCCTACGCGCCGAGTCGATGAAACGAACCACATTGAGAGGCAATTGCATCATCTCGTCACCCTTCTTCTTCCAGTTGATCTCTCGAATGACGTTCCGATCAGACATGAGGGCCTCGTATTCCTCATCCAACAACTGCTGCACTGCAGGATCGCCAAACATCTCATTTCCGTACTCCAGGGCGTCAAGGGCAGCCGGTCGCTTTCTGGCCATGATATCCAGACGATAGCGTGATTCAAAGTTGTGGTGAGACATGCTGAGGTGGTCCATACGCTGCTTCTCGATGCAAAGGGCATCGAGGCCATCTTCTCCGTACAGGAACTGGACGATATCGCCAAGAGAGTTCCGCACAGTACCATCATACTTCGCACTAACATCCTCGAGCGCCTTGACAAGTCGTCGCTGGATATAACCTGTTTCGGCAGTCTTGACAGCCGTGTCAATTAGACCTTCGCGACCAGCCATGGCGTGGAAGAAGAACTCGCTCGGCGTCAAGCCACGGAGGTACGAGTTCTCTACAAAACCACGCGCCTCTGGCGAGTAATCATCTTTGGTGAAGTGAGGAAGAGTACGATATTTGAATCCAAAGGGGATACGCTTTCCTTCGACAATCTGCTGGCCGACGAGCGCCGTCATCTGCGAGATATTGATAGACGAGCCCTTGGAACCCGAAGAGGCCATGAGAACAGCGTTATTCGAGTCACGCAAACTTCTCTGAGTTGTGGTTCCGGCATCATCACGAGCCTTGTTGAGGGCGATGGACACCTTGTTCTCAAATGTCTCTCGAATGTTCATACCAGGCAACGCTTCGAGCTGATTAGCCGTGGCTTGCGCAGTCAATGCAGCGACCTCAGCCTTGCGCTCGTCGATGTGGGCCTGAACCTTTTCAATGGTCACCTTGTCTGGGATTGTGTCGCCAATACCGATAGAATGGCCGACATGCAAGAACCAGTAGTTGACCACGCGTTGAACGCCGTTAAGGAAAGCCATGGCACCTCCTGGTCCTAGCTCATTGTACGCCAAATGAACAATACCACCACCGGCAGCACCCACACTCTTCTTGGAGAGGAGGCCGTAAATGAGCCTTCCACCTTGAATAAGAAGGCCTTCATCCTTCAACGGAGCATCCTCGCGGCTGTCGCTCGGATTGAACAGGCTGATGGTGGTAGGGATAACCATGCTAATGATCTGCTTGCCAGTCCAGAGAGGGACAGGCCGATGGATTGCTGGAATGGGAATGACACCGTCCCATTCAGGTACCCAAAGCATGACGTTCATCATTTGCTCTTTGGTTAAGAATGTGTCTCTTCGGCAAAGCTTGTACACACCAGCGAGAGAGTCTTGAACAATACCCATGAGGGGACCGTTACGCTGGGGAGACACAATGTTCAAAGGTACCATGCACAGCTCCTTGACCTCTGCGCGCGTTTCCTCACTTTGAGGGACATGCAAGTTCATCTCATCACCATCAAAATCGGCATTGTAGGGAGATGTGACGGAGAGGTTGAGACGGAAGGTCGAGTAAGGCATGACGCGCACTCTGTGACCCATCATAGACTCCTTGTGCAGAGAGGGCTGTCGGTTAAAGATGATGTAGTCGCCGTCCATGAGGTGACGCTCAACCTTCCAGCCGTACTCCAAAGTAATTTGTCCCGCACGACGGTGGTGGCGCAAATCAATTCGAGTTATGCTCGTGCCATCGGAGCGAATGACGTAGCGAGCACCAGGATATTCGTTGGGGCCATTCTGCACGAGCTGGTGAAGCTTGCCAATGTTGTAAGGCGTAACAGTTTCCGGGTAAGTAAGAGTGCGAGCGATGGAACGGGGCACTCCTACTTCGTCCAAGGAGAGGTTGGCATCACCGGTAATGACGGTACGGGCCGAAAAATCGACACGCTTACCCATCAAATTACCTCGAAGACGACCTTCCTTGCCCTTGAGGCGTGAGCGAATGGCCTTGACAGGACGGCCGCTCTTTTGAAGCGCGCGAGGCAATCCGGCGATGTCGTTGTCCATATAGGTAGCGACGTGATATTGCAATAGCTGCTCGAAATCGCGGAGAATATGATTGGGGGAACCCTCACTAATAGCCTGTCTGACATTGCCATTGGCGCGGATGATATCGCTCAGTTTGTAGGTCAAGTCATCTTCGTTGCGCATACCAGTTCCAGTGCCATCCATGGAAACACTGGGACGAACAGGAGGAGGAGGAACGGCCAACACAGTGACCACCATCCAGTCAGGTCGCGCATAGTCCGAGTTCAGACCCATGTCTCTCAGGTCATCATCAGAGATGCGGCGGAGGACATTCAATACCTGCTCCGCAGAGATAGGCACCATGTCCTTCTTCTTTGAAGCAGGACCGCCCTCTTGATCGGCCTGGCCACCCTTCAAGAAAATATTGAGTCCTTGTTGGCGAACCTCGGGGCAGAGGTTGCCACAGCCACCGTGGTTAATGATAACCTTGTTATCGCTCGCAGCGCCCGGTTCAATCCTTTCTCGGGGTTCGTTGTCGCAAATGTTCTTTTTCTTGCAGAGTTCCCAAACCTTGTGGAACCGCGCCTTAGGCTCACGCAGACGAACGACACGGGCGAATTCAGGATCGGTCTGGCATATGGTTAGCATGGCAAGTAAAATGGCACGAGTAATCAAATGCCGCTGATACTAACCCTGTCGACCTTGACTTTGCTACAGTTGTGGCAAACCATTTCGAGGATCTTCTTCACTTTCTTGATGAAGCCCGGGTGGAAAACAGGCTTCGCCAGCTCAATGTGGCCAAAATGCCCCGGGCACTCCGACATGGCTTGCGTGCAGGTTTTGCACCTAAACTGCCGATCAATGGAACCGAGAAGAGGGTCATTCAAGCCGCCCTCGCGCGGCTTCAGGCGCATCTCGTCCATAGTTTCAGGATAGATGATGTGGCACACGCTCATATTTTTAATCTCCTCGGGTGAGAGAATACCAAACTGGATCTCCTCAACAGTCTTGAGCGGCGCGCTCGAATGAGTGAAATAAAGGTTCGCCATCTTTGCAAATGATTATTAGGATGTCGATGATGAACGGCGGCGATGAGACGAGATTCGAAGATGGCGCGGGCGCGTCAAGGGGTACGAAACGGGAGAGGAGGCGAAGACGCGGTATACGCAACCGGAGCGAAATGAGATCGGTCAAAAGAACGCGAGATTAAAACGACAAGTACAAATCGAGAGCGCCGTGATGATATCGAAGATGAAAATGAACGTCGTTGGATGATGCGAGATGGCGCTCCCGTTCGGCGCCCTTCCTGGCCGATGGCCGAGGAAGAAAGCTACTGATTTATCGTCGCGGTCGCCACAGTCAAAGGATTGTCGGGGGATTAAAAAAGCGTGACAGCGCGAAATAGAGCACTGGAATTCTCTAAATCGAGGCCAGAAGCACTTTGATCCGTGTTCTGACGCGTGTCGTGATGGATTGTTGTGGATGATGGTGAGTTTGTGAAGGGTTACGTTGTTGAAAAATTCACAGGGGCGGGAGGTTTGGATTTGAGGCTGGATCAGAGCGTGATGGATGGCGCTAAACCCGATTAGGTAATTTCTGCCTTTTCTTCCCTTCCTGCTCCAGTCCACGCCTTGCGACTCAAAGGTGGCAGCCTTGGCTCTGCGTTGCCCATCGTTTATGTACTGGTACATATGCCACGACCTAAAATAGTGCGACTTCCTGCTTATATCTTGTATCGAAACCTGGCATTTCATGTCCGATGAAAGCCGTACCTACCACTAGCCACCATCTCCATTACCCCAAACTTAACCCGTCTTGCCCGTCAATATTACCCCATGCCGACCAGCAGTGGCTTGATCCATCCACGAAGAGCATCATTGTGGCACTGTCAGGCTCAAATCAGAACCAGGTTGACATCTTGATCGCCATGACCAGCTTCGATAGCCGAATGCCAAGCAAAATAAGGAAGCCACAGGGAGCCATGATGGCCCATTGAGTGTTTATTTCAATCTTCTTGCAATCAAATCGTGCCGATTATCTGGGTATAATACTATTGCTTGTCCTCACCTATGCTTTCTTCCTACTCCTACCCCGTCCTGGACCCTTTTGGTAGACAAGGTCTTCTCTTCGACTCCGCTCCGCGATAGTTCTTCCTGGTTCTCCCCAGGACTCCTACGTCGCATGGTTCCAGTCGAGACGGCCACGAATTCCTCCTCGCTATCACTTTCCCCAAGTTGAAGAGAATAGGCATACTGAACGTGTCTTCATCCTCTTCATAAATCTTTGACGGTTCCTTTGTGAGCACGTCCACATCTTCATCTTCTGCATCAAGCCGGCGCTGATGTATCTCCTCTTGAGCGTAAATATCAAACTCATCTTCCTTTTCAATATACTCCACATTCTCTTCCACTTCGGCGAAGTCTGGTGCAAGAGCCGACCACTTTTGAGGGCTCGTAACCGACCAGATGTAGATGCGGCCTGTTTCTAGGCCACATGCGGCAAGTAGCGCCCGATGAGGGTGCCATTCTATCACACCCTGCTCTTCTTTGGGCCCTTCGAGCATCCGCACTAAGCTGCCGTGATTTCGTTCCCAAATGTAGAGTTCGTGGTTGTTGTAGGTCGAAGCCGATACGTATTCGCCGGTGGCACTAAAGGTAACGTGGTTCCATGACAGTCGATTGACGACATCTTGGAACTTGTGCTCTAGAGGCAACTGAACGGTATCAAGGTCGAGGTTCTCGGCTGATAGGTTGGGGACGAGAAAGGTCCTGATGATGCGATCTTGAGCGTTCACAAGCAACACTTTCCCCGAGCCAGAGATCCGCAAGGTGGTGATGACGGAACTTGATATTTTGCTAGAAAATATGATTTCTCGCGTCTTTGCATCTATAATATTCAGTCGCCCTTTTGTTGTGCCCGCGATGATGTGGTCGCCGCTGCCTGTGAAGATGGTGACGGTGGTCATTTGTTTCGCGTCTTCCTTCGCTTGCTTCTCTTTAAGCGCACTATCATTTTCGGCATTCGCGCGTTTCGGTGAAGATGGGAGAATGTGTTTGACAGGGACCGGGTCGGTAACATCGACGAGGAGAGGCTGCTCATCGAAAGGGACACGACGAAATGGTTGCTGAAGATGACGCGTTAGCACGCGGCCAGATTCTAGTGCAACAAAGGAAAGAGATAGGCTTACTGATTCCAAGGGTGTAGTTCTGCGATATAAGCTGGGGCCCGAAATCTGACCTCGCGATATCGTCGGCCGTCCTGGAGGTCCCAGAGAATGGCGCGCCAACCTTGACAAGCCGATAGCAGATACCTCCCGCACCTAGACCAGCTCAGGGATGTGATGCTTTTGCTGTGGCCTCTTAGCTTCCTGGCTACCCCCATCGTCTCGATATCCCATATCACAACCGTCCCATCAACGCGACCGGAGGCGAGGTAATCGCCCTTGCGATTGAACCGTAAACATGTCGAGTGTCCCGATCGGATTGTGTTGGTAATGTTTTCGGGGTAATCCTGCAGTAAGTAATCATCCGAAAGTAACAAGTTCATGTTATCAATCGCCAAGATCTAGTCAAGCTAGAGAGTTGAGGACGCAAAGGTCTGGAGAGTCGGAATATTGCGAGGGAGGGAGGGGGGTGGGAGTTGATCAGAAGCTCCGTGGTAATCGCCAATTGCTTGGGGTTTTCTTAGCTGCGAGGCTAATCTTCGTGCAGGGATGTCCGCCCACCCCACCAAACAGCCCAGCCAGAGACAGAGAGGAGCTGGCCTTGTGAATCCGGTACTTCCCTTTACCCACATATTGCTGCGGATGCTCACGAGACCAATGTAGCAGATACCCGAGACCTCAGGAAACCCCCACATTCACTAAAGGCAAACCAAACCGCCAATTCAAAGCTCGCTCTCCCACGATCAGACTCTGACGACTTGGTTCAGCATGGCAAATTCCAAGTAAGGCGTCAAGCCTGTTGTTTAGCTAACGCACTATTTCAAATCATGTCTAATGTTCGTCTGGTGCAGGTTCGAATACGTTAAGGCTTTTGAGCAACCGGACACTCTTTTGCCAAACACATGGATAGTGGTCCGAATTGACGGCCGAGGGTTTACCAAGTGAGGTTCCATAAGCCATTCTACTGCGCCTACCTTGCCGTGCAAGCTCTGACGCCGATTGCATTTGAGATTGTGTTCCAAATATGGCTTCGAGAAGCCCAACGACAAGCGAGCCCTTGAGCTCATGAACGCAGCTGCGCGAGCTGTAGTCACGGAGTTGCCTGATATCACAATCGCATACGGCGTGAGCGACGAATTCAGGTGTGATTTTTAACAGGCAGTCTCTACCAATGCACCGAGATGCTGATATCTATGACCCGACGCAGCTTTGTGTTTCATAAGACTTGCGTTCTGTTTGAAAGAAGATCGAGGTGAGTCCACGGTTCTTGGACAGGCTTGGAACAAGACCTCTCACTCTAACTCACTCAAAGCAAACTCGTCAGCACGGTGGTGTCGACTTTCACAGCAAATTATATCCATTTCTGGCCGATATACTTTGCAGATAAACCTCTGTCCCCGCCTCTTCCTAGCTTTGATGGGCGTGCTGTCTGCTACCCAAGCATTCAAAACCTCCGCGATTACCTGAGCTGGCGACAAGTGGATTGTATGTGTGCAGCTTGCCCTTAACAGCGTTTCCCTTCACTAACTAGGGCAGGCCATATCAACAACCTGTACAATACGGTATTTTGGGCTTTGATTCAACAAGGTAATCATGACAATAATGAGGCGGAGAGGCTTCTTGCGGTATGTTCGGACACAAGCATTGGCTGTTTCCGCTACGCAAAACTAACCGCTTGAAGGGAACCCTTGCACGAGACAAGAACGAGATACTCTTCTCAAGGTTCGGAATTAACTACAACAATGAACCCGAGATCTATAAAAAGGGCAGCGTAGTGTTCCGAGATGTATGCTCAAGTTTCCCGTTCTGTGTATCTGGGCGCCGCTAACCGGACTAGTACGAACTCGTTGAGCCTGGCTCCCACAATACGGAAACAGAAGTTGATAGGATAGCGGAACCGGTCGTGCAGAGTAAAACGCAGGCTGAGAAGGACAAGAAAAAGCGCGAGAAGACAAGAGTATTAGTGGACCATTTGGACATCATCAAGGATGACTTCTGGGACAGAAGACCGTGGCTACTGTCAAACAAGCCCGGGAAAGTTCCAAAAGAGACATGATTGGGGGTATCACTATCTTAGAAGTGTCATTTCTATAGAATAATACGTAGCCAGTGACAGGCCACCTGGCTAGATAATTGGGCAAATGTGTGAACTCCAAACGCCGACCCATGGCTTTGCTCGAATTCCATCATGGCCTGGTTTTAGACGAGAAAAAGAAAGAGAAAACCTCCAGCTGTCATGCCCGGCTCTTTCGACGCTTTTTGTCCTCTTTGAGCTTCCTCTTGGCCTCCCTCCTTGCCCTTCTCTGCTCTTTAGTCTCCTTCCGTATGGACGCAATCGAGTTGGCTGTGGTGCTTGATTCTGAAGCTGTGCCTGAGCCTGAGCCTGCCATTTTTCTGGCCTCGCGTCGGACCCTCTTCTGTTCCCGGCGCGCCCGGCGCGCCGCTTTCCGTGCTCGTCGTTCGGCTTTGCTCTCCTTCTTATCGGGTACGTTGTCTGAATTGCTGGTCGAGCTCTCGCTCTCAGAGGGGTTTGCGTTCATAGTCGAAGATGCTGCATGATCGAGTATTTGAGTCTGCTGGCCCTTGACTTGCTCTGGTGGGTCGTTTGGAAGAAGGTCGACCGTCCCTTGGAGTACACCGCCATATATAAAAATTTGTAGAGTTCCGACTTGCCGGCTTGTTCGTTGAGCCGATCGAGTTTTCCGTTGGTGACCTTTTGCACGAGCTTGCCGCTCGAAGTGTCCAGGCCGGACAGTTGTTCTTGCAAGGCGCTAAGCCACCACTGGTCATTTGCGTATTGAGATGCGCCGAGCCCTCCTGTACCGTCTTTCCGGCTAACTAGCAATCTCTTTTGAGGCCGATGCCGTCGCTTGTAGCGTGAAGTGTGTGTCCGTCCCCCGCCATCCTTGGGCTTGGAGAATTGCTCGGGCGTTCATGTTGACGATTATGACAGCCTTGTAGAGACGGTCCTGAACCCTATGGCCGAGACATGAGGGCACAAACGGAGAGCTGTCGAGAGTCGGCAGGATCTAGGCGGGCATGGAGCGCACCTCACGGGTCTCTACTAGACTTCACTTCTTCCTACCAGACCCTCTTCTTTTTTTTTTTTTTTTTGCGGCTGCTCGCATGTGCCCGCGCGCGTTGGTCCAGGTACAGGTGGCTGTAGGGCAAGATTGAGGCCTGAGGCACAAACATAAGACGCTTATCTAATCAGAGCACCGAATTGGGACATGCCTATTTTTGAAAGCTTGGCAAACTACGTAATTCCGCCTTGAAACGAAAGGCCCGGAGCGCATGCTTGCGTCACAGGCTAATGGGCAGACAACACTCTTGACAGGGTTACTGATACACTTCTTACAGCCAGAGACGACAATGCGTCTTCTATACTGGACTCGATAATCTCCCGCACGAGATCGTCTCTACATCCGGACACTCCATCATTCAAGCCGCCAACTGCCTGGTTCGAATCGACAATGGCCGGCATCGTCCAAACAACGTTAATCTGGGTCGCCTACGCCGTCGCGGTGGCCCTTTCGCTAATAGCCGCCTCGATTACCACATTTACTTGGCAGACCCCGCGCGACCGATTCACGACTGTGAGCGTCATTGCGATACTAAGTTTGACGGCCCTCCTCTCTACAATCCTTCTTCTCCCTGTTGACACTGCCCTCGTTTCCGCGACAACCACCTCCCTTGGTGTAAAGAAGGACTGGGCCACCATCGAACATGTCGATAAAGTTCTCCATACCCTCAAGATTGTCTATTATACTCTCTATAGCTTCGATGCCCTTCTTTGTCTTTTGATCATACCGTTTGGATACTTCTGGTATGAAGAGTATGACGAAATCGAGGTCGAAGAAGGCCGCACCTAGGAAGTCGCCTGGCCAGCACATTGAAGTACTCTGCGGGCTTCTTGTTCCTCGTTGTTATCCTTTTCCTTGTCGGATTCTTTGTTCCTGCTGCCGGGCGAAATGCAGGGGAGCATCTTGATCTTGATTACTTCAAGCGGCTGCTCGCCGAGAATAACGGGGAAAAGGCGCTAGCATTTGCTCTGGGCGTCCTTGTCACGCTAGGAACCCTGCTCTATGTGGTCTACACTGGCGCTGGCCTCGCGCTTCTGCCCGTCTCCATCATCAAGACTGCCCCGTCGCTCTCGGCCCCCGAACTTTCGGAAACCAATGCTTCTGCGCTTGAGATTAACCGAGAGCGCCAGCGCCAGCTTGAGATGAGGCACGCCGGCCGCAGTGCTGAAATGCCAGCAAAGGATAGAAGGGAACTAGAGGGCCTCCTCCGCGAAGAACGCACCTTGGTCCGCAGAGAGGCTGGCGGCAGAGGCCCAGGGAGAAGGCCGAGGCTGGATCTATCTGACATGGCTGAAGGCTTGCGCCGTCTTCCGTCCAGTCAAGCTTCTATTCGGGATCTTGATCCTCTTGGTCACTGTCGTGATCTGGGTGTCGATGCTGATAACGGGAATTGACAAGGCGAAGAACTCAATTTGCAAACAGCACTGCGGTTATATCCTGGGCCATATCAACGTCTTCCAACCGATTAATTGGGTTTTCTTGAAGGCTGCTAGGGCATTCCCCGCTGATTACATCCTCATGGCACTTCTCGCGCTTCTCTTCTTTAGCGCCTCCGTCACCGGAATTGCGGCGGTCGGCATCCGCTTCCTCTGGGTCAGAATCTTCCAGATCCGCAAGGGAAGAACGGCGCCTCAAGCGCTCCTTATTGCCACTGTCATGCTGGCACTCATCGCCCTGGCCATCAACTACGCCATCGTTACCATGGTTGCTCCCCAGTATTCCACTTACGGAACGCAAACATTTTGCACCAACGACATTTTTGACAAGCACGGGCGGCCCGACTGCTCGCAACACCGGGACCTCATTGTACCCTGTTCCGAGTACCTCAAATACCCCCGTGCTAAGGATGTCTGTACGCCCACAGTCATGTCAACCTTCTTGAACAGGATCACCATCACCTGGCCCTTCTTCGGCATGGTGGATTTCTGGGCCCAATTTGCCTTCCTCGGCATTTTCTTGATCGTCTTCGTTACCGTGCTCTTCCGCACTCCTAAGCTTAATATGGCAGAGCTGGATGAGGAAGCTGAGGCGGACGAGGAGGAAGGTTTGCTTGCTAGCACAGGCAGGAGGTTCGGAGCGACATGGCAAGATATCACGGGAAGAAGTGGGCAGACGTCGCATCCGGCCCGGTCTTAAGAAACCGAGCTCGTCATTTCGAATAACAAAAATTGCACTCAAAAGATTAAAACACGCAGAGGATTAATGCAGTCCTTGGAAGCAACAATAACTTGGGAAATTGCGTCAGGGAAATTGTACGGTATACATGTAAAAGGAAAACGGTCGCTTAGGTGGATTTTCATTATACTGTCGTCAATTCGATTTCTTAATTGTATTACATACCAGCAGGGGGTAGGGGCTATAAAAATGCAAAGAATATTGTTCACCCTGTACGTGCTTAAGCTCCTAACGCCACTCTCTTCTTCCTTTGGTCCTTGTTGAATTGCTGTGCGCGATGGCTTCGCTCTTCGAACCCGGCAGCCGGCCCCTTGTGCATATCGAACCAGCATTGTGAGCAATACACCTCATCGCCGCATTCGGGGCAGATGAGGGTGCCATCTTCAAGGCACGCTACGCACCACGTCTGCATGTCTTCGTCGGTGAATCCTGCGCGCCCAGCCGGGCCAGGCTTTGGCTTGTTACCCTCGGAGGGCTTAAAGGTGGGGACCGACGGTAGACCCAACGGATTCGAGTCTTCCTCCTCCTGGTCCTGTGCGCCGAGGGACGGCCTAAAGCTCCTGAGCGCAGCCATGCGGCGGGCCATGTCGTCCTCGAAGTTTCCAGTCATGGGAGCTGGCGACCCAGCGGATTGCGGTCCTGTCGGAGACGGGGCATCCGTAGGCACCGAGGGCAGGGCTAGATCAGGCCCCTCCTCATTCTCCACGTCTGCCACGTCGCCCACGTCGCCCACAGCAGCTGTCGAGGAGGGTGCCACCGAGGCATCACCACCAACCGTCGCCGCCGAGGCCGCTTCAGCATGCTTCGGGCTCGAGGCAGCTTCGACTGCCTGGGAGACGATGTCGTTGATCTCACGAGTCATATCTTCTCCATTGGAATCATCGTCCTCGTCGGCCGTCTGACCCTTTTGGGCTCCAGCTGCTGCTGTGAGACGAGAAAATTCGGCAGCAAGCTCGTGCAGTCGGTCCAACTCTGCGCGGGCATCCAGCGGTAGGGAATCCGCCAGCCCGACCTCTTCGCCCAAAAGATCTTCTAGAAAACCGTCATCCGTCTGCAGAAGTTCGTCAAAATCCGCTCGTCCCGCAGGAAACGGGGCGCAGCGGAATCGGTTGGCTGGGGAGCTTCAACCTTTTGCGTTTTGAGGGTCCTGGCGGGTGGTATCGAAGTATGATTGTGCAAGGGTGGCAGTGCCCCGGGATCAGAGTGGGTCGTTGCACCACTTCCTTTCGGCGCATCGCCTGAGGCGCTCTCGGCTTTCTCGCGCAGTTGTTTAAGGCGATCTGCTAATCCAGTTCCGACCCCCTCATTGTGAGGAGGTCCAGAGTGAGACCCGGATAGCGTGCTTGACGTGTTCCTTCTATATAGTACACGATGTGGTGAGTGTCATGACGATTGGCCTTGCCTACTCGGCGAGCGAATGGGTTTGGAAACCGTTCCAGTAAAGGCGACGATGCACTTACCCCGAAAGGCTAACAGTCGTTGTTGGATTCAAGGCCTTCAAGCGATCTAGTAAATTTTTGTCGTCGCTGCTCCGTTTCGACATGATCAACCCCTACTAATGATCTAGCGGCGATGGGAACCGGCCTCTTTCAAGAGTTAGTTTTACCTTTTGCGCTATTCTCGTCTTGGATGGGAAGATAAAAGGCTTCGGTTCACAAGTTTCGTTGATGACCTCGGAGAGTATGTGCTTTGTTTCTTTCTAGTGCAGCTGCAGTTTTATCTGTGAGTGGCTCCAAGTGACAAAATCCCATCCTCAGGAAGCCAACTTGAAGCACGAGGTCTACCAGTCATCCGGATCGTTTGGTTCCAGAAGCTCAACCGCTCATCCAACAGGCTCCGATGATGTCGTTTGCTTGGCGGGTACCCCACTATTCACGTTGGTGTCCGCCTAGATCCTGGTTAGCTCCACTAGAGAGCAAGTTCAGTTTGGAACCCCTCTCGCCCCTCCATATTCCACCCATACGTCCAAGTACCTCTATGCGGGGGAAGAGGACGATGAGTTCAACGACACCGAGACATCCGCCGCACCTACTTCGTACTTGTATTTCCACATTGCGCTTGGGAGTGGAGGGCCTTTTTCAGCCCGACAACTGCAAACACCTGCAAAACATTCTCGCCGAATGAGGAAAAAGTTGCTGCATCATCAAGATAGGAATTTTTCGGCCTCTGACTCAAGAGATAAAGAGTCATTAAAATTTCACAAGCTGCTGTTAGTCATCCAGATACCAAAGACTGAGCACCTTCATCTCGTCAATTGGCAGTAGAGAAAACACAGAAGAAGAAAAACCACTCTATAAGACTACAGGGACGCAGCCGATTGCAAATTTCTCGCATCTTCATCCTTCATCATGTCTGGAACCACCCTCCATCTTCGTTCCGAGTCGAAGCCTCTGGAGCATCGCTCCATGTTGACCCCAGCACGACCAAGGCCTTGGTCGACGCGGGCTATACCGTCAACGTGGAGCGTAGCCCCGAGCGCATCTTTGACGATAGCGAGTTCGAAGCCGCTGGCGCGACCCTGGTACCTGAGGGAAGTTGGACCGAGGCCCCCACGAACCACATCATCTGCGGTCTGAAGGAGCTCCCCGAGGAGGATTGTAAGTGAAGCTTGAGCCATACGTCCTCCCTGATGCCGTGGCACGCAGATTGAGGGCGGCTTGTCACGTATCGCCGACACTAACACACCTACCCTCATCCAAAAGTCCCTCTGAAGCATACCTTTGTGCATTTCGCACATTGCTACAAGGAGCAGGGAGGTTGGCAGGAGGTTCTGTCTAGGTTTCCTCGCGGCGGCGGCACCCTCCTGGATCTAGAGTTCTTGGTGGACGACACTGGTCGTCGCGTCGCCGCGTTTGGCTACCATGCTGGTTTCGCCGGTGCGGCCGCCAGTCTGATGAACTGGGCATGGCAGATTACCCACCCTGGCGAGCCTCTTCCTAGCCTTACCTACTACCCCAATGAAGATGCCCTCATTGCGGAAGTCAAGAAGGTCCTTGCCGAGGCCGAGGCCAAGGCCGGCCGTCTTCCCCGGGTCATCGTCATCGGTGCTCTCGGCAGGTGCGGCCGCGGAGCGGTCGACATGAGTCTCCGTGCTGGTATCCCTACCGATCAGATCCTCAAGTGGGATCTTGCGGAGACCAAGGTTGGCGGACCCTTCAAGGAAATCGTGGAGAGCGACATCTTCATCAACTGCATCTACCTAACACACAAGATCCCCAATTTTGTGGATTTGGAGTCCCTGCGCGTCCCTAACCGCCGCGTCTCCGTCGTGTGCGACGTCTCCGCCGACACCACTTCCCCTACAACCCCGTTCCCATTTATAACACGGCGACTACCTTTGACAAGCCGACCGTTGATGTCGAGGGTCTCGAGGGCGCTCCTCTTTCCGTCATTGCAATCGACCATCTCCCAAGCATGCTTCCCCGTGAGGCTTCGGATGCCTTTAGCAACGATTTGTTGCCCTCGCTCCTCAACCTCAAGAAGTGGAAGGAGGAACCCGTCTGGTCCAGGGCTGAAAAGCTGTTCCAGGACAAGGTTGCCACTCTTCCCAAGGAGCTTCAAGCCAAGAGCTCGTGAAGGGGGACCACGTTATGAACTCGTGGGTGCCTGGCTTGACTGGTTTTAGAGATGCTCGTGCCCAAATATTGGCACTGTATGGTATGGGTTTAGGAATTTATGATGCACGCGCGCGAAGGTGGTTTGTTTGGGATTTTTCGGAGCCCAAGTGGTCAATGACAAAATGTTAAGGCTTCAATGATAGAAGAGGAAGAAGCCTATGAAGCAAAAGAAGAAGCAAAAGAGGTCTTGCTATGAAGCCTTAGATCAACCGATTTACATTCCAGCTGTAGACGTTAGTAGTTTTAGAATTGTTGTTGGGCACAAAATATTAGACCCGAGATTCCTTTGGCCCAGTCCTTGAATTCCGACGGCCATCCATTCTTCGAGAAACGCCACAAAATTAGATGTCTGCAAGCCACGCCAGAACCCCATAGCGGTACCTGCATTATGGTTGGGACACGCTGGGAACGCATCTATTGTCCAACACGGGACACAGCCGGAGTGTTCGGGAGAATTAATTTCATTGACCTCACTGTTCACTGCCCCATCCCATCCAACACCCAACCCAGCCTTCTGGCCAACCAACAGCGGCCGCTGTTTGCCTGGGCTTAGCCTGTGAGGTGGTGCGTTCTCACTTTGCCTCGAAGATATTGATATTGAGGCACGGAAGGAGAGCCAGCAACTTCGTAATACGCCGCAGTGCCTCGAGCGGTGTGAATTCTCGTTCAGGTTGCAGCACATCTGACCGATACCACGCCGCTCTCGTGCGTGCAGTCATCGTGGGGTGCACAGGAGACAGACACAGGGCCTCAGAAAACTGGCAGTGCCAGGGCGCGTGCCAGACCCCACGACCCACCCCCGCTTATAGAAACCTTCCATCTTCCATCTTCCATCCCATCGCCACCTCCCTCCACTTCCGGCTTGTCCGCCTGTAAGTTTGGGCCCAAGGATCGATCGGCTTCCAACGTGATGATGAACTCAGATCTACGCCACAGTGGCGGATAATTCAGTGTCGAAGGTCACGTTGTGAGGCGACCTTGGCGACCTTGTTGCACTAGCAAATGATACACTACAAAGAAAAATCAATCAATCAACCTCGGTGGCGGTGTGTCGGATGAAGCGTTGCCAACGCTCGGCAATGTTGGAGGTCAGACGGGGAATAATAAGAGAGAAAAAGCTCACTTAATTCGGCATTGCACGGTGTCTGACAATAAGGAGTGGCTGTGCGTGCGGGTTTTAAGTTGACTTTGTACCTCAGAGCAGTGGAGATGACGAGGGACCATCAATTGACCCATAATGTACATGTACGATGGCTCTGGAGAGACGACAATGATCCGAGATAACTGCGGCTGGTTGATGGGTTCTGGGCTGCCGTGGTCTCTTGTCACAACTGCTTCATCTAAAGTACAAGTACCTCGAAAAACCTCGCAGAAAAATAAGAAAGCCTAGACTAGCTTGAACGAAAACAGCCAGCACTGCGGGCCTCCTCGCTCGTGCAGCCAGCTAGGCCCTGGACGACGCCAATTCATTTACGGGAACACCTGAAGCAATCTGCATTGTAGGCAAATTCATCGGCAAGCGACCAAATCAATTGACCCGTCCAGGGATGGAGAGGACCTGCCAGCCGGATTTGCACAAGCCCTTGGGCGAGAGGCAAGGTCGAAGTACCCTTGACCTCATAGGGACCCACCCTACCTTAATCTCACTATGCCTACCTCATACCTTGTCCCCCCAGCATTCCGCCCCCAAAGAATGTCATTCTGATCGCTTTGCTCGACTGCGGAGGCGGCCAGCCCAGCCAATCCTTGTCCCACACCCTTCCGCGCTGGAAGGATGACAAAAACGCTCGAGAGATCGCCCCTGCCTCCTGGTCACGGGAAGCGGACTGACTGTTTGTACGAGCAATAAGAAGGTTGGATTCTTCCACTTTCGCCCGTCGCCGCACTAAAGTCGTGAGTTGCTTTAGCGTCTACAACAACCAGGGATCTGACTTATTACTCTTGCGCCCTCCCTCAGCCCCAGAGGCACCAACACCAACTTGTTTTTAGCGAGAAACGCTATTATCATTCCTCGTAGATTTTCGCATTTAAATCCTCGAGTCCTTCGATCATCTCGAACCCGTGCTTTTTGTTCGTTTCGTTTCACGAACCAACCGACGTCAACGAATCTACACATTACCGAACATCATGAAGTTCGATCACATTCTTTCTCTTTTGCTCCTCGGCGCTTCGGCCGCCAATGCCGTTGCGGTGCCTGAGCCTGCCAACATCCTTGACTCGACGAAAAAGGAGCTCGGCAAGCGCAAGGGCGGCGGCGGCGGTGGTGCTCGAGGAGGAGGAGGTGGTGGTGGTAGGTCTGGTTCTGGTTCTTCTTCTTCCTCCGGCAGCTCTTCGGGGCGTGGTTCGTCTTCCTCGGGTGGTTCGTCTTCCTCGGGTGGTTCGTCTTCCTCAGGTAGTTCGTCCTCCTCCGGCGGTTCTTCTTCGAAGGGCTCTGGGGGCTCGTCGAGCGGTTCATCCGGCTCTGGCAGCTCGTCTAGTTCAAGTTCATCAAGCTCACGCAGTGGCCAAGGCTCAAGCAGTTCATCCGGCTCCAGTAGGGGCGGCTCCGGTGGCGCCAGTTCCGGCGCTCGTGCAGGGTAGGTCTTTCGATCATGCGATTTCCCTAAAATAAAAAAACGCTCCGGTATCATATGCTAACCAATGCTTCAGCGCCGGCGCTCCTCGAAGCTTTGCCGGAGGCAAGTACTACGGCGGAGGTGCAGCTGCGCCCTACAAAGCGGGCAGCAGGAGTCCCAGCGGCATCACGCCGTTCCTTTTGTCGGCGCTGCCGCCCTAGCCTTCTGGCCTGGACTCTGGCTCTACGGCGCCTACTCGTATCCTTACAGCCATCCCTACCGCTTCCACAACAACACCCGGGATGAGGAAGAGGAGCTTCCTGTTATCTGCGCTTGCGATCCTAACAGCGCTTGCGGTTGCGACGAGAACCAAGACACCGCATATCTGTCCGATCTCATTGGCGACGGCAGCTATAACGGCCTCAACCACTCACTCATCACCGTTGCGGAGGTGAACGGCACCAAGACCATCTTGATCAACGGCACTCTCTCCAGTGATACCGAGGCGCCATCCGACGGCGACGAATCGGCCGCTATTGCGAGAGCGGTCGAGGCTCTTGGCTACTGGCCGATGGTTGCCGCCGCCCTCGCCGCGGTTTTTGTCGGGTAATTCCCGCGCATGGATAACACAATCTTGTTGTTACCTATCGTCTGTCAGACTGATAGTATCCAATTCCCCCTTCGCAGTCCTTTGGGGAGACTCTCTCTGTCCATGTTACCGGGCAATCTGCGTCTCCCCCTTCACTTTTGTTTCTGTTGCTCGTCCTGAAACAGGGCTTCTAGCGACGTGATGGCGAACACACCTGTAGTTTTATGACTTTTTAAGGCTTGATGCGCCTGTTTTTATCTTCATGTTTATATTCACTCTCTAGATGACGGGCACACGAGTGGTTCTTTTTCTTACCTTACCATTACTTTTATTTGAGGATACCAAGATGATTTTATACCAAACATGTCGGGCTCCCTTTCGTTAACCATGACCGCTCAAGCGTCTTATTCATTCTATGATAGTATACAATATGAAAATGAAGCGTTTCCAGCCAAAATGATATTCTGTGTTACCTTGATCCGCCTTGACGTTCTGGTGATGTGCTCCAAGGTGTGGGTATACGCTTCCGTTCGTATTATTTCAAATGAACCTTGGTTTCCTTCTGATGGCGGGATCTAGACTAGGTTTCGTTGAAATAACCTCTTTATGGTCTCGGTCTCGGTCTGTTCGAAATAAACCGGCCTCAATTCCTCGGTAGACTCAGCCCAAAGGGCAGCACCCAAGGTTTCTCCTCTTTTGTGCATCAAACATGAGACACGACCTTGACGCGACTTGGGCTGATAATTTTCCGAAGCTCAGCCAGTGCCACCCTTTTTGAGGTTTGCGCAAAGGCCAGTAACACCCCAGGGCGTGGCCCCACTAAGCTCAGAGCTCTGAAGCCAATTCCGATCAAAAGCTCTTGCACGTCGAATCTATCACAAGAAATCACCAACAGCTGTCGCAGCAGCAGCACGCACAATCCCGCTCTCCTTTTCTTGTAACCCTTGGGCCCCCATGGCCATATTTGGCCCAGGTTCAAAATGCAGTGCTACACGGAGCTAACGGCTCCTACAGCCGTCACACATTCGCTTACCCTGCCTTTTCTGTCGCAAGACAGCAGCAACCTGATTGTCGCCAAGGGCTCCCTCCTGCAAATCTTCACGACGAAAGCGATCCCCGCCGAGGTCGATAACGCGCAGAGGCAGCAGTCGCCGCCGATTGTCCCGCCCGCCATCGCGTTCGAGAGCCGCCGTAGCGATGACGACGGGCTCGACTCTTCGCTCCTCGCCGAGGGCATCCACCGCGCCGACCGAGGAAACAACACCAAGCTCGTGCTCGTGGCCGAGTACCCCTGGCCGGAACCGTGGTTGGGCTCGCCGCCGTCAAAATTCAGGACAGCAAGTCGGGCGGCCACGGCTTGCTGGTGGCGCTGAGGACCGCCAAGGCGTGTCTGGTGCAGTGGAACCCCGATACCAAGACCATCGTCGACACCTCTGTCCACTTTTACGAAAACGAAGAGGGCGCCTCGTTCGAGCTGCCCTTATCGGAATACGAGACCATACTCCAAGCAGACCCCAGCAGCAGGTGCGCGGCCATGAAGTTTGGGCTACGCAGCATCGCGATTCTCCCTCTGAAACAAGCGAGCGCGGACGTCGAGATGGACGACTGGGATGTCGACCTGGACGGTCCCCGGCCTGTCAAGGAAAACTCGGACAAGGCGATGGCGACGACCAATGGCGCGAAAGAGCTCCCGTATACGGAATCCTTTGTTTTACGGTTTCCCCAGCTCGATCCTACGCTCCTCTACCCTGAACATTTCGCATTCCTATACGAATATCGAGAGCCGACGTTTGGCATCCTGTCATCGATGCAGCAACAGGGTTATTTCCTAGGCCGCAAAGATCACAAGTCCTACAAGGTCTTCACACTAGACTTGCATCAGCGCGCCTCCACGACGATTTTGGCGGTCGATAACCTTCCTCACGACGTTCACCGTGTTATACCCCTCCCCGCCCCCATTGGAGGTGCCCTCCTGGTCGGAGATAACGAGCTGATCCACGTTGACCAGTCGGGTAGAGCCAACGGTGTGAGCGTCAACGCGTTTGCCAAGGTGTGCACCTCTTTTCCACTGGCAGACCAAAGTAGTCTCAACCTGCGACTGGAGCACTGCGTGATCGAGCAGCTTGCTCTTGAGTCGGGCGAGCTCCTCATGGTGCTGAACAATGGGAACATAGCGATCATCAGCTTCAAGATAGATGGGAGGACAGTAACTGGCGTCAGTGTGCGAACGATCAGCCCAGAATGTGGCGGTGGCATAATCCCGTCTCGTGTCTCGTGCATTTCAAAGCTGGACAAGCATGCTCTCTTTGTCGGGAGTTGCACAAGCGACTCTTTTGTAATAGGCTGGGCGAGGAAGCACAGCCAATCCGCGCGGAGAAAATCACGCCTGGTTGACCCGTCTCTCGAGTATGACCTGGACGATCTCGATCTCGACGATGATGAGGATGAAGATGATCTGTATGGTGATTCCGCCCGCCCTGCCCCGACCATCAATCAAGGCAATGCGAACGGGCAGTCCAAGGACGGAGACCTGAACTTCCGCGTGCAAGATACCCTCCTCAGCATCGCGCCTCTCCGAGAGATCTCGCCGGGCCAGTCAGTCTTTTTCCCTGAAAGTGAGGAGAAGAGGAATTCCGAAGGTGTGGTGAGCTCGCTGCAGCTCGCCTGTGCGGTTGGCCGCGGGAATGCTGGAGCCATTGCCATCATCAACAAGGATATACAACCCAAAGTAATTGGCCGCTTCGAGTTTCCGGAAGCTAGGGGATTTTGGACCATGTCCGTCCAGAAGCCTATTTCCAAGACGCTTCAGGCGGAAAAGGATATCTCGGCCGCTATTGGAAGCGACTACGGCGCGGCGACCGAGTTTGACCGGTTCATGATTGTGGCAAAGGTAGATCTCGACGGTTATGAGACGTCGGATGTATATGCCGTTACTGCCGCCGGCTTCGAAGCCCTGACGGGGACCGAATTCGACCCCGCCGCTGGATTCACGGTCGAAGCCGGCTCGATGGGCAAGCACAAGAGGGTCATCCAAGTTCTCAAATCCGAGGTGCGGTGTTACGATGGAGGTAAGGGCGATATACTTAAAAGCCAACGCTTATCGACGGGAGGAGCTGATACTAACCCGTTGTGATTAGATCTCGGGCTATCGCAAATCATCCCGATGCTGGATGAGGACACGGGCTCGGACCCGAGGGTCGTCAGCGGAAGCATTGCAGATCCCTTCCTTTTGCTCATTCGAGACGATTCTAGCGTTTGGATAGCACAGATCGACAAGAATTGCGAGCTTGAAGAGATGGAACGACTGGACGAGAGGCTCGTTTCGACCAAGTGGTTGAACGGATGCCTGTATACGGATGTGGACGGCCATTTTACGAGGGCGGGCAAGGGAACGACCACGCCCACTATCCTTGCTTTCCTCGTCAGCACCTCCGGCGCTCTTTATGTAGGCAGCTGACCCCTCCTTTTCCCTCTCCATCTCCATCTCTCTGCGAGTTTCCGTCGCACTAACAAGATATAGGTCTACTCTCTCCCTGACCTGAGCAAGCCCATCTTCGTAGCAGAGGGGCTCGCCTATCTCCCCCATATTATCCGCAGAGTTTAGCACCCGAAGGGGTACGCCCAAGGAGACGCTAACGGAGATCCTGGTGACCGATCTCGGCGATACTACTCACAAGTCTCCCTATCTTATTGTACGTATCGACTCCCTACTCCCTCTAAACCGAATACAACTCGGACACCACTGGATAAATACTAACTACGCTCTAGGCAAGAAACTCTACAAACGACCTCACCATCTATCAGCCGGTGCTCCGAAGCGGGGAAGAAGACGACAGCAAAGCGCTGCAATTCCTGAAACTTCGAAACCCGACGCTCGCCGCCACACCCGAACCTCCCCTCCTCAAGATGACACGGCGCCGCAAGAGCCGCGGTTTGTCCCGCTCAGGGCCTGTTCCAATATCGGCGGTTACAGTACCGTCTTCCTTCCTGGCGTTTCGCCGAGCTTTTGATCAAGAGCAGCAAGAGCACACCCAAACTGGTTGGGCTCCAAGGATGTGCCGTCAGGGGCCTCAGCTCATTCCATACGGAAGGATGCGAAAGGGGTTCATCTACGCCGATTCAGAGGGCATCGCGCGAGTGACCCAGCTCCCGCCCAAGACCAGCTTTGCGGAGCTGGGCGTTTCGGTCCGCAAGATACCCATGGGATTCAACCTGAAGCAGATTGCGTACCACTCGGCAATGGAGACGTATACCGTAGGCGGTAGCGTCCTCGAGCCGTTTGAGCTTCCCAAGGACGACGAGCACCGCAAGGAGTGGGCGCGGGAAAACATTGACCTGAAGCCCATGGTCCAGCGCGGACAGGTCAAACTCGTCAACCCGGCCAACTGGAGCGTGATCCAGACGATAGATTACGAGCCGTACGAAGACGTGCTGTGCCTCAAGGCTCTCAACCTTGAGGTGTCCGAGGTGACAAAGGAGCGCCGTCAGCTCATCGTCGTGGGTACGGGCACGCGCAAGGGCGAAGACCTGCCGATCCGCGGCCGAGTGTACGTGTACGACGTCGTGGTCGTGATTCCCGAGGCGGGCAAGCCCGAGACCAACAAACTGCTGAAGCTCGTGGCCAAGGAGGAGATTCCCCGGGGCGCGGTGACGGCGGTGAGCGAGATCGGCACGCAAGGCCTGATGCTGGTGGCCCAGGGCCAAAAGTGCATGGTCCGCGGCCTCAAGGAAGACGGGTCCTTACTCCCGGTCGCGTTCATGGACATGAGCTGCTACGTGACGGCGGCCAAGGAGCTGCGGGCGTCGGGGCTCTGCGTCATGGCGGACGCGACCAAGGGCGTGTGGTTCACGGGGTGCACGGAGGAACCGTACAAGATGCAGCTGTTTGGCAAGAGCACGACGGACTTGGAGATTGCGACGGCTGACTTTCTTCCGGACGGGAAGAACTTGTACCTGATTGCGGCGGATATGGGGGCGAGATCCACGTACTCCAGTATGACCCAGAGCGTAAGTTTGTTTCCGTATCGGCGTTTTGTTTTTGCCGTCACTCCCCAAAGCCACGTAACCCCCTTCCCCTCACTATCAACAAGAAAAAGCAGTGACTAACCTAACTTGTCATACATCTAGACCCCAAATCTCTCCAGGGTCATCTTCTCCTGCACAAGACGTCGTTCTGCACAGCCTCAAACGGACCAACCATAACTCTTCTCCTCCCACGCACGGTAACCCCGGCATCCGGACTCCAGAATAACGGGGCGGAGCCGGGCACGTTCCATAACCACATCCTCCTCCTAGCGTCGGAGAGCGGTATGCTCGCGGCCATCTCGCCCCTCTCAGAGGCGGCGTACCGTCGTCTGCTCTCCCTCTCCGCGCAGCTCGTCACCGCGTTGCCCGTGTCGGCCGGTACCAATCCTAAGGCGTATAGGATGCCGCACCCGGCGGCCGGGGCGGTAGGGGTGGACACGGCGAGTGGCAGGACAATGATTGACGGGGCGGTTTTGGCGCGCTGGGGCGAGCTCGGCACGGGGCGAAAGGCGGAGCTGGCGGGGAAGACGGGGTACTCTGGGGTAGAGCAGGTGAGGGCGGAGCTGGACTCGTTGTTGGGCTGGACGGGGCTTGCGTACTTTTAATCGGCGGGGGTGGCTATGTGTGCATGACTAGGAATGAGTGTGGTGTGTGGATATGGTTCCTTTAAAAAAAAGAGAATATCTTGGCGCGGGACATGTGCATATATTCTCGAATCTATGGGTCTCTTTCTTCTTTCTGCCCGCGGAAGGAGAGGGAGGGTCCGTAGGATTTACTAGGCGGTTGGCAGGAATACGTAACCTCATGACGTGGATGCCAAGTGGGAGGAGAGGGGAAAAATGAAAGGATGAGCACACACGATACAGTTTACTTAGCAAGTTCTTACCCATGAATTGAGTGAATGGTGAATGGCCTACCAACTACGCAGCTGCCTAGTCTTCGACATGTGAAACCGTGGCGTCTCAATAATCTGAGATGGTGCGAGATCGCTTCGGCTCACCCCTCCTTACTTACACCCGCGTTCCGTGAAGCGTGGGACTAAGATCCAAGATTGTAGAAAGGTTTTGATTTATCGGATGAGATGTCATGACTATCCTCATTGGAACAATACTTGTTCTCGTGCAACGTGTAACCCGGTAAGTAGGCCAAAAAAGTCTATGTGTAATAGCGAACAACAGATGTAGTACAGAGAAGAAAGACCCCCAAAATAAGAAAAATAAAAAATACAAGCTCGCCCACTACTCCGTCTATACGCCCCTCATTCCGCTCACCACCGCCAAAAAAGCCGCCCGAGAATCTTTTTTAGCTGGCAGCCTTCCTCCTTAGGCTCCCCCACCGCCGTCGTAGGCCGAGGTGGTGATGGCCGCCGGAAGAAGCGTCGTCGTGGTCGACGGGGGTGTACTTGGGGACGTCGCTGACGCTCCGCTTGCGGACCTCGACCGAGGAGTTCTTGGCGAAGCCCTTGGAGTCGAGGTGGGGGCCGCGCGTCATCTCGTAGGCCGAGCCCGAGTCTGCGGTGGGGGAGTTGCCGGAGGAGTTGCGGAGGCGGCGGCGGGACTTTTCGGATTCTTCAAAGGTGTAGGAGGGTTCGCCTTTGCCTTTGAGGTCGTCGGGGTGGTAGGGCTGCAAAAGCGGGTGTTTCTGTTAGTGAACGGATCCAAGAAAAAAAGAAATCTGAGACGGAAACATACGACTCCTTCCCAGCGCTTGTAGGCTCCGCCCTTGGCGTCGGGTTCCCTCATCAAGTCGGCGCCCTCCTCGTAGTCCATGATTTGGCCGTCAAAGTCGGCGTGGCCCGGGGGCACGGTGGCGGTGCCTTGGAGGGGCACGTGCTTGGTGAGGAGTCGTTGACGTAGGCGCGCGGGGTGGCTTTGAGAGCGGCCATGTTGGAGTCGTGGACGGCGGCGACGGGGAGTACTTGGAGTTGAGGTTGTTGGCGGCGAGGGTGGCGTCGTAGGGTCCGCCGTGGTGGTAGGCGCCGCCGATGGGGGTGTTGTCGAGGACGTCGATGGGGTCCGGGCGGGTGAATGTTTGCCGGCGCGGACGGCCGGTCTTGGGTTCGGTGGGGCTGGTCATCGTGGCGATGGATGGTGCGTACCAGGATGTGTGTTTGTAGATGGGAAGAGGGCCCTGCGGTGCGAAGATGTGAGTACGATGTGTGTGTCGAACACTTTGCTTGAAGCGTTTTGGGGAGAGGAAGAGAAGAGATTGGAGAGCTTGGGGTCGATATTTACCTGTCGGGTGGGGATGGGGTGATGCGATAAGGTGATCAAGCTTGAGTTGAGTTTGGTTTGCGGTAGAGTGATTGGGTCTCCGTGTGTGTGTTGGGTTGTTCAGGAAAAACGTGGAGATGGAGATTCACAGATGGAAAGATTAGGAAAGTGTTTCAAAAGAAACAGAGACACAAATGGAGGGATGTGAGCTTTCAAGTACTAGAAGGGTAAAAGAGAGGTGGAACAAGGGGGTGGCGTGTGTATGTGTGTATGTGTGTGTATGCGTGCGTGGTGCCGGCGGTGGGTGACGAACAGTCCCGGGTAGTCCGGAAGAGATGGAAGGGTTACGTTGGATCTGCGCGGGTTGGCAAAAGCTACTAGAGAAACGAACCTACGCTTCCTTGGTTTAGACAGGTACACCCGAGCCCACCGTCTTTTTCCACTCTCTTTCTTTTAGGGTGGAAAACTGGGGACAAGGGGCATTACGTGTACATGCGCGCGCAGTGCGGTTGTCTGCTTGTCTGGCTGTGAAGCCAAGTTGCCAAGGCATCTATTGATCTACTATTGCATTGTCTATCAAGTCTGTATCGGTCGAGGACGCGCAAGTATCATTGTACCCTGGGATGCGGCTGGAAAGACCAGACTGGACGGGGGCAGGGTGTGGCTGCGGTATGGCTTATCAGGTGAAGTCATGAGTGGTGAGTGGTGATGGCGCATTGTCATCATGATTTCGGGTGGAGCTCTCCACGCAATCCCTTCATATGGACGGACCCATCTTTCTTTTCTCCTCGTGCGCTGTTCGTATTCGCCATGTGCTGGCCATTGGATTTAGGCGATTTCAAGTCGAGTTCAAGATTAGTCCAAAGTTATTTGTGAAATCATTGAACTCATCCATCGCTCTAGCTCAGCTCAGCTCTAGTCTTTTGTCTTCGTCTCGTCTAACGCAACCTTCCACCATTTTTTTCTTTTCTTTTAAGAATAGAAGCGAGACAAGTTAGGGGAACGACTGTTGTTGAAATCTCGCTAGACCCCGTTTCGTTGTGTTTGTAGTGGGTGCTTGGGCTAGAAGCTTGGGGCTTGGGTTGGGTGACGTCACGCAACCCGCGGATCCGGCAATGACACCATCAATAATAGATCCCACAAGCAGAGGCGGGAGAGACTGGATCAAAATTGATGACTCTTTCCGCCACGCAAAACTGGGAGTAATTCGGGGGAAAAGAAAAAAGGAAACGAAAAAAGGAGAACTACATGATTTGGCATTTAGCGAGTGAAATAATTAACCTCATGTTGCCAATGGTGCAGGAGGACGGATATTTCTTCTCATCATTGCCATGTCACTTGCTAGAGAGCTGACTTCATCCCCAGAACCAACTCTCTCTCTCTCTCTCTCTGGCAAAAGGGTCTAGATTGTAACCGCTCTCAAGATCAGCGGGCCTAGTATAAATTAGAGATATTGATATCTCTAATTTATAGCAGGCCTAAAGATGATCTGTCTTGAAGGCATGACCGTCGATCGAGCATGGCGAGGCAGCGTAGCGGGAACTAGCTGCATCTAGTGTGCAACTTTCGTCTTCTTCCAAACAAAGCCTCACACTCCATACATCGTATCGATGCCTTTGAGGGTTGTGTGGTCCCTGCATCATACTCTAATCCATAGATCACAAGGATTAGTCCCGCACCAACTAAACTCTCAGTGGTAATCCGATTGATGGGCCTTGAGCCATCTTGATCTGGATCCGTTGGAATAGATCCCTGCAGCGCTTAATGGTTCCCCACCAAAACCTCCCATGTAATGTACATGTACTCGAATCCTGCAGTTCCAACGAATCCAATAAGGAAAAAACCACTCGTAACCCATTGCGTCACACACACACATACACACACCCCAACCTCTTTCCAAACCAAGGCTAAAACAGAGCCAGAAAAAAAGAAAAAAAGAAAAAAAAGAAATCCGTTCCCACTCGGGCCGCAACCTCCTCATGGGTCTAGTAGACTACTCCGACTCCGACTCCGCCCCCGAATCCGACTCCTCCGGCGCCGAACCTAACCCCAAGCGCCGGAAGTCGGCCGCCGCCTCCGTTCCTTCACCCTCGCCCACCACCACCACCACAGCCCCATGCCCCCGAAACCTTCCCTCCCTCCCCTCCCGGCCAACTTTCACGACCTGTACGCCTCCACCGTCCGCCAGAGCACCGTCGATGACCCTTCGCTGCACCAGGGCCGCAAGCGGCTAAACCCGCACGTGGCCGGCAACTGGCCGTCGCACGTCTACATTGAATGTGAGGACTCTTCTTTCCATTTTCACAACCCTCTCGCCTGAGTGACTGAGCTATAGAAACGCAAATCTTTCCTTTTAAAAACCACAACTTTCAAACTAGTCGCTGACAGTTCCCCAGGGCACCCTTCCCCCAAGAACACGAAACCCTCATCGCCCTCATCCAGCACATACAAACGCGGCTCCCCGCCACCACAGCCCTCACCTCGCTCCTCACAAGCGACCTCGGCGCCCGCTCCCCTTGCACATCAGCCTCTCCCGGCCCTTGCCCCTGACGACAGCGAACAAGGACGGCTTCCTCGACTCCATCACCACCGCCGTGCACGCGGCATCCATCGGCCCGTAGGTTTCCCCTCGTAGTGGTCCGCGGCAAGTGCTTAGAAACAAAAGAACAATGCAACATCTCGCCCCCACTAACACGCCCGTTGGCCCCCGCCAGCTTCTACATAGAGCCCTACACCCTCAAATTCTTCCGTTCCCCCGACTCGGACCGCACGTTTCTCGTCCTCGGCGTCCGCCCGTCCTCCCCGCGCCCAAAGACTCCGCACCCCGTGACTCGCCTCAAGCCGCGTCGCCGTCGTCGACTGCCTCTCACGCTCCCAGAAACCCCTCACGACTCTACTTCGAAAATGCAACGCTGCTGCGCAGTCGCTTCACCTGCCCTTGCTCTACCAAAAGCCGGGCGGTTCTGGTCCTGACGAGAATGCGTTCCACATCTCTCTCGCCTGGACGCTCGACCATGTTCCCGACGCCGATCGGGTGCTCGGCCGAGACGACCGCCATCCGGAGACGCCATTGGATAGGATCAAGGAATGGGCACTGGAGGTTAGCGGCGTCAAGGTCAAGATTGGAAACGTGGTCACTCATGTGGGCCTGGATAAAAACGGGGGCATGTCAAAGAAGGCCCTTTTCGATTGGTAGAAAATCACGACTACTTGTTGTGCACGGGGAAGCGAGTTGATGCCCTAGCCTGCAATAGACTGTGTAACACGCATGTCCGTCGAATAAAGTGTGTTAATCTCTATATTGTTTGATAGGGCTCCTATCTCTGATTCTGATAGATAAAACCGGAAAGAGACAGGAATGTCCTTGTCTCGGCGGACCAACTCCGTATAACGCCGCTCTCCAAATGCAATGCGCAGCCCATCCTGATCTCTGATATCTCTGGATATGATCAAGTGAATGAAAAAGAAAGAAAAAGAGAAAAAGAAAAACGCCAACCAGCAATGCCATCCTTGGTTTATATCTTGCCATGAACGGCAAACAGGGGCAATAAAAACAGTCCCGTAAAACGAAACGAAGCCTTTTATAGCTCGTCCATGCGAGGGAACTCGAGAGACCATTCGCGGGGAGAGACGGGCAATCCCACGTAATATTGGAATAGTCGTCTCATCTCCGACGATACAATTTCCCAGCTATGCACTCGCAGTCAGTCTCCAGTCTCTGATTGGGAGGAAATGGTCGGGGATCCGGGTACTGGTATGGGTAGGACTTACAGGAAGAACGGAGCACGTAGCCACGATTTCAAGACAATGCTAAAAGCCTTGTAGACCTTGGCAAATTCCGTATCAAACAGATCCTTGAGATTCTCATCTTCCTTTGATTTCTTCTCCTCACTCGGCTCATCCTCCACTTCCTCGTAGGCGTCGTTGTCCTCGCCGTCGGCAGACTCATCATCTTCGAGCCCATCCTCCGAAAACGACGCGGCCACGACCTCGGCTTCCCTGGCCGCCGCCTGGCCGTCCACCATGGTCCTGAACTGGTCAATGGCGTGCAGCGAACTGCTCACGCGGGCGTACGTGTTGAAGAGGGCGACGAGCTCCGTGCGCTTGAGCCGGGGAATGTCCTCACTGGCGTTGTCGAACTCGAAGAGCACCTTGAGCGCCGTGCCGTACCCCGCCGTCTGCAGCTTGCCCCACAGCCGGCACTTGTCACAGCCGACGCAGTCCATGAGCCGGCTGACGTTGCGGAAACGGTTGCGGAAGTCTTCCTTGAGCGACGGGCCCTCGCCGTTCTGGAACATGAGGTTCTCGTCAAAGATTTGCGGTACGCTCGCCGCCGCCTCCGTCACCGCCTGCAGCTTGGCCTTGGTCTCGGCGTTTTGCTGCTTGTCGCCGCTGCAAAACACGTAGTCGCGGCCCTGCAGGTACGGCCCCAGCTTGGCGATGGCGCGCGTCACGAGCGCGTAGTTGAAGTAGAGGTTGCTGATGCGGTCGGGGAACTTGTGCAGTCGGCCCTCGTAGCAGGCGACGTTGGGCGTCCACTCGCCCGTCGTCTGGTTCAGGAAATCCCAGCAGAGATGCGTGCTGATACTCGCGTGCATGCCCGAGATAACGCGGTAGAAAACCCGCTTCTCGATGCACTGGTCCTCCAGCTCGAGGCCCGTCTCCGCGACAAAGGGGGTATTGGGGCTCTCTTGGCGCTTTTGTTCTAGGGCTTGCTGGCGACCGGCGGCCTCGAGTACGTGCTTGATGTCCAAGGCGGCGGGGCCCTTGGGCGGCCAATCCGAAACACCGGGTGGCGACGACTTGGGAAAGGAGCTCTTCTGGAAACAGTTTTCTCGGTAGATGGCGTCCCATACTTGCTTCGCGCCATCGCCGGCGTAGCCGGTGAACCTCTCTGGGTTTTGCAGGAGGCTAACGTAGTCGCCCTTTGACGTCGCGCTTTCGTCCTCGGGAACGCAGTAATCTCGGTCGTCGCACTCATCGTCGTACTCCACCACACAGCTTTCCCTACGTCGTCGCCTAGGTCGCCACCAAGAGGTTTCTCGGGTTCTTGTATTTGCACGCTTTTATTCGGGTGCTTGGCACGGGGACCTTCGAGCTTGCTGAGCTCTTCAGCCCGCCAAACCTCGGGGATATCCTCCTCATTGTCGAGCGTGGCAACGGCACAGGCGATGTTGCCACACATGCCATTCTCATCGTTCCAAAGGGACATCGCTTGTGGAAAAGGTTGACTCTGTAGTGGGAGAAGAAATCGGTCGTTTTTGTGAGGGCGTCAATGGCCGGTTTAACGTCGGCATTGAGCCGGTCGAGCGTCGCATACGAGGCGCAAGCATCCGACACTATCGCACGAGGTGAGATCTGAAACGGGGAGAGTTGTTAGACACTTCTGCAAGAGCATTGGGGGCCGCTAAGCCGACCGCTGAAGGTGGTGAGGGGGAAGAGAAGAAGATAAAGAGGAGAGTGAAGCATCACTAGGTGGAAGGGAAGACAAGAGAGACAAGAGGGAAACGGCGGCATACCGCACAATCATTTTCAGTAGCAGCGGCGCACCTAACTTGCGCCGTCCAACTCGTAAGAATTGTTAGGCACAGCAGTTTGGATGGGAGCTGCATCGTCTGAAGATGCGTGATGATGGTGACCCGCCAGAAGGGGGAGGGCGGTCACGCTTCTCGAGGATGGAACGCTGTATTTAACGTGCCTCCGGGTCGTCGAGGACAGCTGGCTAAATGTCGTCCTTTTGTCGAAGATCGGCTCCGCAATGAATTTTCCGGGAGGTCTGGCCGGTTGTGCTGGGCGGAAACAAAGAATTAATTTGAGGGGGTTCGTCTATGATTGGCGGGGGACACTATGATTCCCGGGTTCGGTAGGAGGGACGCTGCTGTACGCTCTAAACCCGAAACTGGAGGGAATGGTAGGTTGTCTCCGCACGAGTTTCGAAAAGGATGGTGATGTTCTGGGGGAAGAAGTCCAACTGTAGGAAAAAGCTGAGACGAAAGAGAGTCGGGGATCGACCCAACCCGGCTTCGGAGATGGTCCCGTTCTTTTCAACTCAAGATTAGCACGAACGCCACCCAAGGGGCAACGTAGATTTTGGTATAGGCAGCAACGGACAAGGCACGAAATAAAACGTAGCTAGACGCTATTAATTAGTATCCACAGAGAGCGAAAGCAAAAGAAAGAAAGAACGAAAAAAAGGACAGAGTTCAAGATTGATTAGAACAAGCAGGTGTCATCAACAGGCCATCCACACAGCCCGTCGAACGGGATCACGGATTCCCGCAAATGACGCCCCAGAGAAGAAGGCGGCGAATCTGCAAGGTGTCCACAGACGCTCCTGCAAGGTACCTGTCTGTCAGACGTAGTCACACGGAGTACAAAGTTCCCATGCGAACTTCTCCATAATGATGCGTATTTTTAACAGGGATGACACTGTGTGCTTTTCGGCATTCCGTGTACCTTTCCCAAATAAGAATTCTCGGGATCCGCCACATTAATAATCTTGGGCACTCCAACAAAGGCCAACAATAGGGCGACCTCACCCGAAAATCAGCAGATGGTCTGGGCAAGACCCCTGTTCAGGAACAAAAGACAACACAACCACATATTATTAGAACAAATCAATGGGCCCTTGGTCTGATGTTCATCGCTGTTTTGTGGGTGCGGCGAGGTCCGCTAGGCCGGAAAAGGCGTAGCCACCCAATTATGGAGGGTACGGTCTAACAACTCCGAGATGTTCTCGCACCAGACTCCTACGCTATCAGTTTGCCAGGCGAGACTGTGAGTGATGACCGCCTCGTTTGGCCCAGAGTTTGGAGCAACGTTAGGCCACATATTCCATCTACCGCCGCGCGCTGAGGGCATTTTCAAAGGTCTTGAGTCAACTGGATTCACAATGGCCATAAGCTTCGCTCTCCACGGGGCAACTCTGACGAGTCTCGTTCGCCTGTTAAATCAACATCGCAAACTCGAAACCGAGCAACTCCTCTTCGATCGCTAGTCTTGGCGTTCTCGTGTCACGTTCCAACAATAACCCAAGTAAGGTAGAGTCCCTCATGCTAGACTATTAAGAGTCTCAATGTTCTTGTGAAGCAAGGGTTTTCAGCCCAGCTCTACAAGAGCCTCAGAAGCATCATGCCCAATGCCAATGAGCCCTCACGTCGGGTTATTCCTCTCTTCGTCCTGCTCTCCAACCCGAAGAGACTGTTCACATGATCGAGTCGTATTCATCTCTACGTTATCGGCTGATATCAAAGATGAGAGCCGGGCCGAAGTTGAGGGCATGCCAAAATAAGACCAAAACCACCCTTTTGGCTATTACAAGAGCAGAGTAACCTATCGAAAGAGGACTTGAAGTTCTGGTGGGATTGGATAGTAAGAAACGCACTTGGGACAAGATAGATGAGTGCTGATAGTAGCCCGGTTTCTATCTAGTATACACTGTATGGGAAAAGAACAAGAAAGAAAGAAAGTTGTCTTATTGAAAAACCTGAAACGCTTCTAATGAATTTCTTTTTTGTTTTTAACGTCTTGGGGGCTTTAATGATGGGGTAAGCCGAGGAATAAATAGTTACAGGGTATCGCAGACCGAAGTCACATTGTCGTTCGCCGTCCGCCAAGGGGTTCCGACCAGCCTCCAAAAACACAAATCATCGGCTCTACTGGGGAGCAGTGTAGTTGAGTGGTCGCCTTATGAGGGAAATCAGTATCAGTATCATAAATTTCCACAAAAGAAGGTTGATTGCCGCCACGCAGGGTTGGGCGGGGTCTGACTCACTTAAAAAGTAAGATATGGGGCTCGGGTTCGTGGACTTCGTAGTGCTCCCAACCGAGACTCTAGGATTAGCAACATGTTAGCATCGTCCATCCTTAGCATGAGTCCAGGACGCAGGAAAACTCGAACCTGCGTGATGCCGATAGCACGCCATTCCTCCTCCCAGAGTAGCTTCAGCGTGCCTTTGCTCGTGTCGTGGTAGTCCTTCGGGATCACTTTGAGCATGGCTTTTGGGAGCTGAACATGGCGATACTCGTACTCGCTGTCGGAATACCTACAACGCAGATGCAAAAGGGGACAGTTAGTGACACGAACAAGCCATTCGCAGATGCCACTGGTGAGAAGGGCGGGTGAATGGGAAGTGGCAGCGTCAGAGGCGCATCATACCGAGCTGAATAATGAATGGAGTCGATGAACTCTTCAAGACGGGCGCGCTCCTCGTCTTGGAGGTGACGGGGACCTTGTTGCGGCGGCTCGTGTCAATATCCATTACTACCGTGTAAAGCGTGAAGCTTCACTAAAAATCAATCGGCTCTTTGGCGGGTTGGGAATAGTCGAGCAGGTCGGGATCACGAGGAGCAGGAGGGGGTCGGTCGAACGGAGCGAGATGATATAGGGCCCGATCGAGATCAGAATCTCCTAGATAGGGGCTTCGTATCGGGAAGGAAACGCAGGTCGAGAGTCGATTGCAGCGGACTAGCTAGACGCATGAAGCGAAGTGGAGCGAGGACGAAAGTAGGGAAGGATTGAAGGAATTGTATTCAACTAAGGGGCTTCGAGTAAAGGCAGCAGGCGGCCTCTAAGCCTCAACGTTGTTGTTTATGGTTCCCGATCAGAGATTGAGGTATCTCAGCAAACCCGCGAACTGAAATGGAATGTAAACAACTTTGAACGTCTGCACGCCTTTGTGTCCTCAGATTCGGGGCAATCAACAGTCAACATTTCAGGCGGGGCTGGTTGGTGGGGGATCGATCATTGATAGCGTAATCTTATCAGCACGTGATTAAATGGACTGGGCCTCAACGACACTTCACCTCAGGATCGACCCAAAGAGTGTTATGCTTCAATGAACAGCTTCGAATGTATATAACACCCAGGCCTCATTGTTTGATGCCGGCTTGGAATGATAGATAGCTGAGAGAAATTTGTATGAGATTAATCCAATAACTTCCCTGGCTCCAAGCTCGCCCGGAAAGTGGAATACTAGGGACTTTCGCCCCATGCCAAAAGATTATTATGTCCGTACTCTTGGCTACGGATGAGACATCAGCGTTCACCTTTGTTCTTCAAACTCTATCATTTATTATGGCAGTCGACTGAAATGGCGCGGAACGATATGGATAAAGACTCTATCCAGAGAGTAGTAGGTGGGAAAGTAGGGGCATGGCAACGCGAGAGTTGAGGATAAAAGCATGTGCGCAAGCCTCCGCTGTCTGACAAGACCGAATTACCAAGAGGCGGGGGTGCCCGTTTTGCGAGCGAAATTCGGATGAAAATCATAAGCTGCATCATGTTATCTTACGAGTTCGTCAACTATCTTCCATGGATAGCACTCTAAAACATTGCCTCGCCTGAAAATCTTTGCAACACAAACGGTAGAGATGGTAAGAAACCAAATTTAGGACGAGTTGACCTCCGGAGGTCCCAGAAATTTGATTATCGTGACCCTTTTCTCTTCCCTAGCCAGCGCAACGCTCATTGCCAATCCATCCAAAGAGTAAAACCGGTAGTCTGGCGGCAACCACAGTATTGGTTTACCATTCCATGCAATCCATCTCCGGTCAGGGGTCATGCCGTAGCCCTCGAATAACACCCCTTGACACGCAGCTCCAAATGTAAAGTCAGCTCCATCTTCGACCTGTTCTTGTGAAGGCATATCACTATCTAATTTTAGAAGTCCCATCTCTGTAAGAACGAACGAAGAATCTCTAGATGAAACCTGAGAGATATTGGTATGAATTCTCTGCACCTCATGGCCGGTCACGGTATCCCAGATCGTCATAGTTCCAGTCTCAGATGCGCATACTATAAGCTTCGTATCGCTAGAGAATGCCGCTGATATGGCTTGGGCACCATGGCCAGCCAGTGTCTGCACCTCATGGCCGGTCATAGTATCCTGGACCTTGATTTTCCCATCAAGAGTCCCAGATAGTATAAGCTTCGCATCGCTAGAGAACGCTATTGGTCCGGTTCTCCAATCAGCGGTACCAAGTGTCTGCACTCTAAGGCCGGTTATAGTATCCACGATGTCGATTCTCCCCCTGTAGCCGTCAATGCTATAAGTTTCGCATCGCTAGAGAGCCCCACTGATAGAACTCGGGGGCCATCGTAAGTCAGTGTCTGCATCTCATAGCCGGTCGTAGTATCCCAGACCTTAATTTCCCCGCCAGAAGCCCTAGATACTATTAGCATCGTATCGCTAGAGAACGCTATTGATTGGGTTCTGCGACCGTGGCCGGCCAGTATCTGCACCTCACAGCAGGTTATAGTATCCCAGATCTTGATTTTCCCATCCATAGTCATAAATGCTATAAGCTTTGCATCGCTAGAGAACGCCGCTGGCATAAGCATGTCACCATACTCAGGCCGTGTCCGAACCTCATAGCCAGTCACAGTATCCCAGATCTTGATGGTGTAATCATCAGACCCGGATACTATAAGCTTCGCATCACGAGAGAATGCCACCGATGTGACCAGACCATAATGGCCAGCGAGTGTCCGCACCTCATAGCCAGTCGCGGTATCCCAGATCTTGATGGTTTTATCATTAGACCCGGATACTATAAGCTTCGCATCGCTGGATAATGCCACCGATGTGATCGGTTGATTATGGCCAGTGAGTGTCCGCACTTCATAGCCAGTCATGGTATTCCAGATCTTGATGGTGTTATCATAAGACCCGGATACTATAAGCTTCATATCACAAGATAATGCCACCGATGTGACCAGACCATAATGGCCAGCGAGTGTCCGCACCTCATAGCCAGTCATGGTATCCCAGATCTTGATGGTTTTATCAGTAGACCCGGATACTATAAGCTTCATATCACTAGATAATGCCACCGATGTGATCGGTTGATTATGGCCAGTGAGTGTCCGCACCTTATAGCCAGTCATAGTATCCCAGATATTGACGGTGTAATCACCAGACCCGGATACTATAAGCTTCGCATCGCTAGACAATGCCACCGATGTGATCGGTTGATCATGACCAGTGAGTGTCCGCACCTCATAGCCAGTCATGGTATCCCAGATCTTGATGGTGTTATCATAAGACCCGGATACTATAAGCTTCGTATCGCTAGAGAATGCCACAGATGTGATCCAACCATGATGGCCAGAGAGTGTTCGCATCTCATGGCCAGTTGTGGTATCCCAGATTTTAATGGTTTTGTCTGCAGCCCCGGATGCTATAAGCTTCGCATCACTAGACAACGCTACTGAGAACACTTCTGTGTGGTGACCGCTGAGCGTTTGAAGGCAGGGACTCCAGTCACCTTCCATAGCAGGGTTAATCCTTATCCAGTGAGGCTCTTCCGTTTTGAAACCCTTTCTTATAGTACTTTGGGTCGGGCTAAATATCAATGCCGATAGATAGGTTTGGAGCGGGGCGTTCTCTATCACCCATATGTTGTGAAGGATGAACCGACGTGCGTCATATACTAGATGAAGGAGATTAGATGGCGGTGATTGCTCCTAACATGCTATGTTAGCCTTTGTACTTGAGCTAGGAAGTCTTGTAGTGAACGAACCATGATCAAATTTTCAAGCCGGATCACTGAGCGGACGGCATCCGGCATAGCCTTTAAGAGGCTCGAAGCTTCTAGCCAATAGAGGAAATACGTCTCGAAGAAGCGAGGGATGCGCTCATCCTTATCAATAGTAGGTTGATCACGATTACTACCATTATCCCTGTTTGCTTCGCCGAGGTGATTTATCCACTGCACGCAGGAGTACCGTACCCCAATCAAGGGATCCGGATCCGGTGTGACAACGTGCTCTATTAACAGGCCAAGCTCATCTATATCATAGATGTTCCGTCGCAACGTGTTGCCTTTCATCAAAGCATCCACTGAGCGCTCGAAGATCGAGTAGTGGACGGCTTCAGGGCCGAGGGGAAAGATTTCATCAGATGCCTCGTTGCTCAAGTGGTCTTTTGCCGACTGATGGACGAAATAAATCGTGCTGTTACGAATGGTCAGGAAGGAGCCGCACTTATTTACTAGTCTCTCTAAGGCACCAGGATCAATTAGATTCCCTTTGAACCCAGCGAGTACAGATAATTCGAGTAAGTGAAGCGGCCGGTAGGCTAAAGTTGCGATAGAGAGGATGGTCCGACATCGCTCTTGCTCCCTGCCGTCATATTGCGAAATGTGTTGAACCATTCGCGTATACAGCTCCGTCAAGCCGCTAGGGATTGCATCAACGACCTCAAGGATCTCTAAGGGATCGTCGTAATCGCTATCGAGTTGCTGAAGCTCTTTCAAAACGAGGGCTACCCAGAGAAATGTGCCATTGGCTTTCCGGCGCATTTTCTCGCACACTTCACCCCGGAGTTCCTCGTCGCCTTCCAGAGAGCGTAGAGTTGATATTTTGTGACGAATATATTCGTCGACGGCTCGAGACACAAGATCGGAGTTGATTTCAAGACTCAGTTTCGCACCGGAAGCGTTAGTAGACGGAGTTAAGTGGCGATCAATGCTGGGCCAATTCCGGCTGGATACAATCCATTTGACCTGACGCGAGGTCGGGGCGTTCTCTTTAATGAAACCCAAGAGTTGTTCCAACCCGGAAACACACTCATCGAGGGCGTCTATGATCAGATAGATAGGCCTCGAGTTTAGATCTTCTAAAATTGTTTTGAAAATGGCTGATAGTGCGATCCATGCGTTGACATCTTGGAAGAGTGCGTTTCCTGCATGGTCGTACTTTTTTCTTATGTGAGCGATGAGTGATGGCTGCTGATTAGCGAGCAAGTAGAGTAGGCCTCGCAGTACAGCAGTTGCATTGTTGATGCGGGTATCGGTAGCTTGGCAGAAGAAATAGGACAAGAGAGCATCAGGTGCAGGGTCGTCAGACGGCTTAGAGAGCTCATTGACGATGCCACAGAGTAGCATAGTCTTGCCTTTGCCGGGATCACCTTTGATCCAGAGGAGCCGGCTATCTTGTTCGTCTTGCCACCGACGAAAGTCAGGGTTACTAAAGATCCACTGATTTACCTCCGGAAGCAACCCATCCTCTTCCTTAGTACGCACAATGCGCTCCATGTCATCGCGAGGATCAGTTACCCGCAAGTCGGAGAGACATTTTTGTTCTCTGGATCGGAAAGCTGTTTGGTGACCCGAATCTCACTACAGGGTTGTTAATAAAGGAATTGCAGATGAAGGAATAGGAAAGGATAACATACTCAAATTTCGCGTCCAGCCACTTTTTAGGCCAGCTATTGACCGGCACTCCTCTGGGGGAGACTCGAACGCTTCAAAGAGCTCTTCACAACGAATCTGTTCACCTGGTTCGACGACAGGTTTCGAGGCTACGATAGGCGTGCTCCCTTCCAAACCTTCGGCAAGGCGACGTAACTCATCGTGGACAACCTGGCCAGAAGTGCTATCACCTTTACCTTGAAAATAGACTAGACAGAGTCCATAGAGATGAGATATGCCACGCGACATATCAATTACGATCTCCTCTTGGCGGGTAAGAGGCCCGGCGGAGCCTTTATAAAGGAAGGGGTGCGCAAGTTTGTTGTAGAGATCGTTGGAAAAGGTTGTCAGCTGAATCTCAAACAAGACGTCAGAAAATCGGCAAAGGGCACCATCTTCGCCGGTAAGCTTAACGCGATAGTTGCGGGTTTCATAGGTCCCGAACCAAGGTTTCCAAAATTTCCCAACGTCGCGATTAGGGCCGAAGATAGTCTCACGTCCGATTGTCTGAAAGCCCTGTTTGATGAATGAGATGGCCCGGTTAAGATCACCCGGATAGGTCAGAACGATTCTGATTCCTGCGAGATCGTGGATATCATCGAATATGTCGTGCAAGCTAGAATATCGTTTTTGCTCATTTCTCCACAGATGATCCTCGCGTCGTTGGAGCGATTTCTTCACAGATTCTTGGACTTTAGCTCGGCCATGGACCTCGCAGTGAATACCCATCTGACGCAGCCTCTCTCTGCAGTAGTCTCGGAAGAATTCGACCATAACCTCATATTCGGATCTGAGTCGAGGCCAAATGTCGTTGACAAAAGTCTCGCGAAAAGCTGTGTTCTGGCCGGTGCTCCGAATGATCTGGTCTACTTTGGCCCAGAGTGGCTGGTCTGGGACATCGCCCCAGGCTCCGGGGATGGCAGCGAGTGATGGCAAATCTATATCCATCGCCATTTGATTGCTGTCCATTTTTTTTTTTGTGTTTCGAATGATTCAATATGTGGCAGCGAAGGAACCATGTAAAGAGAATCACAGAATCTCAACATAGTCCAATATGATGAGAAGAACGAGGTTGGAGGAAGCTTCGCCAACATTCTTGAGGGCGGAGCGGGGAAACATCAACGACAGGCTCTTTGTTGGCCGCTCTTGCCCTACCTGCTCGATTTTGGCGAATCATCGCAGTCCAAGTATCGGTAAATTCATTCATAGATGTGAGAATTGGGGTTTGTACCCGAATCGGCTCATGGTAACACGAAGAAGGCAGCCTTGCCAGGCGAGCGTGCGTTGCTGGTGCTCGGCGGGGTCGTTGGGGCTTGTAAAGGCTCAGCATCCAGCCCTCGCCATTGCATGTTGCATATTGGAAAGCAGAAACAGAAAAAAATAGAAAAATAGAATTACCCTCGTAGAAGGTGGAGGCTTCGGTCACTTCCCCCATCTATCTCTGGCTAATATTGTGTTGATGGTCTTTGGTTCTAGAAAAGAAATCGAAGATGCCCTCATATAGGGATTACGTCGCATCCCGGAGCCGAATGAACCCCTGTCTAACCACTCTGGTCAAGCACTTGGACCGTGAGTCAGGCAGCGGATACTCGGCGGTCGTGTTAGACTATCCTCAAAAGGGCGGGCCACGGGTTGAGCGTCTGGGAGCTGCCGCCGCAGCCTGTATTAGCCAATTCCTCCGGACTCCTGCAACGATTCATGGACGAATCCTGTTCGTCGAGAATATACAACCTCGCACGATCGGCCTCCTCGGCGAGTCGCTTGATATCGACCCCGTCTTCTTCGCCAACCATATCTCCACACACTTTGAGGATATCGAGAAAGCGCAGCCACCACCTTATCTCTCTTTGTTTCCATCACGGATTGTCGAGAATAATCACCTTCACATCCATTGCCAACGAGTTATAGATTTGGGAAGTGCAGATGAGTTCTCAGGCTCCGCTTATGCTTTCCGAACAAACTCAAACGTTCCTCGAAATGTCCGGCTCTTGCCCCCATTATCAGGTCGGCAGCTTGGGCTTGCCCGGACGTGTTGCTCCGTTCTCCTGAAGAGGTTCAATAATTCGTGGATATGTAAGTTCCCCTCCGAGTCTCATGGCCCAGGAACACTCGCCTAACACTCGCAGGCCTGATAATTGTGGACCCACCTCCGGAGATCCTGGTTGAGATACCGAATTCGGAACAACCGGGGACGATCCTTGGCGTCGGCTTACATGGAGGTTTTGAAGACTTTGCGCGACCGATGCCTTTCTCAACGTACAAGACAACAGGCTGTAACGCGTGGAAGAAGAACTCGATGATGGATAGCTTGCTCCATTACTTCCGCAGCAACCCTCCAGGATTCACCCCAAGCCAGCCAAGCATTCTGAGCCTCGGCTACTATCCCATGCGTATCGGCCTCGCGGAGTGGATGCTCTATGCGAATTTAATGAGCCGCTACGTCAAGTACTACGAATACGCCCTCCATGACGTCCGGGGCCAACTGGATGGCAATGACATCGCCGACCTCCAGCGCTGGCGGCGCCGAAGCAAACAAAGCTTGGACAAGCTGGCGCTTCTCAACAGCTTTATCGACCATTGGGTGCATGGGGAAGCGGAGCAGCAATTATGGGACACGGTACAGAAGGATATCCTCCACGTGCACTCCCAGTTAGCTTATTTTGGCCAGTCTTTCGACCAGATGGTCCTCGCGGCAACGTCGATCGCGCGGATGCTTGACTCCCGACGCTCGATACTCGACGCTGCTAACATCAAGAGGTTATCTCACATTGCGCTAGTATTCGTGCCCCTGTCATGGGTCGCCAGCCTGTTTAGCATGTCTGATGTCTATGCTCCTGGAAGCGGCCGGTTTTGGGTGTATTTCGCCACTGCACTCCCAGTCCTCCTTCTAGTTCTGCTCCTCTCGGATCTCCAGTACGACCGACTATACGGTTTATTACTTGGAGCGCTTAGAGTATTTTTGACAAAGTCGAAGACCCAGAAAAAGATATTGATTTAGTTTAGCCCAGAGGTCGTAAGGCGAATGCAAACGCTTTGCCATAGATTTTGGTACATGTCGGAGAGTAAGTGGAATGTTGCACTAGAGGCTATGGCCATGCATGTACAGCCGTTTATCCTCCGCGACTACTTGTACTTCATAGTTCCGAAGGACGGCATGCTATGCGCGTCCCTCCCGATGGCTGGTTCCCACCCTCCGCCCGTGCACGAGCCCCGCCCCGAGAGCTTCGGCCCTGGCACGGCCACGAGTGTCCCTTCCCGGAGGAGGTATCGGGGAGGAACGGAAACCTGCACACGACCTGCGCCGCTTCTGGAACACAACCACCAGAACTCACCCGCAGGGATGGACATCCTCTTGGGTATGGTGCGAATTAGCACATACTATAACCCAATTTTGATTGAGCCTGAAGGAAGGCAAGGTTGGTGTTTTTTGGGTTGAGGGTTAGAGGAACTAGCGTGAGATGGGCGGCTTCTCCGTGTCAGCTGTGTCAACTGATGCAATTCTCTTCTTGCATTTAATATCTCCCGAATTTGTTTTTGCATTCATTCCTGGAGTAAGATTGGAATAATTTTGCAGACTACACCGACGTATCGCAAGCAGTCCGGCAGCAGCTCAAGGAATGCAAGCTCGCTTGACTGGGGACTTCTTTACTCAGCAGCGGCCCATCCGCGAAATGTGGACATGTGTACATGTGTGATTTTCCCCACACCCACACTCCAACTCAACTGCCAGCCAACCATAACACTTACGTAATCACAGACCTCACCTTTCAGCTTTGTGCTGCATCGCGCGTCTTTGCCAACCAGGCCCCAAATTTCACCCACAGTCAAGCCTTCGAAACCAGCCCCGAGACCCGTCGAAAGGAGTCTACCTATACAAGAACCCTATGCAAGATATAAAACTTCTCTAGTTTCTGCGATACGCGCGCTGTCCGATTCAAATGGACAACAAACGTAAATCTCGATCCGGCCGCCCGTCGGTGGATCTTGACGAGCGCGCCTCTAAACGGCGTCGCATCCCCCAGGTAAACAATGCTCCTCCATCTTAGTTTTGTTCGATGCGAATTTCAGATTGGCCTTCGCAATCAATAATCGTAGCCTTTGCCCCCTCTTCCTCTTTCCCTCGGCCACCCTGCACACGGCTCAATTCCCATTCCTCGGACCCAATTGCCATCGCCACGACCCGCCTTCAACTGCGGCCGACACCCTTTTTTCCTTCTCTAATTGCGCTTCTATCCGACGCCAATTCATCAGCTTCATCCATTGCCCCCATTGAGCCAAACTAACTTGCGCTGCCCAGGACTCCAATTCATCACATGGCGAATCCTCCGAAACCACGACAGAACTCGGACTCAGCTTTCTCGAGCAGATTCGACGAACTGCCGACAAAAAGTATGCATCCCAAATTGCGATGATCAATCCCCATATCGCTTCTGAGAACATTGCGCACTAACCAACTCCTCTCATTCGCGCTTAGTGGTCGACTTGTCGCGGGTCACTTTGAAGACCTCCTCCCCGCCAAGGGAATGAGGAGTATTATCGCAAAACCAAAATGCCCATATCCCTCGAACAGGTCGAAAGAAAATTAAACGATCGCGAGTTTGCGACAATGACGGAGCTTGAAAGCTATTTTAAACGCATGGTTTCCAACGCCAAGGACTTTTATCCCCGCAGCTCCCAAGTCTTCGAGGACGCCGAGAGGGTCCGGAAGGCCCTGAGTAACTACATGGTCAAGAACAACCCGGCATACCAGACGAAAGGATACCAGGCCTTCCCGACACCGCTGCCCCCGAGGATGCAAGCCATGACGAAGACGGCGATGCCGATGAGAAGCCCGTCAGAGGCCGCCAGACCAATGGCAAGAAACTTCCAGAGGAAACGGATCAAGTCGACTCTCCTGGTGAGGCGGAAGGTGATGAGGAAGACGGGGAAGGCGACGAGGCGGAGGATGATGGAGATGACGCTGAAGAGGATGAAAATGAAAATGACGAAGAGGAAGAAGAAGAAGAGGAGGAGGAGGAGGAGGATGCCGACGCCGACGCCGATGAAGAAGAGCCTGTCCTTGTCGTTCCTAAACGCCGCGGCCCTGGCCGACCCCCGAAAAATCCAGTCCTTCATGCGCAAAAGATGGCTGCGAAGGCTGCACAGCAAGGAAAGGCCGACTCGCAATACCAGAACGTTCCTTACAAGGGACTTGGTTTTCAGCAGGCGCAAGAAAAATTATCGAAGAGATGTTGCGCAAGAAAGGTGACGGGTAAGTTGGCAATGAATTCGAGTCATGAAGCTATATGCTTGCCGGCCGTGGGATGGATGCCTAGATAGCTAACGCGATCATGTACCAGCTACGAGTACTTCGAGCCCTTTATCAACTTGCCTACGAGGGCGTTGAAGGATTACTACCGAATCATTTCAGAGCCTCTTTCGATCCGAAAGCTCCAAAAGATGATAAAAGGCATACACGGCCGTGGTGACACGGTTGGCGTGAGTGACTTTAAGAGCTGGAACGCTTTCCAGGAAAAGTCGAGCCTTCTATGGAAGAACGCGTACTACTATAACGAGGAAGGGAGCGACATCTACGAACTTGCCAAGGAGCTCGAGGTAAGCCATCCACGAGACCCAGTTGGTTCCCTCTGTTCAGCCAGCACTAATGCGCAACCCACAGGAATTTTTCAAGGAACAGCTCGAGGAGGCCAAGAAAGTGGTCCAAGAACCCCCTCAGCCGCCTAAAATCAAGCTCAAGGTACCAAATGCCGACAGCAGCGCCCCTCGAAGAAAATCACAATTCACGTCGGAGGCCGGAGCGGCTCGACCGACTCCCAAACACCTGTCCAATCTGCCGCTTCTCAAAACGGCGATGCACCAGGTACTGGAGGGGCCACGATAATCCGTCGCACCACCGCCTCAGCCACTCCGGCGAATCCACTTGACAAGACCCGAAGCGTGTCGGTTGCCTCGCCAAGCCCTTCGATTCGCGCCAAGCCTGTCGATGAGGTAGGCGTGGCTGCCCCTCCACTCCGAACGGCGTCGGTGCAGCTCCACAGATGAATGCCGCGAATGCGTCGGGCAACATCAATGTCCCTCCACAGCCGCAGGCACCTCCCCCGCCACCGCCCAACCCGGTTTGGGACAAGCCCTTTAGGGCCAAAGATAAAGGTATGTGCGAGATATCGTGTACCCAAACCACCCCCTCTGTCGTCACGAGTCCCCTTGCTAATCTTCTCTTATAGGACTTAGCGATGGCCTTATGGCAAGCCTTGTTGTTCGATCGCACTCCAACGCGGCTCACTTGAAGCTTCCAACCCTCTCTCTCAACGCCGCTCCCCACCTCTGCCACCGTTCTCAAACCTACCACATAGCGCTCAAGTCGGACGCCCGCATCGGCATCTACCCCCAACTTTCCGACAGCTTCCAAAAGCTGCAGCGCCCGTACCAATTATGGGTTTTGCACAACGGCAGGGTTCTGCAGATCAATCAAATTGGCAACCCAGGCCAGAGATCGCTCCTGTGCGAGACCATGGCTGTCCGAGGCCTCAACACCATCGAAGCGCAAGTGATTGCCGAAATCCCCGCGGACAAGCGGGTGCCAGGTGGTCCGCAGGCTGAGCTAGAAAAATTCACCATCTATATCCACGTACAGAGTGGTTAGGAGACTCTTGACGTTTTCAAGTTGCGAAAAAGCATGTTCTTGCTCTCCTGACTCGTCGCGGGGCAGGCGATCTTCGACAGCATCCCGAGGTAGACCGGTGCCGCGCGCTCGTCGCCAGAATCGTGGAGGCGATCCCGACTCCGAGAAACTAACAGCCTTAGTCAGGAGACAGCTAGGACGTCGTCTACGTGAAACAGGTGCTACAGCGTATTCTGAAGGTCGATTCGCTCCCCTGGCGGGCGACCCCCTTTCTCATGAGCTGGCTGCGATCCTCGACAAGACGGTGCTCCGAACAGCAAGTGATGGTTAATACTGGTGAAGTAGGCTAGTCGAAATTGGGCGTGTATTTTGTGCTCATCATGTGTAACTAGATGTTGAAATATCTCTTCGGGTTGAAATCTTTCCAAAGGCGTTTTGGGCGGTACGAGTTAGCACACGAAGGTGGTGGGTTTGATCGTCATTCTAGTTAATCGATTATCTGAAAATGGGACCGTTCAATTATCCATGAATCTCTGTTAACATTGTGTGTATGTGGATAATTTGTAGCAAGAACCCGTCTCTGGGTTGAGGGCGATGGCCGTACAATTTAGACATCAGACCGCGTGATTGGAACTACTACTGCCAAAGAATGGGCGGATCATCTTCTACTTTAGAGCTAGTTACCCCATTTCTAACCCAGTCTTGAAAGCTACTACCGATATCAAAGCATGTAGCTCCTTGGTCTTCTCTCCTAAATGTTGCCCAGGCCACAGCAGGCGAGGCGTCACTTTTGAGGGTGAAATACACCCGGACGTCAATGTCATTGCTCCAGCCAACAGGCTCACCCACTCCCTTCCAAGCGGCTTCTACGTCAATTTCCAAGACGTGGGGGTCATGCCTGCTGATTGAGACGGTTTCGGGCGGGATGACCCTACCCGAGATGGTGGCGATGAAGTCGTCCTCAATAGTAAGGGTAGGCAAGTGTGAGATATACACCCCTAAGAGCGCTATGTTAGACGAGAGGGTTTTTCTAATATAGGTGGTTTTCTAGGTGTTCGGGGGTGGGCTGGAGGAGCGGCCACGGAGGGATATGTAAACTTACCAAGGGTACCAAGGGCCTTCAGATCTGTGTCGAGACGTAGGCGCCCATTGTCGGCGACGCGAAACTTGCTCGACGCTACCGCAGCGGCGCCCGTCATTTTACCTAAGAGACCGAGGTTCGCGACGAGAACCTCCTTGTTCCCCGCGTCGAACCGCAGGGTTGGATACGCAGTGAAGATTTCGTATCCCCGCTGATCGAGAGTGACGGCCAGGAGAGCTGAGGGGTCGCCTAACTTGAGAGGCTGGCTGACCGCCCGAGTCGTGTATGCGGTGACGACATAGTGGCAAAAGGATCCGGTTCCCGGAAGGGAGGCCAACGGGATAAGTTCTGTGATTCGGCGGGATGACACGTTGAACACGCCGAGGATGGGAGTTCCCGTCTCCGACCCGCCGTCGTAGCTGCCGACTTTTAGCAAGACGCTGTCGTGGTATCCCGAGTAGGGGTCGAGGGCTTGGCCGACCACGCTCGGCCGGAGAATCACGGTCCTGCCGCGGATAGTCTGGCCCGTGATCTGCTTGATGAGGAGATGTCGTGCTCTCCAGGGACATCCGTGATGTAAATGGGCCCTCCGCTCACGCAGCGCGCCGCGGCGTGGTAGGCCGAGTATTCGTGGGCGGTCTGGAACATGTCCCAGTCCGGCAAGACGTTTAGATACCGCGTAAACAAGCTGTTGTGGGCGTTGGCCCAGACGTGCCAAGGGTGGGAGGACGGCACGTGGGGGAAGTAATCCTCCGAGTTGCGGCAGAGGATGCGAGACCGGTTGTGTGGGAATTGTGCGTAAAACATGATTCGGGGCGCTTGTGACATGCAGGAAATGGCCTTGTCTCCAAAGTAGCGGAGGGAGACAATGTTCCAAGAATCGAGATAGGCATTTGTTAGTTCCCGCCTGGAAGATGCCGAAGTCAGGGTATCGACCATGTATTGGGCGTCGGTCTTGACGCCATCGACACCACACAGGGCAAGGAACCTATAGAAATCGTTGTAAAAGCGTGAGACGTCATCCTTGGAGATCACCGTCGTGGTCTTGAGCTGGTTCGGGTTGGAGCCAATCCCTCGCCGCTGACTGACATCTTCGGTTTTATAAAATGTTGCGAGCTTCCCGCGTGGTGATATCCCTCCCCAGTAGCCTGTATTCAAATGAGTGCGTCAGTAGGCACTTTCTTGGGTAATTACCGGGAGTCCATGCAGACTAACACCCCGCTATACCTACCAAACAAAGCATGCCAAACAGCGATGTGATGAATGTGAGGGTTTTCCTCGCGGATATGGCGGATAGTTGCCTTGAGCCCTTGGCTAAAAGACTGCGGATCAGCTTCAAAGTCCATCAAGCCGTTGTCAAATTGATCCTCGCTTTGCGAATCTATCGACTGCCAGTTGTCGTCGATGATCAAGCTTGAAACCTTGACACCGCTATCCCTCAATTTAGCGAGGGCTCGAAAGATCTTTTGGTCCGCTAATCGCTGGCCAAGAGAATTCCAGGTACCTATCGAGGCATGTGAGCTTCAAAGGTAACAAAGCCGGGGGCAAGCGGTTACGGCATACAATACCCCAGGCCATCGTACCAGTTCTCTCGCCAGGCCGGCAGGGCTCGCTCAGGTTCTCGCAAAGCATCCTGGCCCTGGAGGCCTTTGCTGGCCGCGGAGACTGCTATGTCCCGGGCATGGTACATTACGGCAGCCATGGCCGTCCGAAAGTCCTCGCCGATAGCAATAAGGACTATTGCCTGCTCCTCGGCCTCACTGTCGTTTTTCACCTATGGAATAACTTAGAAGAGCCCATATGCCAGGAAAACTTCGAGAAGGAAATCTACCCAGCGTACCCTGACTGTAACGGACCCGGTTCCATCAGACCTAAGGCTTGCTTCCACATTGCGAACCCCGGAAAGGGCGAGGATTACTAGATTCTGGCCCTCTGCACTCAGAAACGAGCAGATGATGCCGTCGCGGTCAAGCTCGAACTTGGACTTGCCGTGGACAGGAGCTATCCAGGGAGCGGATACCCGAGCAAGGGAGAACCACCTGAGAAGAATCAGTCAAGCGCCCCTACCACTACATGTAACGGTGAGAAGGCCGGTCTCTAACCTCAAAAAGCCACCCCACGGCAGTCCTAATGGGATGTCTTCCTCAGTAGGCTTGTCGCCTTGGACCCCATCTATTGTAGTACTCAACGACCAGAGCTGAGTCCTGGGGGTCTGGCTAACTTTAGATTTTGTCGTCCACCTGGAATTTAGGTCCTGGACAATGCTCGGTAAATCATCATTGGTAGGCGGGTGTGTGACACCGTCGATGTTTCTGACAATGACGGTCCCGTCAGCTATCCCTGACTCGTCCCGAATCCAGCGCCAGGGTTCGGTTTCACAAGATCTAAACTTGATGGTGAATGTGCATATTTTAGAGACAGATATCTTCACAGAGTAGTACAGCCATGTATTGGAGGCTGCCTTGTTCTGGAGGATTGAGGATTCGATGCTTTTCTGGAGGGGAGGCAGAGAGTCTCAGTCCAATCATGGCCGTCTACCGAGTTCCAAAGGGCAACTTCCCAGGATCCATTAGCATTCGATCCGGGAACTTCTAGAACAACTATGAAATTCGTTTCAGGGTCCTGCACAACAGAAACCTGTCCTAGAGGCGGGTAACTGGCGGCGTCTACTTTCATCATTCCTGGTGTAAGAGTCGCAGGGGAGACCGACTGGGGGATCTGGGATGCGTCGTAGTGGCCGACTGGGAACCGTTCTTCAGGACTCATAATCACTATGACCGAAGATGGAAGTTATTCCTATCCTCTTTGGGCACGGTGGAAAGGGAAGGGTTAATATGGGCGCGCGTGACTCGAGATCACATAGGGCTTGACTAAGAGGGAGAGGAGAGGCCTCTGCTATGGCGGATAGGTTCTTGGGAGATAGTAAAAGAGCGTCTGATGAAGATGGTACTGGTAAAGATAAAAGCTACTACATAATATATTTCTGCTTAGGAGTTAAGAGTCGTGTCGTCCGTCTGGACCCGAATTCTTGTTCTGCCTTCTTTCCTCCAGCACATGGCAATTCCGGTCAAAGTTGGGGTAAAATAGCGCCCAGGCAGGTTGGGGGAGGAGGGATGTCGTGAAGCCACCTGGAAATGGACTTTGCCAGGTGCAATCCACGTTGCTCGAAGCGGCGAGAGCTGCCAGGTGCCCAAAATTGAATGTGCATTTGCCATTCATTTGGGGTTGACTTTTGTCAGCACACCTGACATTAAGGCGTTTGATGATTGGCCCAAATCACTCCCTCGGAGTTGTCCGGGTTGCGGGTTTTCGGAAGGAACCTCTTCCTTGCCTGACAATTCAGGCGATGAGAAAAGTAACTCACCCGAAGCTTTGTTCACAATAGGAAAAGAAACACCAACCCGGGAAGAAATCACATCAAACCACTCATTCCCTTTCCACGATCCTCCCCCTTCGTCTTCAACACACAACAGCTCCCGCCATGGCGTCCCGGAGACTAGCTTTGAACCTTTCGCAAGGCCTGCGAAGCCGAGCATCCCTCTCCGCCGGCCTGCGACGGGGTCTCGCCACGCCCGTGTCCTCGCCTGTTGTTGGCAAGACTCAGACCACCACCCTGAAAAATGGATTGACCGTACGTACACCAACCCACCCGATCCAATTGATGGATATCTGCTGGTATATACATCCTACTAACCATATATCCTCATTAGGTCGCCTCCGAATACTCTCCATGGGCCCAGACCTCCACCGTCGGTATGTGGATCGACTCTGGCTCTAGGGCCGAGACCAACGAGAACAACGGTACCGCGCACTTCCTCGAGCACTTGGCCTTCAAGGTACGACCATCTTTTAATCTCTATAAATACCTTCAGGAAGGTGGGCTTGCGATGTTGGATGAATATTAACTGTTTTTCTTTCTTCTTGACAGGGTACCGCCAACAGGACTCAGCAGCAGCTCGAGTTGGAGATTGAAAACTTGGGCGCCCATCTCAACGCCTACACCTCGGTACGTCGGCAGAACACCCCAACCCATTCATTGCCCCCATCTAATGCATAGCAGCGCGAGAACACCGTCTACTTCGCCAAGGCTGTCAACTCCGACGTTCCCCAGTGCGTTGACATCCTCGCCGATATCCTCCAAAACTCCAAGCTCGAAGAGTCCGCCATCGAGCGCGAGCGCGATGTCATCCTCCGAGAGTCTGAAGAGGTCGAGAAGCAGGTTGAGGAGGTCGTCTTCGACCACCTTCATGCCACTGCCTACCAGCATCAAGCCCTCGGCCGAACCATCCTCGGCCCCCGTGAAAACATCCGCGACATCACCAGGACCGAGCTCACCAACTACATCCGCGACAACTACACTGCTGACCGCATGGTCCTTGTCGGTGCCGGTGGTATTCCCCACGAAGACCTTGTCAACCTTGCGGAGAAGTACTTCTCCAAGCTTCCCGCCAAGGGTCCTCAGAACTACGCCTACCTTCAATCCAAGCTCAAGGCCGACTTCATCGGCTCCGATGTGAGGGTTCGAGACGACACCATGCCCACCGCCAACATCGCCATCGCTGTTGAGGGTGTCAGCTGGAATGACCCCGAATACTTCACCGCCCTCGTCACCCAGGCCATTGTCGGCAACTACGACAAGGCCGCCGGTACCGCTCCCCACTCTGGCAGCAAGCTCACTGCCTTTGTCCACCAGCACGAGCTTGCCAACAGCTTCATGAGCTTCTCCACGAGCTACAGCGACACCGGGTAGGTTTTCCTTCATCATTTTGCTTTCTCATTCTTCGCATCTGATTTTACTAACAACTCGCTAGTCTCTGGGGTATCTACCTCGTTACCGACAAGCTCGACCGCGTCGACGACCTCGTCCACTTCTCCATCCGCGAGTGGATGCGCCTCTGCACCAACGTCACCGAGGCTGAAGTCGAGCGCGCCAAGGCTCAGCTCAAGGCCTCCCTCCTCCTCTCCCTCGACGGCACCACCGCCGTTGCCGAGGATATCGGTCGTCAAATCATCACCACCGGTCGCCGCATGAGCCCCGCCGAGGTCGAGCGCAACGTCGACGCCGTCACGGATAAGGCCGTCATGGACTTCGCGAGCCGCAAGCTCTGGGACCAGGATATCGCCGTCTCCGCCGTCGGCAGCATCGAGGGCCTCTTCGATTACCAACGACTGAGGAACACCATGAAGCCCAAGTTTTAAGCTCTGACCTTGATCTTGGGGCAGGCCTACGAATATAGAACGGGTTCAAGTACAAATCATGGGTGTTTTATCTCTTATAATTTTACAGTCTTTGGGAAGAAGGGAAAAGGGGCATCTTGTTTGCAAATCCAGAAAGCGACGTGGGAGGTTGTAGAATTTTTCTTGTCGGGGCTCGCCCTCCAGCCGGTTCCCAGGAAGGGGAGGAGGCGTGCGTGTGAAGAGTTGGTGGTGCTGTGCAAAAGAACAAACAAAACGCCGGGTATAGAGTGTATATGTGAGATACCGCCTCTCTCTTGTCTTCAGAGAAAACCACACCACAGGAGCAGCCTCCCTTTAGTGTATCATAAAGTCTCTTTGTTCACCTCTTGCCTTTTCATTGTCTCCCATTTTTCTTGACCTTGTTGAAGCACATACTCTCTCATATGTCTATACAAATTCTTTTTTTCTCTACCCTTTTTCCTCGTCTCGAGTTGCCCTTTTCGACCAACACGCTATTAGCGGTCGAGAACGATTAGATGCATGCTCGAGAGGATGCGATATGCTCTATTCAAGGACCAAACTAGAATGTGACAATTGAAAATAAGAAAACCCATCTGTTCTCGATGCCGCCCGATGGAGGAGTAGACCCCGGAAGCAATTGGCTGAACCGAACCGTGCCGTCGCTCCCCGTTCAGCTCGCCTTTCCGACATGCCCCAAAGCTTGATGAAACCAAAATGATATAATACGCCTAGAAACCCTCAAACCTCTTTCTTTTCGACCCTTTCTAACTCTTGCAGCCCCCTGTTTTCTTCTTCTTTGCACGCGCACACGTACACAACTCCTAAGCATTCCGAGCCATGTGTTCGAGGCGGATGCTCACAGCACGACGGTGAGCCTCTAGTTCCTCAACAGCGGCAAGACGCATAACAGCAGTGCCGACATTCTTGAGTCCCTCGGCAGTGAGGTTAGAGCTCGTGATGTGCTTGACGAAGGAGGCGAGGTTGACGCCCGAGTATTGCTTTGCGTAGCCGTAGGTGGCTACCGGTCGGACTGTGTTAGCAAAAGCCAAAAAGGTACCGGGGAAGGGGGTGAGATGGGGTCATAGGGGCAGCACTTACGAAGGGAGTGGTTGACGCCGGCAGAGTAATCGCCAACGCTCTCAGGAGTCCACTGGCCGATGAAGACACTTCCAGCATTGGTAACCTTTTCGACAACAGCCTCGGCGTTATCGAGGTGGAGGATAAGGTGCTCAGGAGCATAGTCGTTGCTAATCTTCATGGCTTCCTCGATATCCTTGACAGGAATGGTAATCGAGTGGGCGATGGCTCCGCGAACAATGTCGACACGGGGCAACGCTACAGCCTGATTGTGAACTTCGTCATCAATAGCCCGAAGCTTCTCCTCAGTGAGGTCAACACCGATCAGAATCACCTGGCTATCAACGCCGTGCTCAGCCTGGGATAGCAAGTCGGAGGCGATGAAGGCGGGCTCAGCATTCTGATCGGCGATCACAAGAACCTCCGAGGGGCCAGCGGGCATATCAATGCTGACTCCGGCATTGGTATCGTTGCTCACAAACATCTTGGCCGCCGTCACGAACTGGTTGCCAGGTCCGAGGATCTTGTCAACCTTGGAGACACTCTCGGTTCCGTACGCCATCGCAGCCACCGCCTGAGCGCCACCAGCAAGGACGATGCTCTCAGCACCGACTTTGTGGGCGACGTATACAATCTCTGGCGTGATCCTTCCATCAGAACGGGAGGGGAAGCAAACACAATCTTCTTGCAGCCGGCGACCATGGCGGGAACTCCGAGCATAAGCGCGGTGCTAGGGAGAACAGCAGTGCCGCCAGGGATATAGAGACCGACAGCATCGATAGGTCGCGAGAACCGACTACAAACCACGCCGGGCATTGTCTCGACCCTGAGAGGCTTCTCTTCTTTTGAGCCGAGTGGAACTTTCGGATGTTTTCGAACGAAATATCAATAGCTTCAATAGTCTCGGCAGGCAGATCCATGAGCTCCTTGGGGAAGGGCGCCCTTAGGACTGGCGATGTCAAAGAAGTAGCCTTCTCGAATTTGTGCGTGTAGGACAGGACTGCCTTGTCACCGCCCGTCCTCACCTCCTCGATAATGGGGTTGATGATCTTCATGATGGTTTCCGTGGACTTCTGGGACGGTCTCTTCAAGGCCTGGCTCAGCTCTGAGGAATCGTTTGGATCTACCCTCTTCATAACGATACGATCGCTCTTAGCCTCTTCGACGGGCGCGGGAGCGGCGACTGGGGCAGGAGCAGGAGCGGGAGTAGGTGCATCATTCTTGATACCCTCCTTCTTAGCCCATTTGCCCTTGGCATCGCCCTTCCGCCTCTTGACCTTCCAGCTCTTCTCATCAAGGCTGCGATTTATATCGGAGAGGGAGACTCCGGCGGAAACAGCCCTGGTGAGGGCAAAGTAGATGAGGTCAGCAGCCTCGAATGCGACCTCCTGGGAAGTCTTTGCGTCACAGAGTTCCTCCGCTTCTTCCATGATCTTTGCGCGAAGGAGCTTCTCATCCGAGAAGAGCCGAGCAGTGTAGGAGCCAACGGGAGCAGATTCCTTCCTCTGCTGCAGAACCTTCTCAAGCTTGGAGACACCGGAAAGGTTTCCAAAGCACCCAGCCTGGGGCAGATGACAAAAGCGACCAGTTTGCCGGACGGTAAACTTGAGCGTATCGTTGTCGCAATCCAAGCCGATTCCAAGCAATTCCTGGGTATCACCAGAGGTGAGACCTTTGACCCAGAGTCCTCTTTTGCGGCTTTGATAGACACCCGCCTGCGTTCGGATACCCTCGTTGATGCTCTCTTCGCTGGTGTAAGCCATGCCGAGGGCAACTCCGGCCTCGTCGCATACTACGGTGGCGATAAGGCCATCCGGGCGGTCGGATTTCCAATACGCCGCAATGAGTTTGGAGAGAAGGAATCGCGATGAATCGTTCTTGTCGGTTGTGATGCGATTAGAGGGAAGGATGGCCACGGCCTTGCACCTCTGGGCGATTCCGATAAACTGCTCGAGATCGGCTTCTTCTACAGGCTTGAGGAAGAGATCCTGGACCTTCTTCGCCTCACAATCCGCCACAAACTTCTCGAGGTCCTGGACTTGGGGATCGACGTTGGTGATGAGGAGACCCTGGGCGGTGGCGGCCGACAGGTCGAGGGTGGCCACGATGGGAGCGACACGAGAGACGAATTCCTCGCCCTCGTAGTCGGCAAACTGCCCGGCGGGGACGAATACCTTGCGGGCACCACGGTCAAGGAGATCAAGCACCTCGTCCTTGGACCCGAGCTTGCTCACATCAAAGTGAGGGTGAAAATCGTTGCTTCGTCGAAGGGCCTTCCAAGCTTCATCCTTGAGACCGGCATCGGCCTCGATGAAGGGGCTGCCCAGAACAGAAACCTCCCCAGCAGTCAGGCCCTCGGCATTCGCCAAGCCGCTGCTCGGGACGCTGATGAGGAAAGGGAATGGAAGTGTGGTCTCCATCGCGAGTGCAGCGCAAAATGCCCCACGGAAGAAAAAAAACAAGGTTTGGTTTGACTTGAGGCCTATTATTCTCGGGAGGCGAGAGGTATAAAAGACCAATTCGTAGACTTGGCTTCCTCTGGAGATCGCGAAGTACAGATCCCTCGACCAAGAGTAGGAACGAATACCTGTTGATTGGGGAATGGCGAGGATATTTGTTCCTTCGATAATGCGCTCTCAGAACATTCGCCAGATCCTTGATGACTCCTGCATCGGCGGGGCAGTTGAGAAGTCCGTAGTGGGGTTTATCCTTCTCAAATGCTGCCCCTCCAATTGCTTCGGTGCTGAAGGTAAAGGGCGACCAGCCAATGGCTGGGTCGCCACTGCAAATTTTCGGACAGGGTCCGCCTGTGCTAAGCCCGCCCCTCACGGTGCTTCTATCCGGATTAACCACGGCAAATATGAAGCTTTCCCCTTCCCAGCCAAACCGCAACTCGAACCTGCAAGTCCACTTTGAGACCGACTCAGCGTGAACCTCGTCTCGCGTCTGCTATCGACTAGCTCTCCGAACCCGCTCTCCAGAACATCCTTTTTCAACCATCCAACATCTCACGGACAATCCGAAACGAAAAAACCATCTACTAGCCATTAGAAACCCAATTGAAATTTCCCGCGTGCCATATCGAGCCGAAAAGCCAAGGCCACCGCCAGCTAAACCCCTCCCCTCCCCGCCGGCCTTGCCCGTCCGCGCGCAGTTGAGCTCCGACCGTCGCCGCTCCTCGCAACCCGCGAGGCCCTTTCCCCTCCCACACATACGCGAACCAACCCTTCCCCTCTCGCAATGTCCTCCGCAGCAGCCCCCAAACCAACGGCATCTCCGCCAGCCCTCAAAACAGCCAAGCCGCACCCGCCCCATCGCAAGCGACGCAGAACACGACAGCCACAGCCGCTACCGCGGGGACGACGACGACGACGACACCAACGGCGGCAGGCAACTCCCAATCCCAATCACAGTCCCAGCAGCAGGCGAACCCCCACCGTCGCCCTTCACCTCGGCGCCCCGACCGCGCGACGCCCGCATGCTCGAGCTCCTCATGACCTCCCAGGGCGTCACCTCGTACGAAGCCCGCGTGCCCCTTCTCCTCATGGACTTTGCCTACCGCCACACGTCGGCCGTCCTCAACGACGCTCTCCATCTCACCGTAGACCCCCATACCTCCCACGCCGGCACCCGCGCCGCCTCCACGGCCGGTGCCACCGCGACTCTCATTGGCGCCGACGCCACCGTGTCCGCCAACGCCGTCCGCCTGGCCATCGCCTCGCGCCAGGGCTATCAATTCCGCGGCGGCAACAATTCTGGTGGCCTCAGCAAGGAATGGCTGCAGGAGCTCGCCAAGGAGAGGAACAAGGTCGCCCTCCTCGCGTCGCCCCCAACGAGTGGGCCGTCCGCCTCCCCAGCGAGCGCTTCGTTCTCAGCGGCCTCAGCTGGGGCCTCAAGGATGTTTGGGCCGACGAAAACTCCTCGGGCGATGAGGATGAGGAGATGGAGGACGCCCTGGGCGGCAACACGGGGACTGGCGCGATGGACGGCATCGAAGCACCGGATCTAGATGACGTGGAAGCGGAGGGGTACGATGGAAGATGTGTTTGGAGATGAGATGGATGAGGATCAGGCGACGGCGTGAAGGGCAAAAAGCGGCAAATCATGTTTTGGTTTCTTTCCTCCTTCTTCCATCATTACCCATATACGGACCGTCTTTCTAGTAAAGGCGTGTATTTCCTCTTCTTCCCTCAAGTGGTTTCATCTCTCCCCGTTTACATATTGTTCCTATCGGTCTAAAGTTTGGGGCGGCATGATGCGAAACCGAAGCGTCATATCAGCCTTTTTCTTTTCCATTACATGAGTTACTCGGTTCATCACCCTTAGGCGTGCTAGTGTACAGATATAGTTAGTTGTCTTTCCTTTTGCTCTTAAGATTCGTTTTATGCCGAGGTCGGTGCCTGGCTTCTCTATGGAAAAAGAACAACGATAAATAAACTCTTTGGGAGTACATGCGTTGATCAGAGTGAAAAGCAAACCGTCAAAAAAAGAACCCACGCTTTCCCATGCATACCGCCTTATTGCTACACAACAATACAGCCATCCCCCTCCTCAGAGTCGAAGTACGCTTTTCCAGTCCCCAGTTTCTAAAAGGGAGGAAGAGCGCTGTAGGCTGTTTCAAGATGAAGAAAAAAAATGCAAGAAAGTGAAAGGTACAAGGCAAGAGAAGGCTTGCCCAGGTCTAAACCAACCATGGAGGACATGGGTGTCCTCGAGTATAACTCGTTAAGAAGATTCTTTTTCCTTGCCCATGCTCAGATTCTTCACACCTGTGATGACTTCTGCGCTATGATCCTTCACAAACTCCTGCTCGTCCAACAATGTCTGCGTCGATTCCACCGGTAAGCCCGCGTGGTTCTCGCTACCTTCTTCTTCAGCATCCTCGTAGTATTCGTCATCAGCATCATCTTCCTCAAGCATAGACCCCATCATATGCTCGTCGCCTTCAACGCTGCCGCTGAGGATGCTCTCCCCGTCATCGATAGAGTCGCGCGACATATAGCTGTCCGCCAAGCCGTCGCCCAACTCATCGTCATCTTCGTCAGCAATGTCGTCGTCGTCGTCATCATCGTCATCACCATAGGCACTGCCTTGATCGTCGCCATCTCCGCTCTCCTCCGTTTCACTAGCGGTGAAGTCGTCAAGGTCAAGTACCGGTTGGCGCCAGTAGGTGAAGTCGGTGAAGTCTTCACCTCCGCCCGTGATGAGCGTGCTGACGGGTGGGAAGTAATGATCGACGACTTCGTTGATGTTCATGTACGTCATCTTGAGTTTGTTGAGACTAAGCAAATCAAGAGATACCTCGGCATTTGAGTTGATGGTAAAGATACGATTCCGGGGTACATCAACAGTCCGATATGAGATCTGATCCGTGAATCGGTTGCCGAATCCCGCGTAGAAGGCTTTGTGGTCCGCGCCATACAGCTGCCGGATATCACGTAGCGTAGCCATCTTGAAGATGTGCGGTTTCCGAAGGTAAATCTCGCGCCTGAGTGCAGCCATGGTCCTATCCGGCGACAGGATGGTGGGTCCGCGAGGGAGTTTGTATCCGTCTTGCACAATGTTCGCGAGATACGCTCTCGTCGTATCCGCTTGACCAACCGAGCGGCTAGTCAGGTACATGATATTATAGCCGTTGGCAACAATGTCGCAGTAGAGTTTGGCGACACCGACGTGAGTCAATCTCGGCCAATCATGTTCAAGACGTGGCCTAGAGCGTCGGACTTGGTAATGGTTCCATCAATATCGGAGATAACGACAGGAACGTCGTGCTTCCACAGGTACATGTTTGCCTGGCAGGTTGAACGGTTGACGGTAAAGCTCATGACGTTCTGGCCGGGGTTCAGACTAAGATCCTTTAGCTGGTCGCTCGTCAGTCGAAGCGTCTTGGCATAGTTCTTATTGGGGTTACCGATGCCTCCCGAGGCTGGCGGCGTGATGGGTGGGCTATCTCGCTGCATGGGGCCGATGTCAGATTCGGAGCGCCTATGGAGATGAGGCGGGGCGGCAGTGGTAGCGTCGCTGCCATCGCTATGATAACCCGGGTCTGAGGCTGCGTCTGCGGCGATTCCACCTCCTTGACGCAGGGCCAGATTGACTGATTTCATGGCTTTTCTTTTGCCTCCTCACTGCTGTATATCCAGATGTTGCCATTCTCATCTACGCCGATAAGAGCACCAATGTCGTAGTTACCATCAAGCTCCTCGGATAGGATCTTTCGGGCAAGGATCTCGGCGCGAAAGGAATCTTCTTCCGTGCCTTTCATCGCGGCTAGATCGAGCATCAGATCACCGTCCTCAGTGATGTGGCTGGGTATGTTTACGGCGGAAAGCTCCTTTGCCAGAGCATTCGCGCGGGCCACGGCATCCTCCAGGGGTAAAGGCGGTGGGCTAGGCGAGCGATCGGCGGACAATTCCGGGCTATCGGCCCCTCTCGCATCTGTGGCATCGGGCTCGGACTCGGATCGCCGGAGAGCTTCCCTCTGCAGACTCGAAAAGTCACCACTCCACGGTCTCGTTTTTGTTTCGCGATCGGTGAAGCTTGCCGAATGGGGCAGGGTTGTTAAGATGCCATGGCTATGCACGGCAGGTGGGTTCGTGTAAAGGTAGACTGTGGGCGCCTGGATTTGGGCTCTTCGTCAAGCATGAGCTGATCTGGCTCCGGGAGCCCATGGCCGTCAGCGGATTGAGGGTCGAGTGGGGGACTGGAAGCTGGAGAGCTGATGGGCGAGGTTTGCAGGGAGGCGGGAATTGTATCTGTCGTCTCAAAGACGAAGAAGGCCTCGCCGCCTTCTCCAAGCTTCATGGAGTAGTCTTGCTTTGTGCCATTGACGCGAAACTCGACCTTTTTCTCGTAGGGTCGGAGGAGCGAGAACTTGCCGAATCGCACGTGAAAGGGGAGCAAGCTAAAGTCCCGTCTTCACGCTCTACCACGATTACGTCGATAGCACCGCTAAGAGTAGCTGGATTTATAGAGTTCCATGCCGTCGACACGGAGTCGCTCAGGTTTCGTACGTATTGCATTTTGTTCTGTTCCGTAGAGACGCCTGAAAGGCGGGAGGAATCTTGGGGTTGTCACAGCCCAGGAGCTTGGTCCGTCGTCTCGGCGGGTCAACTGTATTGGAGCTGGGGGATGAGGGAACAAGGGTGAGCTGATCGGGTAGGGGTTAGGTTGTCTCCAGAGCTTGTTTATCGCGAGCAACCAAAGCCTCCGTAGAACACAAACTATCAAAAGGGAAGACTTCTATTTTCGACAAATGCGTTTATGACGATTGAAATTGTCAAGGATGGGGGAAAGAAAGAAGGGAAAAATAATAATGGGGACTAGGAGGGGGGTTGAAGGAAAGTTCACAAGCAGCCGCAGGGTCCAGAGGCAAACCGAGGCAGTCCAGTCTTTAGTTAAGACAGATGGCGCTCAAGCGGGACGACGGGGAGAAAAAAGTATGCACGGGGGTAAGGTGATCGACAGGAAACGGAGCTATGCCCACGCGGTGGCGGATCGGTTAGGGTATAAATTGAATGGTGGCAGAGAGGGCGCCGAATGAGACTGCAGGAGAACGTGAGACCTCGGACTAGATGGAGCAGTCCAGAGGGTGTTGTCTTTTCTGTTCTATTGCCTCGCCGTCTCGGTTCTAGATTGGGTGTTGATGACGGAGGGGTCGGGCAAGCGAAGGACAATCACAAGCCAAATTTGTTCAAAAGAATTCGAAAGGATGCCTGGTCTGGCCTGGTGGAGACGCCGACTTTTTTCTTTGAAAAGCGCGGCGCAACTGCCTTTCGGAGAATCTCGCTGGGGTTACGGAAACGGAATAGACGGGGGCGGACAAAGAGCAAAATAGCTCCCGAAGCAAATAGCTTCCGATAGCTCGACTGGGCCCGAAGAGAGACGCAAATGGAACAGAGAAGCTTCGGAATAATCGTAACAGGCGAGGAAAGGATCCGCGGAATAGGGAATGAGGGGTTCGAAAGCTCCTAGGAACGTGAGTCAAGCTGGGCAACAATGATCGGTTTTAAGGGACATGCTAGATTTTATGTTGGGGAGGAGACATGGCGCCTGACGGACGGAGGCTTTGCAGGATGGGAGGAGTGGCGAGGAGGGATGATATTAATAAAGCAACCCAAAGAAAAAGGGCCCAGAAGTGTGTTTGCCTGGGGAAGAAGCTGTTGAGAATTTATTGGGGTAGGAGCTTCAAATGTCATCTGGTGAGATGGGGTCCTTGACACAGGTACCGTCTAAAAACTAGCTGGTTCCCAACAAATGGTTCCGGTCTCCAAGGCTGAGAACAGAGGCGCCCGTTGGCAGTCGCTCGCTCTTTTTCCGAGTTATGTTCTTTTTACTTCCCATTGTCCTGTTTTTGACTTCTTCAGCCCATCCACAACCCACCAGGGCGTTGAAATCCCGAAATCCTGACTTCTCTCGTCCTCACCAACTATTACGTAGCACTTGGTCCACTCGTGATTCGCGCAGGACCGAGCTGGTTCGGCCCATGTCTTAGGGCGGAGGAAGAGCAAAGAGATGGGTATGCCGTAAGATGGGAAGGCAAGGGGCCCTGGTATGGCTGGCACCTGCCCCCTCCAAGACCCTGTCATACTACCGAAACGGGAACTCGCGACCTTGCATGGGGATCATTGAGGATCCTTCATCCAGTGACCTTGTCCTTCCAAGCCGCTATTCGCATCCAAGCCACCCCAAAAGGCCTCATCTTTCGTGCCGTCACCAACGCTCGTCAGCGTCGTGTGGGGTGTGTGGTCGGTCGAGCAAAACATCGATGCTGATACTTACATGTGCTCATAAAGTGGTGTCGAATGCGAAACGTTCGTGGATAAGAGGGTGTATCTCGAATTCAATTCAACTCCGGTTTCCCCGTTCCTTGTCCCGGCTTGCGCGCGGCGTGCTGCCACCGCATGGGGTCATCTTAGCTCCACGGGCGCGGCGCGTGGGAGGGCGAGTATTGAAGTTTAATATTCAATTTATCGATTTGCCCCCAACGCCTGCACTATTATTATCTAAAACCCCAGCCCATCCCGCCCTATCTTGTGTTGCAGCTTCCAGCTCCTCCCCAGTCAAGAATCGCTATGATTCGCAACGCTCGCTAAAAAGAGCTCCCCCATCGTCCCATTGAGGACACAAAGCCCTCCCGGTCTAACTTCGTCCTGACTAGGCGGGAGGGAGCAGCGGCGCAATCCATCCGATCTTCCACGTCTGGCCTTGCCTCCCTCTCCTCCCCCGCGTGCGCGCGCACGCCAAAACTTGGCCTTGGGCCATCCATCCCACATGATCCCCCATCCTCGCCGTTACTAGCCGCTCCACCGCCTTGCCTAAAACTTCTTGCAAACGCCTGCCTCGTTCGTCACATCTGAGTCAACCCGCGATCCATCCGTGGTCACGAGGCATGAATCCTGTCCGGAAGCTACATGGAAAGCTCGACAGCCGGCACAATCTGCGGTTTCTTCTGGGCGCAAGGAAGAAGGCTTCCTCCATCCTCTAAAATCACATTTCGTCTCCGGGTGCATTTTTTTCTCCCAAGGTCCGTCGGTGAGACTCTGCCGGTTCCGTCTGTCTCTTTGCCCACTCCGCGGGTTTCGCACTTGACCTAGCCTGTTTCGGATTGAACGGAGACGGTTTGCGAACTAGGAATGCTAGGCTAGCTTTCGCTCCCCCTTTGAGTCAATTCTTTGATCATGATACTGTTATGACTGAACTCCACTCAGCTCGTCCATGAATCTGATTCAACCCTGGTCTCCCATACTTCAGCGTACGATGATGCAGTGAATGTAACCTAATAGTGCATATTATTTTCCCGGCTCAGCTCGAGTCTTGGTGTATTATCCGATTTGACCGTTCTTCGGTTTCCCTCCCCTTTTCCCTGTTGAAAGGTTTTGCCCCTCGAGGTGTCCCATCGGGAAGTCTGGGGAAATGCATGCCCTAGGGCGACCAATTATTCTGTTCCTATGTTGGCATCGTATGTTGAGCCTTGCAGGTGGAGGGAGAAAATGGCGTCAATGATGTCATCAAAGCCCAACAGCACTCTCCCCGTCAATTCAAGAACACGCCCCCGCACCTCGATCCTCCTTTTTCAGAGAAAGGATTTAGGACAACAAAACAAGGGGAATTCTTGTTTGATGCCAACGCTTTCGGGATAGGGATGGGAGTTCGTAATCAAGTAAGCCTCGCATTCAATCGTCTGTTCGTACTCTGCCATGACGACGCTATCACCTGGTCCCAACAAATTGGATTCGACAACACCAAAGTATTCAAGGCAAGAAAGAGAGGAAGAAACGAATTGTTTAGACTCATGCTGCTATATTTATTTCTTCTCATCGGAAAGAGCTACTTCCGAATCGAGACTAAGTGACCCTTTACGGTCTAGATCTAGACTCTCCTTGGCATCTTTACCCTTCTTCTTCATGGAAAACCTCCAAGTGTTCATTCTCCCCTCCTTCTCTCGCTCTCGGGACTTAGCCGGGCCAAGGGATGGGCTGCTCGTCACGCTATCGAGACTTCGACCGAGCATCGCGCCATCATCGCCGATGTCATCGATGTCACCGACACTAGACCTATCTGCGGGAATATTCTTGTCCGAGTTTGCCGTGCTTCCCGGCCCCTTCTTAAACAAGGCGGAGTCCTTACCGAGACGGGAGGTGAGGTTAAACCTACTCGAGCTACCCTTTCGGAATAGTTTCTTAACCACGTTGTCTTGTTCCTTGAGACTAGACGAGGGCCCCATGCTTGGCTCTGACGGAGTGCTCGACCAGGTGCCGTCCAGGTTGAGGGACTCGCGAGACTCAGAAACTGAAGTTTGCGTATGTACGGAGAAGGTGTCCCTGGATTTTCGTGAATCCGAAGGCGAATCGTCCGCAGTCAAGTGAGAGATCTGGTCGGTGCTTTGAGACGCACCCGAAATGGATGCTTTGTCCTTCTCCTTCTCCTTCCCTTTGTCCTTGGGCTTCCCTTTCGCATCGGCCTTCTCTTTGCCTTCCTTGCGGAACAGCCCAGCCATAAAAGTAGGTGCCTTGGGGTTCAATCGCTGAGCGATTAAACTCGAGGCCGGTGGGCGGCTCCCAATGACGCCTACCTGGCTTGGGGAAACCTGGGGATCGAGCAAATCCTCATCGTCTAGAATCTCGTCTTCGGGGAGGCGAGTGAGGTTTCCAGAGCCGTCGTTTGTCCATGAAGTGAGGGTCGCCGAGAGGGGTTTCGTGAGTGCCAGCGAGCATCAGACGACGTCCACAAGCGGCTCTTGCTTAGGTTTGATTCTGCGGGCAATCCCCAGATAGATCCGCTATCAGTAGAAGGCCTGGCAAAATCAGATGATGCTATCGATGCCGGCCGGGGACTACTAGGGTCTCGCGATGCGGTAGCTGCGGTAGCCCCTTGTGCCCAGCCAAAGGGAATAAGTCTTCGAGACGAGAAGGAGGTATTGTTCGCAGAGTGGCTATCTCCACTATCCACGTGGACGGAGTTGCGGTTGAAGAGACTTCCCGCCAAGCCAGTCTTTCGTTTATTGCTAGCGGCATCCCAGTCATCGATCTGCCGGGGAAAAGACCTGCTTTGGCCAGGTTTCAGCGTGCCTAGAGGAGGGCCCAGCTCATCCGTAGTTTTACCCGCACCCCTTGCACGTTGAAACGGCGACCATAGGCTAGTGAAGCGCGAGGGTTGAACATCTGGCGCGGTTGGCGAGGACGTGAGCGCGCCAGATCGGCGGTCTCCAGGCTCACTAGGAAATGGTGGGAACGGCAGGTGCTGGGACGAGCCTTGGGGGCTAGACATCAGGCTTAGTGACCGGTTCGAGGATGCAGGAGACTGAGGATCTGCCTCCAGGAGATTTGCAGACATGGGGCGTCCAAACGGGCTCTGGAAGTGCTCAGACGAAGGGCTCGGCGGCAGATCATCGTCACCCAGGATGCCTGCGGGGATCAGGGAGGTCGCAGTAGGGCTCAAGGGCGCACCAGCAGTAAGACTACTGACCCGCACCGAACTGAACGACTGATCGTGGCCGAAACTATCTGCAGTAGTCGAATCGTCCACGTACGGACTGGGTGCAAAGCTAGGTCTGTTCCCAAATGTTGACGCAGCGCCATACGCAGACTCGGGGAGGGAAGTTGACCATGACCGGGGAGCATGGCCCCCGGATGTGAATTGCTGTGGCGGCTCCCGTGACGCTTTAGATGGGACTGCTGAGAAGGGTCGACGAAATCTAGGCCGGGCGGCTTGCCTTGTATATAGGCATTTGCGAGGGTAGACTGGTGGCTTCTATACTGCTCAATCAAGTTGTGCAGCATGCGTACGTTGGCGGTCAAGTCGTGCCGTCGCTGCATTTCGGCCAAGATGCGCTGCTCCAGCATCTTGCGCCTAGTCTCCCATTCCCTTCTTAATTGGATGTCCGTCTCCCTCCATCGCTCATCCGCGTCCCCACCGGGAAGCTTCTGCCGCTCGAGTTTTAGTTCTTTTAGCATTTTCCCCTTTTCCTTGAGTTCAGCCTCAAGCCTTGAACATTCCTCTTGAAGAACGCTGTTATCTTTCTCCAAATCAGCGAGTTGCGATTTCTTGAATTCGTCCAGCTCGGCTTTCTTTACGGTGAAGCCGTCGCGTTTGGATCGCATGCTCTCCGTCTCCGATTCAAGTTTGGCGATGCGGTCCCGTGTGTTCTGTAGCTTCGCTTGCTTGTCTTTCAATAACTGCTCCTTCTTCGCTCGTTCCTTTTCCGCCGCTCTCATCTGTTCTCCAGTAATATTGACGCGCTTACGCAGTTGTTCGGTATTTGATTCCTTCTCCTTGAGAACCTGTCGCTTCCGCTCGAGATCCTTCCGGAGTTGGTCTTCTTGCACCTTGAATTCGCCTTCTTCTCGCTCGTACTGAGCGACGGTATCCGATATCTCTTTTCGTATTCTCTGAAATTTTTCATTAAGCTCCGCCAAAGATTCTTGGGTTTCGGTACTTCCAGAACCTGCATCCTTGGGGGTAGGCCGGTCTAAGCTGGCAACAGACGGCGAATGCCTCCTGCTCACCGTGTTTCGACGATTACTAGTAACGGGAGGGCCAGAATCCCGACTCGAGGATCCATCTAATGCCGGTGCGGCCTCGATGGAAGGCAGAGGGCTCCTTGGCAATTCGTTATCGCCGTCCGGTTCGTCCTCCCTGCGGCGATGCTGTTCCTGATCGAGAAAACTGGGTGGAAGTCTTCCATTGGTGAGTCGAGGCTTTGAATCTTTTCCGTAGGTGCGAAGGCGAATGACAGAGCTGCCTGACTGAAAATTATTTGAACCAACAGCAATGACGCGGATATTATAAAAATGCGCAGGCTTGAGACCCGTGACGGTAATGGCGGTATCCTGAGGGCCAGAATTGCCGACTATAGATTTACGCATATCGTCAACATCTTGTACTTTTCATGACAAGTTCTCACAAGGGGAGGGGGAAGTGTGCATACCATTCACGCCATTGACCTGTATAACATATTTTTGTACTGGACGACTAGGGGTGGGCGAGACCATTCAAGAGTGGCAGCATCCGACCGAATACCAGCTAGAGACACATCGGGCGCTTCGGGAACGTCAACTTTGAGGATATCGATTAAGTCCCCAACAGGTATCCGCATGGTCTGTAAAGAGCGGTAAAGCAGCCTAAGGAGGATAACGCGTTTAGTTAGAGCACGGTGAAAAAGAGGAGCAGGAAAGGAGGGGCGGATCATGGGCATATGGGCAAATAGATCGCTGCACCGAGAGAAAATAGAAGCAAGGACGCAACGGAAATGCATACCAACACGAAGCTGCAACGACGAGGAACATATTGCCATACTGGGGGACCAAGTCCATACGCAGCACGACACGGGTAACACTCAGGCTCGAGACGACGAGATATTCGATAATGGAGCCCCAAAAGGTCCAGAAAGCAGCTAGGAACACGGTGGTATGGATGATGTTTTCCAACAAGGTGGGAGGGTGCGGTGGCCTAAAGAAGCGACAGACGATAACGGCGAGGATGAGGACGAGCTTCACTCCGACTGGGGCCGTCCAGGTCCATGTCATGTCGTCGCATTCGGGTGATGGGTGGGCAGAATTCCGAGTCCGCCGAGGGCGAAGCGAGAATGGCCTGCTTGAAGACAACTCTATGAGAGCCTACTTAGGGGACGACGCCTTCTCTCCGTCCCCAGAATCGGTTCTTGGGATGAGGCGTGGGGGTCGGGATCGGATTAGGGTGGTGGTACAGGTTGGAGAGAAGATTTGGGGTTGCGGGAAGGTTGAGAGAAAATACTGCCAAGTCACAAAGAAAGCCTTTGTCATCAATTCATTGATCCATGTGTGGAGCGTGTGCTGCGAACCAGGCAGTGGCACTAGCAGTATCATGCGAAGGCACTGGTTGTGGGGCACCCACACACGCCCGACATTTTCTGGCCCGATCTGGACATAGCGGCGACGGCAGAGGCTACAGTGGGAAAACGCCTCCTGCGCTCCAATTGGTACAAACACCAGACAACATTGAACACCATGCAGCATCGAGTTCAATTGGATTTGATCCAGAATGATAGATCTTGGATGCGTCCATCGTGCAATCCAATGTGGTCAGTGCTTGGTCGATGATAATGGGTATCATCGCACGCTCCATTTTGATACTCGCCTACCAAGGTCGCGAAGAATAGAAAGGGTGCTCATTCTGCGCCTTCCCACCCTGCCTCTTGTCGAGCGGTCCCCAAGGTCCAACCCTCAGTCCGAGGCTCCATCTCGCGCTCCATAAGGACTAGAGCGAAACACGGCTGCTCCTCATCCCCTACAAGGTGCAAACCTTTTCCCCGGAGGCGGCAGCCGTCCGACTAATACTTCTTGTACAAGAGTATGTTAGGTAGTGAGTGAGAAGCGCGGCCGGTTATCGCTAGCATCAACTTTCAATGTGCAAAATCTGCCGTCATTTCATGTACGCACGTGCAAAGAGTAACTAAAATCTCCGTTTTGGCTTGGTTTGAAATCCAAAGTCAATTTCCATCAGATTAGGTGCTTCCACATTGTTGATAATCTATACTTCATTTCTCGCGGGATCGGTGGATCAATTGGCCCTCCTGGCTAGTCTCGTGCGAAGACTGCGTGGCTGCTCTCGATACACGTACACTACCTACATCCATTGTGTAGGAGCAGTGTGCTGAAATGCTGGAGACTCTCGAGCAGTGGATCATACACTGAGCCACCAAACCTTGCCCGGACTTCAGGGTCCTGGGTCGAAGAGGGTCCAACACCAATGGCTCCGATCTGGGAGCTTGACCCAGAAGAAGCGCTGTACTCCGGGGTTTCGGACCCTGTCCTTCTCTCAGGAAGAAATGAAAAAAAAAAAAAAATTTTGAGGGCGAGAATCCCCTTCTCTTACCAAGCACAAAATATACCCAGATTCACGGTAGTAGCTAGATACTCGATAGGAAATCACACATCGCCGTTGCTGAAAATCTAGATTGTGGGAGCAGTCTTTGGAGAAGGAATATTGGTGTTATTACCACGCCTCTTATCCTCCAGCGTATTACGCGCTCATTTGGCCTGTTTTGAGCAAGTAATGGAAGTCGGCGAGGTGGGCGGTCGCCGTCCCAAGATGGAAGGCGGTGTGGGCTGGTAAATGCATTGGTGAACATCCCATCCAGAACTCACGACAGACCACCAAAACCCAGCCTGAATACCCATTTGACATCAACGACGAGAGCTTGCCAACGACAGCACAGCCGCCCAATAAATGGCCACAATGGCGTCCAAGGATGCCTCAATTAGCGCAGAGCGCCTTCCCATGCCCTCGAGGAACCCGCTACCGCTCTCCGCGACGCAAGAAGCTCAGGTCCGCGACATCTACTACACTCGCGTGCGAAACCACTGCGCTCCCGAGATCAAGGGTGAGAAAGCATCCCCCCTCCCCCTCACTCGCAACCCTCTCAAATCACTTCGTTCAGCATTGCTTTAGCAAGCAGCTTTTCGGATACAGTTCTCGTCCAAAACGGCTGCTTTCCCGACTTTTTCTTCCCCCTTCCTATGCCACGCCATTGCTAATCATCCACCTGGGTGCCCCTCTTCCGTAGCCTTTGCCGAATGCGCCGCCGGTCGAACTTTTACCGTCTCCTTCGCCTGCCGAGATCCTCTCCGTGCGATGAACTCATGCATGAAGTCCCATGCCACCCAGGCCGAGCAGGACGCCGCGCGGGAAGAGTGGTTCGCAATGCGACTTGCTCGACAAAGGAAAGGGAGCGCAAGTCGCTCAAGAAGACGGCGCAAGAAGATTTCATAAGGGAGTGGTGGGGAATGCCGGAGCGTGACGAGGAGTCGCGGCGGAAGCTCGCGGAGAAGCTGGCTCTAGAGGAGCGTGTAGGTGGAGCATCCCGACGACCCGGGGATGAGAAAAGTGATGAAGCCCGTGGAGGGAGAGGGGTGAGCGGAAGCAGGGGGAACGCCAGAGCATGCAGCAAAAATTTTTGCAATATGCTACCAGTGATATTGTCACAGGAACCAATGAGCTATAGACCGCGGATGGGAAAATCCGCATCGGAAATCACACTTTTGGGGCTCCTCTCAGCGGCGTCCCTTGGACCGCCCCATCGAAAACATCCCCCATCATATACCAGCAATTGTATAGTACGCCTATTTTTCATTCAGACAGTGTATTCTAGCCGCAGATAGAGGTCAAGAAGAGCGATTGATTAGTTTCATTGTTTTATCATACATCGGGAAGCTCGGATGGTCTATGCACACCCCATACAGCCGGTTAACTCGCTTGCTGATAGAGCGAAAAGGCAGCTTCAGCCACACCCCAAGAAATCTCGTACCCGCGGCCTCCGAGTCCGTACGCATGGATGATAGACCTTCCATTCCCGGCGTCCACCTTCTCTAGCCTCAAACCCCCACCCTCGTGGGTCGCCGGCCTACGATATCCTTCAAAACTCGAAACTCGCCTCCATCCTCGAGTATCTTGGGATACGTCGCGGCAAATTTCTCGAGGAGTCTGGCCCTCGTCTCGAGCGACGGCTCCGTGCTCCAGTCGTCAACCTCCTTGGTACCGCCAATGACGGTTCCGCCGTGAAAGTTGCGAGGAACGCTGAAGGACCAGGATCCATCCGAGTTCTGCCGCGTTACTGTAGCATCACAAGTATTGGCAACCAAGCAGGTTTGGCCTGGTCCCCCGGTTGTTAGTGGATACGGAGCTATAGCCGCGGGGGCGGGACTGAGTAATCTACAAGATCTGCCCTTTCGCGAGCACGGAATCATCGTTTGGGGGAGTAAAGGGGTCAAGGGGGGCATGGGGCCGGTAGAGTAAATCCCTTACCTCTAGTAACGAAGATTTTGTCATCGCCAAACCCAGTGCCCGAGCAGTTAACGACAACCTGGATACCCTCCAACTCTTTCATGGAGAATACTTCTTGGGGGTCCTCAAGTCTCTCTTAATAAACCTCCCGCCGGCAACAAAAAGTCGACGAAGAAGGTAGGAGCAGTAGACCATGGGATTTACACACCAGGTTCTATACTCGAAACCCCTTACTACACCTTTGGGGAGGTCCTTCTCGTCCAACTCCCTGAAATCCTCGTAGCCAAGTTCCTTGGCCGACCCTTCAGTCAGATGATCGTAGCCGCGGATACCAGCCTCGAGATATTCGATTCCCTTGAGGAAAGTTATGCCCGCCTCGGGGCTCTCTTTGCGAGGGCGTCCATATGACGAAAAGTGGCCAAGGCGAAACCGTGGTCACGCTTGCTGGTTTCGTCGAGAGGAGGAATGTATCGATTATGAGCGCCAGCCCATGGCGAAGAATAGTTTATCTGCTCTCGACCGTCCACGGTCTCGAAAGGTGAGGGGAAGGATTGAGCAACGACCACAACATCAAAACCCTGCTGCTGATATTTCCAAGCCGTGCTGAGGCCGGCAACGCCTGCTCTATGCTCTAGAATTAGTTTTCTGTAAATGCGCCTTTTATACCTTGGCAGTATCTTCCGAAAGCCACGGTAGTGAATCTTACCCGATGATGGCAACTGTGGGCATTTCTTTAGCTGAGTCGGTTCTCTTTTTTACTATGTGTGCTGATTTTTTCCCTTTTATGTCGAGAGGCTCCAGCCGTCCATAACTTGCAAACTTCCCAGGATATGAATCGGCGTCAAGTACGTTTCTTCGACGTCTTTCTTTCCCCCGAAAAAGTTTGATATTCAAGATGTGGCATAACGATTAAATGCACGTCTGATAAGAGGCCTCGCCAGCCCGCCACTCGCAGTGAAGTTGCCCTCGCCCGGTGACGGACCCCGCGGCTCGATGAGGGGTTCCTTCGGGCACTATGGGACGCTAGCTGGACGACTGCGCCGATCTATCCACCCGGAACATGTAAACACTTTTTTCCACTTTTTCCACTTCGTGATGCCGATAAAGTCCTTCGCATTAAGTGACGAACTACTAGAGTAGGCTGGAGCCTCGTCCTACGCGCTCTTCGAGTTACAGGCAGAAGAAGCTCGGCCAGGACATGTATATCTCCTCTTCCCCGCTCCTATAAAAATTCTAGTTACGGGTAACGCGAGTCATCGCTTACTATGAATGCGGTAAGTCATTGACAGAGATAGAGAAACAGCCGGTGGATTTGATATTTGGGCATGTTTAAAGGAGGGTGAGGGGTCCAAGTGCACCGTGGAGGGAGACTGACGAAGTCAACTGAGCCGCATGCGCCGAGTTGCTCCGGCCACACACACTTGCAGGCAGGGAGACGACGGAAGCTAGACTATCCGTGAGCTTACTGGTTTTCCTTGATGATGTTGTTGGGCAGTTCATTTACATGGATGCTTCAAGTATGAATGATTAATGCTCACGTACAAGCGAAGGGAAAGGAAACAACGGTCGCTCGCCGGGAAAGCACGGCATCTTTGTCGGTGCGTAATCCCTGAACGGCGACGAGCATAGCATGGCCCCAACCAAACCGGATAGAATGGGGTATTTTTAACAACCACGAGCCTGAGTTCCCACCCGCCGATTCTCTTATGCTGTTGGTGTCTGACCCCCAGAGGAGAAAAGGCTAAGGCTGCGTTGTATCGCTGTTTCCTGGACCTTCCAGGATTCTTATTTCCTGTTTCACAGCTATCCTCCTCGCTGACGGGGATGGATAAACTCCCGATAGACACACTTGACCCTGCTATCCCCCTTGGGTGACTCAATTATAGGGTTGAGACAATGTCCATTGAGAGAAACACCGATACCAGGGAGAGTGATCAATGCAGATGGACCAAACTTGGGGAAAAGAGGGGCTCCGGGGATGGGGATGTGGGAGAACGAGGCCTCAACTACGTGGGCTGGCTGATGGTAGATGGAACCCTGGATAACAAAGGGGCCGACTGGCTGAACGCACCCTCGGACCTCATGTTCTGTAATATAGAGGACACAATGAGGGGAAGGTACAGATCCCGTTCTGGCTCGATGTCGACAGGCAGTCTCCATGCAGCGAATGGTGGTGACGACAAAACCAAAAGACAGTCCTTGAAGTGCACCAGCAATTTCGAGAAAGGTGTGCCAACGACTGACAGAGTGTGGTTGATGACGGGCGCTGGCCCCAAACTTGCAAACCCCGTAAGATCCTCGAGGGTTGTAACCAACCCCCTCCCCGCCCCGAGGTGAAGGGTCGGGGAGGGCTGGTAGCCTTGAGCCCTCGATTATCCCATTTCTTAAGTCTCGACAACTAATACAACGCAAAGCTTGTTTGAAAATGGTATCAATCGAGTCCATTTGAACTAGAGCAATCAAAAAGCATTTTGTCAATTGATAAGGGTAAAAACAGTAATAGTTCACTTCATGTCGCTAGTCATCCTCGGGTCTCCCTAGGGTCTTCCTTCGCCTTTGGTCTAGATGCAGGTTGGCTTGTTTTTAACGCCAACAGCACAGCGCATGACAACCAAAGAATCAGAAAAAGGCGGGAGGAGAAAAAAACGCCGACTCTGACAGCCGCAGGGCCCGGAAGCTAGCTATTAATAAGACTGATCTTGGTTCTCTTCTTTTCCTCGTCTCGTCACCCGTCATTCACATCCCAACTGTACTAGCGTCTACATGGCAGAGGGCACAGGCGCGTTGACGATCTCGATCTAGTGCCCATGTCAGAACCTGCCGGTCTCGGTTAATGTGCGTGCGTTGTGGAAGAGGCACGATCTGTGTTGTGCAAATCCCAATAACTGGTGTGACGATAATGCAAGCAAGGAACATTAAAGACCAAACGAGGATACTTGTCCAAAAAAAAAAAAAAGAAAAAGAAAAAGAAAAAAAAAGAATGGAAAGAAGAGGGGAAACGGAAAAAGAACCTGGAGAAGGAACGAAGAATACTGCAGACAGCCAAGTCAAGGTACGAATTTTGGAGAGAGAAAATAGGAAAGAAAAAAGAAAAAAAAACAAAGACCTCGAGAGTCAACTTGCTCCGGCTCCTTCCCTTCTTCGCGTGGCTTGGACCACGGCCGTCCATGTCAATCCCTTCGCACATGAATTGATATCTGCCCGCATCAATCGCCAACATGGATCCATTTGCTTCTCGGCAGCTTCCTTCTTTTTCGCGCGTCTGTTCACCCCTGCCTCGGTCTCTTATAGGCTGGGAACAGGCCTCTGGTGCCGCTTCGAGTGATGGAGATCCATTGGATCGACTTTTGGATGGAACCATTGATCAAGTCCAATCCACCCCGACCTCTCCCATCCCTTGTCTGCTTCTGTCCCCCGGCGCCTAAGCTGCAGGTGACTCGTCGTGTGATTGGTCTGAGAGTGTGCCCGTTCCAGCATGAGCACCACCACGACTCTATTTTCGAGCGGTTTCGTCCAGCGGCACTCTGCACGAGCTCTGGCACCTTGCGCATAACCCCGCCTCACATTCGCCAGTCGCCTTCCTGCCGCCCCTCTCTTTTTCAACCTCATGGACGACCCCCTGGTTGTTCCCACCCCGCCTCGCAGTTTTCCTGCAGCCCACGGCCGACTCTCCGTCCATCTCTCGCTTGTGAGAGGCCAGAGGGGTCCGAGACGACATGGGTTCGACCTTGGGAAGAACGGTACCCGACAGGCTCTCCCAACCGCAACCACTGAGAGAACATTGCACTCGGTAAACTTGGCTCACTCTCGCGCGCCCCCTGCCCAGGCCACAGCAGAGAAAGCAAATATCAAGCCCCTCAGCGCTTACGCGGGGTGTGGCCAAAGTGGTGGGGTGTCCCTTTGTCGCAGTTGAAGTGCAGTCCATTCTTCATTGCTGAGTGGGAGAATGGAGATGTGAGGGCCGGAGTCGGGTGTGCTTGGGGAGGAAGGGCGAGGGCGGCAGAGCGCTTTGCTCTCGGACCCATTGTATATCTCTTTTCGTCATCCCAACCCTTCTCTCACACCCCGACGTCTCTTTTTTGGTTTTCTTATTTCCTTTCGCTATTTTTTATTTTATTTCCCTCTTCTCAAACCTCACGATAATTCTCGTTGTCTGTTTCTTTTTTGCCGAATATCGACTGTCGAAAGCGCGTGAAGGGGTCGACTGTGATGGGTAACGAATCTTCTGTTTCAACGTGTTAATGAAGCTTGCTACGCTTTCTCGCCGACCGCCTCTTTTCTAATACCCACGTACCGCGCTGTCTTCGCTAAACGAATCGCTCATTCTTGAGAATAGCAACATCAATTAAACCGTCACTTGTGTGGATTCGACGCCTTTCGAGAGCCACGGCCTAATACGACTCTAGCCTTTGGCCGCCGTTGATAGCACGGACTATATCACCAAGCACAAAACGCTTCTTCGTGAGACTCTAAGGAATTCGGGCGGGATCGTGATTACCACCAATGGCTTCACCACCGCCACCGGGAGGCTTCTCCTCTTCCCCAACACAAGTGCCTCGCCTCCTCGGCGGACGACGCCTCGTCCTTCCACCGGCACTAGCCCCGTAGACGGGCACCCCAGACTCGTCGTCGTTCCCGGACCCTACGCCAATATCACTCCCGGCTCACCTCCGAGGCAGGCGACGCAAAGCCCCTTGAACCGGGTGGGTTCCCCATGAGCCGGTCCATGGGCCCCCGCCTCAGGTTCCTGATAGGATAGAGAGCGCCTCTCCAGCAGTTCAGCAACCGCGAATGTTTGCCGATAACCCCCGCGGTCAGAGACTGCCTTTTCCCAAGCTCAGACACTAGTACGAAGTGGAAGCACTAGATCGAGGAGCTCCATCGCGAAACGCCCTCTAGAAGACGGCTACCACACCCAAGAGGAACCCGTGTTGAGGTCCATCTTCCCTCGTTATAACCCCGACGTATCACTGAACCAGCAAGAGTATTATCCCACCCAAGCCAGTCCCACCCACATCCCGAGGGCCGTCATTAGTAGGCCCATGTACTCTCCCGAGCCCGTTACTCCTCTGAGTCCACCGCCGCCGATAGATGCTGTCATGCATCAACACCAACGAACTGCCCAGCCCGCTCAGTGGGGGCCCGTCGCCCCGCCACAGCCTACCGGCCCCCACCTCTCCCCGAGGTTTCGACAACAGAGGACCTCAAGTCATTGTGGAGAGTGGCTAATGGTTGGAAAGCCTCGCATTCGGAGGGACAGGTGTACTGCATGAAAATGACCATGGACAAGGATGCCCCTATGTACACCCTCTCATCGACTACCCAGCCATTCTACTACTTCCGTGTCAACCCCACATCCGCATCTGCTATTGTAACTCTTTCGAGGCACGACCCTGCCAAGATATGTAAGGGACCGCCGTCATCCGGCTCAACCACGAGATCGGGAAGCACTCGGAGCAGCATTTTAAGCATCCCTCTTAGTCCCAAGTTTGCCGATAAGCACTGGCAGGAGGTGCTAAGCACCTCACTTGAGGCGAGCTCTCGGCGGCACCGTCCCAACGACGGCCTCGTGGCACATCTCGCCCCAACGCAGGCCGTCAAGATCATGGCCGACAAGCCGGAGGACGAGGGTGCCGCATATCTAGCTGAGCTGGAATGTGCGCGTCTCGTGTGGGATGATGACTCGTCCAGCCACTTCCTAGTACACCCGGCCCTCGCGACGCCATTTTGCGTTACCGTCGAGCGCTGCGCCGCATGGAGTCGCGTGGAGTATACCCTCGAGCATCACGAGTCGCCCAATCACCTTGCGCGTCTCACTCGCGACGGCACCGGGGTAGGATACCTCGAGGTTGACACCGCCCTCGCCTCCAAGATTGAGAGCTATTTCCTCATTGATGTCGCGGTGGCCGCCCTCCTCACCGTGGCCGCCTCCGACGCCCGTGCCGCCGCCGCCGAGACTTTTGAGCCCCCGCCAACCCTCCCGATATGGTCCACCTCGCGACCCCCGCTCCGACCGCTTCAGCCTCGTTACCAACGCCATTTCGAAGAAGCTGACGAAGAAGGCGCCGACCCACGAGTTCGAGATCTACGACGTCGAGAGCCAGGAAGACTATGGCTCCAAAATGAAAAAGGCCAAGAAGTTGAAGGCCAAGAAACCCAAGCGCGACGGGTCGAGGTTTAGGGATAAGCTACCCTGGCCCGCACGGATTCTCGTGACGATTGGTCTAGGGTTAGGGAAGTGCCTTCTCTGGGTAGTTACCTGCGTGCTTAAGGTGGTTGTGTGGTTCGTGACCGGGGTACTCAAAGCCCTCGGCCTTGTTGGGACGACTAAGTGATGACATGTTTTTGGAGGGGTGCTGTCAGTTTTTATAGCGGGTTAATGTCGGAGGGGAAGAACATGATGATGTGCTTTTGGATGGAAGGAGTTCATGCGGCTGGTTTTTTTTTTTTTGCCTTTTCCTTTTCTCATTTACCATTTCAGTATTTGGGGCCTTTTACCTTTGTCTCCTAGTGCCCATCAGAAATGGAGCGGAGACATGTCTATTTTGTCGTCGGAAATGCCTTATCCTCCCCACGATAGCTTGAGGGAGAGGAAGGAGGGTAAAGAGTCTCCGAGAGCTGGGCATACTCAAGTTCGACTCACCAACGCAGCTCGTCCCGGCGTATATCCTTTCATGTATATCTAGAGAAACCCCACATGGTACATAGAAATCACGATTCCCCCTTTTATCATCTTACGATTTCTACACGTAGGCAAAGAGACACCATTTTGAAGACAGTTTCGTCTGGCTTCGCATGTTTATTCTGAGGTTGTATTCTTCACGCCCACAGCACTGCTTGCTGGCTAACTAGTCCGAGAAAAAAACTTGATGTGTCGAGGAAAAACGCCGCTCATTTTTTGTGCTTTTCACCCTTGCCCGAAAACGCCGATTGATGTAGAAAGAGAAAAAGAAAATGTTTGCCTAATCCCATCTTTTTCCATGGAGTGCCCGATCCCACGACAGGTAATACATGCGTATCCCGTCTACTTCTTCCTCTTGCGAACCATGAGCTTCTTGCCTTTCCTTGTAGATCCGCCCGAAGTAGCCGTCTTGGCCATCTTGGCCTGCTGGACCTCGAGATACGCTTCCACCTTGCGGAGGCTCTTCAGTTTCTTCTCAGTCAAGGCGAGTTTGTTCTCCAGCTTCTCCAACGCCTCCCCACCCTGCTTGCTAATCTCGCCCCCTGAGGACCCGCGCCGCCCTCGTCACTCTCCTCGAGCGCGCGGTCATCCTCGCCAAACGCGCCAAGGTCGTCCTCGTCCAGCGCGGGAGCGCCCGTCCCGACATTGGCCCTCAGCATCTCCTCCCGCTCTTCCACGCCCTCGGCAAATATGATTTTCGTCGGCACGGAGGAGACGGCGCCGTCGGCCGCCGCCGCACTGCCCCCGCCATCACGACCCTCCGCCGAAGCTCCGTCACCTCCTTCCGCACCACGTTGGCCACCGTCCGCACGTACGCCACGTCCTGCGTCTTGAGAAGACGCACGAGGTCCGTGTCCAGCGCCGCGTTGCCCCTGTCGCCCTCGACCTTGCCCGTGAACCCTTTGCCCCGTACGATGGCGGAGCCGGGCCTTGCGGGAGTGCATGCCAAAGTAGAATTCATCTTCGTTGCGCTCCGAGGCTTTGAGGCGGAGGGCTTTGAGGTGGGCCTTCTTCTTGTTGTAGTCTTTGGCGCGGAGGGAGTAGTCCTGTTGGCGGTGTGGGAAGGAAGACGTTAGTCGAAAATGGAAAACTTGGGGTCTCTAGGATCAAAACGCAGCGGGGAAGATGATGGTGAGGGATGTAGAAGTGATTGTACGAACCTTGTGCTTCTCTAGGATACCGAGGTGGCGGCGTTCGTGGGGCTGGGCTCGCTCGCGGTGAGGACGCCTCTGAATGGCGTTACGCATAGAGGCCGACATCTTGCCTCCTCGCTCCCTGGGGGATCTCTTTGTGTTGGTGGAGGGAAGGTTTTCTTTTGTCTTTTTCTCGGTCGATCGGTCGGCTCAGGTCATAGTGTATAGTTCCGCAGCTATATATTCGTTTCTACCTCTCGTTTGTGTTGGAAGGGAGGGTGGCTGTCAAGATGTCACAGCCTGGCTTCTGATTGAGGAAGCGTGGAAAATTATTATCAACTAACACTACAAAATCTTTCTTTCGCTCGCCGATGCTGGAGGGTGGAGTGTGGGGTGCGATTCGTATTTACCCGAATATCACCCGAGAAGTGCCTCAAGTGCTGGTGCGAGGTGAAAGACCAGCCAGTATTCTCGAACAATAAAGAATAAGCTCGCCTCTCCACTTGAACGTTTACAATTGTTTCAACTCGTCCCGCAGGTATGAAAGAGAGAGCATTGGGTCCCGGGTGAACCGCTCCTCGAAATAATCCACCGACTAGGTTTTGCAGATCTCTTCCTCATCACGACCGCTGGGTCTCACCATCTTGGTCCTCACGCCTTGAACTTGATTGGAGAATGTCGGCAACTGTTAGCTTGGTGCCATCAATGTGATACATGCATCTAGAATGAGGGTAGAAGCGTATAGGCTTCATCTCAAGACATCCATAGATGTTGACTTTCTTCATCCGCTTCCTTTGGACGAGAGCAGCATCTATGGACTCCTAGTTGATAGCGGATGGGCTAGAACTTTCCAACGGTGGGCCTGGGCGAATGCTTATTACTACACGGATTCGTACAGCTAGATCCATCATATTGGAGCACGAGGTGGAACCTTAGTCAAGCCCGCCAATAAACAAACAATCCGTCACCAAAACGCGCCGTTCTAGCCTCAAGCGGGGCGGATGATGTAGATCAGCCTCGCCTCATGATAACCTTGTTCCGTCTTTAAAGGGGACCAGGTTCTTGTTTCAACACTCTATGCTTTTTTTCTTCTTTTTTTGGTGTGTTCATACTTTTCATGTGCTCACATTTCGTCTGCTCGTCATGAATGGGCTTATTCCATAACGACGAGAGGATATCCGCCCCCATCTCGCGAGGTTGGTTATGCATCCGTCAACCAACGTCGTGAAACGTCAAAAGGAGGAGGGAAAGCGATTCGCCTGTTTCTACGACGCCACATAGCTACAGCTGGTGAGTTTATTGACATTTCACCATCCATGCACAGCTACTTGTTTGCCTAATTGCCTTCCACGCGGGTGAAATTCTAGCACAAGTCAACTAAAGGATCTCACTAGTCCGTGCAAAAACCTTCGGTGCTGTCATTTAGGCGTAAACGACTGTCCGTCTAAGTTAGGCTCTCCCAATATGGATCAATTAGCACCACCAGTCCGCTGTCGCCCGAAGCCACCAGTGTCACTCCCTAACCGGCGCCGCCTGTTCCGCTTGCCATTCCAGTCGGGTTGTACAGGACCGAGGATGGTGGGGGCGGCGGTGGTACACATGAGCTCGTCCGCATCCCGGGTGTTGTTATCCATAATACCATCCTGGAAAGACGATGCTTATAATAGACTCTAGCACGGAAAACCGGGTAAATTTGGTCATGTTCACCTAATCCTCACAAGAGTCAAGTCGCACATTTTATATCTTTTCTCAACCACCGCAGACCCAAGGCCAGAACATGTGCGTTCATTACGATTATATTCAAGTCGGAATGTTGTCCAACACAACGAGCCTATTCTGTTCTTTTCCGAATTCCTGAGTTCAAATATGAGGGGAACAAAGGGATAAAATTATCAAAGATAGATACCGAGCTCCACATCAGCCTGGGCCACATACTCGAGAGGAGCAGCCCTTGATAAACTGGTGGGAGAAAGACGACAAGAGAAGAAAAGCAACCAATGACAGACGCCGGCGCCAAAAAGTATGGCATGATATCACCTTCCGATACTTGTGCTCCAACTATTCCTAGCATTAGATGGCTTACATAAGAGCGAAACCAGCGAAGAATCCGCCGAGAACGACGGCGAGGCCAAAGTGACGGGCGAGGTCAGCCGCCTGAGCAGCACCCGAGTCCTGTCCGAGGTTGGTGATGACCTCATCGTCGGCGCTCTTGGTGGAAGTGGCCGTGGAGCTGGTGGTAGAGGTTGTCTTGTTGGGCGGGGCGGGGTCTTGGGCACCGCAAGGGTTGTCTTCACGGCAGGCGCGAGAGCATTCGTTGTTTTGCCCGCAGGCAAGGACGCACTGGTTGCCGTACTCGGTGCAAGTGAAGTAGGGGAGGGTGAGGGTGTACTCGGAGATGTTGGGCTGCTGGCCGTTGCCACAGATGCAGCCGTAAGTCAAGGCCTCCTATTCAACGAACAAGGGTTAGTGACAATGCTCTGATCTGATGAGGGGTCTTGGGAGCTCAGAGCTGATCGAGTTTATCACGTACGGGATCGCAGTCGTTGACCATGGCAGGCCTGTCGTCGACTAGGCGGCAGATGATGGGGCAGATGCGCTTCTCGTCAAGACACCAGGCCTCTGATTACAAGTCTCGTTAGTTAATGGGCTTAACACAACACGTCTGTCTTCTCCATGACTTACTCCTCGTGGAGAGAGGGACCGAATCGGGCTCGATGAAGTAGTCGGCGTTGGCAATGGCAACGAAGGCGGCGGCAACGGCCAGAGAAGTGGACCTGAAGGAAGGCATCGTGACTTTCGAGATGTGTATTAAGGTGCTGTCAAGATTCGAACTAGGTTAGCATCGCGTCGTGAGAGGCCGAGTCCACCATCAGGCAGTAGGATGGCGACATGAGGGTTATATGATCTAGCAACGAACCTCTTGAAGCAGGCAAGTGGGAACGGGATTAGAGAAGAGGTGGGCGTAAACAATACAGGAAGCAAGGCAAACTCGCTATCAAAAACAAAATATAGAGAAAAAGGCTGATGCTATATGAAGAACGAACGTGGGAATACTGGTATGAGCGAGTGACGACGAACAAAGGTCGGATTAGAGAGGGGATGGAATAGAAATTAAAGAATGGCAACGGCACGCACGGGAAGCACAGGAGAGGGAAAGGGAAAAAGGAAAACCGGCAAGTTGAAGAAGAACGGAAAAGCAACACGAGAAAAGCCAGAACCCCGGATTCTGCAATTTTAATCTTGGCTGGCCCACCCGAGAGGAATCCAAATGGGAAGGGCAGAGGGAGGTCCGGGGCGACTAGCGGGCGACGAAAGGGGGAAAGGACGCTGAAGCAAGCGCAGCGGGAGTGACTTTGCTGGCCTGCAGCTTGCTGCGCGAAATGAATGTAGCGTAGAGTCGAGTGCGGTGCCCAATTCTTTCGGATGCCCACCAGACAGCAGAGAGGAGCGACCCGGAGTACCTTCCAGGTACATGACTTGGCGCGAGACACTGAGGAGCTTTGGCCCATAGTGGGCGTGTGTGTATGTGGTTTCGCCTTGGCCAGCACCAGCGTCCGGAGCGGAGTACTTTGTATGACTACTACTGATCACCAGCCAAGCCAGCATCGTCCACATCTCAAGTACTCTTGCAGGTACCGACTTGCTGAGCGCTGGCTATCTCTCGATGAGGGAGCTAGGCCTGATCGACAAAGCTCTGTTCCTGGATTTGGCGCACTTCTAATAATACCAAAGAACAATTCGAACCTTGTTGCTCGACATCATCAAATCGAGGAGTGAGCTCAGAACATCAAGGATAGATCGCCCTGAGAGAGCCACGGTCGGGAAGCAAGCAGCGGCCGTGCTCGACATTCTCCTTGGGGGTCATCAAGGATGATCGCCGCCGGACCCGCGACTGCGCTTTTACTTTTCTTTTCGCTGTGGAGATGTGAGCTACTTCGATGCTATCTAGTCACAATGAGAGCTCGCGCCACCCACTTACATTTTGACCAAACAACACTACTGATGGCACTAGCTCTGTATTACATGTGCGCTATATTGTCCTCCGTATCGGGGTCTTCCTGGGCGGATTGTCGTTCAGCAGCCTCGACACATCAAATTCGTCAATTTCGTCCTTATCGGCGCCTCAGCCCGGTTTGAACTCTTGGATCAACATCGAATTTCCACTTTCAATCAAGAGCGCACACCCCGAACCCTCCCTCCTCGTTTCTTTTTTTTTCTTTTTTTTTCTTCTTTTCTATATCCCTAGGATTCAAATTTCCGTTTTTGTCTGACGAACTCGGAAAAGGCGATTCCAAACATGCCGACCTACTACTGCCCATCAACTGTCCACCTAGTCAGGAGTCCGGAGGTCAGCCTCGGAAACCAACAAAACGGTGCATGAGCCAAACATCAGTGGCGGGAGTGGGCATTTGAGCGATGCTGGGTAATCTCACTGCAGCACAGGCAATTGGTGGAGGACTTGGCCCCTTGTCTCCCGTGCATACCGTGCCATACAAGACACACGGCGGAGTGAGGAGGGTCCGCCTTTACCTCAGGTCCGCTCATGCACCAGCATGCCGTCGGTATGTGCTTGGAGTGCGAGTCGTTCCACCCAGCAGTGAGCTGAGAGGGTTGGCGGGCAGGGGGACCCACAAACCCAGTCCCAGGGCTTTTCGGGCGTCAAGCCATCCGTGAGAGGGTGTCGAATAATACGACGCTTAGCGCCAAGCACTTCGGATCAGTTGACACCACACAACTTTTCTGATAGCACGGTGCAGATGGGTCTGTCACAATAATACATCAATTCCAGACGAACGCGTACTTGTATGCAGCCTAACCCAAGATACTATATGTCTGCAAGTATCAGAGCGGATGGGGACGATCGGGCTCGCCGCCTAGGAGGGTGTTTCTGCTGCTGCTATTGTTGTTGTTGTCGTTGTTGGCGTGTATGAAGGGCAACGTGCAGATCTACTCAACATCCACCGAGTGTACATCTCAACTCCTTCACCATATGGATCGGGAACGGATGTGACTGGAAAACATAACCAGTGAGACTGGGCCAGCTTGCAGCGAAGGCCCCTCTCTGACGAGCTCTCGGTCCAATTCTGGGACGAGAAAGCATCAACCCATACTAGCCCTAGTGTAGTATACTGCAGGGACCAATTCTGCTATTGTGGTCAACGGTTCACTAGCCCAAAAGAGGAGCTCAATGATGAATGGCTTCCTTCTCTCACTAACCCCAAACACCCAAATACCAACTTGAAGGGAGTGGAACCATCCGCAGAAACCCGACGCCTAAGCTCCACACACTCAGAGGAGACTAATGGGGCAAAGAGGCATCAGATTGGGTCCTTGATGCGATATTGACAATGTATCACTTGAGTGCATGCATCTCTTTGGGTGGCACCTAGGGTGCCAACCAACTTGTAACATCTATTTGACTTGGCCAGCCCATCGGTGGTGCACCATTTGCGCCGCTGAGGTGCTCCACGGTCCCGAACCAGGCAGTTGATTCAAGCCCATGGATCCATCGATCGATGCGTTGCTGAAACCCAGATCTCTTTCCCTCCTCATTAGGCGAGGCCCTGACAACGCACTTCGGGCTCTGAGCTTCCAAGATCATCAAAAGATATAATTAGAGCTGTTCATCACATGCGGTTGGACATATGTGCTTCAACGTCCTTTCGTCCAGCCGTCTTGTCGGCGTTTGCAGTGCGTTTTGAAACTAGCTCGAGAACCTCGCAGGTACAACCAGTCCGCTCGCTTGGCGTTAGCGTGGGAGTGGGATGGGAAAAATTCCCCATCCACACACGCAGCGCGAATTATAATGGCCGCGGGGGAGCAAGCCGAGTTGCATGTAAAGATGATTCAAAGGTTTATCCTCCCGCTGCCCACTTGTGCGAACAACCCGGCGATCGAGTCTGAGCGACTATACCTGGATCCCCGCCCATCCACTCCAGCCGATGGCCACGTTATCAAGGGTAGTCTTGGGAGCGACGAGTTTGCGAAAGTCTTTGTGAGTGTCTTGCATTTCTTCCATGTTTTACGGTCTTGTTTCTCTAGTCTAGTGGATATCCAAGGGCGGGGTCTCTTCCTCGTCTTCTCCCGACACGCTGGTCTCACCTCGCAAACCCTCGCATCGCCCAGCGGCGGAGGCTAAACGCCCAGTGGAGATCAAGGTTGAAACACCCAGAAGGACCAGACGTTGAATGCGCTGCTGGCTTGCGTGAGGGTCAGAGCCCGCCCATCCTAAAAATACGAGCCACCGACCCGTGTCTAGAACACCCAGCGCGAGCTTCCCTCACCACCCTCACGGCTCGTATTGTTGCCCACATGCAGTGCAAACCAAAGCGGACGTATGACTTCCTGTTTACTGCATATACGCCGCGAAATAGAACTAGAGAAGTCTAGTACTCCGTGTCAGTGAGGCCAAGGATCCATCATTTGTCGAGGCAGAGTCATGAAGTCGCCACGATCTCTTCCCTCCCTCGGCAATTCACGGACAACGCCGACAGGATGGTTCAACGTTTTCTCATGATAGAGAGTGGGGGACCCTTCAATACCAGACTCTACCATCGCTCACGAGGCCAAGGGGCAGGCAAACTATTTTTTCTGCCCTGACTCCGTGAACTCTACACTAAAACAAAGCAAAGCGGGTCGCCGTCAAGCTCAAGGGTCAGGAAGAATTGAGTGGAAGGCACAAAAGGTAGTTTTCTGGCTGCCCTTCTGTCCTCCAGTGGCCGCGTCCCGTTTCAACCTTGTCCGGGCTCCGTCCCCAAATATCCTCCGAAAGGTGCCACAATTGATCGACATCAAAGTACTTTGGTGGATCTTCAGGCGCAGAACAAAGGAGGGACAAAAAGAAGGAGAAAGGCCCCCGCACCTCGACCTGGGTTGATAGATTGATTTTGACTACCACTCGTACCGAGGTATTACTGGCTGTGGTGACGAAATGGTCCATGCTGTGTTCGTGTCACGGTAGCGCCTGCAAGCTTCCGAGAATCATCCTCATTGAATGGATACGTACAATGGATTGATGGATCCGTGGATGGGGCGTGGGGAAGCTCCCTGCGAAGAAGCACCAAGCAAGCACCACCAACTCCATGGATGACTTTTATCAAGCCACGTGAAGAGGTAGTTCCAACCTCGTCAAATGTTCTCAGGCGACCTCACGGTCTCGCTGGCCTCCCGCTACAGGCACCCGATGTTGTAAATTGATGAGTACCAGAAAGAAAAGGGAAAAAGTTCCCGGGCCGCTCTCAAATCGATGGGACCCATGGCCGTGCCAATCGTAAAATCAAGGAAGTTCGATATTGACCAGCCAGTTTTCAACATCGATATTGATGCACAAAGTTCCTTTTGCGCTCGAGGGTCCTTTTTCTTGGCACAGAGCCCGTGGAGAGGTCCTCCAAATGGGCATTTGCTCCGCGAACGTCGCATCCACTGCCGGTAGCCCCCATGCTAACGGAGCTTTTTCTTATCCCCTGGACCTACACTAGTGAGCGTCATGTTGCATAATAAGCTCCCGGCCAGCCATTAACCCAATCCATGCATCCATTGGATGTATGTTTGCTTTCAACAGTTCAAGCCACCCGCGACCAGAGGCGCCCTCAATGGTTTCCTACGTGTGTGCGCCGAGGACGTGGCTCCATCAGGCATGAACCATCTCACGGAACCCTGATAACAAGAAAGCAAGAAAAAGGTAAGAAAAAAGAGGATATCATCCATTCATTCGCTCATTCTTGGTATGGTGGTTTGTCTTTGCTAGAAGCTCAAGTCTCATCACGTCTTTTTAAGTATTTTGGACCCCTGCTTTCTCAGTTCCTGAACTGCACTAGTAGTACCTTAGTGCCCATGGAGATCCCCTCTCCGATCAACGGAATCTGTGTTGAACAGCTCGCGCACCATCAGTTCATCTCCGCACCGGCCTGTCCTTGTCCGTGTCCGCTAAACCTTGCCAAGACAGGCCGCTTCGCCGTTAAACCTTGCCTTACAATACGAGGGGGTTGATATCGGAGCCCGCCATGCCCTCCATCTCGGGAGTCGGCGGCGGCAAGTTGCCAACCTTGGTGCAGAGCCAGCAGGAAGCGTACATGTTGACCCTGTCAATGCACGGCGTCGACACGCCCCTGTCCCCGACGCTCTTGGGCGAAAACCCGTAGGCCTGAAACTCTTTGAGATACCACGGGGCCAGCGCCGAGGATCGCAGGAGCACGCGGCCGCCCATGGCCAGAGCGCGGTTCAGCCGCGAGATTTGGCGAACCGCGGCACCGGGGTCGGACGGGTCGAACCAATCCATGCTGTCCATGACCACGGCGATGGTCAGGGTGCCGGGCGTGATGCGGGCAATCACCTCGTCGAGCTCATCGGTATGGATGCGCAGCCCGTCGAGCGCGCCGGGCTGGGAGAGGCGCGCGTGGGTCTGGGCGCGGAGGTAGTCGGGGTGGCAGCGCGGAGAGAATTTGCCGGCGAGGCAGACGTAGTAGTACGGGTTGTCGGCGGCGACGTGCGTCTCCTCGGCCACGGGATCGAGGGTGTCAACCATGTACTTCCAGATGGCGTGGGACCGCTTGTTCTTGGAGGTGGGGTTGGCGCCCCGGACCTCGTCGCTTTCGGCGTGGTCCTGCTCAATCATGGCGAGCTGGTTCTTGGGCACGCCCAGCGCGGCCCAGAGAAAAGCTTCCTGGCTGACGACGAGGTTGCAGATGAGGCGAGAGAGGAGGGCGGGCCGTATGCGGTTGCGCCAAATCTCGCGCTGCTCGTTGAGGGTCTTGGCGTCCAGGATCGAGTTGATGGCGCCGCGGCACCAAACAGGCGCCCGATCCAGCGGACGACGCGGATGGCGTGGCGGGAGCCGCCCGTGTCGTACAAGCCAAACTTTTCTTGGTAAACACGTCGACGTTGGCGACCCAGTACTGGAAGGCGCGGCTGGAAAGGTGAGGCGACAGTTTGGTCATGAGGAGCTCCCGGAAGCGCGGATGCTTGCCTTCGCCAAAGAGCATCCAAAAGTCCTCGTAGGGAAGCGCGGTATACGAGGCAACCTTGAGCTCGAGTAGGTGGTTCTGCGTGGGGTTGAGGTCGACCGCGTGAATACGGGCTGGGCCCTGGCGGGCGTAGGAGAGGATGTTGTCGCCGGCGCTCGTGATGGCGAGAATCACGTCGTCGGGACCGATCTTGAGGATGCGCTCGTCGACCCGGGCGTCCTCCCACGTAAAGGCGTAAATGTACTCATCGTTGAACTGGGTATGCTTCTTGAGCTGGTCATCGTAGTAGATTCTCCAGTGGTGGTTCTGATAGAAGAAGGCCGGGAGAGGTAGGTTGGCGGACAGGTTCTGGACGGCGGTGAGGAAAGCCTTGGATCGGATTTCGGGGGCAGAGCGCTCGATGGCGCGGCTCAGAGCGTCGCCGCCCCTGTTCGCGGGTAGGAGGCGAGGGGACTCGGTCACGAGGGCATCAATCTTCTCCACGATCTCGTGCGGGAGGGCGGAGGAGGAAAAGGGGGCCTTGTGCACGCCGACCCAGACGTAGTAGGGGATACGGCCAAGAGACTTGTTGCGGCCGTTGATGGTCAGCAGGGTACCGAACTTGTACTCGAGGTAGTCGCGGCGACCGGGTTCGAGGCTGACGCGGTCAACGTCGAACCAAGCCCTCCAGAAGCTACGGGTGAAGAAGTTGACGTGACGGTCGACGAAGCCGCCGGTGAAGTTGCGGAACGAGAAGTCCACCTTGGATTGTGTGTAGAAGTCGACAACGCCAAATAGGCCGCGGGGGAAAGGAGATGGGAGAGGGAATCAATGACGGAATGATAGTCGGGCTATCCGGCAGCCAGTATGGTTAGCAACGTTTGGTTTCCTCACAGAAGTGGTCTAGGAAGGGTCTAGATCAGGGATGATACGGGACTTACAATCATGGAAAGGCTGTACGACATGGTCACGAGGTCAGCACCGCCATGCTCCGGCCTCTTGGGCGCAAAATAGCTGTAGCTGGAGGACTTGGTGGGGGTACGATCGCCGGAGAGGTCACTCTCGTAATCCTCGAGGCGAAACTTCCGCGCGTCCTCGCATACAACCTTGACGTTGTCCCAGCCGAGCCTCTGGAAGCGCTTCCTCGCGACCTCGCAGAGGGAGGGCGAGAAATCGACAAGGTAGACGCTCGAGAAGAACTCGGGGACGTTGACGAAGCGGCCCATGGCCTCGATATTGTAGCCTGTGCCGCCACCAACCTAGAGAGATTTCTGCAATAAGCGCCGTGTTCACGCCAAATGACCAGGACAAAGGGGAGGAGGCGGGTCGAGAAAGGGGAAAAGGGGGGCGGTGGGTTTCTCGCAGAAAACATACATCAACCCAAATCCTGCTCTTCTGACTCTTCGCAGCGCCATCATTCTGCGCAGCCACGGCTCTCGCCTGGAGCTGCGCGGCAACGAGCCCGAGGAGGTCCTCGCGGCCCTGGAGGAGGACGCCGCGGGTGGCATCGTAGGCGCCGGCTTGCCTCCTGTAGAAGCTCTCGAGGGCATCCTGTTGGGTGCCCGTGCTACCGTTGGTGTGGGGCTTGAGGAAGCAGGAATAGAAGAAGAGGAAGAAGGACTTGATCAGCCCCGGAGGCTGATCGCCGAGCCCGGAGCGCTTCGCGGGCGTGGCGAGGGAGTAGAGGCAGATGCTGCCGACCAGGGCGGCGGCGACACCGGCCAGAAGGGTTTTGGAGTCCGTGTCCGGGGTCATCGTGTTACCACCAGGAAAAGCCATGGTACTCTCGCATCGCTTGCCCTCGGGGAAGTAGGCGGCGTGCAGTTGGTAGCTGTAAATGTTGAATCTACCTTGCAGGAGCAAAGGGCGAAGGAGAGGAGGGGAAGAGGAATAATGTAGGGTAGTGACAGAGAAGAACGAGAAAGGAGAGGGGACGCGTGAGACCTCCTAGTCGGCCACGGCTCCCTAGGACCTTTATACGGTTGGTTAGGGACGGAGAGCGGGAGACAATGGCGCTACGAGCGGTATGGAATCTGGACATGAAAGCCTTGGTCGAATGCCAATCGCTCATGCTGTCGCATGCTCTCGGCAAGGGACAGGAGCAGCCCATCGCCGGTTCCCTCAGTTTGTCCATCAACTTCAAGCGAGTTCCGGCCTCGATCCTTGTAGTTCATAGTCGCATTTGGCTAGAGAGCTTATCTCCTTTGGAGGGGGCAAGGAAAGGGAAAACAGCATTGACGCGACTGGCGATCATCTAGCAGAGCTACAAGGCCATCACCCCACAATGACTTGGATCGCAGAGGCATCGCAGAACGGGATGGTTGTACTGTATTGTTGAATTGGGGGTATAGCCCGCTGGAAGCTACCCCTCCCTCCGTCTCCCACTCTATCCATAGATCCCTCTCTCTCTCCCTCGGGTCAATTGAGTGAGTGCCCCTCCAGGGCTGACACGATGTGCGAGGGAGCTCAGCCATAGGTCCAATTTCAAGGTGTGGCTACTTTTTTTTCTTTTCCCACAACGGCATCGCGGTAGTAGTTTCGCAGACTCGAGGGAACGGCGATGGGTGGAGGTCGGGTCGGAGGTTTTGCCGGTGGGGGACGGGCGACGACCAATGAGTGGACCATGTGGGCGAAGCCTGTGGCCCTACCGCGGCGTTCGCAAGGGGAGGCAACCCTTTTTTCGTTCGGTTGGGACCCCTGGATCTGTTCCGTGACGTGCAATTGGCACTAGGCGGGGAAAAAGAGGGAAGAAAATGTGGGGGTCCTTTTTGGGTTAAGTGGATGCGGCGAGGTTTCGTGCTGGGGAAAATAGTCTCACGCCAAGACAAGCAGAGAGAGAGAGAGAGAGAGAGGGCGCGGGGAAATTCGCGAGGGAGGCATACAAAGTGTGTAGCTGGGAGGGGAGGGATTCTAGACCTTTCTTGGTCGGGTTTGTAGATATCTTTTGAGTAGAAAAAGGAAAAAGAACTTTGGCTTGGAAGAAGCAAGAGGACTGATGCAGGGTCCTTCCTTCCCATCGTCTTCTTTGCATCCCCATGTGCTACAAGGGATTTTCCACGAGCAGTTCCCCCAGCCTTCGGGAGACCTCGGCATATCCAGTCTGAGATTGTAGAGGGAGCAGGGACGCTAGTTCATATCGAGTTGTGCTTCCTTGTAAAAGGTTGGATTTCTGTCGTTCACTCGATGATCTTGAGCACGGGGTGGGCAGGCTCGTCAGTTGGCCGGTTTGGGGATCAAACCAGTCTTAGATCGCCATGCTGTACTCGAGAAGCCCCGTGGGATCCCGAAAGTCTCCCAGATCCGAGTCACTTGTGCCCAAACGAGCAAGTCTATTTCTACCCACGTCGAGATACTTCGACCCATGAAGGCAAAGGCTAAGATGGGAGACGGACATGGATTGTACATGTAGGATCTAGAACAAAGAGAGGCAGGGAACTTGAGAGTTGCAATGACCCCCATTAGCGAGTCGGGGAGAGATTGGTGCAGGCAAAATCGGAGCAAGCTAATAGATGGGATGGCTCTAGTAAACAAGTGCAGGCTTAGTTATCCGTCCTCCCCGTCCGTGTAAGTCGGGCGAAGAAGCCCCGTTTACGCCATTGACGGCGGTTTCCGGAGCCGAGATTCTCCAGGAAACAGATGAAGTCAATACCAGACTTCTCCGAGATAGAGCAAAAGCAGAAATCACAAATCGAGCACATCAATCATGTACATATCGCATAGCTACGTGGTCCGCAGTGGATGGGGAGTAAATACACTCAACCTTGTTCAATTGTTCAATAATATCTACCTCGAAAGAAGAGAACCGTAAGATACAAAGACTTTGATGCGGAGCAAGAAAAGGGGATGAAGAGAGAAGGGAAAAAGAATTCGTCAATAAAGTAGAAGAAGATGATGAATAAAAGGGAAAGAAGAAGGGGGGCGTAAGACAGCCGCCCCTGTACGCGTATGTCGATGTTAGGGTTGGGGTGAAGCTCGTCTTGTTCAGATTCCGTTCCTCTGGCAGCCGGATTTCTCGACGATTTCGGCCGGGCACTGGACCTGCTGGAAGGTGACGGTAGGGTTGTCGGCGCCGCCGAACCAGTCGAACCGCCACTTGCAGCCGGGCTTGAGCTTCTCGGGGAAGCTGTCGCAGTCGGCGCCGTTGCTGATGCCGCCGTAGCGCTCGCCCCAACCGTTGGGGGCGATCCCCACTGGTCGGTGCAGCCGTTGAAAATGCCGACACCGCCTCCGGGCATCTGCGGATACCTCCGAGTTAGTGACCGGGACATGAGCCGGAGGAGACAAAAACAAAAAACAACAACAAAGAATGGGAGAAACCACCAGGAAAAAGAAAAAAGACCCAAAAATGAGACAAGGGCAAGGAACGTACCGCAATATCAAAGTGGTTCTCGCCGAGATCGCCACCAGTGTTGGTCGCCTGCACAATCATCTTCTTGCCATTGACCGGCCCACTCGTAAAAGTAAGCTCGTAGCAGGCGCAGCACCAATCCGACTCGGTCTGGCCGTTGATGCGCACCGCCGCCCAACCGTAGGCGAGGTTGTCGTCGACGGCCCACGGGCTGTGGCTCGAGCACATGTACGCGCTGCCGCCGTTATCGCAGCCGGACGCGGTGCCGCCGCCGTCGTTGAGGGGTTGTCGCTCCGATCACACGTGCCGAGGGTCCCTTGGCCAAGCTACCCTTGCCCGGCCACGCGCACGAGGGCTTGCAGCAGTCCCAGTAGCGGGTCGTGGCTCCGGAGCCGCTGGCCTGCGCGGCGGCGCCGATGACGAAGGGCGCGATGGCCGCGAGCGTCGCGAGGGTGACCTTCATCGTGTCCCGAGGCGTGAGGAGGGAATAGATAGGGAGGGGGTGGGGGAGTGGGGGAGTGGGAGTGAGAAAGAGAAAGAAAAAAACTAGCCGAGATGATGGGAGGCTCCGTGCTGGTTTGGTATGCGAGTCAAAAGAGAGAGCAGCCCGGTTTGACGAGGCAGAATTGTGCACGAGAAAGCAGGCAATCCCAGGTTCCGGAGAAGATATACAGCTCCTATATGAAGACTGGAAAGCAGAGGCAAGGAGGAACGGGGGCCAGGGAGAAGTTGGAAATGCCAAGTCGAGGCGTCTGGCGCCAAGTAATATACGTCTCGCACAAAGCACTTTCTTTTCTTTGCTCCTATGCTCTTTCTAATCCTCAAGTCGGCCTTTTTCCCGTGCACTGGGGGAGGGCCAATATACTTGCTCGCCCCATCAATAGATCAACGCGTCAAGGCATGGCTGTTGCGGGAACCCAATATGGGCGGCTCTGTTCATCCCTCGCCCGGGCCTAGCGACGGCCTGGGGCGGTGGATCGCCTCGAGTGGGCTCCTCAAGTGGGCTCCTCTCCAGTTCTAGCACTGGGAAAACTCGCGTCCAGTCCTACTAGAAAGGGTGACCAAATGGAAAAGAGGGCGGATGGTGTTGACAGTATTAAACAAGGCCAAGGGTGCCGCAATAGATCCAAAAAAAAAAAAAAGATTGAAGTGACCTTATAGGCGACAAGGGCCCGTTTCTTCTCCGCTTAATATGGAGGGCCGCACAAATCCCCCAATCCCAGCTGTCAAGATATTAAACCGCCTTCTTCAATACATTTAGCCCGGCTTCCCCACCATGCGTGTCGTGCGTCTTGGTGTTGGATAGAGCAGCCGGATCAAAGAGGTACAAGGTACCCTTACCCTTCTCCGGCAAAGCGGGAGCCCGCATCCAATGCGAGCATCTTGATCTATGGATGCTTCTTTGCAAAGCCCACCCCGCAATGGTTATGGCTACTTGTATGTCGTCGCCCAAGGCCAAGAGAAAAAGACGTCAAGAGACGAACGACGAGCCTCCAAAACCGGGGCGGCGGCTTGGCCTTTTAAAAACAAAAACTTGCTCGCTGGATCTTCGCGCGTCGAGAATGTCATCGTAGGCCAGCCAAGGGGCAGATGGTCACCCACGCGATTCCGAGCTCCCTTGGAATGATGCCGCCGGCCCGGGGATCGGAATTGAGCCACTGGGCCATATTGCACGAGGTCACGCTCGAATTCTTCGGCTGTGGGCCGTACCCTGTGGTTTTTTTTTTCTTTTTTCTTTTTTTTCTCTCTCTGGATCTTTTCATCTGGCACTTGAAAAACAAAAGGGAACAATGAGACTGGAAGAAAATGGACTCCCGGGACACTCGCTTGATTCAATGCGCCGAACTAATAACGTCTCCGCGACCACACCAGGACGGCACTAAGGACGCGTTATCTGAAACAACATCAGCCCGTTGATGGATAGTCAGCGAGTCCAGCTGTGCGTGCTCCGGGTCGCCCCTCGTCATGGATTGAGCCATGCGTCTCCCTCCCTTCAACCATCTCTCGAGCCTTGATGCCCTGAGTTTGCTCGGCCTTGATAGCACTAGAAGGATCGACCACACATTTTGCCATATATGCCCAACTAGCTTCCTATCCTGACTGGTCCTGGCTGGAGATCACTCCTCCCTCAGCGGTGGGAAAAATCGCGTCCGCCCGAGGAAACCCGTAAACCACTCTTTCCTTGACGCATGTTTAGGATCCATCTTCTTCCTCATAACGCAACTCTTCAAGATCCTCCAAAATAGTAAATAAAATTCAACCCGATGACCACTCGAGTTTCATTGTTCCCACAGAGATCTCGTGTCCACAGAGGCACGCGAAAGAATAGGTACCAAGGCCAGCCAGCCAGTCCGCACCGGATCTCTGCGCCGACGCCGCCTCATCCATCAGGGCAAGACAAAGAATCCACAGGGCGATCAAAATATATTCTCGATGCAACAGTACAGTTCCATTATATACGTCAGCCTGTGTCCACTGTCCATTTCCCTTTCCCTCTTTCACTAATCATTCCATCTCCTCTTAATATACATGTACCAAACGTGCCAGCCTGCGTCAATTGACCCTACCGCCCCCCCAGCCTAGCTAATTTAATTTCTGATCAACTCTCGCCCGCCTTTCCCCTGCCGTTCCTCATCTGCTTGTACTACACCAATCCAGCACTTTTTTCGTTGCTTCGGCTTGGGAGGGGGCGAGCTGTCAGTTTCCCCGCTCCCGCCGATATCAATCTAGAGAGTAATCTGCTCACGACCTACACTTGAATGTTGGGTGCCGACGCACGCTACTTGTAATCTTCAACCCCGAACTTGGAGCGGTGTTTATTACCTTGGCTGAAGTGCTCCAAGTGCGAGCTGTAAGGGCCCGGCCGAGACGCGAAATGGCGGCGGCCGAGCTATAGAAAATGAATCTTCTATCCGCGAAAGTTAAGCACTTCGTCCTTCTAGCTGATCCTAAGAGGGGAAATCGAGACTATGGCGCTCGCTCGGATGGCCGTGTGACTCCTACAGGTAAGGAGAGTTGTTGGCCGTCTCTCGCCACCTAGCATCATCAGTTCCCAACCTTAGCTTGGAGCTTGCTGCTCAAGGACATCAATATAATTTATTGTTTTTATATGTTTTCTTTCCGTACAGCTTTTTCTCCTCGCGCTCAATCATACGATGCCGCCCGAGTGCTAGCCGGGCCCGGCAGCGACGTTTACCGGTGAGCGGGGCCGGCGCGCGAGCTACCTCCGGAGTGAGACTGTGACCATTCCAAGTCCAAAAGCGGGAGAGCCCGCAGAACAAGACCATTTCCACCACTACCATTTCCGAGACCAAATAAAACCGGGCCGTGACCAGACCCATTACCCTTGCCATATCCAGACCACCTATCTCCGCTACCACCATCCACCCCGTTGCTCTGTTTCGCCGCCTTCTTCCGCCTTTTCCTCTGCTTCCTCTGCTTCTTCTTGCGCCTCCTCCTCTGCCTCCTCAACTTCCTCTTCTACCTCTACCTCTTCCTCTTCTACCTCTTCCGCTTCCTCTTCTACCTCCTCCTCAGCTTCTTCCTCAACTTCCTCTTCCGCTTCCTCTTCAGCTTCCTCTTCAACTTCTTCCTCGACTTCTTCCTCCGCCTCCTCCTCAGCTTCTTCTTCAACTTCCTCCTCCGCCTCCTCTTCAACTTCCTCCTCAACTTCCTCTTCGGCTTCCTCGACTTCCTCGGCCTCCTCCTCGACTTCTTCTACCACCTCTTCCTCTGCCGCCTCGACATCTTCGTCTTCCGCTTCCGCCCCATCCCCACCTTCTTCAGCCTCTTCGGCCTCTTCAGCCTCTTCTCCAGACCCCTCCTCCGGCGTCTCTTCTCCAACGCTGCTATCTTCGCTCCCCTCATTCTCTTCCCCCACTTCCCGCTCCTCTCCGTCTTCTACCGCACCCTCATCTGGCCTAGGTTCTCTGAACTCGTCAACCCCCGTTATCAAACTGCTCAATGGTCTCGGTGGCTTCACTTTCTTGTCCAGTCTCACTTCCCAGGCTAACATCGTTGCCTGGGGGATACCTACCATCCCCGGCGCCCATGTTCCTGCTGTCCCCGGTGGCCGTGGCCTCGGCCGTCGTCCGAGTCCCTGTCACGGCTACGGTCCCGGCTGCGGTCTCGGCGCCCACCCCACCCTGGTGGCCACCCTGTTGATATCCGCCACCGTAGGATTGTTCTTGGCGGCCTCCGTGCTGGCGCTCGCCGTACGATTGCTCTTCCCTACCACCGTAACCACCTCCTTGGCCACCATAGCCACCTCCTTGACGTCCACCGTAAGATTGGCTTTCTTCCTGACGGCCGTAGCCGCCACCCTGGCGGTTGTCATCGTTATCGCGACGGCCGTAGCCGCCACCGTGACGATTGTCGTCGTCATCGCGACGACCCTGACCACCGCCCCGGCGATCGTTGTCATTGTTGCCGCCGGAGAAGGATTGGTAGTAGCTGCTGGACTGAGACTCCTGTCGACCGCCGCCAGAATCATATCGCTGGCTGCTCTGGGTCTGGCTATAGCCGCCGCTGCCGTCGTAGCGCTGCGTGGTCTGCGTCCGGCCGTAGCTGCCGTCATTGTCGTGGCGCTGGGTCGAGTGCGAAGCCACGTAGCCACCCTCGTCTTCGCGCCGGAAGCTCGACTGGCTCTGGGTATAGCCCTGATCGTCATTCCGGCGGCTCGACGACGAGCCTTGGTTGCTGTCTCCGAGGCCAAGGAAAGAGCTCGCGGCGCCGAGGATACCGCCGATACCGCTATCCTCTTTCTGGGAGGCCGGTGGCTCGTAGCTGGGGATCTTGACACCCGTCTGCTGCTGGATAATGCTGGAGAATGCGCCCGTGGCACCGCTGAGGATATTGTCCGCGACCTTTCCGGCGACCTTGTCCTCCCAAGTCTCTTCTTCGCCAAACTGCTTGCGCATCTTGAGCTTACCGGTACAGCCGTGACCATGACCAGTGTCGGTGACGCCCTCCTTGTGGTTCTCTCCATTGCGAACACCCTCCCTAGAAAGCTTGCGGCGGTACTCGTCTTGGCGACGACCTTGCTCTCTCCACCAGTCCTCGACACACTTGAAGAGAAGTTTCCTACCCTCAGCGGCCCCACCGCGAGCCATGTCTCGCTGAGCAGGGTGATGGAGGACACCTCCAACTATGGTATCAATCAGGCTGTTGACATTAACACTCTCGTTGTCAATAGCCTCCATGATCTGCGGGACGACCCAGGTCACCACGTAAGCGGCCGCTCGGCCGGCAACCTCGTTGAGGATCTGTATTCTAGTGTTAGCCAACAGCTGGGAGCTGGAGCGCCCATCCTCGGAAGATAAAAAGATACGTACGTTGGAGAAGTGATCCTTGGAAAGCATAGAGTGGGTAGGATCGGTCGAGTTGGAGTCGTTGAAGACAATGTGCTGCTCCTTTTGACTGCTTTCAATGATTTCCTCCGATCCAGTTTTGAGCTCGGCTCCAATCTGCTGGATAATGGGAAGGATAAAAGGTGCAATGATGGAGAAGATGAACATGGACAGCTGCTCCTCTAGCTGCTCGAGGATCTTGGGCAGAACTGGAATCCTCTCCATGGCGTTTGAAATGTTCTTCATGAGGTCGTCGTGCCACTCAATGACGGGCATGATCTGTCGGAACATGTTCTGGACATACCTGGTGTACTCCTCGGGCTCCCTTGGAGACACGTTCATGTTCTGCATCTGCGCGTTGGTGGCGTTTTGCTGGAACTCATCAACTTTGCTACTCTGATGCTGTCCACCAAAAACGCCATCGGGAATCTTGTCAAGGAGCTCCCGCAAGAAGCTGGTGTCAGCCTTGGTGCTCTGCTGTAGGGTGCCCTGAAGCTCCTCAATTTCGTTCTGGGTGAGTTTATCGGAGACTACAAGTGACTAGTAAGTGCCTGACCAAGGCTCGGGGAGGAAGGAGTGGGGGTTGTAGATCAATTCATACCCTCGCCAGTGACGGAATGAAGGAAGTCGACACCTCCGAATGTGCCGGTAACAATGGGCCAAACTTCACCGCGGGCGCCATTAACTCGGACCTGCGTGTTTCGGCCGACGTGAGGGAAAACATCGCGCTCGCCAAGTTCGGCGAGGGCTAGCTCGACATAGTTGCTGTGCGCGAAGTAATCTACCCATTCCAAAGATATCCATGGTTAGCCTCCTATCACCTTGAAAAGGCTATTGTTATGGTAGGGAGCCGTCTTACCCTCAAGACAGTGCAGGGCAGTTCCTAGGAGGCGAAGGGACTCATTTCGCTCATCCTTGTTTCCGCTACGAGCGTAGCTCCTGCCGAGTCTGACGCATCGCGTGATCAGGTCCCGGACCAGGCCTGCCGATGTTTGGATGCCGGCGCGCTCGTTAGCAATGTAATTCTTCATTCCCGTCTCACGATCGATGCCAAGCTCGACCTGCTCGTCGACGGGTCCACGCAAGGCCCTATGGTATTGGCGAGCATCCACATTATCGGCGTAGTTCTTGGGGTTGTCAATATGTTCCTCGGGGCGGTAGCAGCCAAGTCGCTCAGCAGTAACTTCAAATTCCTTGGAGCCAAAACCAAAAGTCATGAATCCGAGGACGCAGAGGAGGAGTCGGATGGCTTCGGCAGAAACGGACTTGACGGTACCGACGTCGATGGCCTGGGAATAGTCCCTCAGCCAGTTACCAAAGTAGACGCGGGCAACGTTGTGCTTGCTGAACTTCTTGCCGCCAAAGGCCGTCGCCATAGTAAGCTTTAGGAGGGCATCTTCAATATCTCCGTGGCGCCCTAGATGGATGGAAAAGAAAGAAAACAAGTTTGGTTAGCAAACGGAAGACGGGCTAAATCTCGTGTCTGTACATTTCGCTTCGATGGTGTGACCAAGACATGTATGATATCGACTACCAGGCAGTCTAGGGGCTTGATGGGTGGACGGCACTCACAGTTCTGCCCCTCGATCTTGGAAATGCCAGCAATGTTACCAGCACCGAAGGCGGCGGCGGGACGAGCGAACCAGAGAAGACCGATGACGGCCACCAACAAGGTGAACGACTTGTTCTCGAACATGTTCTCCGATTGATGATGCGGTCAGCCAGTGGGCGAGTGCTGTATTGTATTAGATGGTGTGAACTCGAGATCTATCGAGCTAGTTATAATAGGGTCGTGTCACGAAGCTAGTTCGTGAGGGGACCGTTGATAATCCGAATGGAAAGGAGCTGGACTGAAATATTCGTGATGAATTAACACGTCGTGGTCATGCCCGACATGAAGAAAAGATTGTTGGAAGAAGGCAGGAGGCAGCCGATCTAGTTGAGGGAGGGGGGCACTTGTACTCAAGTAATTGTGTTGCTGGAAGCTTTGGAGGAGATTGATGAGGGGCAACAAGGCGGGGTTGTTTGGCATCGCTTGCGGAGTGCGTGGGAAGGGTTGGTACATACATGGATGTGGTTACTCGAGCTACACTAGATGTAATGGATTGATCAATGTCAGGGGTCAGAGCTGCACCAATTGACTTTTTCGTCTCGAGCCCGCCAGCACCAGGTTAGTTTTGTGGATGGATGGTCCATGAAACCCCAATGTTGATCTTTGGCTTGCGCCTCGCCCTTGGGTTGGTTGGACGGTTGATGTAATAGACCCATCCATCAAGATCGTGACAGTCTCCACAGGCATCGTACCTTCCTTGCCTTCGTAGCCAAGGTAAAAATTTCGACTACTCTGCCGGCTCTATTGTTTTCATGTATCAACAGCCCCAAGGCCCCTCCCAGCTTCCCTTTTCTCTCAAAGACCCCTTAAACTATCATCATTTGACTTTGAGCAACATCAGGGGCTGCCCAAGCCGTCCTAAACTAGCGTCTGCTCGGTGACGCGCCACTATCCTCAAATTGGTTCTGTACGTCCTTCCTGCTGGTGGTGACGTCTTGGAGGCAAATGCCTGAGGAGGAAAATGGGTCAAGAATTTATACGGGACAAGGGAGGGGTCGAGCGATAGCCGGGAGGGTGGTGGGTGGATGGGTTCATTCGCCATCCCCCGAGCTTGTTTCTGCTGTGACCCTCCCTTGTCTTGCGCCGCATCCTCTACTAGGGTAGCCAAGTTTCATGCCTCCACGACGGGAGGACGCGATTTGCCCGAAGAAAAGCTTCGGCGGGGTAACTGCCGTTAGCTTCCCCGACAAGCAGATGGCAAGTCTTGAGGCAACACCTGATGCGATGGATTCCTCTCTCGCGATGAAACGATTGCACTTGGCTCTCTCTTATCTCTGATATAGCGCCGTTAACCCAATCCGAGATGATAAGTAGGCTCGAAAGTAGGATATATATTCTTTCTGAATATTTTTTTCTTTTCTTTTGGTCTGACCATCAATGATGTCCGGCTCGCGACCTTTGATGATAAGATGGATCCTTGCTAAGCTGGAGCATTTCAAAAGGTTGCTTCCGGGAAGGGCGGAACATCCTCTGGCCCCCTTCAGCCGCGCGTGCAGCTCTGATGTCCCTGGACAATGCCTGGTCGCGTACCTGTACAAAATGAAACCTGCCTTCAATCCTGTCAGCATTGAAAGATTTCAAGCACACGTGCTGGGCCTCGCTGAACGAGTCCTCACTGGCTGGCCGTGCTCTTGCATCTTGGAGTGTGGGGCACTGTGCAGCGTCAAGCCAACAGCACTATCCACTGTACAGCGGGCTCGGAATGGCGCGGAAAAGCCTGGCTGAGGACAATCAACACCCTACAAGCTATCCGCGAAGCTTGCATGCACCAGCTCGATCAGTCCAAGCTGCTTATCTCCCCCTCCTAGACAGACACCTGATGCCCGAGTATTACCAGGCCATGTTCGCTCAATTTCTCTTTCTCAAAGCTTAGGATTCCATCCCCACAGTCCGGAAAGCGTCCTGCTATATTCAAATTTGTAGGAGCGCATAGCTCGTGCTGTCGTCGCGGTGGGAACTAGAACTCCCTGGTGGGAGGTAGTTTCCAAAAGGAGATGGGCTGATGGTCTCGTCGGGTTCGGGAGATAAGCAATAGCACTAGACTGGGCAAGGCTCTAATAATAACAAGGCCAATCCGCCTTCACACGAAGGCGCGATTGGGGCGCGTTGTGACCTCAAGGCACTCTACACTAATAGCTCGTGGTTGGCGAGAAAAATAGCTGGCCCCGAGCTCTGGGAGCCCCAGGGGGCAAGCACGATTAAACTGTTTACCATTGACTGATCCTGCCATTCCTTTCTCCCCCACCCTTCTAGGGGTTACACAAGTCTGCCCTTCCTCAGCCCCTCTCCTCTGAGTTGGAAAGCAAGGCGGCGAGGCAATGAGGAGGGGTTATTCTTATCACAGGCCTCCGCACAATATCTCGAGGCTACAAGCACACGCTCGTCAAGACTGAGATGGCTATAAAAAGGAAGAAAACTAGTGCTAGACTCTCCAATGCGCGTATAACCAGCTTTGCGGTTGAACAACACTGGACGCGTCAGACCTTTGATAGTCCCTTCAACTGCTCAATTCTAAATTCCAGACGCGTTGTGGCACGCTGTACCGAGGTCTATACTCCTCCGTGGTTTAGGGCTGGTCCTTTACCAAGCTGCAGCCCTCACATGTTCCGTAGGAGCAAAGGGCCAGACCCCCGAGGCGGTAGATAAACCAGTGACGCTACGGGCCGCTGTTGCTAGGTTCATGGTGTGTTAATAGAGCGAGGGTATCGTTTTGGGGTTCTCATCCGTAACGTAAGTGGCTCAAGAGAGGAGCAGGAGGACCAAGCTTTTACACGCTGGCCTATGTTGTAATAAACCCAACTTGATTGTCAACTACAGCGCGTACTAGGGTGACGGATACCAGTCCAAGTCCGCTTTCAGGCGCGAAGTCTTGGATCTTGTCGGCGAGCCCAATGCTAACTATGTATTCGAGAACAGTTTCTTCACATGGGACGAAATATCAGGACAGGGTTATCTAGAGTTTTTAGGGACAATAATCTTTGTTTACTAGGTCGTTGGCATGCGCGGTGTCTCCAAAGATTTTCAGCGCATGTGGTTTCGGCGTTGCGAGGAGAATATCAAACGGGCCCTTCGGATGGCTTTTCAAGTCCCCTCTGAGGATGGCGGATGATGGGTTGAATGGACGAATTTGCTGATGGGGGTGGCCCACGGACCTATTGCTTTGGTTGAGAGGGGGCCGGCTGGTTCGGTTTGTAAAGTCATAGCAATGGATCCGTCGCATTCATGCGGGATGGGACGGATAGGTCGCTCGAAAGTGCTCAGGCTGCGGCCAGGAATCTAGGATTGGGGATTAGTTCACAAGATCATTGGAATCGAATTCACTAGGGTGGTGGCTGAGGGTCGGCCGTGTTGGCGCAGGAAGCGACCGAGGGCGCGTTTCCCCGAGAATTCTAGTCTATTATCGAAACTGATTGACGGATCCATCAATGAATGCTTCAATGTTCTGTCTCCCGAGAGGAGCCTAAAGTTCGGGGCTTGAGCGGCTAAGGGTTCCTTGATGCCACAAGGTCTCGAATTGAGGGGATGGTTGAGACATCCACAGTTGAGCCAGCGCGAAATCGAGGTCCTTCTGCGTAGGCTGGGCAAGCAGAGCCCAAGCCCTGACGCCATTGTTGTCTCAGAGTCGCTCAAGACTTGACAACCTGTGACAGGGGATATTTGGGGGTGACCCCGGAACCCCATGGAAATTGATTGACCCTCCCTTGGGTTCTCTTGGGCTGGAGCCCTGGCTGGCTGGCTGGCTGGCCATTGACTGTGGCAGGGCGTATGGGTAGCCCCAGTTTGAAGGGGAGGAGGGGGACTCGCCGTTCTGAAATTTACACGTGAAGCTTTCAGTCCAGTCCCCAGTGGCCACAGCCTGGCCACTCCAAATCTCGATGCTGAGGCAAAGCTCAAATCGCATGGGTCGATGATCAATGGATGGAGGGGGATGCAAATGTCCCTTTTTGGGCGGTTGCAGTGGAGGTGCACAAATCAGCAGGGCAGGTTTTAGCGTCCTATTGGTGGGAGACCTGCATCGCCCCGAAATAAACTAGGCAACACGAAATTTTTCGCTCTCCGTCACTAACCCCGCCTGACAGACCCGGGAAAATAGCGTCAGGTACAGAGCTCATCGCCAGATTTTGTATCGCGATAGCATTTCCACTTCAGTTGACCTGGTAGAAACGGGCACGACAACGGTCTTTTCGGGGCTCCAAGCACCCACGCAAAGCCGGGCGAATATACGCGCCTGCGCCTTTCAAAAGATGAGCCCCGATACTCGAAAATATAGAGCATCTTGGTAATAGATTTATCAAATTCTTCAACTTGGATCTGATAGCCGTGTACAAGCAGACTACATCGCGCAACAAGAGGCGCCTTGTGCGCGCGGAGGACAGGACATGAAATTGCGCTGTTGGGTGTAGTGAAATCAATCCTGCTCGCTTTACTCGGCTATTATTACTCTCGGCCACGCACGCACAAGGTTGCCCTCCGTTGTTGGTTAGTGCAAGAAATTTGGGCGGGAAACCTACAAGTACGCACTCTTGCTGCCTTGGTAATTCACACGATCTTGTTCTTAGTCGACTGTTGTGGGTAGACGCTTGGGGTGAGAGTTGAGGTTTGCGACTAAGGCTGGCTATTGACGGTGCAATCAATTCTGGATGTAAGTGGGCGCGCGCGGTATGGAAGGATCAAATGGGTTTGGGAAGGGCGTGAGGGGTTTCGTCGATGGGCTCGTCAGAATCAATTCAAACTGAAGCCCTTGATCTCTAGAGAAGCTTTTTCTGTACATCCATTGTATTTACTGGGCGTAGCAAAGGACCGTAGGTCGCTAGGTTGATAGCCGGCGATCATTGCTGGAGGAGTTGCGACCGACCGACCTTTTGTGATCAATGGGGTTGGAACTCGAGCGCAAAGCATTCTCGTGGATCAATCAGCGCTGAAAATTTCCTTGGCTGGCTCCGCTTGAGTTGGTCGCAATCCCAAAAAATTGATTTATTTTCGATGAGGACAGGTTGCTTTAGGGCCGAGGCTTCAGTGGATAATGCCAGGCCGGAAGAATGAGCACCGCCAGCTTGGGCTGCGCGATGGGGTGCTGGGTTTGTCAGGCCATCCGGGTTTGGGGAGACACAGCTGGAGGCGCATCAATTGATCAATGATCAATGATGAAACCGCAGGTTCGCTCTAGGGACGTCAGCAGGCGGGGGAGGGGGAGAACAAGAAGAGCGCCTAGGGGCCAAGGCCCTTTTGTCCTCGGCCGGTTGCAGGATCAATGGTCGTACCATGCGTGGGCCATTTGGCGGGCTTCAATAATGAGCATTGAAGTGCCAGGCCCGGTTGTGTGCTGGCGCTGGGAAAAATTTTCTGAGGTTCCGAGTACCTTACCCGCTCAGTGATTGTGACTCTACGTGCTGGCGCATCCTCCATTTTAAGAGGGTGCTGGGTGGCTGGCCCTCCCCACCATGATTGAATCCACCAGTTCCCCCCTCTCTCTCTCTTTCTCTTGTCCCCCGCTGACCTGTGCTGGATTTTGGGCTCCCGAGTCAATTGTTTTCTACTGATCGCGTCAAGGCCTCGCTGACACATAAACCCCCAGCCCCCGAATTTTTCGCCTCCCGCTTTCCCGCACAACTTTTTCCTTTTCCTCTTTTTCTTCCCAAACGCCCAGCAGTGCTGTTCCCCTCCAAGGTCGCCACCCCCAGAAAAATAACTAAAACTTCAGGACCTCCCACACCCCAACCTTCCCCCAAAACCCCCTCTTTTCTCCTCCCAACACCTACCACCTTTTCAAACCCAGCATCATCCGCTATCGCGACAGCACCAAGAACAAACAATAGAAATCATCGCCAAAACAGCCACAGCGAACCATCACTAAAACCTCACTTACAAGCCGCCACCCAACCTAAATAGCAACCATGCCTCGCCCACCCAAGGCCAACAAGGACAAGGCCGCCGTCCCTCTCCCAGTTATGCCCGCCGTCGCTCCCCGAGCAGTTGAGGTCGAGAATTTCATTCGCGTCCGCGACTCGGTAAGTCTTTTTGTTTTCATTCTTGCTTTCGTCGCCGCGTCTACCGATGCCACTTATCGCGCTCCATGTTTCTTTCAAACCGCGAGCGCAAAGATCATTGCGTCGACCTCAAAAGCCCACCTCGGCGCCATTCCATTTTTCAAGTGAAAAATGGAAGCTGGCAAGGCATCTTTCTCCGCGCGCCTGCAAGGCGAGAATGCGCGCGACTGTCGCAAGACGAGAGAAGGCCCGGCGCCTGCCCCGCCCTAGAAACATGGCATCCCAAGTGTAAGCGCAACCTTTCTGAGAAAAGGCATGCGCGCGCACGACATCAGACCTGTGCCTCAAGTCTCCCGTTTCATGCGCACCACGCGATCGAATTTTTCTTTCTTTTTTCTCCCTCGCATTTGGCCAACTTGGCCCCGTCGCATGCGACGGGTCAACATTCAGGCGGCAATGTACATGTGTACAACGCCAGAGTGGGCAACCCCCCCAACTTCTCCAAAAGACCTCGGGCCTCCGACGCGTCTTCAAAACCCATTGTTTACAATACACCCAATGCGGACACACCACAACCCAACCCAACCCACTTCCCTGATGTAGCTTCCAGCTCCACCAAGACGGCCAGGTTTTGCCTTGTTGCGAACCTAGTAAATGGCTCAATCTCGTTTTATCATTTTTTGTTTCTTTATTCTTCTTTGCTATTCGTTCCGCAAGCGGAAAATCATACACTCGAGATGAGCGCAGAAGCTAACCCACTAAATAGACTCTTGGCCGTCTCAAGACCATCCAGCAGCTAATTAAGTCTTTTGCTGATGATTACCTGCGTCAAACCAACCTTCTGCTCGGACTTCCCACTACGGCCGAGGATCTCAGCTACAATGAGCCTCTTGCCAACCTGGAAGCCTCTCTTGCCGCTCTTGGCAGCATCCCCGCCCCCAGCCTGTCGCCGTCCCTCAAGAGGAACAGAAGAAGGAGCGCAAGAAGCGCACCCTTGACCCCAATGCCCCCAAGCGCCCTCTTACCCCCTACTTCCTCTACATGCAGACTGCCCGTCCCATCATCGCCGCCGATCTTGGCAGCAGCGCCCCAAGCGCGCTGTCCAGGAGGAGGGCCAGCGTCGCTGGGCCACCATGGGTGCTACCGAGAAGCAGGGCTGGAACCAGGCTTATCAGTACAACTTGAGGCTCTACAATGCCCGTGTTCACTCTTACAAGAATGGCAACCCCGAGGCCAAGAACATGGATGACCAAGAAGCTCTGAAGTACGCGGATGAGTTTAGCATCCCCATCCCCGTGAGCGACGAGAACGCTGCCAATGAGCAGGACGCCATTGCGGAGCAGCTCAAGGGCACTAGCGCGGATGCTCACGGTGAGGTTGATGATGCTCCCCTACCGCCAAGTCCGCCAAGAAGTCGGGTCCTGGCCGCAAGAGGAAGACCAATGATGCTGCCGATGAGCCTGATGCCACGCCTCGCGCTCCTGCCACCCCCGCCAGCCCCGCCCAGAAGAGGAGGAGAACTTCCAGCAAGCCTACCGAGGATGAGCCCAAGAAGTCGGGACGCAAGAAGGCTGGCAAGAACGCCTAAGCGAAGAATAATTTGTGCATCATTTCGAGCAGATATATATCGAGATGAAAGCGCTTTTTCTTTTAGGACTTGTTCGCCAGGATGAAAGAGCGCACGACTGGAAAGGGACACTGGGCTTATGGGTTGGGTTTATATGGAAAGATACCACGTTTTGCTTGCACTGTTGCGTTCTGATTTTTCGTTTAGCAAACATGTCGTTGCTTTGCAGACCGTGGCCCATCGAACCCCTTCTTTTCGTGCCTCCTGTTCGTGGCTGTGTATACTCTGGGCCAGATTCCTGAGAGTATGACCACGCAATGTGCCGGTGGTTTTTCTCTCTGTACGAGTTACCTCTTTTTGCCTTGTCCATTTTTTTCTCATGACGAAGTATTTTGGAAGGCACGGGGAGGGAGATATGGGGGCGGCGTTTGGTTTTCTGTTCACCAAGGCTGGCAGGGCTTTGGACGTTGGACTGCAAAGGGGCAGCCCCTGTCTGGTCGACTTGAACTCTTCGTCGCCTGTGTGGGGAAGGAGGGGAGGCTGGATTGGGATCCTTTTTTCTTGTTTTCCTTTTGGGAAGTTTGCCTGACGTGGTTGCTTCTGCTGTGTATGCCTTGCGGTTGGGATTTCTTGTTTTCGGTTTATTCCTTGTTCGAATTTTTAGCTCTCCTAATGAAAGACATGATGATCCTTGGGGGCCTCAAAAAAATTTATACTTGTTCATTGTTCCTGCTTCTGCAAGCTTCTCGGTGCTTCAATGATGTGAAGAGGACAATTGCTAAGGTCCGTTGACTTCAATGTTGCCTATGAGGGAGACTGGAGCTATTACTCCACTCGGCCCGCCTGCAGATCATCGACGTAGGGCTTGGGCGCGAGGCGCGTAGCACATATCGGACCCGTTAGGTCCAGGATTAAGGTTGAAATGTCTAATAATGGGAGTGGCGGTGGCCAGACTTGCCAGCTGAGCAGCACAACTTAGTTGGGTCCATCTATTAGATGCCTTGGTCTTTTTCTTTCTTCCTTCTTTTCCCCTCTCCCGGCAACTTGGGGGCCAGCGCTGACGGGTGGGAGGGGTCAGTGTCTCCAATTTTTTGGTTTTCCCCGGCTGGAGGGGTCTCTGCCGCTGCCATCTAAGGGGGCAACCCGATTGATGGTTTATTCACCGAGACAAAGAGGGGACCTGCCACGGCTTGACTAACACACACGCCGGGTGTCTCAAGCCAAGGAAGCCCATGGCCCACTCCCTCGAGCGTGGGCATGGGACCCTTTTTTTCTCCTTAGTGAGGTAGAGCTAGAAAAAGGATAGATACATTTCAAGACGTAGACCGGGAGAACCTTTTGAGGCGGGGCTTATCCACGCACAGTCAAAAGGGAGGGGAAAGGCGTCGATAGCCATCAATGCCGAGCATTTCGGAAGAGAGGGGGGAGTGTCTGCTTGCTAGATACCGGACGAGTGTAGAAATGGCGGTGAGGTGAACAAGTGGCCTGTGAGCTTCTCCGCGCGGTGTTGAGACCCAACCTTGCCAGCCCTGAGATTATTGGGCTGGCCCTGGGGGTACAAAGAAGGTGGTGACGTACATGGCCCTCTACATCTGAGCTTGAGGGCAAATACCTGGGCCAGTCGACTTTAAATAGTCCACATATGAAAGAGAGAAAAACACTGCCTCCAATTGTCAAAGATGCCGGTGAAGAGGATAGGAGGTGGAGACTGACACCGCGGCGGAGTGGAGAAGGTGAGGAAGGAAGCTACCAAAACGGGCAGTCAATATTAGCTCCAGGGACGGTGTGTTGTCTCCACCATGGTCGGTCACTAGGACATGGACGGGTACCATCAAGGGGAGCACGACTCTATGGATGTTGGAGGAGTTGGAGACACAAATGACGCCAAGAGAGATGGCGGGCCACTTGTCTAGGCAGATGCGTCCGGCCCAAACCAGTACCCAGGCACGGCTCCTTCCGAAAGTAAGGTGGGGTGAGGGATCTTGCCAAAAACGGTGGAGGAGGACTGCACTGGCACAAAAGTCTAGGAATTCGACAAGGCTTCCGCTGACAGAGAAATTGAAAGCCGGCAAGATCATTCTTATTTCTAGGAAACGCTCCTCTTTCCACGGTTGTTTTGTGATTAATCTAGTCGGCTGAGTCAAGATATTCTAGTTTACGCTTGCATGACTTTGATATCACGATTCACGAATCGCCTGGTGGGTATCTGTAACTTCTAAAAGAACCGTAGAACCATGCAGAGTTACAAGCAGGAGCAGGGCAAGAAGGGGGTGGTGTTGTCCGGCAGGTAAGGGTGCCTCGTGGGCAAGGGATTGCTTTCCGGGTGCGGAGATGGACGGGAACGGTATGGAGAACCGGGGAAGATGAGATGATTCAAACCCTTTCTTCCCCATTCTCCCCACGTGGGTAAACGCTGTGCCTGTCCTGACGGCTGGGGATGCACTCTGGTGGGGGTTCGTGCCGCCAGGCCGTGAGTCGGGGGTTGCAGGCGTCACCGGTGCACCCAGGTTCCAGTAGCCTCCAGGTGCATGTCTTGCCTTCCCTCAAAGGAAAGAAAAAAAAAGATAAAAATAGGACCAACCTGGTCGCGCGCGTGGTTTAGAAGGCGCCTAGGCGCGAGGGCGTTGGGTGAGCGCATACGCGATACCAAGGCACGCACTTTCGCGATAAAGCTCTCAACCTGTATTGGCGAATTGGCATACACAATAGTTTGGGGCAAGGGTAATTTTGCTTCCAACGAATATTCCTTCCCTGCCTTGCATGTAGCGCAAGTTTCCAGATAGCACTGGTCATAGTAACGGTTCGCAGCGGCTCGATTCGAGGAGAGAAGACGGGATGGAGGAACACCACTTGTGGCTTGCATATTTCTCCAGAACAAAAGAAGAGAGCAGGCGATTTCATAAAGGCGGCGAGAATATCTGTGCACAACTTAGGAATGGGGGACATATCGACTGGATTGCGGGGATGATAAATCTACATGTACTTCGAGCAGCGCTGAACTGCGCGGGCGCATCCGTCCAGCATGGCAACATGATAGATCAACGCTCCGTGGTTGGTGGAAGGTGGGTGTAGCTGCCTACAAGATCAGTCAAAGCCAATCATTATTGCACCATGAGCCAGCCTGGCCACCGGCCGCGACCCTTGATGAATCAAGACATCATATTAGCCACGGCAAGTCCAGTATACATTCGGAAGAGTGATCTTGAGAACGATAGTTGCCCCTGCGAAGAGGCGGCATCGAGCCTGGTAATAAGGGCGTTTCATACACGGCTCAGACATGCCGGGAATTTTCCAGAAGGCATTGATGGGTACGGCAGAAAAGCACGTAGAGTCCACGATCAAGGGCGCTTTGCTGCCTGTTAAAGGGCCTCGCCCGTCCAGTGCTCGACTTGGGGCAGGCAAATTTTAACACAGAAAAGAAGGACACCTGTATCCATGTATTCTCCTTTCGCGACTGATGGGCCCCATCCGAGGTGGTTCCTTTAAACTCCTTCATGGGAGGGAATAGGCGCCATTATCTCGAGCGGGTGAGTTATTGATGAGAATGTCTCGGAGCCGGCGGCGCCTGCCAATGCCGATTTGCCTATCTACAGAGTTCAGAATTCCCTGTAAGAGTTGTAGTCTGCCACCCATGCCTGTACCTGTGTACCACCTCGAATGATTCGTTCTGGCGAAACACGTGCGAGCGCTCACCCAAATCGAGCAAAGTAAACAATAAAAGCTGGGGTTGCTGGCTGGTGCCCCTCCATTCCTGGGTCCCCCAAGGTTCGAACTAGGGCCAACAAAGGCAGTGCTGCACGGCTCGAGCGATCAGCAGAAGAGAACAGCCCCCCAGTCGCCGGTGGCCAGCTCCTCCAACATTTCGTGAGCGACCTTCACTCAACTGTGCATTCCCAGCTTCGAGAACTAGGCAAACACCACCTCCCGACCCGGCGAATGGCCATCTCATGAGTCATCCGCTTTTCTTTTTTTTTTTCCTTTTACAGCTCGGTGTCCGCCTCTTCGCAAGGATATAAGGTTCTGACATCTCTCGAAGTCGCCACCCGAAGCCGTGTTGGAACTTTCCCCGCCCTGTCGCGCGCGTTTGCCACTTACCGCGTGAGCGCCACCCGCAACCACGACAAGTCAAATCGTGCCGTTGCCATCATTGCTTGGCCCATCAGGCAGCGCCTGCGGCAACACTTGAACGTCGCTTCAACTCCAAATCTTCGAGTTCGCCTCTCGCCTTTTTCATCACAACACCTTAACAACTTGTTTTTTTTTTTTTAATCCGTCCTAACATTCCGTAAAGTGTCCGTCCACATCGGCAGACATCTTCCAAACCCCCGCATACCCCCGTCGCCCTTACTCTTCACATGAGATAAGGGCGTTGCGCGTGAGAAACCAACATGTCTAGACGGCGAGAAGTTCCCGTCGAGAGCTCCTGGCGAATGGTTGAAGGTGGCGAGAACGACAGTTTCGACACATCCATCATTCATGCCGATGAGGAGCCTGATATTATTCTCTCCAGCGGGCCATCGCAAATGTCGTCTGGCGGCCAGATGAGTATCGGGTCGCAAGATAGCATTCAAGACTTTTTCACCAAAGCCGACGAAGAGCGCGTTATCCTACGCTCTCCCTTTCAGCCAACCGTCCCCGCCGCTAGGCAGACGCCTCGGCGAGACAACTCCCATCGCTCGCCGGATCCCGAGTTTTTCATGCCGACCGTAGAAGTGGCAGGTTCACGGCGCAGCAGTGGCCGCTCTTCGCGCACCATCCGGCCCGTCGGCAGGGACGACGACCAGCAGGGCGGCTACGAGTTGCGCCGGAGGATTGGGCAGCGCCATGCGTCCGAGGTCGACGGCGGAAGCCCCATCAGCAGAAGGGCGAACAAGGGCCGCGTGTATTACGACAGCGAAGACGACGGCGAAAGCAGACGAGGCCTGAAAGACGGCCTCGCGTCTTCTCTCCCGGGCGCCTTGCTCAACGTGCTGGGCTGGTTGGTTGGCGTCGTGGGGATGGCCTTCCGCTTCGCCCAACGACCCCTCGCCCTCCTCCTCTCCATCTACTTCTTCTTTGGCGGCCTCATCATCGTGCAGAACATGGTCACCCAGTCTCTGTTCGTCTCCCTATCGCCCATCTGCCGTATCCCCGGCGTCTCCTACTTGGACCTCGCCTTCTGCCCCCGGCCGTCCGACCCACCCATCGTCCCCGAGTCAGGCCAAGCCGCGGGCCGCCAGGTCGAGTTCGACGAGCTCATGGGCGTCCAGTCGCAGTTTGAGCAGGTCCTCGAGCGCAGCGCGAGCGGCGTCTCCCTTCCTCTGGAGATGAAGCGCTCCGAATCGTCCATTCGCGACTTGCGCACCATGGTGCGCTACAGCGAGCTCACCGCCCGCGACGAGCTCGTGCAAGAGTTTGACGGCTACATCGAGACCGCTCGGCGCAGCACCAGCGAGCTGCAAAGTTCAACACCCACGTCGGCTCCGCCGTCGACTCCGTCATCAGCATCAACAAGTGGACCGCCCGCTACCTCGATGGCTTCGCCGACGGCGATCCCAAGCAGGATCTCCGCGACGCCGGCGCCGGCGGCGCCCTCCTCGCCGACTGGGCCTCGTGGGTCTTTTATCCCTTCCAGCCCGCCACCCCCATCACGTTTGACGAGCGCGCCCTGATCGACAAGTACATCGAGCACACGTCCCTCGTGTCCGACCGCATCTCCGCCCTCATCCTCGAGGCCCAGGCCGTCCTCCGCCACCTCACCAAGGCCGAGGACCACCTGTCCCTCATTTACGAAATCGTCACCCGCTCCTCCCAGTCGGTCGAGTCCCGCCGCGACCAGATCCTCTGGACCCTCTGGACCCTCGTCGGCGCCAACTCCCGCCGTCTCCAGGGCCTCAACGCCCAGCTCTCCCTCCTCCGCCAGGTCGACACCCAGCGATCCGCCGCCGTCGCCCAGGTCTCCGGCCTCATCGTAGACCTCGAGCGTATAGAGGCCGGCCTCGGCGACCTGCGCGATCGTGTCGCCGAACCCGGCATCGCTAGGCGCGCGGGGAGCCCCGGTGGCGCGCCCGGAAGCCCTCGGATCCATGTTCCCCTCTCCGTCCATATCGAGACAATCGACCGCGGCGTGGAGAGGCTCGAGGCCGCAAGGAACAGGATTAGGGCCGCGGAGAATGACAAGATTAGGGAAGCCCTCGCGAGGAGGCGTCAAGGAGGATAGGCTATTGGAGAGCGATTAGGGATTCGGACGTCTCTCTCTGTTTTCTCTCCACTTCTTTCTTTCCGTCTTTCTTATTCTCTCGCTTCTTTCTCTGCGCCTGTTCTTCCTCAAGAATATATACACTTCCTTGCCGATATAGGTTGGGTTCAAATAGCGGTGTTGGTTATACACGGAGAAATTATGGGTTCAATGTTGTCCAAGGTCTCGAGGCTGGCCTTTTTTTCTGGAATGCCTTTATATTTTGGGCACATCTTTGTCTTATTTCCTTGTCTTTTTCTACACCTAGTTCAGGTAATATTATAATGACTTATGACAATGACACCGCTTTCAAGCTCAAAGAAGCCTTCGAAGCCCGATCTACAGGTGATCCCTTGAAACCAGTAATGCATATGGAGCGTCGAGTGATTCTGCGGGCCTTGTTATCTCGACTTGCCCACCGTTTAAGCGTCATCCCACCAACCAAGCACGTCCATAAGGCACAGGAAAAAGATTAGAAGTCTAGGTCCTATATGAAATTCCGGAGAAAGGTCTCCTAGTTAAATTGAAAAAGGTATCCCAAAACTTTTGCTAGTTCCTTACCGAGAGTGACACCCCATTTAAGTCGAAGCTTTCGAAAGCCTACAACCAACCGAAAGAGACAAGAACAAAATTGACATGAAGAAATGATAAATGCGAGTGTCCCCACAGACTACCGTGTAGGGATCGCTCGTGAGCCCCTTTGGGAATTGTTAAAAACCAAAAGCTAACTCCGGCCAAGATCTATATTGTATGCCATGACCATAACCCCTTTGCCCAAAAAGTCGACATGGTGACGTGGGGCGAGGTTCTTTTTCAAAGGATGAGGCGCCGCTCGCGATGGTCTATTGATCGCATAGGTTTTGTAAGTTTACCGCACGCGCGTCAATAAGACTGTCCGTCCATCGTCGGCCCCCACGATGTCCGCAGACTCAACCACTCTCGAGTGGTGTCTCCATGGAGGCAACCCTAAGCGAGCATGACGAGTCTTGCACCTTTCGCCAACAGGGCGTCGAGAAGAGCTCTCGCACCGCTTAGTGATAGAAGATAGGAAAATAAGACGATAATAGTGACACGTTCATCGATGCAGAAAAAGTCGATGAACCCCTCCCCACCACCCCTTGCCAAACCAAAACTCCAAGGTAACCAAAGTCCCTGAGATACCAAGCCGAGACGCCGAGACCGGAATACTCTATGTCGTGATAAAGTTCGTTGAAACGCGCATTGCAAGACGCCAAAAAAGAAATAGAAACCCAGGTGATAACCGCCCACTTATGACAAGCTGGGAAAGATCTTGGTCACGGCTCTTCTCCCTACAGAAACGTGCAAAGAACCTGGTTAGCATTCAACGCCGGGCAAGACTGGGCTGCAGAGAGTGCCATGCTGGCAGGGGATCCATGATACGGCAACAGGGTTCGGCCACCACAATACTTACACATTGGTCTATCCTGTTCATCATCCAACGGGCGCGCCAGGTGCTTCATCCTGGCTCTGGCCAAGTCGGAAGGGCTCTTCCGGCCAGCTGGTTGATGATCGAGCAGGGGGCACCCTTCATAGGGCCCAGCTTCAAGTCCCGGGGCTTTTTCCGGCGCGACTTCTTTTGGTGGGGCATAGGTGGCAAGGCAGACACCGTATCCTCCGATTCAGCGACAGCATTCGACGGTATTTGTCGGGATCCGGAGATAACATCCGGGTTCTGGGTCTCAGTCGCGCCGCCGCCGGGGAGTCGGAGGCTGGTGGATCGGGTATCGTGATGGATTCGGGCGTCGTCGGGGATTCAAGGAACTTCTCCTTGGAAATTTTGGAGGGGTTGGCAGGGCTCGGAGGCGTTTTGGAGGGAGGACTGCCGGGCGTGATGAGATCACTAAACACGTGTTTCCTGAAAAACTTCTTCTTAGCACCGCCATCGGCAGAGTCGACCTCGACGTCGACCGTGCCGCGTAGGCGACGCATAGCCCGCTCACGGCGCACCATGGCATTGGTGATCTTGGGGCAGTAGCCTTCCGGCAGCATGCAATGCTGGCAAATAGGGCAGAGGGAACTGTTTCGAGTTAGGAATTCGTCAATGCATTCGGGATGAAAGATGTGGTAGCATGGGAGCTGGCGGATGACGGAGACGCGGTTTTTGAAGCTCTCGAGGCAGATTTGACATTGCGGTTGGTAATTTGTAGCTATTGTCGAGCACTCACTGCCGGCCAGGCTTGATCGTGACGACCTTCCCGAGATGGACACGACGGACGAGATGCTGCGGTCGGCATTGGTCGGTTGGCGAGAGCTACGGATGGAACCGGGTGTCGAGGGCCCATTCATTCGCTCCGACTCAGATTGGTAAGTGTATAAAGGGAATGACTTTATATGTTCCTCGGGGACCATGACGCGGGCAATGCCCATTGCTTCGAGGTCGACGTCGCCTCGCTTGACCCTGAGGGCTAGAGATTTGCGGCGCTGCCGCTGGAGAAGATGCATGAAGATGGAAACGCAAAAGATGATGAAAAGGAGGGCACCGATAACGATGACGAAGAAGGTCCAAAGCGCCGGCATGCTTTTCGTGTCATGCATGGACAATTCGGTCCATATTCGAACGTAGTCACGAGGGTTGGGGCCAAACGCATCAACAATATCATCGCCGAATGGGATGTCGTCGATGGAGCCAGAGTACTGAGCCAGCTTTCGCACCAACTTCTTGCCTTCCCGGCCGGGGATGGCAAAGATAGGAAACTTGTTCTGCTGAACCCATGCCCCGCCATCGTCCAAGTCCCATATTGGTTCGTCGACATCTTGGGGTTTATTTGTCGAGTTATTAGGTTTGTAAAATATAAAGGCTTTCACCGGATCGTAGCGTGCGGCTTGTAGATAGGCCTGCGTGCATTCTTTGCTGAACCACGGGGCTAGGGCGATGAGTTTGTAGTTGGTGGGCGGGAGGTTGCTTCGACGGGTTACGTTTCGCGGAAGGCCGATCGAGGGGTCATACTGGTCTTCAGCGCAAGAATTGCCGGAGGCTATCGTGGGGACGTAAAGAAGGCCTTGTATCACGCCATTTAATGTTTCGGCGTTTGTCGTCGTCAGCGTCGTCAGGTTGGTCGAGATCTGGGACTCGAACGCCAACTGGCTCTGTAAGGGGCAGGTTAGCAGAGTCGTCGGGCGAGTGCCTCAATAGACGCCAACCACGGATCCAAAGAAAGAAAAAAAAACGACGAAAGAAAAATTCCACCAGGCAGCCCGCGGACAAGGGGAACATACGGCAATTGCAGTGATATTTCGGATGACGGTCGTCGGAAGGGAATCCTCTCCGTTAAACAGAGGGTTACTGAATAAGAGACTATCAATGCCACGGCGGCGTTAGCAGTTGCACGGAGCACCGGCGATTTTCAAGCAAAAAATAATCGCAAGGAGAAAGATGACCCTTCGAATAGGGCGGCAAGCGACGACAAGATAAAAGAAGAGAAGGCTTCGGTGCAAGCGTGCGTCGAGAGAGATCAAGTTCGCGGTGAGCGCATCGCGTCAGAGGGGAAGGCTCGTCGGCGGTCGGCGACCCCGCAAGATTGTGTCCGAAGACAAGCTCCGAGGCCGAAAAGAAATTGCTCGAGATCTCGCCATGGAGGGACAGGACACAGGGACATATGAAGCTATAGAGAGGAGCATGGAATGCAAACATACACGACATTTCGAATCTCGGAGAGCGCTGTAAGACGTCAGTTGCCGCGCCAAGAACTGGGGGTGATGTGGTAACTGTATCCAGGGCTTGGCTCCGACAAGATTCGCCAGAGGTTTCGTCGAAGGGGCAGATTGGATTGACTTACACATGCTTCTAGGACATATTCAATCTTTTGACGGAGGACATATCAGCGTTCGGCAGTGCGGGGGTAGATTGCGCAGGTGAGAATCGTCAACGATGAGTTTCTTGGTGGAGGAACTGAAAAAGAGAGACCGGGTCGTCGGTGCGTGGAGAGGAGTATGTACTCTATGATGGCCACAGGGTGGAGGTGGAGAAGGCGAGAGAGCAGGACACACGGAACTAGGGCCAAACTGGATTGGAAGGGGGAGAGAAAGAGAGAGACGGGGTAAACGAGCGGGCGGTGGACGGTACCAAAAGAAATGGAAAGACCAAGCCGTGGGTGTGGTTTGGTGGTGCTGTCCTGCTGTCCTACTGTCCTGCACAGAAGAGGGAGAGAAGTGTGTGTGTGCACGGCGCGTGTGTGGGTTTCGATTGTGGAAGGGGAGGAGGCAAGGGAGAAGCGGAGAGGAACATGAAGTAAATGGATCTCGAATTGATCACATCGTATTGAACCGTCCGCCTGAATACAAGTACGTCTCCGCCTGTCACCGAGTTAAAGCGAGCGAGGTACAAGGGGCCCGAGGAGCACTGCCACGAGGCGGATGTACCTCTGATCAATTGAAATGATGAACGGTGCACCCTACACTAGTGAAGGGGAAAGTAGAAAGTAGCCTCCCCGTACTAAACTCGATAAGGGAGAGCGGAGACAGGATCCATCGATCAATGTCGAGTATCCCTCGAAATGATCAATTGTTTCCTGTCGGGGATTCCCACCCCCTGAGCCCCGTCACGACTCTCAACAATAGCCGTTTCCCCCTCGCATTCTCGGTTTCCCGTTTCCCGTTTTTCTTGTTCTTCGTTTTTCTTCTCTCCTTTTAATACTTCTCAATCCATTATACCTCGCTTTTGTTCGACACGGGTGGGGCTTCCCTTTCAAGGACAACATTTGAAGCGACGCCTTCAATGTCCTCCCTTCCCGGTTGACTATTGATCCTTCGACTCATTTTTCAGCCGGCTTGCCCAGGGAGCTCGCTCCATGCCGTGACAGCCGCCAGTATCGTGCTGTAGCTCCGTAATTGCTTTAAATGCCCCAGTCCAATACTTTGCACGAAGCACTTGTGGATTGGCGAGCTTCTCAGAACATGAAGCTTTCGATGGAGTTTCATTTCCTTCCACCTTGGCTCTTCAAGTTCAGCGGCATACACTCCGATTCCAACTACTGCCTCGCGAATTTTATGCGAGTATGGAAATAACTCTGTTATTTTCTGCGATGGGCGGTTGAAAAGAGAGAACAGAGAATCCACACTAGACGTGTACTATAGTAAATTGATCAAAGCCAGCATTCACCAATTGACCCGCATCCGCGGTACCGCGATCTGCTGTCCGCCACCCAGCGTCGTCAGCGAATGGAAGGACTCATTTCGCATCAACCAACATTCCCCGTTGATGTCAGAGAGTTGACGGTGACAGACTCCGTAATAATAACACTGCTACCCTTGAGGTCAGAGCATCCGCAAGTGTTCGTAATATGCTACACGCCCGAATGGGGTTTCGGGTGGGCAAGTGGCGTTTGTGCATTGAGGTGGGAGTCTTGTATCGTTGACTTTAACCTTTGAATAGCGCGGTACCCAACCCTCAATCATGGGCCCTTGCTCAGGGTATTTGTACATTTCTGGCAAGATCGAAAAGCCGAGATAACGACAGGTTGGTTCGATTGCCCCATGTTGTGCAGCGCGAAGCACCCTTCACATTCAAGTTTGGAGGAGCGATGGATGGTTGGAGGTGTCCACTCGTCAAGAGCTCACCCACCTTTGGCCACCAAATCTCCTTGGACTAGCCCCCCTCAGTTTCAAGACGGTAATACAATTGGTGAAGATGCTGCCCCAATCCAAGTTGATTGAAGTGCTAGTGTGGGGCTGTGAGAAGTTGGGCTTTCAAAAGCAGCACGAAACGGCTCGTATTCGACAACTCTAGTTGCTTCAATGTTCTTAATGGACAGCAAACGATGACAAGGTGTATGTGATTCTTGAACATCTTCATCCGAATTCCGCAGAGGGATGAAGCTGGGAGCGATTCAAAGTGGCCCCCACCACAACTCTTTGACCAGAGTGATTTCTTTACGGGTCACCTACAAGCCTCAAGCCTCTTCGCCTTCCATGAGAGGGCAGATGCGTCACAGAAGAGGGCGGGGTGATGTTATTCAGAACAAATCAAAGTAGATTTAAAATAGACTTGCTAAATATATGAATGAAGGGAGGACTGCCCATCGTCCAAGGCACAACTGTCTTCCCCACCATCATTCATCCGCGACGTCCACTCAACCTAGGCCTGTTAGACACTAGAGTCGAGTATGTACAATCCCTGAAGCAATCACAGTCGACATGGTCGAGGATGATCTTAGGCTTCCTACCACCCGCCGATCGTTCCTGACGGACCAGTCATCGACATCAAAAGGCACAGCCGAAAGGGCACAATGGCCCCGCCTTGGTGACCACGGCCGACGGGACCGGGTGAAGCATCCGAGGCACCAGTATTTTTTCTTCATGTTCCCAGGAATTTTTCCAGCAGCAGGATCTCTTCTCCGTATTCCAAGTACGACTTCAAAAAGAGCTTGACCCACTGAAGCTTTCGGCGGGCAATTTCCTGGTCCAAAAATTTCCCCTCGATCAACCAGCCCCGCAACGACCTCGTCCACCGCGCCGTGAGAGTGGCCCGGATCCGACAATCCCAGAAAGGCATATCCAAGCCAGACCTTGTCTAGGAATCTAAGAATAAAACATAGATAGTCAGTAGCTAGATCTTGCCCTTGGACACACACACACACACACACACACACACACACACACACACACACACACACACACACACACACACACACACACACCGTTCACGCTTTTGAACTGCCTCCCCCTAGTTTTTAGATAATGACGGAGGCCGTCATTCGATCAACTCGATACCCCCTGCCCTGTACTAAAAACCCCTCTCATTCATGCCCAGCGTGGGAGATGCCCACCCATTGTCATGTACCACAAACAAGATGGGAGGGTTGATCGTCAAGTGACACGCAAATCATCATGCTCCAGCCTGTGGAGCCCTCTGAGTGAAGCGAGCAACCTCGCACCCTATTAGCTCTTCGATGGTTCCCAAAACCACCCGTATTTAGAACCGCAGTGTTTAGCCCGTCTCTAAAACTGATTGGACATCTTCAGTGAGCTCCGACCGAAGATCCCCATCCCACGGGGTCGGCAAGTGCTTCATAGACCAATACAATGAAATTGGCACGGACAACTAAACCTGTATCCGGATCGGCCTGGTCGCGGGGAGTCACCTTTTGGGCAAGCAGATGGACTTGTCTTTTCTTTCTCACCGCTCAGTGCAGTTGGCGACCCCTCATCACGACGGGGAACATTAAGATAGAAAAAAAAAAAAAAAAACTTGTGCTGGCTTCGGCGTACAAGACAGGCCTTGCATCTCTTTGTATCACCAACTCCGACCTCGTGCATATGACGGCGGAATCACCGAGATTCTCCACCAAGAACAGAAGAAAATTTTCTGCTCCTTGCAGAATCCAGGATGGCTCTCATTTGTTGGCACGAGATCACCACCGTTGCGCATTCAAGTCTTCCAAGGAGGGAATCTGCTACCGAGCAAAGGTGGTGGAAACTATAGTACAGCTATAGCGGTGCGCCTTGCTACGAGAATATCGTAGAAGTCGAGCATTCTTCATCAAGCTTTGCTACAGTGTAGTCCTCCCTAATAAACTCCAGTCCTTTCCAGCACGTGCTTGATGACGCGGTCGGAAAACCTGAGTTGGGTCGACTTTTGTCTGTCCAATACGTTAATAATAATGCTAGTGAACCAACAATAGTGTCTTACTTTCGTTCATCATTGAGCGCGAGCCACCCGCTCCGGCTTATGTAATGAGGCGTCCACTCCTCGGGTACACATCGGATGTTTCTTGTCAGTTACCTGCCAAACCCGCGACGGAGATTCCCGTGAGGAGGCCACCACCAGCGACAAGAACCCGATCTCGACGAGAGTGACGCGACGTTCATCATCGTTTGAACGCTCAATTACAACCCGGCCATCGCGTTTTCTATCAAGTCGTCCCGAGAGCCTTGACCGGATTGGTAATAGGCAAGGCGAAATCCCAACTAGGCTGCTCGTGCCCAAACCCAGCATCTTCTCTGGACCTGATCAATTCCGAAACCATGCGCGTTCAAATCTAACTTGGCGAACGCGACCTTAAGATACCCTCTCCTTAGAACTAGCCAACCACCCTTGGCTCCCGTCTTTCCTCTCTCTCTCTCCCTCTCCCTCTTTATCCTCTCCGCTTTTCTCTACCACCCAGACTTTTCAGCAAATCTCTTATCACCATGCCTCCCGGGTCGCAGAAAGGCACTGGCAAGAAGGGCGGTAGCGCCATGCGCCAGCGGAGTCGGAACACCACGCCAAGCAGCCTCCAACCAACAGCGACTCTGCCGGCGATAGAAGCCGTTGATGCTGAATACTTGGAGCTTCGAGTGGAAAAATTCCGGTCTCTGACCAACGAAGATGTCGTGGACCAAGGCGCCGCCAACGCCATGATGCCGGATACGAAAAGTCTAGATGGCATGGTCGCCCGTTTGCAGCGGCTACAGAATACGATTGACCTACGAAGCAACTTCTACGATAAAGGGATGCGCATCCTCGCCATGGCGCGCAAGAATCGTGTGGATGAAGAGGAGGAGCGGACAGCAACGGATGGTGACGAGCGCGAAAAGAAGAATAGGAAGAAGCGCAAGGCAACCGACTCCCTGGCTCCTCAAGATACGAAGCCTGGTAAGGGTTTTTTTTTTTTCCTTTCCTTTCTTATTTTTTTTTTTGGAAGGTGGGGGAGGGGTGTGTCAGTGAGCGGCCAGACACTCAACCTCAATATTTGTTGCGCCTGTGGTGTAGAGCAGCGCTCAATAACCTAGTTTCTCCAAGTTGCGTGCTAACACCCACTTTTTCCACACCTTTTGTAGAGCGGTCTTCCCCACTACGCGAATCCACCAAGGCAAAGAAACATCACCGCGAGAATTCGGCTAGTTCCTCACTTTCGCCAGTTGCACAAGCATCCCCAACTGCCATGGATGTGGACGAGAGCGCCAAGGCAGACGAAAATGAAGAAGAAGAGAGCTCTGATGACGAATCACGGCCCCCGCGGCCCATGCTTCCGCAAAGTAACACGTTTGGCGACGACCCCTCCACCTTTCCCGATCCTACAGTGTACGAGATCCGAGCGGTTGGGCCCGAGACGACGGAAGATGAAAAGAAAGAGATTTACTCGGTGGCTCGTTATCCCCGAGCGATCTCGGGAATTTGATTGCTGGTGATCCACCTGATAAGGACTTTAGTAGTGCCAAACCAGCCAACCAGATCAGCTTTTCCACCTTTTCCACCTACACCGAACCCTACTTCCGCCCTTTTTCGGAAGAGGATCTGGCCTTTCTTAGGGAAAGGGCCGATCGAGTGGCTCCGTTCGCCATGCCGAAGAGGGGCAAGAAGCACTACACAGAAATTTGGGCGGAGGAGGATGGCGCCATGGCCGTGGACTCACACCCTTCGAGGGACCGGCTGCCCCCGAATCAGGCACGCGGGTCCATCGAAATCATGGGCGATGACGTTGCGGAAACTGATAAGCTCTCCGTCGGGCCACTCCTCAGCCGCCTACTGCAAGCTATGCGGCCTGAACCTAGGGCGCCCCTTAGTGAGGATCGATCGAATAGCGTGAATGGAGACGCAATCATGAGCCTAGACATGAACGGGGATGGGCCCGAGAACGGCGTGGCCAGCGAGGATAAGTCCAATTCGCTCGCGCCGGCTAGCGCCATGCTCGAATCGTCGACGGAGGCGTGGAAGAAGGCGTCGCATCCGAAGCTTGACTACGGTCAAGTGGATGAGCGCATCAAGCAAGAGCTCCGCCATATTGGCTTCCTCGCGCCGGAGCCTAGTTTTGAGGCCGAGTACGACGGACACTTTGACGACGAGGTGTCGGCACGGCTTCGGCTGCTGCAGGAACGCCTGCGCGAGCAGATGCTTATCAACGGTGCTCGCAAGGCCCGGCTGACAGAATTAGTCAAGGAGCGTATGGCTCACCAAGAATACCAAACCATCCTGGAAGATCTGGACCTGCAAGTCCAAAGTGCCTACCTCAAGCGAACAAGGACGATGGGCAAGAGCAAGAAGAACAAGCGACCCGGTGGCGCGGGCGGTGGCAGCCACCTAGTCGGGGCCACGGGCACGGCGCGGCCTGGCATTGGCGATCTCACGCGGACCCTCATGGAGCGGCGGCGGCGGTGGATCGATACTATTGGTTCCGTATTCGACGACGAGAATTTGGGTAGAGTACCGCGTGTTTCCGAGCCAGACAGCTCCATCTTCAGATCGGCGGAAATGGGGCCGCTTCTCAAGAGGGAGAAGCAACAGTGGGACGAGGAGGTGGAAGACGAAGAGTGATTGGGCAAGATGGGAACCGCCGCCGGCTAAGGACTCACGAAGTATATACGTAAACCTGACATCTTTTTTTCCGGCACCGTGGACGGTGCTCGTCTCGGGCCCCATTTTTCAAACTCAAAACCGCATGGATGGCAAATGGGCCCGGTTGGCTTTTGGCTTGGGGTTTTTTGGCTGGGTTGAATCTTGAACGGCGTTTGTGGCACTTGGTTAGGTTGGGTGACTTGGGTGGCTTCAATGTGATATTCCATGGGTGCGGTGTGGTGCGGTGCGGTGCGAGCCAAATTCTTGGATGTTGATTCTGGACCTGTATCCACAGCAAGATATCATTACTAGTTTCGCAAGACAGCACATACATGTACCCTTTGCTCTTGCCGTGTTCAATCCGTCAACCCATCGTGAGGCACAGACAAGCTTGTTGTCGATAACGCTTCTCACATCTCGTTTAACATTGAAGGATTGAAAGATGCAAACGCCCACCTCATCCCCGGTTCCTTGGGGTACTACTTCGTATCAACGGTGTGGGTGAGCTCTCGAATGCCCCGTCAATGGCATATCAGAGCTTGCCCACATCCAACAAAGCGCACTCCACCCATCATATCGTACAATTAGCGGGCCCTCCAACGGATGGATCCATTGTACTTGATCCAAAGGGGAAGAAAATAACAGCCCACATCATCTCCAAACGTTTTCGAGACCCACTGGCTACTAGTAAATTTTTTTGGCCGTTCTTCCCACCAACAATCATTACCCAGTATTTTTATTAGCGCCGCTTCTTTCCAACGGCCACATCTCCCAGCGTCCGTTCCTCTAGTAGGGAGTGCCGTTGACAGGCGGATAAGGCGAAATGCGCGAGCGAGGGTCCCCGTCACCGATATGCACTAAGCCCAATACTACATCAACGAAAAGGATGCCGCGCGGAACTTTTTCTGCTCTTTGTCCCGTTATCTTTCCCCCTTCTATCCGGACAACTCGGCAAGCACCGGGGGTGGGCGGCGGGGCGCGTTGATTAGTAGGGACGGGTCGGGAGGAGCACGCCAGAAGAGAGGGAGGGAAGGAGGGGGAATTGTCGTCCCATTGTTCCACAAGTGCCAATGGGCAATGACTCAAGATGGAATGTTTAATAGAGCGAGTGCCGTTTCGGGGGCGCATATGCACATCAGTCAGGTCAGAGAGCGCTGTATGGGGGTGGAGAGAATCACCCAAATATATCATGTAAAACTGTGTGTCGAGATCCGCTCCCCGTAACGAAAGACTTGGACCGATAAGGTCCAGGTACCAGTCCGGACCCCACCGCGTTTCCATTGCACTGGATCTTATCACTGGCACTTTCTTGGCCTCTTTTTCCACCTTTTTTTTTTCTACTGTTTTTCTGGCGCTTTTTCCGTTATCTTCTTCTCCTCCCCTCCACCTCCTCCCTTGCCTGCTTTAATCCATCTTCTCTGTTGTCCGTCTTTTCCCAACTACCACATTGACCCCCCTCCCCTCTGCTCCCATAGACGACCCTCCCGGAAACCCCAAGCTGTTCACTTGCAGCTCTCCCCGAGAATGCATCTCGTCCCAAAAGAGGTTTGTCTTGGCACCCCGCCTTTTGCTGGAAAAACTGGGCCCTGCCGCAGATCGTCAACCCACAGACCTGGTCCAGGGATTGCGTGCACCTCCATGAATGATGCTAACAAGCTGCCTTTTTGGCTTTCTCCCACATAGCTCGACAAGCTCCTCATCACTCAGCTAGGCCTGCTTGCTCAGCGCCGCTTAGCTCGAGGTGTTAGGCTGAACCATTCCGAAGCAGCAGTAGGTCAATTCGAGTAGTCGCTAATGTCTCCTGAATCGTGGTTTGACTCCTTGTTCCTTCCTCCGAGCGAGCTGGGGGTAGCTAAGCTAGCTAACCAGTCCCATCTCTTCTCACCAACGTAGGCTCTCATCGCTAGTAACGTGCAAGAGTTGATCCGCGATGGCAACCATACCGTGTCAGACCTCATGAGCCTCGGCTCCACCATGCTAGGTCGCCGACACGTCTTGCCCACCGTCTGTAGCACTCTGCATAAAATCCAAGTCGAGGGAACTTTCCCTTCCGGAACGTACCTTGTGACGATCGATAACCCCATCAGCACGGACGATGGCGACCTCAACCGGGCCCTGTACGGAAGCTTCCTCCCCGTACCCAGCCCGGACCTCTTCCCCTCCCCGAGGCCAGCGCCTACGCCGCCGAACAGGCCCCAGGTGCCGTTGTCGTTGTCAAGGGAGTCGTGGCCTTCAACGAGGGCAGGAAGTGCATCAAGCTCAAGGTGACGAACAAGGGTGACAGGCCGATCCAGGTGGGCTCGCACTACCACTTCATCGAGGTGAACCCTCTGCTCGTATTCGACCGAGCGAGGGCCTACGGCCACCGTCTCAACATCGCGGCGGGCACATCCGTGCGTTTTGAGCCGGGCGACACCAAAACCGTCACCCTGGTTGAAATTGGCGGGCACAGGGTCATCAGGGGCGGCAACAACCTCGCCAGCGGCGCCGTGGAGCTCTGGAGAGTCAACGATATCGTGGAGAGGCTGATGGCGAAGGGATTCGAGCACGAGCCTCAGCCCCAGACCGCAGACCTCGGTATAATACGGGCCCCCACCATGTCGCGCGACGTGTATGCCGCCACCTACGGGCCGACCACGGGCGACCGCGTGCGGCTAGGTCTCACGGACCTGTGGATCACGGTGGAGAAGGACTTTGCCGTCTATGGCGACGAGTGCAAGTTTGGAGGCGGCAAGACCTTGCGCGAGGGCATGGGCCAAGCCACCGGTCGTGTCGACGCCGAATCGCTTGACATGGTTGTCACCAATGCTTTGATTGTCGATTGGACTGGCATCTACAAGGCTGATATCGGCGTCAAGAAGGGAATGATTGTCGCTATCGGAAAGGCCGGAAACCCCGATGTGATGGATGGTGTGACCCCTGGCATGGTGGTGGGCAGCTGTACCGACGTCGTCGCTGGCGAGGGCAAGATCGTCACCGCTGGCGCAATCGACACGCACATCCACCTCATCTGCCCGCAACAAGTTGAAGAAGCCCTCGCTTCTGGAGTCACTACCATGCTTGGAGGTGGAACTGGGCCAAGGTAAGAGGCAAACTTTTGCCATCCCCACAAAATGCGTCGACGAGGGGTACCACTAACACGTGCGTGTGCAACATAGCGCCGGCTCTAATGCGACCACGTGCACCCCGGAAAACCTATATCAAGCAGATACTCCAGGCCTGCGACAAGTTTCCCGTCAACATTGGAATTACCGGCAAGGGCTGCGATAGCGCGCCCGAGGCCCTGCGGGAACAGGTCCAGGCCGGCGCGTGTGGCTTGAAGATCCACGAAGATTGGGGTGCCACCCCGGCTGCCATCGACAACTGCCTTGCCGTTTCCGACGAGCTCGATGTGCAGGTCCTCATCCACACGGATACTTTGAATGAATCGGGCTTCGTCGAATCCACCATTGGCGCCATCAACGGCCGCACTATCCACACGTACCATACCGAGGGTGCGGGAGGTGGCCACGCGCCGGATATCATTTCGGTCGTAGAGCATCCCAACGTGCTTCCCTCGTCAACCAACCCCACGCGCCCGTTCACTATTAACACGCTCGACGAGCATCTCGACATGCTCATGGGCTGCCACCACCTTTCCAAAGACATTCCCGAAGACATTGCGTTTGCCGAGTCGCGCATCCGCGCCGAGACCATTGCTGCTGAGGATGTTCTCCACGACCTCGGGGCCATTAGCATGATGTCCAGCGACTCGCAGGCCATGGGACGCTGCGGAGAGGTCGTGCTGAGGACGTGGACGACGGCGCATAAGAACAAGTTGCAGAGGGGCACGCTGCCCGAAGACGAGGGCACGGGCGCCGATAACTTCCGAGTCAAGCGGTACATTTCCAAGTACACTATCAACCCGGCTCTCGCGCAGGGCTTCGGCCATCTCGTCGGTAGCATCGAAGTCGGCAAGCTGGCGGATCTGGTGATTTGGGACCCCGCTTGGTTCGGCACCAAACCCGAGAGCGTCATCAAGGCCGGGTTGATCTCTTGGGCTCAAATGGTAAGCACTTCTCTCCATGTACTTGGTCATTTTCTATTTATTTCCTGTTTTGCCGTCTGCACATGGTTTGCTTCCCAGGCTTTTTTTTTTCGTTTGCAGAGCTTCCTGCTAACCGAGCAATTAGGGTGACGCAAACGCTTCTTTACCCACCATTCAACCCGTCATTGGCCGTCCCATGTTTGGCGTGCATGTGCCCGAATCGAAGATACTCTTTGTAAGTCGATCCTCCATTGACAACGGCTCGATCGAGTCCTACGGGCTCAAGTCGCGCGTCGAGGCTGTAAAAGGTTGCCGAACGGTAAGCAAACGTGACATGAGATTCAACGATGTGATGCCCAAGATGCGCGTAGACCCCGAAAGCTACACGGTCGAGGCGGACGGCAAGGTATGCTCGGCCGACCCTCGGAAACTCTGCCACTGGCGCAGGCTTATTACATGTATTGAGGAGGGGACGAACCTTGGAATAATTCGGTGAAGTTTACCGTGGTTTTTTTGCATTACATTGCATATCGTTGCCACCACCAGAATACCATAACTGTTATCATATTATATTGGTACATTGATGTATCAACTGTCGGAAGCCAGCGCCTATTAGTTAGCATGCAATCCTTTGAAACAAAAATGATTTGAGTTGAGCGAAAAGCGAACTGTGCTAGGATGAGCAGCAGGGCTGGATCCCTGTAGATGATACCAGTGCCGCCATCTAAGGAATACGATGGACTGTTGATCCTCCCCTTCATTGGATTCATTGGATCCATCTACACACCCACATGTGCCGCATTAGCGCCTCCAATGTTGGGAAAGGATTGTACTGTCCACAGCGGGTGTCACACCAAGCCGCGCTGAGATGACGTTGAAGAAGGGGCAGGGCAGTGGAAGGGCGAACGGGAGCGTTTGGCCCCCAAGTCTTCAACCTATATGAGTGCTTGAGAGCGTAAGCTCTCGCTGCAGCCCTGCCTCAATCTTCCTCCTTTTACAACTAGCTCAGTCATTCTTCTTCATTCCCTATCAAGCAGCCTGTCATCTTCTATATCATCATTAAAGCCTGCTTGGTTTATCTTACATAAAAATCAACTTGGTTACGCTACGGCTTACTAGCTACGGCGGAAGAGAGAGAGAGACGAAGCAGTACGTTTGGGAAAGAATAGAAAGAGTCGAGAGAGGAAGGAAGAAAAGAAGAAAGGCCTTCACTTCCCCCAACAAAAAACGACTTTGAACTCGATCCGCGGAAAACAAAATCACAATGGCCGCCATCCCCTTACCTACCGCCTCATACTCACGGTCCTTGACCCCTCATCGCCCTAGGCGGGGTCATCCAAGCACTAACGCAACCCGCCGAATACCTCTCCATCATGACACGGTCCGAGACGGCGTACGACGAGCGGACGCGGTTCCTGTACACGGAGCTGGCCGGGTCGTGGCTCATGTTTGCCTTTTTCGAGGCGGTCGGGCTGCGGGTGCTGGCGCGCGGGGACGACGGCGGGCGGCGGGCGTGGAGGGTCGTGTGCGCGGCGGGGCTGCTACAGGACGCGCTGTACGTGGTGAGCATGGGGCAGGCGGTCGGGGGTTGGCGCGGGTGGGCGGATCCGGGGACGTGGACGGGGTTGGACTGGGTGGTCCTGTTGACTACGTTTCCGGGCGTCTTGGCGAGGATTGGGGTGGTTTTGGGGATTGGGTTGGGGGAGGCGATGGGGGAGGGACGGGGGAGTGGGCGGGGTGGTGGGAGGCGATATGGAGGGAGGCCGAGGAAGGGGAAGATGAACTAATTGTTGAGCGGGTTGGTTCCGAGGTGTGCTGGCGACTTACTTGCCGTGGTTCTGGAAGAGCACGAGTGTATGATGCTACAAGACACGGCGACACGGAAGGCGGATGAGTAGAAATTACGACTTTACTAGGAGCGAGCAGACATATGGGTGTAACGGATTGATAGATTGAACCATTACAATGATCTATCTAGTGGGTGAGGATAACTTGTGTGCTCGATCGTATAGTAGAGCTTCAGTCAGTGAGGAATCAAAGGCGAGCGAGCTTCGGGTTGACTCGAGAAATCGGTCACGGCGCAGTGCAGGGGGACGAATTGAATTGATTGCGCCGCGAATTGACTTCTACGATCCCTATCGATAAGAGGTCCACTGCCAAAGCCGCTAAAAATTCATCCACCTCCCCAAGCTCCAATTCTCAGCTCAGACCACCATTTTTCCCCCTTTGGTCCAACGACACACGCCTCGTCGCCAAACCCTCACCCCAAACCATGTTATAATCACAACCAAGACGAGCGCCGCATCCCTTTTCTCCGCCATCGTGATGGTTCGCTCGCGGGCCGCCCTCGCCGCTCTGCGGCCCTCGCCGTCGCTGCTCCCCTTACGCCCGACCGCGCGCGCTCCCCTCCCTCTCCCTCTCCTTCGCCGCGCCCTCTCCACCACGACCCCCGTCACTCCGCCCCCGACCCAATCCCACGACGGCGCGCCCAAGACCGAACCCCCGACCACCGCCGCCTCGGCGCGCAGCAAAAGCTCTTCACGACGTCCGTCTACAGCCCCGGCTCGCCCCTGCTCCTCCCCACGGCAAGCGCATCGCCAACCGCCTCGTCGACTTTTGCGCAAGCAGTACGTCCGCTACGGCTTCGACGAGGTCGACACGCCCACCATTTACAAAAGGCCCTGTGGGAGAAGTCGGGCCACCTCGAAAACTACGCCGAGGACATGTTCTCCGTCACGAGCAACCCCCGCACCACCACCTCTTGCTGCGGCACCCACGGCGACGACGCCACCGCCTCCGCCACCGCCGTCGAAGAGGACGAGGGAGACTACGGCCTCAAGCCCATGAACTGCCCGGGCCACTGCCTCATCTTCGCCTCGGAACCCCGCAGTTACGCCGATCTCCCCATCCGCTACGCCGACTTCAGCCCCTCCACCGCAACGAAGTCTCGGGCGCCCTGTCCGGCCTCACGCGCGTGCGCCGCTTCCACCAGGACGACGGCCACATCTTTGCCGCCCCTCCCAGGTCGAGCGCGAGATCCGCCGCTCCCTCGGCTTCGTGCGCTTCGTCTACTCGGTCCTGCAAATCGGCGTCAGCTACCGCCTCGCCCTGTCCACCCGGCCCGCTGACCACTTCATCGGCACCGCCGAGGAGTGGGACCGCGCCGAGTCCGCCCTCAAGCGCGCGCTCGACGCCTCGGGCCAGGCCTGGAGCGTCAACGAGGGCGACGGCGCCTTTACGGCCCCAAGATCGACATCATCGTCCAGGACTCGGACGGCAAGGAGCACCAGACCGCCACTATCCAGCTCGACTTCCAGCTGCCCAAGCGCTTCGGCCTCAAGTACGAGGCCCCCGCCCCCGAGCTCGAGGCCCGCGGCGAGGAGACCACCGACCGGAGCTCCTGGCCGTCAACGGCCACGTCACCCCCGTCCTCGTCCACCGCGCCGTTCTCGGCTCCGTCGAGCGCCTCATGGCCCTCCTCATCGAGCGCTACGACGGCAAGTGGCCCTTTGGCTCAACCCCGCCAGGTCGCCGTCCTCACCGTCAACGACGCTCCCGCTACCGTCGCCTGGGCCAACGCCGTCCGCAACGTCCTCGAGGGCCACGACGGCGAGGACGGCCTGGAGACCGGCGCCGTGACCGAGGGTATGAAGCAGCCCACCGGCCTTGCCGTTGACCTTGATCTGCGCGCCATCACCATGGGCCGCAAGAAGCACCAGGCCGATTCAAAGGGCTACGGCCTCATTGTCGCCATCGGCGAGCGGGAGGCCGCGGATAAGACCATCACTGTTTCGGGCCCCAGCCTGCCTGGCGGCGGAAGGAAAACCATGTCGCCAGAGGAGCTTCTAAACATGATGGAGAAGATGGTGGCCACGTTCCAATAAGACACCCATCCCGGGCTGTGGTATGCTACGATATCGGTGATATGATGATGTGCCATTACTCCTTTTTTCTTTTTCCCCTCTGCTCACTCAATATGGTTTCGCCCTTTCCTTTCCTTGTATTTTTATAAAAGGCGCTTGTATTTTATGATTAGAGTCAGTACCGAGGTAGAGTCGGGGTTTTTTTATTCTCAAATTTCCATAGACATCTTAAATTGATGGGGACTAAGTCAGGATAGCTTTTCTTCTCTTTCCTAGCTGTAATGCGTTGTTCGCCCCCGTTTGCCATGCTTGAACCAATCCACTAGAAATGTATAGAGAGACAAAGGAAAAGATTGGATATCATGCCGAACCATCAGAAGCGCCGAAATGAATATAGTGTGAAAAACAAGCCCGTGCAGGTATGTCCTGCCAGACCCGCACCCGGCCCCCTTCGTCCTACTCTTGTTGTGTTGCGCACGCGTTGAGCCTGTCTTCTCGAGGCACGTTGTTGTGCCTTCCACAGGACCTCTCCACTCCCGTACCACCTAGACTAAGGCTCGCCTTCCTCCGACGAGGCCACAAAGAAATTGAACGAAAAAAGAGACCATACCAAAACTCTACCCCACGCCGGCTCCAAAGGGAAGCGCTTTCCCACGGTCCTCTCTATGAGTCCGTCAAACCGAGTGTCCCACTCTAGCCCTCTGGGAAAGAAGTTTAAAGATAAATGAAAGAAATGAGTCAAAACGGAATATTAAGGTGATGGCCTTGCGGCTCTAATCCTCGCTCTTCACCTGAGTTTTGCTGGAACGAAACATATGCGCATTAGTTTGGCTCTAAAGAAATATCCGTCCGAACCAAAGTATGGGTTGGTGGAACAAGGTGAGGCTAGGATGTGCGCACGCCAGCCTTGAGGGAATCAGGTACTCACTAGAGCTTAAGCCTTTCCGGGACCTCACCACCGCGTCGCTCAATCTCCTCCACCATGCGCTGATTTTCGGCGAGTTGGTCGCGCATAAACTGGATAGTGCGCTGAAGCACAAGGCCCTCTGAGCGGCCTTGACCTTCAAGACCAGGGACGAGCTCGGTTAATCTATCGAAGCCGTCGCGGATGGCTTGCCTTCGTTTTTGTTCTGCGGAAAAGAAAAAGGTAGGACCATCCGTTAGCTCTCTCTTCAACAACGTACGAATAATGGTGTTGAGGGCAAGTGGATCAAAGCAGGACCGAGGCCCTCGTAGGATCATGGTGCGACGCCCTAGATGTGCTGGAGCCAGAGGTTGGACAGGAAACGCGACTCACCAGAGGCGATGTGGTTCATCTTCTTCTCCTCCTCCGTAAGTCGAGTCTTCTCCTCGGGGGTCGGCGCGGATTGGCGATCCTCGGACGAGGCTTTACTGGTCGCCGCCATGGCTGTGAGAACGGCCACTCGAGGGGCGGCGGGGCTACGCTGCGCTGGCGGATAGAGGAGGGTGATGTCGGAACTGGCAGGCGTGGGCAATGCGACTCGAACCGTGCGTGTGTTGTAGAGAAATATCGTCGATGTAAGTTGGAGGATCAATTAAAAGAACTGAGAAAGGAAGAGGCCGATAGAGATAGAGAGAGGTAGAGAGGGAGAGAGGCTGAGAATGGGGGAGGGCGGAAAGGAATTAAAAAAGAAAAAAGAAGGAATCACGAGCGTTGGTCGCCAAAGGCACAAACAAAGGCAATGGTTGACGTTGAAAGTTTAAATAACCCGAGTTGTTTCAACTTGGAGTCGAAGGGACCCTAGACCCTAGGCAAAGGGGAAGGTAAAAAAATTAAACGCTGCTATCGATGTTGGATGCGAAGGCTGACACGAGGTGGAAATGCACACGACTGTCGAAAGTCCAGCTTGTGATTGAAGTTTGTTGCAGTGTTGTGCTCAAGAGGTGCGGTGCAGCTGCAAATGGGCATCGCAGGCGCGGGCACGGAATGACACTTGCATGTGATTACTTGCACGTTCCCCACACATTGAGCACCCCAGGTACATTTCCTTGTACACGCAGGGTAGGCACCCACTCTTCCCACTCTCCGGAAAGTACTTGACCTGGTGCTATAACGTGCGCGGGTGAATTCCCGCCCTATTCACTTGTCTATTACAGCCCACGCCCACGCCCACACCCACTTGATACCCATGAGCCCCGTTCAGGGAGATCTCGTCAGGTGCAGCTCTTTTTCATCTCGACAAACAGGTCACCATCTCCGTCGGACCTGGTAGGACTTTGTTATTATTACATCTCATTATTATTGGCGTTTTTTGTCTCTCTCGTTTTCTCTGTTATGTGACTTGCGCGCCAACGAAGGATCTGGAGGTCCAATCTTGGGGAGCATTACATTGCTTGTACTTGACTCTTTTACATAAGCCGACCAACGAAAAGTTCCTTGTCGAAACGAGGCTTAGAAACGGTGGTATCTTCATGTCCCTCTTGCAGATGGGAATCTTTGATTCTGTTGACGCCGGTATCACATGGCATTTTGCCCTCTGCCGAAAACGAGGGGCACTCCTGCAGCCATACTGCGAGGGACAAAGGGAGAAGTGTCATCTCGATCTACGGAATGAAGGAAAAGCATCAATTTCATTGATGTCATAGTCATAGCGAGCCCCGATTACAGATGGGACAGGGATAGCCTAGCTACACTCCATCGGGGGTGGTTACTCGTTCCGGAACCCGAGCCAATTCACAAGCTCAAGGGACGGGACAGACACCACTGATCAGGACAACCCCCGAGGTCCAAAAATCAGACCCTGCGCAAGTCAGTCTTAATTTAATACCAAAGGGGTCTGTCTGTCTGCGATCGAGAAAAACGGAAGGGAGGGGCGTAACCGGGAAGGGGAGGGGTGGATTGCCTGGTCCTGCCCTTGCAGGAAGCCTAGGCCCCTTGGCCGATGGGAAGGTGAGGAGCCGTCCGAATCGCCCTCGGTCCACTGGTCGACCTCGTTGAGGTGGGGGAGGCAGAGGAGGGAGCTAGAAGCAGGGGGAGCCGGGTGCCGAGTATGGATAATAATTTAGGAGCCCGGCTGGGCCCTAACCTGTTTTTTTGGTCTCGTCCCTTCACACCGATGACGCACGCTGGCGGTGGGTGGGCTAAGCTTGAGGCCAAAGGGCGGGGTACCTTCCAATTGTTCCACACTCGCAAAATCGGGTGCGGGCAACTGAGGTGCGGGCGACACTTTCCTAGCTCTCTCGCATCAAGAATCGACGAGGGTCCGCTCTTTTGCTTACCCCAAGCTACCACAAACTTCAGAACCCCTTTGCCCGCAAAAAGACTCCCCTCCTACCCAGAGAATCCTCCCATAAAGCCCCGACACCCCAAGCACAACTCGCACCCGGCCACTCTTCCCGAAATCGGGCCAATGGCGGACTCCAAGGACGCAACCGCGCCGACCGGTGGACCTCCGAATCCGAACCCGCCCCTCCGGACCCGGTTCAAGCCCTTGGATATCCCTATCCTCAAGCATCTCCGATCGCAACGCGTCATCCTAGCTTCTGCGTCGCCTCGGAGAAAAGCACTACTTGCTCAGGTAAGGAAGGACGTCGACTCCCATCTCTCCATCCTCCGGCCTTGCTTTCTTTTAATCTTTTTTCCCCTTCTCCTTACTTCTATCCTCTCTTATCCTCGTTACCCTAAACCAAGAGAATGACCTTGCCCCCGGACCACTCCCCATTTCTAATCAAAGGAACAAACCCAACCTAGATCGGCCTCGTCAACCTCGAAATCGCCCCTCCACCAAACCCGAGAACGTCGACAAGAAAACCCACAGCCCCGCCGAGTACGTCGCCGCCACCGCCGTGCAAAAGTGCCTCGACGTCTACGAGGCCGCCGTCAACGCCCAGTCCACCGCCACCGCCACCGCCGACACCCGGCCCTCGGACCCAGCCCTCGTCATCTCCGCCGATACCGTCGTCGTCTCCCGCGACGGCCGCATCCTCGAGAAGCCCCGAGACCGCGCCGATCACATTCGCATGTTACGCCACTTGCGCGACACCCGCGTCCACAGCGTCCTCACCAGCGTCTGCGTCCTAGCTCCCCGCGAGGACGCCCAGCACCCGGGCTACGTCCTCGAGACCCATACCGAGGAAACCAAGGTCCACTTTGCCAGGAGAGCGACGGCCTGCCTGACGACGTCATCGAGGCCTATGTTTCCACCGGCGAGGGCATAGACAAGGCTGGCGGATACGCCGTCCAGGGCATCGGCGGCATGTTGCTGGTAGAGAGGGTTGATGGAAGCGTGGATAACGTGGTCGGTTTACCAGTCAGGCAGACTTTGGCGCTCGCCGAGAGAGTGGTCTTTCGACAAGATGACGATGGAGGTGATGATGACGAGTAGTGATGAGTAGAATCAGGTTCAAGCCCGAATAGCATATGGGGCTTGCCTCGGCGGAGATTATCTATTCTTGCAAACATGGTCTAGAACAACCTACCACTGCTGCCCAATCTCAACGTTGCGCTTACCGCACCCATTGGGACACATTCCTTTGGCCAGTGTTGGACCGTGACAACCTCAACCGGGAGGGACATTCTCACGTTCAACGGATGTCGCGTTTTCACAGCTGGAAGAGTAGGGACAGCAAATAAAGAGCCTTATTGCCAACTTGTGCAGATTGACCATGATCTTCAACGATACTAATAAAGCCTGTCTAATCTTGTAATCTGCGATCGCTCTCTCATCATACGAGATGCAGGTTCCGACGCGGTATGCTGTGAGATGATACTATGCAAGACAGAAACAACCTACAACGCCCCCAAGTAGAAAAAGAACCAAAAACAAAAAGAAGACCATAGTGCTGCTCGAAAAGTGCTGTCTCATCCGCCTTGTTGAAGGGAAGAAAGAAGGAAATGAAAAAGAACAAGGGAAAGGAAACTTTTTGGTGTCATGTTCTTGAGGCCGCTACTTCTCGTCTGCCAGGTTTCGGCTTCACAAAAAGGGCCACAGATACCACATTCTCGCCCTCTTAAGTCGCACAATCACTTAAGAGGTGTTGACGTCCTCCCAGCTAGTCCAATATGATATGTTGATACCGCCTTCTAAAGTGATGATCCCTGGGTTCCTTCTCTAGAACTGCGATTGGGGTAAAATGCGTATTAGTTGATGGTGGGGGTAGCTGTTTGAGCTCTCCTTTTTCTTTCTTTCTAACTTTAAGTGCCTAGTTGGCCTTCTTGGCCTCGCCATTGCTTTGGGCCTGGAGCGCTAGGAGCTTCTCCTTGGGAATCGTGAGGGCATTGATGCCTAGGAAGTTGCAGATGCTCGTGATGACCAAGTATGCCCACCTGAAGTATACAATGGCGGCAAACACAAAGTAGCCCCAGAGATAGTATAGTTCGGCCTCTGCGCTAATCTTGGCGAAACCAAAGAAGGGGAGGTTGCCGATGATGGCGCCGCCGACAAGAGGGGTTAGCATCACCGTCCAGTAGGGGAAGGGCTGTCGGGTAAGGTGAGCGAGGATCATCTTTGTCGTCATCCTTCCAAATACAAAAGACATGGTGATGCAGAAAAGAACCAGGTGGTTCTCCTCCCGGAGGGTGGAGTAGGGAGAATAGAGCCATGCGCCGATCGAGAGCGAGTAGACAGCCATGGGGGTCCACTCCAAAAAGACGGGCAGGACGGGCAGCTTGTTTGCGCGGCGCGCGCGCACAACATTCAAGACGCAAAAGGGAACGTGAGTGCCGAAGAGAGAGATGACGATGATGCGGATCCAGATATCGCGAATCGTGGTATCGCCAACCGCGTCTACATATCCGAATAGGTAGCGCTCGCCGACGAGGTTGACAATGGGCTCGGTCCAGACTCCAGGGCCGTAGATTCCCGAGATAGCCATGACGGCGCAAGCAATAAGAAGGCCCTCAGTGGGTCCGTTGATGTATCCGAGATAGAGGGTATGGGTGTGGTAAGTCTCCCAGGTGGAAAAGAACATGGCCAGGCACGGGCAGAGCGCGGTGAAGACGCCCGACTTGGAGGTACCGAGTCCCATGGCGGCGGTCTCGAGGAGACTCGCGAGGGTGCAGTTAAGCGAGTCGATGCCGTGGTCAAAAAGCTCGCCGAGACCGCTCGATGTTCCCGTTCGTCTCGCCTGTTTTCCATCAACGTTGTCCATGGTCTGGTACATGAAAAGACCGAACGCGAAGCTAAGGTAGAGCCATGATGGTCCCTGGGATTGTCAGCGCAAAGCTCCTCCCGCGCGAGAGGATACCGATATTGGTCTTGGGAGGGCGACACGGCCAGGATCCGAGATCCCTGTCAAAAACTTACCGGTCCTACAAGGTCGGGCATGTAGATGACGAGGAGACCAACGTTCCCTAGAATGAAGAAGAAACCCAACAGGGTCACCATGTTGGGCGCAAGCCATATCGGTAGGAGCTTGACAAAAGCATTCCACTATTGAAGAAAAACGGTAGGCAACAGTTAGCCATTTGTAGCAGGCTGCGCTTCCGCGCTCATTTAGAACCCTCAGCCAGCTTTCTATGCTATAGTTTCCCACGCGACTTCGCATTATGTGGGACATCGCGCGCCGGTGGCCAAGGGTGGAGGATCAGTGGGAGGGTAGAGTCGTACATAGGGTCCGAGGATATAATACGATATGGGGGATTTGTCGACGGCCGAGTACTTATAGCTCTTGAGATGTATTAGAGCGTCGTCGGAAATGCACTCGGCTTTCGCTTCTCCTGGAAATAGCAACGACGTAAAGTAAGCTTATGAACTTGTAGGCATGGAGTTTAGGGCCAGCCCGGGAGGGAAGCTTCCATTACTTTTGCTTGGAGCCATGGCGGCGACTATAGAGTGAAGCTGGTTTCGGTTCGAGGCCCAGAGAGAAAGCTTCAAGGGCGGGGAGAGGGTAGGGGGAGGGATTAACAAGATGAGCCAGCAAAATATTACAGTTGCTGCATTTTTACTGGAAGCAAGAGAAGTCAAAGCAGAGGGGGAAAAAAGAGGTAGGGCAGGCGGAAGAACAACGAGGCGGAGGAGGCTGGAAGTTGTTGGCCAACAGGGACGGGAAGGAAACAATTCTGGTGGGGGTGAGGGACAAGCAGCAATTAAAGTGACATTGGAAAAAATGGGGATAATGGGGGCAGGTGAACAGGCGAGGTTGAGCGGTGGGCCCCGGCAAGAAGTTGAACCATTGATCAAGCTCAGGCCCTTGTTATTACAAGCAGGTCCGTAATTTGAATGAGGGGAGAAAGCCCTGGCAGATCAGGACAGCGGCCTTGCCGATTCAAACTTGAACTTGAAGGGTCCATTCCTCACACTGAGTTGAACCCCAACTTAGCCCCACCCCGACCCGCAACTGGTTTCCTCTTCAGCAACTGCTAACAGAGTGCTCGCCCTTAGCTCTTTTTCTTCGTAGGCGCTAGAAAGATGATGGACCAGTCGACGGATCGATCAAATTGAAGATGCAAAGCAACCAGTGTGGGCTAGGTGGACCTGGACCCTATGAGAGTGGACAAGTGCGCTCTCCGGTTGAAACGCGGCTGGTTAATTGAGCGCCAGGAATGGAGCCGGTGATGATGAGGCTTCTTTAGAACATCCATCGAACTCTGCCCCTGAAGGGAGAAAAAGGAGGCTGTCGGTATTAACCTGGAACTAAGATGGTGGTACACTTAGGAGGCGCCACACTGGATGGACAATCACAATCGCATTTGAACTCATGACTGACCCGTGCAGAACTCTGTCCGAACCGAGGAGTCGATTGCCCACCAAATGAACGACATAGTGCCTGAAGATCCGCAATTGATGAATCGTGGAAATACACCTACACTGTAGTGTACATCAAGTTCACTGCGACTCCTCCATCTGCATCTGGATGTACTGTGATGGAGGAATGTACATCCTTAAGTTCTGCACCACCTGAAGGTTGAAAATTTGTGAGCCCCGCGAGCCAACCCCGCGCATGCAAATTGTGGGCGCCGTGCGGAGGTCGCTGTAACCTCTCTACACCTCCCGCGCTGATCGCAAGTTCTCTTACGCGGCCCACGGCAATTTTGCGAATTCTGAGTCTCGGCTCACGCTCGCCTGGGAGATGGATGTGGCATTCCACTCCGAGAGAAAAGTGCACAATACGAGCATATGTGTCGTTTCTGCGAGGACGGGGCTCGTGATGGACCTGCATTTCGTTACATTCATTTGTTACATCCAGTAGATAGATCCATCTCAATTCGTGCAGTTATGCCCGGTTGCATCCATCAGGGTGCTGGTGGTTGACTCTCGAGCATTGGGCTTATCCATCTTCAGTGTCTCTTGGGGCCTCAAAGAATTGATAATACTACGACCGTTGAAATAGCGGGTAATGCTAGAAATTTAATTGATCCGAGCAATGCAGTTCTTGGTCAGAGGTTCCGAACAATTCAACTGAGGACCCCCTGGCTAGACCGCCACCTCGGTCGACCCTTGTTCAAGCGCAGGGCCTGGTCTAGTCCCCTGGGCGTTCGGAGATTCATTGGTGCTGGCTATGGTAGCGCCTACGAATCATGGGGGCTGGCACGAGGAGTAGCTTCTCAACAATTTCTAGCGCTGGACAGGCAAGTCCGGTTTGACATGTGAAAGGGGACCATCCAAGTCCTCTTCGTTTTGCACAACGACCTTGCAGCTGATGGCAACTTGGCTGTTGTCCAAGTTGGCCGACCGCGATACTTCTTTTGATAGAATCGTGGTTTCTAGATGGACCGGTCATCATCTCAAGCAGCGTGGAAGAAGAGACATGGATCGAAACAGTCTGCAAGCGCGGATCGCCCATTAGATCCATCTTGGATGGATCTGTAATGTTGAGATTAACCCCGCTCGTTCACCATACCGTTTCCCTTCATTGGCGACAGAGGGGGATGAACCTTGGGCGAGGAAACAAACCAAGTTGGTGGATGCTGCCGCTTCCATACTGGATGAAGCCATTCATCTATCCATGTTGGATGTGCTGAATCTTGTGAGGCTTCCAGGACGAGCCTCGAGTGCTACCCTCAGAGGATCTACTCAGGCCAGTGGACCAAAATTAATAAGCCATCAATCAATGATGGTCACAAATTGCTTCGACGAACTATTATGCAGTAGCAGTTGGTCAAGAACTAAAAATCCACTTGAGCATTCCCAGAAGCCAGTAACGGAGTTCAAAGCCTGGCAGTGAAGAATATGTTTCACAATCAAAGTCACCCCAGACCTTCTACCCTCACCCGCACACTTACGGGGAAGTTTTGATTCCTGTCAGTCTCACATCCTTCTCGAAACGGCCATTGATCATATAATTTAGTGGACTGTGCAAAATGAATGACATCAATTGATTGCCCTCCCCAAAACCACGGTCCACTTTACCGAGGTTGATACCGTGGAGAGAAGCAAGCCTCCATGAGGCCAACCACACGAGGAAAGATAGCGAGACTGGAGTGTGGTGTAGAATTGCTAGCGCGGTTTTCACCACCGCCCACGCTGAGGTGCTCCTAAAAACGTATCCTCTGAAAAGCCCTCCTCACTAAGAAAGCAAAAAAGGAAAATGATGCATCCTAATAAAAGCCTTGTTGTTTGGTGGATAAAACCAGCTGTCGCCGACGACTTGGCATCTATTACTGGTTGCATGCGGGCGCGACCTCGAGTTTGATTCACCCATTAATAATGGGACCCAGATAAAATGTTTCGGACACTTTGCAGTTTTCTCCCAGTGCGCGTGCGACGTCTCGTCTGCAGGAGCCTGTACCTGTGCAGCGGCGGGCGGCGTCGAGTCGGCCATTGCCAACCCTGGAGAGAGACCTTGAGAAAGTACCACATCTCCGCACCCCATTTCGTTCCGCCGCGACAGTTCACCACGATGAGCAACTTCGCCCAAGACATGGCATAAGGGTGATCATCTAGAATCAATCTTTTTCTTTTTCTTTCCCTCTTATTCCCCTTTCCTTTTCTTTTGGTGTAGTCGCACGCCATGTCTCTCCTTGCCAAACCCCCGGCTCTGCGGGTTTCGCTCGTTCTGCGCTGCATATCCTCGTCGCCGTTATCGCCTTCCTCGACCTCACCGTCGCATACCAGGCCCTCTCCGACGATGTCCTCCGCGCGCTCCCATCAGCTGGTTCTGATTTCGACATCAACAACGGCGCCCTCCTCGCACCCATCTTGATACCCCGCGTCCCGGGCACCGAAAACTCCCTGATCGTGCAGCACCACTTTATCGACTTCTTTAAGCGGACACTTCCCAAGTGGACCATTGAGCTCCACAACAGCAGCGCCACCACCCCGACCTCCAAAACACAAGAGATACCCTTTGTCAACTTGATCTTTAGGCGAGACCCTCCCTGGGCCGCCGAGGGCGATGTTAGCCGTCTAACCCTCGTCGCGCACTACGACAGCAAGATTGAACCCAAGGGTTTTATCGGAGCCACCGACAGTGCTGTCCCCTGCGCCGTTCTCATGCACGCCGCTCGCAGCCTCGACGATGCGCTTACCCAGAAGTGGGAGGCCATGAAAGCGAGTGGGGAGGCAGGAAATGGGCTTGAGGAGGAGAAGGGTGTGCAGATTGTCCTCCTAGATGGCGAAGAGGCCTTTGAGACGTGGACTTCCACCGACTCGCTTTATGGAGCTAGGTATGTTTTCTTCCCCTCAGATATATCTCCTCAAATATATCCCCTCAGTCTCTCAAGGCGTCGCATACTAAACCGCTCGTTCTTAGGGCCCTCGCGGAGGAGTGGGAAAGGGGCTTCTACCCTGCCGCGTCCCAGTTCAAGAGCCCCCTCACTTCCATCAGCCTCTTCGTCCTCCTCGACCTCCTCGGTTCCATCACCCCGTGGCCGCGCGTGCCATCCTATTTCCTCACCACACATTGGGCGTACCAGGCAATGGCCAAGGTTGAGAAGCGTCTGCGCGACCTCGGGACCCTTCAGAGCAAGCCGTCCTCTGGCGTCCCGCAGTTTCTCACCGACAGCGACAAGCAAGCATCCTCTTTCAATCGTGGCTATATTGAGGATGATCATATCCCTTTTATGGCCCGCGGCGTCGAGATCCTTCACATCATCCCGTCGCCGTTCCCGGACCAGTGGCACGATCAGAGGGGTATCCCCGACGACGGCGCCCATCTAGATATCCCTTCAAGCGACGACTGGGCCAAGATCGTCACCGGGTTCGTGGCGGAGTGGATGGAGCTAGACAGCTACCTCCCCAAGAAGGCTGGGGAAAAGAGGACCACAAAGACTGAGTTATGACGGTGAGCCTGCATTCGCATCATCGTCTCTCGTGATTCGGTGCTTCAGGATGAAGAGTCGGGAGGTGGATGCAAGGTACCATACTCGGCCATTTATGATAGCTACCGGCGTTGAGGTGGGAAGGTCAATTTCTTTTTCCAATGACCAAATTTGAAAATTATCTAGGATTGTATGATTTGAACAGACTTGCATGGCTCTCATCCTTGTTCTTCTCTCTCTAAATTGAACATTTTTCAATGGCTCGCGATTGTCCTGTGAGTTGGAGGAAACGCGTGCGATAAGGCTCCGTCGAGACCATCGGTATATACTACACAGTGCGGTGAACCCGGTTTATGGCACGGTTATACAATTCGCACTGCCATGCATCAAGGGTTAATATGCCCACGTATGCTCGAGACGTACCCGCCCTCTCGTTTCCAATTGGGTGCCGCGCTGGCAACTTGAAGCAAGTTAACACGAAGCTCGAAAAGCTTCATCAGCAGAGCAACGACGACCCTCTCCCACCAAGCCTCTCAACACGCCTGCCCCTCCACCACAACGCAAGCCCGCCATCCCCGTTGCGGTTCTTGTTTTCTTTGGGTTTCTTCGCCTGTCTCGCCCTCTTTTTTTTCTTTCTTCCCTTTCAATTCGAGAAACGCTACCCCCTTATAGAACAACAGGAGCAACTCCGACAATTCGCAACGATGCGTTTCCTTTCCTCACTTTCCACGGTGCTGCTGGCAGCCAGCACTGCGTATGCCGCCTCGAGCTGGGGATTTGATGATGCGACAGTGTCTGTCAAGTCGAAGAAGGGCAATGATGTGACACAAAAGTACGGGAAACCCTTCGTCCCCCTCCCCGTTGGCTCGTCTGAGAATGAGATTTTGGAATTGGCTGGGCTAACCCAAGGCGCTTTCGCCCTTTGAACTGTACAGGCTCAACCAAAGGCCGCTCTTGCGCAACCGCTGGCGCTCGACACGACGGACTCGATCAAGCTCATCCTGACAACCAAGGAGAACGGCAAGGGCAAGAGGCCTCACCAGGCTTTCGTCGTGATTAAGGAGGAAGACGGTGGCTTGAGGCTCCGTTTGCCCTCACCATCAAGGAGAGCGGCAAGGCAGTAGTTGAGATTGTACGTTGCCCGGACGCTTCGTCTTCCCTTGTGGACCTGATCCATCACAACCTTTATCCGAGTCTAGTTTCTAATCTGTGCACAAAACAGCCTCACAAGGAACTCCCCATCCAGCTCGCGCTTTCGAAAAGCCCCTACGCGCCAGCATCGTTATCGGCTCCTTCGGCTCGTCTCAAGGCCTCGTTGCGCCTCTCTTCGACATTGATCTCGTTGTCAACCCCAATGTCGCTCCTCCCCAGTACGAGAAGCCTCTCCGATATGGAAAGCTACCCGAGATCCACCACATCTTTGGCAACCCGCCCAAGACCCCGCCCAAGGTCTTGTCTCTCGTCTTTACCATTGCTGTTCTCGCCACCATCCCTGCTCTCTTCATCGGCGTAAGTTGTCCATCTCTAAGCTGCCATACGGGGTACTATTTTGCGTGGCTAACAACCGATGCCTCTAGTGGATCGCCGTCGGTGCCAATCTTGCCCACCTCCAATCCGCCCTTGGCGCAGCGCCCCTTTCCCATGCCGCTTTCTTCGGTTCTATCTTGGCTATGGAAGGTGCCTTCTTCATGTACTATAAGAGCTGGACCTTGGGCCAGCTTCTCCCAGCCATTGGTGTTATCAGCGCCGTAAGCTTCCTCAGTGGCACCAAGGCTCTCGGCGAGGTCCAAAGCAGGCGCCTAGCCGGTGAGCGATAAGCAGAGGATAACAAAGGCACTGTAGCCTTAAAGACTACAGTAGGTGGCAAGACGGTTGGACCAAAAACACGGCTGTTGAGGACGGACTGTGTGCAGAGGGCTGGATGATAACGGTAAACAAAAGGGCGAGCCTTATCCGTCTGTGATGTACAATACCTTTTCCCCCATTTCTTCGAGTTTCTTTTGAGCAAAGTAGATAAATGAAGATTCCATTATTACGACTCAGTAATCCAGGCCCGCTCCTAGCAAGATGGCCCTAGACCTAAGTGCCCTCTTGACAACCCTAAATTTCAACCATATCACTTGTTACTTATCCGCCCACGGGTCACAACTTCCATTTGTGTTAGTCGTGCCTGCCGCCCTTGCAGCGGTGTTATCGAGTACAGAAGTTGAAGCCGCAGCTATCAATTGATCACCGTTCACTCTAGACCTCCCATCCCTCCCAACATAAAATATCTTGCAGCTTGATGATCTAGTTGGCACCACGCAGGGCGTAGGATTTCCGGCATCAATAATAGTATATCATTTCGCCACCTAGGCAGGCAGAGCCTCTATTCCCTTTCAACGAGCATCTTAAAATACCAGGCAGCGCTCTCGACCTACGAATCACCATTCATCTAGTGTCCGGCTCACAAAAACCGCTTTCTCGATTTCAGCCTTGCAAACAGACAAGACACCTCGGCCCGAGTCCGATTCAGAGCGTCGCCGAGACTGAGGATAAAGAGAAGAGACGAGGAAGTGGGCACGCAAATACAGAGCCACTCTTCGCTTCCGTCCACTTGTTCCGGGACAAGCACGCGCCATGTGCCGTTTAGACCTGCTCTTGGCGTGTGCGGTCTGTCACAAAGCTTACCAGGTCACCCTCTCACACTGCTCGTCCATCTCAGATCCGTTCCTCCGGGGACAGTCAGACGACAAGCCACGCAAGCCAGGCAACCCACCACGGGTTATCGACGCAATGCACGAGTTCTTCTGGTCGCCGCTGAGCGGGTGTCAGGGCTTGGCGTTCTCCGGAACTGTGAAATTTGGGCTTTGCCAGTGGGGGTGCGTCCTCGGGACGAGACAGCGGCGGCGACGGCGGAGGAGATATGGCACGAGAGCTAGGCTTCATCTTTGGCTTACGCAAAGTCTCCCAAGTGGATGCGAAAAGGGACTCGCAAACATGAGTTATGCTTAAGAGTTTTGGGGAAGTGTTCTAATATGGTAGGTGTGCGGGTATAAGGTGCACACTGGGAAGGGGGCCGATTAAAAGCGATTGTGCGTCGGGAGACAAGCGATCATTGTTAATGTCGAAACCCCTTAAATGAAAAAAAAAAAATGAAAAAAACGAAAAAAATGAAGAGAGAAAGATCGGTCCCGAAGCAAGGAACGCAATCTCAAACGTCAATTGATGGATGATAGCCGTCGTCCGCCCTATCATTGATCCAGCCGCAGTGCTCAGCCTGTGCCAGCTCGGCAACGTTGGATAATTAAAATCCTGGGAGACAATGAAGAACGGAGCCTAGCGTATCGCTGCAAAGTGAGCTCATGAGTGGATGCAGTGCCGGTGCAAGGCGGTGTCACCACCAGAGTATCCCCAGGGTCCCGGGCCATGTCTCAATCCGACGTATCCTTGTATGACATGGATGGATACGAAATCCAAGGGATTTCATGGACGAAAGCGCCCAAGCTCAACAGCCCAACTCCCGCGACGTGAATAAAACGGTCGCCTGCCATCAGACCCCTGACACGCCAAATAAAGGCTGTCCAAAGGACTTGTGAGCAAAAGACCTCAACCGAGCCAAGCATTCCTCTCTTTCGTCCAGCTACTTGTTCTTGTTCGCTGAACCGATTCCGCCAGAAGGCCGCCCTATAGTGAGATTTTCTTCGACGACTTCGAAATCAATGATGCGGGTCCGGTTTTTACAAGAAACGGAGACTTAGACGGAGATAGGAGAGCAACAAACATTGTGCCGTTTAGTTTACTTACCAGTGTCACACACTAGCCACTCTCTCTCACACACACACTCTCTCTCAGCTTTCAGGCTCTCTCGCTCTCTCTTCCATTAAAACGCAAAACGGCGGTGGCCCCATTCCTATTCCTTCGCAGGTCCGTCCCAGGTGATCGTCCCCCCGCACCTCGCCGATTCCTCGGAACCCTTTAAAAGGACCCCTTCGGGGCTCTGTGCTTTCCGCCTTTGCACGTAGTCTAAGACATACAAATCCTCGTGGGATAATACTGTTTTCAGCTTCAAGGCCTCCGGTGCAGCGCCAGATAGAAGCCGCAGGGTCATTCCCCCTCCCCTTCTTCTCCCATCCCTGTTACCGACAACCCCACCTGGCTGCCAGAGTTTCCCGGCGCTTGTCTTACATCGTCTCCCGCGCGCCTTTTCGGCCCCATTCACCACCCCACCTCACTCGCCCTACCGTCCTCTTTCTTTTTTTTGTCATTCTCTACCTAGCTCTAGCCCTCAAGGTTTCTCTCCCAGTCGTATTTCTCAATATTGACGTCTATCAAGCCTTATTACTCTTAATACTACAGAAAAGAGCGCTTTGAAGACACTTTTCTTTTCCCCGCGCCTCTCAACTTGAAGGGCGGGTGAACCAGGACAAGGCAACATCCACCCCAGCGTTTCACTCTCCCCCTCGAATACTATGTGCAAGATTGAGCTGCACGCATGCCGCGCATGCTTCCATATCTTCACCGTCAATATGGCCTACTGCCAGGAAGTCCAGCGCCGACATGGCCTAGAGGCCGCCTCTGGCATGTTCCCTGTTCGGGTCTTCTGCTGGAGCCCGTGGGAAGGCTGTGATGGGCTCGTGTTTGAACAGCCGGTGGGGTTGAGAAGGGAGTGCTCAGAATGTAGGGCATGACGCGGGGCATTCCGACAAAACGGCCATTAAGACTCTCTCTCTGCTAGCCAGATCGCTAGGCAACCGGCTATATCGGACCGGCGGAAGCCTCTCTTCGCCGCTTCGTTTCGAGATATTCATTGCATTTTTGGTGTTTGTGTGGCTTCTTAACAGCTTCTTGGTCATGGTTCAGGCGCTAATCGGGATTCTGGGGCGTTGGGTTTTGCATGAGCTGGGGGATGGTGGTATGGACTGGCGTTCCAGGAGTTTTACGGTGGTCATTTATTTTTCATCTTTCGAATCTAGGGTAAAGCATACATGCCAGAGGAAGCCGATGTACTTCGAGAGGTGACGGTCTGCGAGGTCAGCGGTATATCAGAAGGTCAGTCTGAAGAGAGTCGGTGATGTCTTGCCAACGTTTCTCTAATTCACGCACTCGAAGCAGATCAGTAGATTGTTAGGACCTTGACCTAGCTGCACTCAAGGTGCTTCCTTGGCTGGTCAAGAGTCGATATGGTTAAGCTTATCCATGGTTGTGTTGCACCGTTATCCTAGACTTGTTATTTCCAATAACATAGATTCTTCTCGCGGTACAATCTTAGCTCTATGGATAAAGTGATTCTCCGCGACCACCGCCGTGGTAGGGTTGTCCGCACCTTCCTCGTTGCTGCCTTGCCGACTCTGCCTAGCCATCCGCCCTTTCCTCACCTCAACCCCTGCTGCCTAGACAACAATCACATCAACAGATCCCTTATAGGCAAGATACCAGAGAAGATATTCTGCCTGCGGGCAAATGGTCAATTCGTAAAAATACAGAGAAGATTAGCATGGTCCCTGCACAAGGATGACACGCTCTTCAAAGAGAAGCTACCATTTTTTTAACCAACCTAGGTTCGATTCTTGACTTTTCTTCGAAGACCTTTTTTTTGCCTACCTTTATGAGGCTCTTTCTTCTCTTTCTATTTTGTATCTTGGGAGTTGCTTTATCCTCTCTTGTTATCTAATATGGCAGTGCTAGATTATATCACCTCCTTCAAGCCTCACACTGGTAAGTCATATACATTTCTACACTAAGTTTAATCTTTACTTGCTTTCCTATCATAGAACATCTATAAGGAAAGGACGGCTGTTCAAAAACCATATATGGGAATGTGAGGGTTGTGGATGGGGCTACAACTCGTTCTATCTGGCGAACAGCTTGAAAAGAGCAAGTCCTAGGCCAGAGCCAGGGCAGTGGAGAAGGCAAGGTTCCAAGAAAATGATACAAGTTCATCCTGAGCATGCCTATCAACTCGCCCATTCTGTAAAATCGTGTGATCTTATCCTGGACCGCCACCGCCTCCTTGCCAGCCGTAGGTAGGCCTAAGCCGGATCGGAACACGTACCCCGAGGTACTGAGGGCACATACAGTTCTTCCAAGCTATCCCGCAAAGGTGGCAATACTGGTAACCGCATATACACCTGCTCCCAGTGATGGAAATTAGGACGAGTTAGCCTTCATGTCTCACCGCAATCAGTAGTAAAAAAAGAGTGAGGAGGGAAAACCCACGTTACATGATTACATCCGTCATGAAGCTCCACTACCGTGCCGCAGTGGTCGCAAGACGAAAACCCGTGGATATCCATAAGGTCTAGCATGGCCTCATTTTCCGTATTCTGACATGTACCTGGATGCGCCTCCCTCCTACAACTGCGGCAGGTAGACCGCGAGCAAGTCGGGCATTGGCCGGGGTCAGCCAGCTCCTGAGGAATAAAGCTGCCGCAACTGTGGTCATGGCAGTACACCCTTTCACCAGCCGGCGTCCCCCATTCCCTCCTCATGCAAAGCCACAGCCTCCAGAGGCGGGAGTGCGATGCGCTACCTCCCGCAGCCCAGCGGACAGCGCTTTCTATTAGAGGGCCACAGCACCGGGAGGCCAAGCTTCCTCGTTTCGAAGCCCCGTTCGCAGACAACGCCGTAGGCACGGGACACAGTAGCTACAGCCGCATCCTAGGCTGTGGGATGGGCGGTTGCGCTCACCACAAGCTATGCACTGGGCATCGGTCGGTCTCGAAACCCTTTGCCCCCGACCAGAATTCTCAAGAACCCTATCGGCTTCGTCGCTAGTCGCGAGGATACGCATTCGATCGTCGGCGTTAATAACCCGAGCCTATCAGGGTGTGTTGTTAGACATGCATCTTCGTCAGCGTAGCCTCTGGCCGCCACTATTGTTCTTTGAGAAAGCCAAGATACGAACCCCTGTCAGATGGCCGCGCCCCAAGGCCTGCCTCTCGTGGGCTTGCTCCCTTACGGGTACTGGGCTGCCAAGAAGCCCGGCAGAGAGAAGAGCTTCCAGATTCTCATCTGCTACAAAACCAAACTGGTCCATACCGACTGTGGACGGGGAGAGAAATCCGGTGAGCTGCCCTCAGAGCCAACTTTTCGCACACTGTTTGACCGAGTGGTTAACTACGCAAAAACGTCTCAAGCAGAGACGCATGAGGTATCAAGTTATCTCTTTGGGCCAAGATGACGGACGTATTGGAGTAGAAGGACGCACAATTCATGAGGTTGGAAACTTCTAATGCAAGCACCATGGCGACCTGTCTGTCGAAGAGCCCGGGTTATCTATATACCAAGCCATTCGACGTGAGCCTCCCCACTGGACAAGGGTAAGGTCCTATTCATATCTATGCTATCAACTGTGATAGGTGAATTGAGAGAATCCCCAAGGCCGCTGCCACGACGCAGGCCCTGCGCGCTTAGAAAGAGGGGAAGGCGCGGCCGACTGTATGAAAGGGGCCTCTACTCGTGTCACGGCGCTCAATCCTATCTTTCTCGACCCCAAACACAGGTGGCTCCGGCTCCAGGTGCTCTTCTTGGCTTGGATCATGTATAGCAGCATGGACAAGCTCTAATCAAGGCCATGAGGTAGATCCCTGGTGAAGGCGACTCAACACTGCCCTCCATGAGTTCTGAGACAAGGGGGAATTAGGGACGCCGTGTCGGCAATGGCATTAACACATCGAAGGGGAAGATAGTTATTAACAGAACAAAAGAATTTGGTATTTTAGCTGTAAGCTCTAAAGCGGCTTGTAGTCTGGGATGCATGCCATCCGGGCCTGCTCCCCTCCCCTGTCACGTCCATAAGCAACCTCCCCTGCTTGTTCCATCAACTATTGACTAAGCTATATATATATATATATATATATATGAGAGAGAGAATAGGTAGAGAGGCCACTAGATATGTTTTCCGCCAAGAATATTACAAGATAACTAGGGTCGTTGTGTGGATGTGTGCTGGAAGTCGCGACTGTGACTCTCTCGTCCACAGAATTTGTGTGGAGGTGACATATATCGAGGCGGCATGTAGGTAAGACCGCACGGGATGTAAGGAGAGGACCAGAGGACCTGATTGCTCCATATGATAAACCCAGTGCTAAGTCCTTTCCGTGATAATCCCAGAAAAGAGAGATACCCCTTTCCGTAAAGCCGTTGCCCATTCCGTTTCCCAAAACTTGCACAGAAATGAGCCGAAGAAATACAACAAACAAAAGCCGAGTAGCCGCCGTGACCCTAAAATAAAACTCCGTTGCATCATGAACTCCGTCGCTGAGACCTAATATCAAGCCTGGTATAAAGGTTGAATAAACCAATGAAAATGCCGAGAATGAAAAAAGAGACAGAAAACACCGCTGTCTTCGAAGGTCGAAACACGTTAATAGCTGAAGTCCACCGGTCCCATTTGTGACAATAATTTGTTGTCGTTGTTATTATTAGTATTAGTTGGTAAAACAGCAGGCGGCGGCGCGATCATTGTCGTACTTGAGCTTGACGATGCTGTGCTACCTACTGTTGTAGATGAGTTGGATTGGGTGGGTTCTAGCTCGTGTTCGGGAGGTTGACCGCTGGGCGACCATCCTTCATCGAGGATCTGCTGGAAACTCCAGCTCGGTTCGAAGCGGGTACTGTTCCATGCGTAGTCGACTCTCTCATACATTTCATCGATTTGTTCGAGACTGATTTTACTTGTTTCGTATACCATGCACCAGACAAAGAAAATTGCAATGATGCAGCAAGCGCCCCAGAGAAAGAAAATCTTTGGGCCGATGTTGGCGGATCCATTGTCGGCACCCACCATGAATGGGATGCCATACGCGATGGCAAAGTTGAGAAGCCAGTTGGAGGCCGTGGATATAGACATGGCTTTAGCACGAACCTTGAGGGGATAGATTTCCGAGGTTACAACCCACGCGACGGGACCCCAAGAGGCCGCGAAAAAGAAGATATAGATGGCGCAGAAGACGATGAGGATAGTCTGGCCAATCTTTTGCAGCTCGTCGCCGTCTCCGGCCGCAGTAGTAAAGGAAGCAATGAGAAGTTGGCAGACTGCCATGCCGATGGCCCCGACGATTAGGAGCTTGCGACGACCCCATGACTCGATGACGAGGAGGCCAGGGAAGGTTGAGACAACGTTGATGACGTTGATGATGACGGATTTCGTGTAAGGGTCGTCGACACCAGCCCCCTTGAAGAAGGTGGTGCTGTAGTACATGATAAAGTTGATGCCAGTCAATTGCTGAAGCATTTGCAACACACATCCAGTCAGGGTTCGTCGTCCTAGATGGGGACTGCCACGAATGACATCCATATAGGTATCCGGACCGAGAGTCAGCTCATATTCGTGATTGGCCACTATTTCTTGAAGCTCGTCAATGAGGGCGGGATGCGTGATGTCGAGGCGTCGGAGTCGGCTAAGGGAAAGGCCGGCCGCTTCGGGGCGGCCTCGTTTTACGAGAAACCGAGGAGTCTCAGGCAGAACGAGGAGACCAAGTGCGAGAACAATAGCCCAGCTTAGTTGAAGGCCAAGTGGAATTCGATAGGCGGCTGACGTTTCTTTCATGTTATGTGTCAGAATATTGACAACTGACGCCGATAATAGACCCATCGTGATCGACAACTGGTACGCGCAAACGAGGGTACCTCGAATCCATCTCGGAGCCATTTCGGATTGGTAAAGGGGTACGAGAACGGAGATAGCGCCAACTCCAACACCAGCGATAAACCTTTCAAAAGTGTTAGTCACGTTACGCAGCCCGTCGTGATCGGCTGCTCCGCATTCTCATAAACTTACCTTCCCGCCATTAACGTTGACAACGCCATCGCACATGTTTGTAATATGCCCCCGATACAGAATACACCCACACTGACGAGAAGAGAGAGGCGACGACCAATCGAGTCGGCCCCAGGTGCGGAGAGAAGAGCACCACAAAAGTTCCGGCACTGAGAATCGCGACTACCATTGACGATTCCTTATTCGTGAGATCCGGGAGGCCGTCATGTGGACTAACGTGACCGGTTGAAAATTGGTCTTTGAAGGGCCTCATGTCGAGAATGCCGTTGATAGATCTAAACAGCAACACGAAAACAAGTTAGCAAGCTGATGCGGAACGCTTCTTAATTTCCCGACGTGTTCGGCAGAGTTGTAGGACCACCATGTAGTCATAGCCCTTCACCAGACCGACAATTTCTAACCTGCCCGAAGGTAGGACAACTCCATGTCGCGATATTCCAAAGCTGAAGAAACGTTTCAAGCCCCCAAAAGTCGGTGGCCGAGGGCCATAGAAATGCGACGCGTGCGGATAATCTTACCCAGTGTCATAGCCAAAGAGCAATCCGCCAGATGCAACAAACAGGCCGACCATGATAGCTGGCGCTGCTGTGCCTGCGACATTGTCGGGCTTCTTCCAGCCCATGGCGATCGCCATGGTGGACGATGGGAGGACGTCAGCCTCCTGGGGATCCGGCTAGCAAAATATCGATCGCGTTTGAGTTTGTTGAATGGACACGATGTCAGCGTCCCAATCGATGGTGATTCATCTGGTCATCGACTTGGGCCGCGAATATCACTCGAGAAGAATCGATGTTGGCGATAGTTGGTGTGTGGGTATACATGTAATATCGTAAGAGGAAGTGGAGAAGGGGGAGAAGGGAAGGAAAAATGGATGGTGAAGAGGGTGCTGGGAACAAGACAGAGAGCATCCTGCCTGGCCTGGGCGCTGGCTGGTGGAAGGGAGGGGGAAAGTGTGTAGGGGTACAGCTGCAGCCACATTGTACAGTGCGTATTTCCGCAAATATCCACTTAAAAGACGCATGTACTAGGTACGCTTGAACCCACTCAACTCATGTCTTCATAGAAGTACTCTCGACTGGGGCTTGCAGCGAGGTCGCCAGGTTCCTTCTAGCTAAAAGACACCGGGGAGGTTTCCGGAGAATGGTTAATTCTTTCTGAGCTCCTGGATTTGAACAAGCCCACCATCACTCTGAAAGGGAACGTACACTCCACTTGGACAAATGGGAGGTCGCTTGCCAGCAGACAAAGTGATAGTCGCGCCATGTCGAGTTGGACTGGTGCGTGCATGGGTGCTGAGCCAGATCAATGGATTCTCGCTCACACTGTGGCTAGGGTGGAGAGGAGTCCATGTCAGTTGCAGCTTTTTCAAGATTGGATCCCTTATACCGCCGACAGGGTGCCAAGGCCGACTCATCATTGGACGCAAAAGACCCACACAGTGATGGTAACAATTCAGTACTTGCCCCAAGCGAGAGACGACTTGATTTTATTCATCGAATGACAGAAATGCCCCCTCCTTCCTCGGCTTGTTGCATTCACTTCTCGTCGTTGTGGCCCCATCCTACAAGTACACTAGAACAAAGTAAAACCCGAGCCCTTTGAAAGCACTGACATATCGGCCATCTCTCCAGTAATTAGGATCTAGTGTGTGCTCTTCGAACTCCGAAGTGAGGCTAGATTTTTTTCTCTTATTGGGAGCAAGGTGGCCTAAGGCTTCTTATCACTCTTCTAACAAGTAGGAGTGTCCTCTGGCGCTGAGCTGAACCACTGCATCGTGAGATGAGGAACGTTGTGCCAAGATGCTGGGACCTGAGCTCCGTCAAACCGCGAGTTGTGGCGGACCCTAGTTGGGAGTTCAGACAGTGTGAAGGGATGGCAGCGTTGAGCGATGCGAGGACAGTGGACTAGCCTGAGGCCCAGTCTCAAGCAGACCTGAATAAATTTCAATGTTTTCAACATGTACTCCGTGTTTAGAACTTCTATTCGTACAGTTATGCAGAGCGTATTAGCCTGTACTTTAATGGTGTTACAGCCACTTAAAGGTGGCCGTCAGAATACAAGGGTACTTGAAGCTTGTCCCGGAATAGGAAGGGGCTGGAGTCGGCACTGTGTGCGTATGCGTGTGCCTTCAGTGTTGTGTGGTGGATTATGTGTGTGTGTGTGTGTGTGTGTGTGTGTGTGTGTGTGTGTGTGTGTGTGTGCTCTTAATCAGAGATTTGAGACTTGTGAACAGTGAGTGGCTCTCCAGTCTCGTCGTCTTGTCAGTCTGATCCCATCTTGCCCATCTCCAAACTTCCACGATGCAACCCATTTCTTCTTTCGACAGTGTCGGGATCGATCCAATTCAATTTATTGGAAATCGAGGAATCCTTTCTAGGCGGTATCAAACAATTGGTTCTTTCCAGCCTATCTGAAGAAACCAATTTAGACATTGTACCTCACTTTGAGAATGACTTTTCGTTCATCCTCCCAACAACATCACAGGGCACAGGGTCCACGGTGCATCCCCAACCCGCAGGCGAAGAGCCTTGACCGGAGACGGATATTGTCCAGCCCCAAGCCCCTTTGCCGGGCAGAGGCCAGCAAGTGGCCTCGGATGGATGTCGCCGCATCATGCTTTTTGACTCTCCTCCTCACCCCTTGTCCGCTACTGCATCATGATTGATTCGGTGACCGCCCAACCGCCTAGAGACCACGCCCGCTAGGATCCCGGTTGCAGCAAACTTTCAAGTTTTGTTGCTGGGTTGGCTGGTGGCTTGCCTGAATCTTTCTCCTTGCGTTTTCATCCATCACACAGACCTCCACCAGTCACCCAACCATTGGGCGAAGATTTGGCGTCGTCCCGCCTGGCTACCAATGATCGGGGTGATTTGGTTCAAAAGCATTGGGAGCAAGTAAGAAGAACGGCCGATCCTTCAGAAGGGGAGGCTACAAGTAATGATACTTGGGTTGAACATGTCACTGTCACCCAATCTCTCTGGCTTGTTATTCTTACCATTTAGGCACGGTGTACATCATGAGCTTGGTAGATCAATTGATGCCACCTAGTTTTCTCACAGCCATCGTGGTGCAGGGGAGAATGGCTTCAAACACCAAGGTAGATGGCATCGCAATTCTTCAGGATGCACACTGTCCTCTGAAGCATGAGGCGCCAGAGCCATCCTCAAAAAGGATAAGTCCCAAGCTTCGCTCATTACCCCAGTCCCATCAGTTGAATTTTTGCTCCACTGCAAGGAAGGAACACGCGCAGGAGTTGTCAACAATTGGTTCTTTCCAAGAGCCCCTCCCCAAGAGCCGAAGCCGATCGAAAATCATGAGAGCACTGGACTCCCGCCACCCAAAGAACTGCGGGGAACGCTTTCTAAACAGCGCGACTCTAGCGACGATCCCTCCTCCACCTCCATAAATTGCTCTTGGTTGACAACTGTCATCGCAACCCCGAGGTTCGGTTAAAGCTGGCATATCCGGACCTTCAGTGCGCAAGGCGGCACGAAGTCTCGTCGACGACATGTTATCAAACTGACAAGTGCGAGATACTCTTTTTCTTCCTAGCATTTGGTTATATTTCTATCAATGCTTCAGTCGGCCCTCATCCTCATCATCCCCAGGCCACATGAAACCCCGAAATTTTGCAGGAAGTTCCCTTGTTCAATTGCTCAGTTCCCCCAACACTAACCAACTCTGGAACTCTGGAATGGGCAGGTGCGTTCGCACAGTCTCCATCCACAGTATGTATTAGCCCATCTGCACTTTTAGTCTCAAATAGTATCTCCCCCCTCTGCTGTTCTGGACGAGACGCGCTCTTCGGGAAAACACGATGCACGAGGGTAGGGAGTTTCTCGATGACTGGCAAGGCCGTGAACAGACTCCTGCACGCTCGCGAAGACAGGGCAGGAGAACACACCGAAACAGAGGGACTAGCCGATTTGCTATCCCTTCACCATTTGAGAGGTCGACCTCATAACGCGCCTTTCCTTATTGATGCTAAGAAACGCCCCGGCGAGGAACGCCCGTCCTAATTGAGCACTTGTCGCTTGTGTCGCAAAACCTCACAACACCCTCCAGGCTGTTTCCAGCTAGCCGGGGTAGTAGCATGACTGGGTCGTAGTCGTATGGCCGAATACACCCCTTCTGTTTGAAGAACAACGCCGCATCAAGACCGATCAACTTGCCTCTTCTTGGTTTGACACTGGACAGGAGAACATGACAGGAGGGACAGCGTTCGATTAGACGGAATGCTGGTATGATGCAAAAAGAAAAACACATCATGGTTGGCCCCTCCAAGTCCTCTGGCTTGAGGGGAGGGGCACCAACCGGCCAAGCCCTTCTCGGATGGTGCGAAACCGGGGTTTGTCCCACCTTCACATACCAGCTCTTCTCATCATCGTCCCGAAGTCTTATCAGTGCAGGCCGGTCAAGAAAGAGGGCATCGTCCGCACAGAGGCCCGACCTACTTGCGCATGTTCCGAGTGGGTAGCGAGGACCAATATTACCTGTACTTGTAGGACCCCTGAAAAATCACCCGCGGACGGCAACGGGACAGTCATGAACTTTGCCATTCCCATGGACTTTCGTGGATTGGTCAACCGCTGCCTCGTCCGCTGCTCACCTGCGCCCACATGGTTGGGTTCAATTCATGGTAGCGAGCAGCCGTTCAACATCCGGCTGCATGAGTTTATTGAGAGGTCCAAATTACTTGTACGAGGTGTAGCAGTACGAAATCCGGCACAGGTTTCTCGCCTCACCGTCCACTCCCGTCACGGCACGGGGCAGGGTGTGCTGGGACCAGCCCACGATCAATCGTTGCAATATTGATAAAGCAATATCATCTTTTTCGCCTTGTCCCCCTCACGGAAGGCAAATGGTATCCCCAAGGAGAAGATAAGAAGGATTATTACTTGTAGAATAAGAAGAAAAGAAAGAAAGAAAAAAAGAAAAGAAAAGAAAAAGCCCCCAAGCAACCCAACGCACCATGGATGCAGGTCGACGAATAATACCTCCACATCCTATTAACAGGAAGCACGAGGGGAGATGCCTGATCATTCTGACTGTGTTGCCGTTCGACGCCACAACTCGGAGTGATTGATTATCCATTCTCGCGGGCATTGATCCACGACATGTAAATTATGGATCGAAGTGCATCGACATCCAAAGCCCATTCTTCCCAGTCCTGCGGCCAGATTCGGGCCTCGTAAAAGAATAATAAGAGCACAGCTTGTCCTGAGTACCGGCGATGGTGGAGGCTTGGCGGTGGCATGTCTCATCATCGACCAAGCGCTTTCCCGACATCCGACATCCGAGCGGTATGCACGTCGCGTGAGAGTCAAGTCGGTGACATTCTGAGGTAGGATGGGGTGGAAGGTCTCACGCAATACACACAAGCTGATTGTCGGAGGAGAGAGGAGCTTTCTTCGTGCATGGCAGTCCACTCCATCAATCCATGCATGTGTTTTCTTGCCTTAAGGCTAGAAAAAGTGAAATATCCTCAAGAGGTTGGCATGACAATATCCACTGATCACGCTAGGAGCCGCCAGCCTTCTCCCCGTGGTCCTCCTGGTCTGAGGCTGGGAATGCCGCTCCGGCAGTCATTAGTTTCCAAGGGCAGACTGAATCTCCCTCCGCACCACATAAAAGTGGACGTTGTTCCTAAACTTGTCCTGATAACGGCCACGATTCGGGTCGCCCTTCACAAGCCAACACCAGAGCACAGAAACGGGGTGTCGCGCGTCTGCCGTTGTGATTTGGCATTGTCGTGAGGCTACCTCGGCAGTCCGGAAATATGTTGGCTGGTGAAATGATCCGTTTGGTCCCCTTTTTTGCACCGATGCTTTTTTCTCCTACACTTTTCTTTTTCCTTGATTTTTAGGGCCGGGGGCTCATCCAGGCTTGGAGCTTTTACCTTCATTGTCCCACTTGGCCTTCTTTCCTTCTTTCCTTTTAATTCTTCTATTCCACGAGGCGGGAAGAGGGGGACAAAGGGGGCCTAGAGTGGCAGAGACTAGCTCACGACCCGTAGCAATCACAATGCACAATTTCCCCGTTCCCTAATCTCCGTTAAAGAAGGATACAAGTAGCCACAAAATAGATTCCCTCCTTCACCAGCCTCGGCATGCGATTTCGGGGGCGAGGGAGAGATTTCCGTTTTCTTAATGCGAGGTTTCCTGTTGCCCTGCCCCTTCGTCCCGTCTCCTCCAGTCGCGAGGACGGGATGGTGGAATACGTGGAACAAACGGCACGATTTCTCGACCGCAACATTGGCGCCAGCTTGCTGTTCTTAGTCGCAAGCATCTCTTTACTCTAGTAATAACTATGCCTCTACATCCCCCGCGTCTCCTTCCTCCCCTCCTCAATGAATGAAGGGTCTTGCCTCTCAGCAATCCACCATCGATCGGCCTGTCTTGACGTGCCTCAGCTCTCCCCCACCTACCGCGTCCCTGGAACCCCATACCTCGGCAATCCCGTCTTTTGGGGGCCAACAACCCCCTTCACCCCCAGACTTGTGAGACCCTCCCGGCGCATAAGACCGAGATTCGAGTCGAGGCGGTTCCTACAGAGACGGGACGAAACTGGTAAAACCTTGAAACACGCGAGGCGATAAAGCCAAGGCCGCCGAGTTGTTGCGTGTTATGATGGGGTGGTAGTTTTCAGTCATGATAATAGTGGAAGAGGAAAAAATTTGATGGATTTGTCGGTCCAAAAGAAAACACATGCTACAGATATCTCTATGAATACAGAAAGGTTATGAAAAGATCGAACTACTCCGAATCGATGGTTCCTCATCGCTCGTCTACCCGTTCGTCCCGAGTCTATGCCTTGGCAACGATCCCGTTCGCCATCCCCTTTTCCTCTTGTCGGAAAAGGCGGCGTATATCGTCGTGAAATGTTTGCAAAAAGACCAATTGTGTGCGTGCTTGCGTGCATTATCATTCCCCTTTCTCGCTTTTTTCTCCCCTGCCTTGTTCTCCCAGTTCCCCAAGGAAACAAGTGGCGGGATATTGAAGGATAAAAGAATAAAAAAGCAGGATTAAAACTCAAGAGTAGGTTCGACACCCTTCACCCTTCCAATCACTTGCTGCGGCGCGTACTTCGGAATGACCTCATCATCGTGAAGCATCTCAAATTCCTCGGTCGCATCTCTTCCCATGAAGTTGAGGATAGCCTGAGGACCACCTGGATGCTCATCCAACCAGTTGGTGAGGTCGAGCACTACCCCTTGACGACGACCCAAAGATCATCCTTCGTGTTGTGTTTAGCAATTTCCTCCATGGAAAACTCCTTCGCGGGAATCTCGAAAGCTTTGGGGCTCTTACCCGACTTCTCGGCCCCACCAGTGGAGGTGGTCGCTCCGGCGGGGCCGCCGCGGGCGTCTGTTGCTGTTGGGCGGCAATGGCGGTTACACCGGAGCTGGATCCACTCCAGTCGACCGTGACCTTTCCGGGCTGCGAGGGGTCGATATGGAGGGAGATCTGGCCCAGCCTCTGGGCGGCGCCAGACGAAGCACCGCTGAGCACCTTCTGGAAGAGGTAGTTGCTCGCCGAGTCACCGGCGACACGGCCATAGACTACACAGCCGAGGAGGGAAGAGCCACCAAGGCGGTTTGCGCCGTGGACACCACCGGCAATCTCGCCGCAGGCGAAGAGGCCGTCGAAGGGCTTGCCCTCCTGGTTGAGGACCTGGGACTTGTCGTTGATCTCAACGCCACCCATGGTGAAGTGGAGAACGGGCTCCATGAGCGAGACGTGGAAGGTGTCGTTGATGTCGAAGGGGGTGTTGTGGAAGAATCGCTTGTTCCAGGGGTCCTTTTGCTTGCCATCGGCGATGGAGTTGTAGGTGGTGAAGGTCTTCTGGAGGTGGTCGGGGCTGCAGCCAATCTCCTTGGCGAGCTCCTTGCCGGACATCTTCTTCATGAGGCCACGGCCGGAGTAGTGACGGGTGTGGAAATCGAGGACAGTGGAGGCCTTGGAGTTGAGGACGAGGCGGATGGGGAACTTGTTCTTGTCCTTCTCCTTCCACATCATGCCCGAGACGTAGTCACGGTGGCCGAGCTCATCGCAGAATCGGTCGCCGTCGGCGTTGAGGAGGAGACCTCCCTCGCCACGAAGAGCCTCAGCGGCCAAGAACTTGGTCTTGGCATCGGGGTCCTTGGGGTCAACAAGACCAGTGGGGTGGACCTGGACCTTGTCCATGTCGATACCGTTGCCGCCAATGGCCATGACCATCTTCTGGCCATCGCCGGTGGCGTGGCTACCGTTGGTGGTGGCGAGACCAATGGTGTCAGGCCTGTGCTTCTCGAGGAGCGAGTCCTCTCCAAAGTCGGCGGCATAACCACCGGTGGCGAGGATGACGGGTCCATCGACGGTTTGGCTCTCGCCGTTGTGCTCATAGGTCACGCCGGTGACCAAGTTGCCCGACTTGTTCAGGGATGTGACGCGGGCCTTCAGTACAATCTTGACGCGATCGGGCTCGGACTCGGCCAGCTCCTCGAGGCGCTGCATGAGGGCATAAGTGATAGCCATACCGGGGAACTTGGCATCGTGACCACGGTGGGTACGGGGCTGGGAGTGACCACTGCAGAGGGACTACTGTTAGCAAGATGTTGTCATATCCCACAGAGAAGTTGCATGTAGCTTTTTACTTACCCCAGACGGGAGACGAGGGTGAGGTCGAGGTTGAAGACATCCTGGAGCCACTCGACGGCAGCCGCGGACTTGTAAGTCAAGACCTTGATGAGATCGGGCCTGGCCTTGTCTCGCGCGGACTTGAGGGTGTCATCGTAGAACTGCTTGACACTATCGGGGATGCCGTGGTCGACCTGGGTACGGGTGAGGGCACCGTTGATACCAGAGGTGGCCTTGGTAGAGTTACCGCCGAAGAAAGCTATGAGCCACAAACCAAGTTAGAGAGGGAGATCAGGCCACCGGGAGGGAGCCACCGCGGGTCAGCACGCAAAAGGCGGCCTTCCGTAGGGACAGCCACGTTGAGAAAGGGAGGCCGCGCCTGTACTTACCCTGCTTGTCAAGGACAACGACGTTTCCACCGGCAAGGTAAATGGTGTGCGCAGCGCTGAGACCAGACACTATTTTCCATGGTTAGCAGCTTGATTTGGCTCCAAAGATCCTGTGTTGCGAGCAAAATCTAGCAACAGAGGCGTCGCTACACCGCCACGGAAGTCGCAGGATGGCGCGCGCATCGATTAAGGGAGTGAGGATGGAACTTACGGCCTCCGCCGACGACAATTACGCTGGGTGCCATGGTTGTGTAGATGACGTAGGAGTGTCTCTAAGTGAAGGCACAATTATGTCGGGAGGGATGGATGATGGGGAAAAGAAAGGAAAGGAAAAAGAGTTCGTCAAGGGTTGGAAGAGGAAAGCAGGAGCGCAAGGTACGTAATATATGGGACAGAGGATGGGGTTTGGGGGAGGGGAGGGATGATGGTCAGAGCTACAACGATAGTTTCGACGGGCTTGCGTTGCTGCGCCGAGGAATCCACAAAAGGCTGATGTTCCCTCGCGGGGGATCGATAGATGGGTCTCAAGTCAGGATCGGTCGGTCGCCAATGAGCCGAGGTCATTGAAATGTGTGGGAGAGACAGGGGAGTGAGCCCACTAAAATTTCCATCCTTTTTTACCTGCGAGCTCATTGGTGACGAGACACGAATGGAGTCGACTGTTCTTGGCCTGGATTCTGGCATGATTTGAGGAGCTGGGAATCCGTCAATTTGGGCAGCTACCTAATATCGCAATTAATCACCTCAGCTTCGCCGCGAAGCCAACGACAGGTTTGCAAGGCAAGGACGAGAAACAGCAGAGATTCCAAGGTCAAGATAGCCTGCCTCTTCTTTTTCCCTCTTGCGCCCGTGATTCCATGGTATTGCTTGGGGGCTGGACTGCTTGATCTCGGTGCTCGCTCTCCCAGCACATCAGGCACAGCCGGTGCTTTCACGCCCCAAGTTCCAGTGCTGGAACCTGGTGGATGCCGCACCCCCTGAGGACCCACCCGCTAAGGAGAATGGAAAGCCTGTGGTGCGGGGAAGCTTCAGGCGATGTACCCCCGACCTCTACTCATCCGAGCGGAGCTCCAAAATGCCCCTTCGAACCACGCAATGTACCGAGGTCAATTCGACTAGGCAAGGAGCCGTCCTAGTGTCTCTGTCGGCAAAGGGCCATTTCGGACTCTTACCACCGACTCGTGGGAATACATCCTAATGAGTTGGCTTATTATAACGATGGGCAAACCCACACCCCTGGCCCAGGAGAGCATTACAGAAATGGCTGCACAATAAGAACACCTGTACGTTGCAGCATGCAAGCAGACCTTCTTCGTTGCACTCCAATCTCCTCCAAGCACCCATCAATCCATTAGATCTCTTTCTTGCGACGAGCTTTTCGCGACTCTTTCCTCAACTGACATGTGAATGAGACGGGGTACTCCGCCCCCACTAATGAGAACCCACAGTTGTACAACTCCAGCACCATCATCCGTAACCGATTTTACCTCTCTTGCGATTGGTTCCCGGCCCATGTCAGATGACATTCGGTTCAAGGACTTGTGGTGATGTCACTTCCCAGACTCGACATCAACAATCCGTTGGGCACATGAACCATGAACCGCTGACAGCGTTGTGCATTTCCAATTCAGTATCCTATGCTTCCAGACGGCCAAGTTGGAGGCCGGCCCCGTCCCCGCTGGGAGCCATTGGATTGTCCTCCCTCCGATTCTTCGACGCATTCACTAGGGCAACCAGAACAGGAAAGGCAGAGCCTCAAATCTCCAGCCCTCCATCATTGCGTGCTCCTCTCAGGCCCTTCCTGTTTTGATAATAAGAAATGTGCTTCACCAGCCAAAAAAAAAAAAAACCTTGCTAGGATAAAGGGTAATGCGCGAAGGTCAGGTGGCGGGCGCTTGAGCGCTCCCCAATGGGTTGGCACGGAAAGCCGCGAGCTTTTTTCTCCGCCCTTTACATGTGATTGAGCCTTCCCCCAGGAAATTTGGTTTGTACGAAGTAGCTCCCCCACACCAACAAGGTCCACCCCAACGTTTGGCATGTGGTTCCCCGGAGACGAAACGTGGAGTCCCCTCGAGAAGTTGCAAGCACGGGCGCTACGAATTCCCCATCGGCCACTTTGCTCTATCGAGGAGTTGCCAGGTATCTCGTTTCAATAGGACCTTTGCAGGAGCCTCGATCAGTCATTGTGGGGTTGTGCTGTCGCAGAGCGAGCGATCTCACAAAGTGCCTCTTCTCATCAATGTCTTTGAATTGATGCTACCCCAGCTTCGAAGCACATGCTTCGAACAGGACGCCGTCAAGGGCATTCGATGGATCAGTCATCACGCATGTAAACGGCGCTGGAACTCTGGCAAAAGCTCAAGAGGTACTTGCCACAATACTGCCAGAAGCTAACCCTGCCATAAGGCCCTGTTTTGTGCACAAGCATGTACCTACCGATGGAGAAACCTCAAAGCATATAGCCAAGGGACTTGTAATACAAGTAATGCTGAGGCTGACTGGTCTGGGGTCAGCCCTAGCATGTGGCACTAGAGAGAAAGGGAATATCTAGACCTTCAGTGACATGTGTGGAGTGCAGAATAATCAATAGTAGAATTAAAATAGTCATGGCCGTAAGCATTAAAGGAAGGGGGCCATCTCACTCATAGACATCGTGATCCACAGGGTGCTAAATATACAAATTAAAATGCTGTGAAAGGAGTACATCTAGTCCTTCTTGCGAAGAACTCTTAGGACCAGATCATCGTGGTACTCTAGGTTATCATTCACGCATAGTTGATCACCCCCTTGATAATCCACTATGTGCTCGTCAGTATTTGGTGGGTATTTTTTTGGGCTGAGATGCGGAAAGCCTTCTCAAAGGTTAAGAGGGGCAACACTGACCACTTCTCCATTGGATACAGAGCTTGCCACATTGACAACTTCAATATTGTCCGGCTTGATCTACCCAAACAGTTAGGTGCCCGAGGTTCTATGATCGTGTAAGCCGCTCTCCTCGACCTTACCACTTTTTGCCTCCCTCCGACTCCCACCAAATGTTCCTGCCTCCTCCAACCGCTTGGACCTTATCGTTCTCGGCCCAGGGGCTGCGCGGAACGATGTGAGACTCGACGAACCGCCTCAGGTTTCTTTGTGCCCGGTCTATCCCATCCTCTCCTTCATACGCGTCCGCGCCAAAGGCACCGTAATCTCGGGGGTCCTCCCATGGCTTGCGCGGGAGCTTCTCGATGGCGGAGTTGAGCGGGGCCAGCACCGTAGTGTTGACCTTGAAGTCGTCGAGACGGGTTTCGATGCAGGCAACGTCACGGGTGAATCCCGAGAAGATGTTGATGCTTTTGTCGCGACCTATTACATCAGACAGAATCACCTCGCCCTGTCCTGCCGCCGCAGGCTGGTTCGTCTTGTCGTTGGAGGGTGCCATGAGGGGCAGTTGGGTGGTCTCGCCGAGGAAACGGAAAAGATTCAGTCCCAGGACGAGCGAACACACGGGAGAGGATATGGAGATGAGGGTAACGGCTAGAAAAATCTCATAGTGCTATCTGAAGGCGATAGACAGGTGCTAATTAGGAAAGCCTGCATGTAATATTGGATAGCTGCCCAGTCGAGTATCAGGTGTGAATTCACCACGGCATGCACATAATACCAGCACACATTTACGTCATCGGGTTGAATGGTGATTAGTCAAACTCGCCAAACACTGCTTCAAGTCGCGCGAAGAATTTATTAACAATGTTATCCGCAGATGGAGTGAAGATGCAGAAAGATAATTATTTCTGGGGTAGATCATCTAGTTACTCGGTACTTTGTGCCCATACTTTCCGCTACTCTTATATGCCTTGTGTTGGTCAATGAAATTGGTGCAATATGGGAAGATAGGATGGGCGACGGATAGTTCACTACGCCGGTTCACGTTTCTTTACCATCCGCGCCACCTTGTCCACACATCCACAACCGTATCTTTCGTCTCTTCCGTTCTACTATCGACGATCAGATACCGGTCGTAGCATGCTCCTGCAATGCAGGAGTGATTCGGCCATATCCTAACTCGTTGACCGACTTTCAGCGGTACCTCATCTGCCTTGTTCCCTTTCCAGCCAAGGATACCGTGCTCCTGGCTCACCTTGACGACCTGCCATCCGCCGTGAATCGCGGGGAAATCCGGCGTTGGCGGTGGGTAATCCAAACCTGCCTCGAGCCATGGCTTCACAAGCCCCCAGCCAGTGTAGTGTATCCCCTTTTCGCTGCCCATATCTTTGCAGGGTTCTCGGCCGAGGCCGAGACAGCCCACGTTGATAAGCGCCTCTGTCGTGCCGTTTGGTCCCCGGCCGGGGTATAGGGACACCACGTCGGCGAGAATCGTGATTCCAATGTCGTTCGAGCTCAGTAGTTCTGGTGACCTGGCATGCGTGGCAAGCTGCTGGAGATCCAAGGTGGGGTATACCCCTGCGTGAGCCTCCAGGCGGTATCCTTTACTCTTGAGTTCTTGCAGTTGCGTGAGAAGAGCCCGGCAAATTTCCGAGTCTTGGTGGCTGCAATCGCGCACTTGGGCCGACTGGGTAAGGCAGGGATGCTGCAGGCTTGTAGAGGTTGGCGATGCTCCCACTGAGAGCGTTAGTGTTTTGGACGGAGAGTTTGGGCGGAGAGAATCCGCGAACTGGCCCAAGACTGAAAACTCTTCCAATAGGTACTTGAGGGCCTGCCAGTTCTCTCGGGAGTCATAAGAATGGCCTGCGTGGATATACAAGCCGTAGAACTCGATGATTCCTTGGCTATCCGAGCGAGATAGAAGGTCCAAAAGGTATAGTGACTCTTGCGATTGTGGTATCACGCCGGCTCTATGGTAGCCTCCGTCTACCTTCACAAAGACAAGGGGTGGATGTCCCGCTGCTTCCTTGAGTGCCCTGGCGTATTCGAGTTGATCTGGGTGATCGATCATGACAGAGAGCGACCCGGCTCCGAGTTCTCGGGAGATAGTGGCGAGCCGGCCCACTCCAGCTGGTGGAAGAGGAAACCCATATAGAATCTGGAGCGCGAATGCCTTTATTAGCGTGCGAAGCCTGGCAAAAAAAAAAAAGGCTTCTGCCTACACTGACGGCCCTGCCTGCGGCTTGGTACTCTTTTAAAAGAGGAACGAGATTTTCAGCTTCAATTATGGTGGAAACGACCAGGTTGACTGGCGAAGCTGCATCGTTGCCGACTTGGAGGCGTGTAAGCTCCGTTGTCTCTCATTGTGCGCGGTTAGCTCAAAGCAAGCTCCTTGACATATCTTTTGGCTTTGCTCTCACTTTATGCGTTTTAACATGGGCTCTCCATTCTAAACCAAGGGCACCAACAGCACTAAGCATGCGCTCACAATTTTGCTCGAGAACGGCAAGATCGAGAATTGCGGAGGGGCTCTCGATGGCGTAGCTGGAGTCTAAAAGACTCTTCCCCAAGACTCGTTGGCGGAGCGTCTCCTGAGTTACGCGGTTCATATTGAAGAGGCTATCCCGAAAAGCACGACAAAATGGCAAGAGTCACGGAATATGGGTTAGTATGGGCACCCGTCAATCTTATGCGTAGCGGCGATGTCCAACCAAATGGTGAATTGGTAATCGGAGTTGGAATGAGGGGAACGTAGGCAGGCTGAGCAACTCAGAGTGGAGAGTCATGTTCTCAAACTGGGCCCGGAGCTACTTAATCTGGGATTACGAAGAGCATTTGAATAATCGGCTGCAAAAATCGCGAACCAGCCCAAAACCAAGCCATAGTCTTCCAAACCCTTTGAATCCTAAGATGGTTAACGATAGAAAATACTAGCCGTCATCACGTCGACTAGCTATCGTGACGTTATAAAGATAGATCCGCTTGTGAAGTATGGCGGGCCTGTGTGAAGTGATTCATCACGCACTGAAGCGTAGCTCCTCTGAACTTATAAAAGGGAAGATCTGTGACCCAGTGATAATTCATTTCTCGGCCGCCGTGGTCAATGATTTTGGGTCACGTGATAGACACCCCAAGAGTTCCAACGCTGCTCTCAATGACTACCGAGGTAGTGCCAGGGATATCACACAAAAAGAATGCCTTGAGCGCCGGCCAAAGATATTCCGAGGCCGCTATCAGTTCCTGGGGATTTGGGCATTTGAGGAAGCCTCTTGACGTTTTGCCTAGTTAGGGTCGTCAGCTCTCAGAAGAAGCTTTCCTTTGATGATGTGAGGTGGCGCGCTTATGGACACCCCTGGCGTTTTTATGTCCATCGATCTGATTGGTCGGATAACTCGTCCCCACATCAGTCAGTCACCTCAACTTTCTGGCGTTCACGGAAGATTCACGTTCGCTCGATCTCCGTCCCCGTGCTCGCTATCCTCATCGAATTTCCATCCATCGACGCGCCTTATCGCGATCAGATACTAGGTTCGGCGCGGAAAGCTGGCGCGAATATAGCCTTGGGGCGTTTTTCGCTCCCTAATACCTCTGCGCGACCTTGTACCAACCCCCTTCTCGAGCGATCGTGATGTCTCCCGAACCCGACGGTGCGCCTCAGGCGCAGGGTGACGAGACAAAATGGAAGGACCAGGGAGCTTCTGATGATGCGGACATCCAGCGCATCCTCTCGCAAAGCCAGGATATAGGTATGGACAAGCTAGGCATCGACTTCAGCCACGATAGAGCCATCGACCAGACCGACAAGGCCGACGATGCACAAGATTTCGAGGACATCAGCGACGATGATCTGCCCGACGAGGAGCCACCGACAGCGACCACCTCCTTCGATGCGCAGGTACCCGGGCTTACGGATGACGGTGGAACTAGTCACGATACCGACGATCTCTTCGGCGACGGGCGGGAATCATCGCCATTCGATCCTGTCCTGGGACCACTGTCTCCGCCACATGCGCCGGTAGAGCCGGATAGCGCTGCTGTCGCCATCCGACCGGAAACGAGTTTCGCCGATAGCCACAACGAGCTCACGTTTGATGTCGACTTCCCTGAAGGGACCAACCAAGATCCAAGCATTCCCCGGCTATCGAGTCGGTGGAAGACTTTGTGAAGCAGACGTGGCCCGACTTCAGGCAAGGCACAATCCCGGACTGGAATCAGCTTCTGCCATCAAGAAAGACCTTTTTCAAGGAGAAAAAGCCCGCGCGAAAGCCGAAGCCTCTCCTGACAACGAAGTTGAGCCTGGATATCGATAATGATCAACAAAAGGTATTTCGTGTCCCTGGTATCGCGGTCAAGCGAACGACTGGCCGATTCAACGACTCTGGAAATGGTTTCGTGAGCCTGAGAAGCCAAACCGAAGAAAACGGCATCCATGGAATGGAGTTCGACCCCGACGAGGACTCCGAAGACGAGCTCCTGGCTGGCTTCACCCTGCAGCATATCAATACCATCTGCTATAACTTTGATGAAAAGATTAAGAAGGCAGAGGAATATCGAGAAGCCCAGATTGCCTCCCAGGTCCACCAAAAACCTGGCTCGGCAGAGCCTGATGAAGAGTGGGACGCCATGTTTATGGACGAGCCTCCCAAAAGAAGAAGCGAGTTATTCCTACCGGTCTCCCCGATATCACCCAATATCACACGCCATCTCTGGATTCATTTGAACTCATAACGAGGGCTGGTGCTAAAAGGGTCCGCCTGGATGTCAACGATCCCAACCTTCATCTTGTCGAGCCGGAGGAAGGCCGTCCTGCAAAGCGACCCCGTCAGAGCAAAGTCTTCAGCGTATGGCGGGCGGAAATCTTGGCGGAAACGGATTGCGTCGGTTCAACATCTCCAACGACGAAGCCTACGAGTTACTCAAAGAAGCCCATCAGGATAAGGTTAGAGCAACGATCGGTAACATCATGGTTGATCATGGCCTGCCGGCCCTTCGCCTCGCCTGGCCGTACTACAAGACTAGGGTTGCGGAAAGACCGGACCAGTTCCACAGACCTCCTTTCCGCGTGCGAAAGTTTGTTGGCCGCTCGGTGGAGTTTTCTCGACGCAACGTCCTCAAGCGAAAGGCCCAAAAGGGCAAAGCGCGCGACGTCTTCAAGAACACCAAGGACCTCACCCTTCGAGACAACTCAACGGCTGTGTTATTCGAGTATTGCGAGCGGATCCCGACTGTCCTTTCCAAGTTTGGCATGGGAAACCGTGTGATCAACTATTACCGCAAAGGCGCGGATACTACCTCCGCGCCGCCACCGAAGAAGGACCTCGGCGAAACGCATATCCTCCTCCCCGAGGATCGTTCTCCGTTTGCCATCTTTGGTACGGTTGATCCCGGCGAGACGGTTCCGACTCTTCACAACCAGATGTTCCGCGCCCCCTCTTTAAGCATTCGCCGCGAGAAGGTGACTTTATCTTAGGACGAAGCACAACTGGCAAGGAGGGCGCACAGTGGTATCTGCGGAATATCGACCACATATACGTGGTCGGACAGACCTTTCCGTCAGTCGAGGTCCCAGGCCCTCATTCGCGCAAAGTTACCACTACGTCTAAAAACCGGACCAAAATGCTCAGCTTCCGCATTATGAGGAGGCACCCCGAGGGCATGCTCTTTACCAGTGATATCACAAAGCATCTCGAAGGAACCAATGACGGGCAAAATCGGCAAAAGCTCAAAGAGTTTTTGAAATACGTCAGGCCTGACAAAGACAACAATAGACCAGGTTTCTGGTCCCTCCCCCAGGCGATACGTTGATGAGCGAAGAGGGAATCCGTGCCCTCATCAAGCCGGAAGACACATGTCTGATTGACGGGATGGCGATGGGAATGAAGATGCTTGAGGATGCGGGTTACGATCCTCGGCTGGCCGTAATCCAAGAGAACGACGAAGAGGACGCAGAGGGTGGCAAAGCCGGTAAAAGGGTGGCGAGAAGGGCGAGGAGTCCCTCGCGGAGAAGATGGCGCCTTGGAAGACGACCAAGGCTTTCATCGACGCTTGTACCGGGAAAGCGATGCTTCAGCTTCATGGCGAAGGTGACCCGACGGGTCACGGGTTAGGATTCAGTTTCATTCGAACATCCATGAAAGGAGGGTATCTTGAACAGCTGCAGCATGGTCCGCAGTCGTCTGCCGCGGATATGATGGAGAAGCAAAAACGAGACAACAACGGGCACGCATACAATGTCAAGAAGCAAGAGCAAGCCTATAAGACGGGCATCAGCGAGATCTGGAACAAACAAAAGACTACATTGAGCGATGCGACCCTACACGACGACGACGATATTGTCCAGATTGCTGATGAGGACGAGCGGTTCAATATCCCAGGAGGCGCGACTCCGGTTCCTACTGCTGATGATAGCGTCAGTCAGCTTAGCGGATTCACGTCAACAAGCCGCCAGTCGAAGAAGAGGCTTCGGATTGTCCGGCAGGTAGAAGGCCTCGATGGGTCCTTGGAAGAGAGGGTAGAAATTGTAGAAGACCCGGTCGTCATTGCCCAGTATATCAAGAGGCGCAATGAGATGGATGCGGCAGAAAAAGAGTATGGCTTTAGAACCCAAGTCCCCTTAGCTTCTCCCCTTACCAGATTCCCCCGAGCCACATCCGGTTGCGGGGCTGGAGATTGAACTTCCCGCTTACTCCATATTCCATCTAGCATCCTCGAAATTATCCCTACTGGAGACGCCTTGGTGGACCGTCAATTTGCTAAGAAGTAAGTTTTCGCGACGAGCCTCACGTCAAATAGACCTATGAAGCGGGGAGCGACATGGACTAACCGTGCAATGTAGAATCTCGGCGGAACTTGACCGTCTCGAAAAGAATAGGGACCGACGGCTACAGAGGGAGCAGAACAAGAAGCTCCAAGATGGCGCAGGCAGCGCCAGATCTCCGGATGCGATGGAGAAACCGATCACGGGAACGACGCGAAAATGCGCTAATTGCGGGCAGGTTGGTCATATCAAGACCAACAAAAAGTATGGAGTCTTCTTATATTCGTCTACCCCCATTCCTCCCGTTTGATTTGAGTGAGCTCGCGAGCCACAATTTCGATCTTGAGTCCAAGATTCTTCCACCACGGCCAGGGCTGGACCTGCTTCACGCTTTCTATGAGAGGAAATCTGGCCGTTGGAAGCCAAAACTTGCCCTCGCAGCCATGATGAAGCAGGCAGTCAAAGAGTATCGCATGTCTCAGAAGTTGAAGAAGGCGAGGCCTTAACGGTTCTAGCCTCATCGAACACTCAAGTAGCGCTTGTCTTCACTTACCACCGGATGCTTGATATCCATGGCATACCCACCCTTTCCCCCTTTCTTTCGATATCTTCATTCTGCCTCCACGTCACTTTTATCCTTCCCCTTTACGGCCGAGTCTTCACAAGTCATAGATTTCACATCCAGAATAGTTTAGCTGACTTTAGCGTCCTTTCTTCAGGCTATGCCCACTCCTGAACGGCACGGCCGCCGCGAGTGGTGCAACCGAGGCCAGCGGTTTTGGTGGCTTTGGTCCTGCGACGCCGATGGCAGCCAATTCGCCGCCCGTTTAGAGATTACGAGAGGCCCCGACCGCCGTGTAGTAGCCGGGACTTTAGAAGGACCCATTCTATGGGGGCACGAGGGGGTGATGCTCTGTGTGGTGATTCTACCAAGGGGGTTGAATGTGTATTGGCCCGTTGCCACTCCCCCGACTCAACTCGCGCTAAAGAGATGAGAACAGCGGAAGAGGCGATCGAGGTGGCATGGATTATGGCGTTTTGAATTTTGTCCCATTTAGTCTTTCTTCTTCTTGGTCCTTCCTATTTCCCCTTCATTCATATCTCCGCTTTCGGACTACATAGAACAGCGTTTACAAGGAGCATAACCAGGTATTGTAAAGGCAAAAGAATCAATTATACGGTTTTTAATTACTCTATCCGCCCATGATGACGTGCATAAGATGATGGACAACATACCCGTGTCAGTGAAAGTAGCCTGGTCTCGGCAGAGGCCAAACCTAGCATGGCTTCTACTTCCCCACAGAGGGCAGCTCTCCCGCAAGCGAAGCGCGCTAAGGTGATGAGAGAGCCCAGACGAAAATATATAAACAAAGGAGAAAATAAACGCAAGGTGACGTGAGCGACTCTTGGACAAGCTGTTGGCGGAGTTACAGTAGCACATGCATGTGAATACATCCATGGATGCATCACATAACCAAAAACTGAACCTTTTTCTCTCAGGCAACGTCTATCCTGTCCTAGGAAAGGGCCGGCGCATGATACCTCCAGCACACCAGCTCTATAGCTTAGTGCGCCTAAAACGATTCTCAGTTGGGAGGGCAAGGTGCGTCGCGCAAGGGGATTCATCCGCCTCTTGCCACTTCACACACGTAGGATTGGAGTACGTTCAGAGTCCCGTAGCAGTACCATCACCTCGACGACCGTCATGATCCGCATCCCCGCCCCCTAAAAGGTCACGTCGCGCAGACCCTTGGTGAAAGCCGGGACGGACCACGGTGGTGAGGTAGGGTCCCATTCCCATTCGTCTAGTGCCGACGCGGATGATGGGAAAGGTGAAAGCAAGAAGAAGAATATGATACAAAGATGAAGAAACCTCCCGGAAAGGGCTACGGGTAGTGGGGCGCGGTACTGATTTGGTCCTCCCACACTTCTTCTTTCGGAGATGCCAAATTTAGCAACATTCTACGGGGAGACTCGTCGAGTCCTTGTGGTGGCAGCGCGGATCCGGAGCACGTCGAGCTTGGGCGGGGCGGCGGCGCTTAGGCGGCAGGTAGGGCTGGCGTCATGTGGGGGGAACTGTCAGACACCGACTTGATGGATGGTGGAGAGCCCTTCCCCCAACATTCTCGAAGTCAACCGGAAAATCTGACGGTCATGCTGTTCGGCCGGAGGAGCACGGTCGAAAAGGGCGATGAAACCTGTTGCAAGGCTCGCGTGTGGCCAAGGACAGAATGGCGGTCACAATGGCGGACAAATGGGGAGGGTGAAAACTACTGTGATTTGGAGCCAACGCTCCGTGATTCATGCGGGCGTGATGCGGGAGAGCGAATCAGTATGGAAGTGAGAAGAGGGGGCTTAGATGGGATTTTTAGAGGGGGAGGGGGTTATGTGGGTTATCGATCATGGATCCATTCAAGATGCAAATTCGCCCTTGCACGTCGTCCTGGTTGTGACAAATTGGCGAGCGGTGTTACTTCGCTTTTTAGAAAACTCAAGGTGTTGACTCGACGTTCTCTAAGACTACACATGGCATACCTCTCTTCGGACAGGTTACAAAAGATAATAGATGGAATAGATCACTACTAGCACTGCATGTAGGATATGCGAGTGAGGCAAACAAGGGGTAAGAAACTGGGTTGGAGGGTTGAAGGCGACACGTAAACTTTCATACTACAACTATTCGTGATGGGGGCGCGAACCACCCCAGGTTCGACAGGCGCGTGGGCGGCTAAGGCCAGGGCAAGCAAGGGACTTGATGGCCACCAGTCAGCCAAATCGGTTTCACCCCACCACCGTGTCCTCACGTTCTGTCTTTGAGGCGACCAAACAACTTCAAGACATTAGACTCCCGCATTCCGTCCCGGGGAGAGGGGCGGAAAAGTGGATTTTGATGTTAAACTTAGCAACAATGGAAAGGCGAGTTGAATTTGGGAGACAGGGGACTGGGAAAAAAAGATGGAGTGGCCAGGAAAAGAGGGGAGGCTGGAGACCCTGGTTGCGATCGGAAGTTGGGAGTATTGGGATCAAGTGAACATCAGCGGAGAACCAAACAAACGTCGCCGAGGTCAAATTCATCAGATGTAACCTTTTCACGCCTTTGCATGTGGGGAGACTCTTCTCCATCTTCGTCTACGGGATGAAGTGCCCAATCTACAGGGGGATATATGGATCTTTCTTCTTCCTCTTTTCTCCCGGCGGGAAACCGGATTCGGATGATGCGCCCCCGTTTTCTTGTGCTTTGGTTTAATATCGCGCAGCCTGCCAAGGGTGCGGTTGGAGTGGGATGAAGAAACCGTCAAGAAGACGCAGAGTAAAGAGGAAATGTCCACTGGTTTGTTGGGACGATGACTTTAAAACCCGCATTACGGCGGATATTACCTCGCTCGCTACCCATAGGCTGATCGGTATATTGGTAAACTCGAACGCCGGCATCAGCGATATCCGACTCATGGACCACGTCCAGGCCCTTATACCGAGGTAGATTGATGGCAGCGTTGAAGCCTCTCTCTCTTAAGGAGGGGAAAAGTTACTACCTATCCACTCCCCTCTTCCGTGCATCTTGTGATACATGATAGTTGATCCATCCAGATGTGTCCTATCATCAACCGGGTCACCGCCCCCATTCGTAGGAATACAGCCATGCGAAAAAACCCCCTCCACACGACGGGGGTGGGTCGCAACACCAGGTAATACGGAACCCGCATATGAAGTAGGTTCCTGGATGAATCCCCGTTCGTACCTGGCATCGGGTGATGTTGGTTTCTCAGGGCAGGCTGCGAGGATTTCTCGCCAAGGGGGCCGGAATGAGGGAAGCGCGGCCAACGGCGAGCGGAAAAAAGGCGACGAGGGCCAACTTGTGATGCTCTTCTCCTGCTGCTAGAGATCGATACGAACCTTGGAAGCCAACCTTTTTCAAAAGTTGATTTGGCGGCTGGAACTGGTGGACAGGAGATCCTTCAAGCCTTATTGGTGCGCTGGCATGTACTAATGCGTGTTGGTCTCGGTAGAAGGGGGCATGGCCATGCACCCAGGTTCGCCCGACACCGTTTCTATTTTTGGGTATTTTTAGAAACCCGAACGCAGAGCCGAGCCTGTGCCCGAACGCATTCACACTTGATTCGATCCACTCCGCACATCACCATCCACCCTCCGGCTCCAACCCTCGCCTGCTCTGGAACTAGGACGCTTGGGCGGCCCGCGCACTTTGAAGTTGGGGATTGGATTGCGCTTAAACTGACAAGAGGCCGTTCTTTGCCCATGGCCGCGCTCTCCAGCGATGGGGGTTTTGTTTCCCGTGAGGATGTGGATGCGTTGAAGAATGGGGCTTTGCTTGCCGTCCCCACTCCTTGGACCTCTACTGTAGTGCAGAATGATGTCTTGGGCTATTGGAAGCAAGCTTTGGACTTCTAAACTCACTCTCCATGCAAACGTTTAGTTCTCAGCACCGCCACCTTGCCAGACGTTGGCCCAAACAAAAGATATCTTAGCGCCGAATGCGACGGGCCCCGAGAAGAACACTAGAAGGAGCAATAAACTCTCCTGACCTTGTCATCTCACACTTCAAGGCTGGGGGCTCCTAACCTTGCCTGGCCCATATCACAAGAGCTCGTGGCTGCAAATCCATTCGCGAGGACGAAGCACTCATTCCCCGCTAGTATCCGGCGACGCCCAAATGAGAATCGGTCAAACTTAATTAGCGGGACCATCAATCCTTTGCTCCCTGCGAAAGTTGACCCAACAGCCTGTGTCTGCCTCATGAAGAGGGGAGGCTTTTGACAAAGAGCGCCCGGAAGCTCGGGAATCTCGGGCTCTATGGTTAGCTGCTCAATATGATTCCGAAGGGTGCGGCCTTATGAAGTACCGAGACGTGAAAGGGATCAAGGAGATGGAACAGCCGTGAACTTGGGGTTGCTTCGTCGAGTGTCTGATGAGCTTGTGATGGTGGGTTGCAGGGCCACAGGATCGCCTCCACACGCCGAGCCTCAGGCGCCGACTGTGCCGAGAGGGCACTAAAGCTTCAAAGGCGGGTGTGGCGCTAGCGTGATTGATGCTCAATTTGACAACGCAGAAAGCGAGACACTCATTCTTTGAGCTATACTGATATCAGCTGGCGGTCCTGTTTCCCAAGGGATTCAAGTCAAAGGGACTAGATAAATGGGTCCTTCTAGCTACTTTTCAGGATGGCCACCCCACCAAGTGAAACAAACGCTGCACAGCAACACACGTCCTCCACAGCTCACGGTCTTCTACTATAGTGGGACCATTGTTGGCCAGGCCCTGGAGCTTCCTCGGAAGGCATCTGGACAATCGGCAGCCACATTTTAAGACATCTGGATGTATCCATATACCAATCTATCATCTATAGGCTCTTTCTTCTCGCTTCTTCCTAACACCAAGCCCCTCCTTGTTTTTTTCTTTTCCCACAAGTATTAAAAGGAAAGGGGAAAAGAGAGAAATCATTGGACCTGCCGAGGATCTGCCGACTGAGAGCTAATGATCATGAACGAGCTTCAGCCCTTGCACTCAATGTAACGATGTACCTATAGGTGGTGGGTGGAATTGATCCTACTCAGCCACAGTGATACCAACAGCCGCGCCCACAGCCCGGCGTCTACAGAGGTACACCAGCACGATCACCAAGATCGAACGCTGACACCCAACGTCAGCGATGAAGGACTGAGGTTTTCACGAGTGGGATGACCTCAACTCTTGACGCGTAGAACTTGATTAGAACTCTTGGCCCTATTAACAAAAATCTGGAGGATATTTATCAACGGTAATTGAAAACCTCTAGAGGCTCTTTCCAAGTTCTTCCCATGACCGCCGGCTTCATTTACAAACTTGGAGAGCGAGCAGGCTCTTCCGTTTCTCTCTTTAGAACGAGCATTGACGCCTCCCAGCACACACCAGGGATGGAGCTAGTGATATCCTTGGCAGGGAGCGAGCTTAATAATGCCATCCGCTTTCTAGGCGCTGTCTCACTCGCTATTACATCCATAGATGTAGGCTCCGGTGTTGTTCTCGGAGCCGGAAGGTGCGTGTCGTTAAATTGAGGGTTAAAAAGAGTCAGCGGAGAGGGGGTACGAGCCATCCATTCCATTCAATTGATCTCGCCGGGGAGACGCGATAGCAGCAACGGCACGTTCTTCTTCTGGCGGTGGGAAAATCGGAAGGTCTTCCGATGGCCATTCTATTGAACACAATTGCTGTTGAGCCTATAGTGCATTGCTGGGTTCTGTAAAGGATTCCGCCAATTGAGGCCGCCGTCGTGATATCACACGCCTACCACTTTCTTTTCCTCCTTTAGGCAAAATATGGGGGTGGGTGCTGTGCGGTGACCTGATTTGCCCAGTACATGAAACGACCTCGCCATTTTCTGGTACTCGGAGATATTGGACTCGTCCCGTGAATGGCTCTCCTCCTTGACCTCAAGTATTTTTTTGATCTCTTTTCCACTCTCCCCATTATATATGCCGTAGGGGAGTTGAGAGAGAGGGGCACATTGGATTTCTGGGAGAACGAACAGGGACTCTTTACGTCTCCTTCTTAGATTTGTTTGATTAGATATTTGCCATCTCATACCGCATGTATGCCAAGTCCTATTGTCAACCGACTATTATCCCTCATCTCATGCCCAGTCTCCTCTCCATTGGAGCCAGTCGAGTGCCAGCGAGGTTTAATGGTCGGGAAATGTCAAAAGATCCCCAATGGATCCAGCAGTCGCAACCCACCTGCACTATGGATAGTTCAGGTCCTTCTATTATTATTACCGCCGTCAGGAACCAAAGCGGTCAACTGGGTCTTGACCATGCTTAGCAAGGTCGGGCCACGCTAACGGGGAAATACCGAGTCCGCTAGTGGTTAGTGATGTTCCTCTCAGTACAAATGGCGAGTGCCTGAAGCCTCGCAAGGCCTTCCAGGCCTGCCGGCGTACGTCAGCCTGGGGTTGGTGACAATCAAGCTTGAAGTGGATCAATCACTGGAGAGCGGAGTGGCCAGGCCAAGTGGTGAAAATTGATCCTTGAAATATCCACCGACAGCTGAACCCCGGGTACCAATAAGAAGGAAGAAAATGGGAAGGGAAAAACCCCATGTATTATCTACTGTTACAGAAATGGGTGGAACACGCCGTGATTGCTGATGACTTGGATGCGTGCCTCGGCCACGAGAGGAAAGGTCCCCGCGCTGTTGGGAGCTGCGAGCATTGATCGTGGTAATTCGATTGACCAGACCGTTGTGGGCTGCAATCTTGTTTGGGGCACACTTTAAATTGGGCACGTAGCATCTCGACAATCATAACGAACGGAGTGTAATAATGATAGCCCCCTGGACAATCTGCCTGGTATTTCGAGTAGCATTCGCCATGCCTCTTGCCAACCATCATGATTTCACGCACTAGCCTGGCCTCACCTTCTCTGTCGATGGTACAATTCAAGCTGCTCGCGCCTGTTAGTACTGCTGACTTGAAGCCTTTCCTCAGAGCTCGCCTTTTCTTGGAATCCCTTGTTTTTGGTTGCCTTATTAATGTCAGGGGAAAATGAGACTAGATAAAAGACTCATGGTATATTGTTCCCGGCCCGCGTGCCCTCTCTTGCTTGTTCCCTGGCGGGATGGAGAGGGAGTTTTTCCTCTTCCCTCCGTCGTCTTCGGATTGCGGCATGCATCTCACCTTCCTCCTCTCGACACTCGAGCGCAAGTAGAGATGGATGTACTCATTAAGAGCCCAATCGTCGCGTTCACCCGATGTACATTCTCCATTCCAGCCCCTCCTTTCCCTTTTCTCTCCAATGTCCGGGTGTCTGCTCCAAGTTCAATGTTCTTTTTTCCCCTTCAGGTTCACGGTCCCTATAGTACGTAGTACGCGACAAAGGACCACTCATATACGGACAGTACTAGTACTCCCCTCTCGCACTCTCCACGGCTGCTTAGCCAAAGTACCGTCACTCTTCGCAAAGCCACGCCCCCTTGTCACTTTTATTTCCAAGCCACGCCCCTCCCTTGAACGAGCCTTTCGGGGTCCCAGTGCCTCCTTAGCCAGAGTCTGCACTTCACACTAGCCTTGTAGCATTACCCCCGACGTTTGTGCCCCCTCTCAGGTTCCCCCAAGTTCCTTTTTCCTTCTGTCCATCACTTCCCTTGCTGCCCTCGTTTTTTCTGTCCTTCCCGCACCAACTGAACACGATCCCCATCTATTATTAGAATCACGACGCCAGATTCAGCCCCATCGACCTGCACAGCGACACCAATCCACGTCAAACTCGTCGCATGCACCAAGCTTGTCTTGACGACCTCGAACAAATCTTCGATTTCCCATTTTCGACTTTGCATCGTGGCTACGGGTCGTCTCAATATCTGCGCCGTCATCCGCATCGCAGCTTCCCTCCGGCTCTCCTCTTCTCTTCCGCCGAGGAATCACCTCCCCCCAAACGAAATCGCCTTAACGGATCCAAGCGACTCCCTGGACATCGTCGGCTTCGTTGTTCGGGACAAGAGACGGAGCCTAGTCCGCGAGGCAAAGGTAGCTATCGCCCGTATCCCTTCATGCCTGCATCTCTCTGTTGCGCACTCGTCAAGGGTCATCCCGCCCTACGGTTCTGATTTTTCACTCCGAACCTACGATCGTGATGGACCATCTGGAATCCGTGCCGCCATCGTTTTGGACATTTCTTTGTAGTAGAGGCTAACTTGATGGCCACGTCTAGAAACCTCTCGAGACGAATATTGAACGCTCTGTTGCCGGGCTACCCGAAAATCTGGGCGAAACTATCGCGCGACCCTCTGATCCATTCGACAGGCACAGCCGGTCGTCCCGTCGACCCTGCGAGACTCACACAGGCTCGCAGACCTCTAGGTGCTTCACAAACGCATTTCACATCATAGACTTGCTCGCCGAGCATTACAGTCAAAATGGGCCGAAGGAAGATAGAAATCAAACCTATCAAGGATGACAGGAATCGTTCAGTGTAAGTTGCCCTTGATTACGGTCATGGCACCCCCGCTCACATTCTTTTCCTCGCAGAACCTTCCTGAAGCGGAAGGGAGGCCTTTTCAAGAAGGCACACGAGCTCTCCGTCCTTTGCTCTGTCGATGTCGCCGTCTTTATCTTCGGTAGCAACAAGAAGCTTTATGAATACTCCTCTGCCGACATGCGTGAGCTCATTACTCGTTACACCTACGTGAGTTCCTTTGCGCCTCCCAACGGCACCTTGAACAACTAACTAAACGCGTCCTTTGCTTCTCTAGCATGGCGGGCCAAATGAGCACAAGGGCCCCAATGATTTTAACGGGGGCGGCGATGACGACGACGACTCGGGAGTAGAGGGTACACCCCCAGAGAGATTCGATGGACCCCCAGATGATGCCACCCCAGTTCCAAGGCCAGCCACCTTTCCCACACATGAGGCAACACACTCCCTCCGCATCCCCGCCGATTGCAAATGGGGTGCCCTACCAGCAACACCCGGGCCATCCGGTGCCGCGCGGACACACCCCCAAGGCCAGCTCGGATCGCGCCCGGCGTCGAGGAACGATTCGAGGAGAATGGGTCCCGGGATGATGCCTCAGCCCGGCCCCCTCAACCTCCCTCGCAGCCTCATGTCAACGGCTACGCTTTTATGCCAAACCCAGCCATCTATAACCCCCAGAACCCGCCGCCCATGCCCCACGGCATGCCCGTTCATCCTTCGCAATATCCTTACCCACCTCAACAACCCCATGGCTCCCCGCCGCAACCTCATCACCAGTTACCGCCTCAGTACATGGATGACCAGCGCCGATCCTCGATTCCGCCTAGCTTCCCTCCTCCTGGCCCGCAACAAGGGCCCGTCCCTCGGCCTGAACCATCTCCTCAACAACATCCCCAGCAACTTCCTCACCCGCCTCCCCATATCTCTCCCCTCCACAACCCATAAAAACAGAGGCCCCCGCCCCACAGCAGCAGCCGCAACCTCAAGAGCCTCAACCGCCTCCGCCGGTGGAACCCAAGCCAGCTATCCCGGAACGGCCCCAAGTGCCCTTGCTGAACACGGACACGGCGATAAAGAGGATGCCTCAGAGGAAACAGCACAGTATCTTCACTCCCATTGACGAGAACCGGTCCATTCTTTCGCAGCATCTAGCCTCCTTCTCTACAGAACCAAATCAACTGAAAGGCGAGGGTAGCCGGTCCCAGTCAATCGACGTCGCTAGTGTGCATCGTAACGGAACCTTAACAAAATCGCCACCCGGGCCTCAAAGGTCAAACACACAGACTATGGCAAAGCCACGGCCTCCTCTCGTCATTCCTGAGACCACCTTTACCCCGCCCTCCCGCTCCAATAGCCTCAGGGTTAGCGGTGGAAGCAGCAGGCCGCGTCTCAAGGTACAAATTCCTGGTGATGGCGATTCTGAAAATGGGGGTAGCGCAACAGCGGACTCTACATCACCGCGCAATCTCACCGATTCGACATCCCAAGCGACGCGCCCGGCGCTGCAGGTTCTTCCTCCTCCATCGCCGTCTGCCTCTGCTTTGCTCTCAGCCGGCGCGACGGGGCCGCCTAATCCGTTCGCACGACCTCATCCGCCACAGAACAATGGTGGCATGAATATTGATACGCCAGTGTCTGCGCTACCCTCTCGATTTCTCAACAACGAATTCCTGCCCAGTCCCAGTAGCTTCTATCCCAACTGGGACTTTAGAGGGAGTGACAGCAATACCCTGCCGAGCCCTCTAAACTTTGCCACTCCCGTCGTCGGTTCCGGGCCTTCCTTCCTAAGGGACGAGACCTCGACGGGTATCGAAAACGGAAGAGTCCAGAAGCACCTGCAAGCGGCGTTCCGGACACACCAGATCATAATCAAGAGCCGAAACGGATCAAGGTCGACTAACTTCGACTCCACGTTTCCCTTGGTTTCTCATCTCGTTTCCCCCTTCGCTTTTTTGTTCCGTCAGTGCATTAAAACAATACCCCCTTTGCGTTTATTTTCTGGCTTGGGTTTTCTTGTACAACCCAACCTCGGTCGATATTGTTCCGGATCCTTAAATTGCTCCTGGTCACGCCACTTCTTCGTCTGGATCCCTTCTCCTTCAATTCTTTTGTGCATCTTTGTAACCGAGCGTCACAGCTTGTTTTTGTTGGTTGATGACTTCTAGACCTGAGCACTACCGCCGCATAGGCCCATATCTTTCCATTCTTGTACCTCTCTCTCTCTCTCTCTCTCTCTCCTCTTTCCGCAGGCAAGACGGATATCTTTTTCATGCAAGCGCTACTCGTCGGCGGCTCCCGTTCCATTTCTCTTATAAGGTTATTGTCATGTTTTCTTTTCATTTCTTTTTTCAGGATTCAGAATTGGCCCCCGCTTAGTCTGTTGAAACGTCTGTTCCCAGTTTCGTTCTATCCGTACGTGCGCTCGTGCTCAAGTGGTTGGTGGTGCCGCCACAGGTTCCTTGGTCTTGGCGGGTTCGGCAGCAGAAAGGACATTGGGGCCGATGGGTTGAATACTCACCTGGTGGCGTTTCGTGTTTGGTATAGTGTCTATTTATCTACATCACCTTGATCGCGAATTGTTCCCATTCTACGAAACTATGTTGATATCAAGTGTAGCCTGGTGAATGCTAGGCATCTTCTTCTTCGTCTACATATATAATACCGTGGATGGTTGACAGAAAAGAAACGAACCTATGGGCAGTTCTTCCTCAGGACTAAGTGAGGTGGAGGACAGGCAGCTTCACTTTGCCTAACCCATCCGAACATCAACAAGCCTGGGTCATGGCATGGGCATCTGGGGTTGAACTGTTGAACAAGGCTTGTTTTGAGAGGTAGGAATAGAGGGTTAGAATCGAAAGTGAAGAGAGACGAAAAACAAGAGGTTCCCCCTCCGGAGCTACCGTCGCTGAGCTTGTTCGTATCACGTCATATCGGACGCCGTGCTCCACGGGCGCATATAAGGAGGGTTCTCTTATAGAGATCTAACACATCAAATGGTAACAACGGAAATCTCGCCTACGGGCTTCCTGCCAGGTTCGTCTAAGCGGTTATAGATATTATAAATGAAGGAGAATTTTTGTAACTCCGTACGCCACCCCCGCCCGCCAAGGACCGTCCGCCTACCTACAACCCCATCCTCTTCTTCGCTTTCTGGCTTCTTTGATTCCTTTTGAGTTTTTTTCTTTCTTGCTAGAGTGGCAGGGCTGCTACGAAAATGCTCACTCAATACAAGAGGGCTTAGCCTGGGCGCGATAGCGCGCGTTGCGTCTACTTGCATCGCTTCTCGACGACGTTGACGCCGTTCTCCTCGTACTCCTGCTTAGAAATCCACATCTGGTGGAATGTGCCGAGACTGGCTAGAATGCTACCGCCAATCCAGGCGCCAAAACGGCGCTCGCTCGACAAGCCGGCAGCGTGAAGCTTAATCTTGGTGCCGGGGTACATGGTGGAGAGCTCGTTGTGGAGGCGGTCGCCGAAGCCGTTGATGAGGCTGGTGCTACCGGTGACGACGACATTCTGGAGAAGGTTAGGACGCAGGTCGACGTCGACTGCGTTAATGGAGGCGCGGATGAGCTCGGGGATGGTCTGGGCCTTGGTGAGGCGGTACTCCTCTGGGGTGTTTGTGTAGGCAGCGGTCTCGTCCCACATTCCCTCGAGAGCGCGGAAGCGCTGCTCGCGCCACATCTGATTGGAGCCGTCGGGCATCTCAAAGACACGACCGGGCTGTTGGCGGAGGAAATCCTCATTACCGGGGGCAGTGTACTTTCCGGGACCCCGCCAGGTCTCGACCACGGACTCCTTGAACTCGGTGAGGAGCCGCTCTTCTTCCCAGGCGCGGAATGAGGAGTGGAGGTCAAAGTCAAACTTGCGTTGCTTGTATTGCGCGGGAGCGCCGGCATCCACGGGAGTCTTGTTCTCCACAAGGAAGGTGGGAACCAGGTCGACCTTGGAATCGCTGCTTTCGAACACGGCACGAAGCTGCGCGGAAAGCCAGAGGCCGCCTACAGGGGACCTCTGGATGGAGCGCTTCAAGACAACGCCGTCGTGGATGCAGGTCACAGAGGTGTTTGCGCCGCCAATATCAACGACGAGGGCGCTCGCCTTGCCAGCAGCAAAGGCAGTCAAGACCGGTGTCCTGCTGAACCAAAAAGCGGGACAACCCCAGTTCTCCATTATAATCTCCACGGCCTTCTCCCTAGCCTTTGGCGTGTTCCAGGGCGCTTCAGTAAGCAGTAGGGGTTCTCGGAAAGGGGTTTCTCCTGCTCCTCAACCTTGACCTCGGCAGCCTCCGCATTGTCGCCCATCGAGACATCTCCCTCTCCATCCTTCTTCACGTCGACGGCGGCGGGATCGGCATCATCTCCGTTATCGTTGAGTCCGTTCTTCGCAGGCGGGGTAGCCTTTGGCGCATGGAGGCGATTGAGGAGCATGTTCTCCCAAATCTGTGTGGCGGCGTCCCAGTCCTCGACGACGCTGTCCTTGTTCATGTAGTTCCGTACCTCGATACCTTTGCGCGCAATAAAGTACTCATCGCCAAAGTAGTTCTTGCCAGAATCCGTCTCGTGAATGTAGAAGGACGGAAGGACGGACTTGGGGAGTCTTCGCCCGCAAAGCCGGCGCGGGTAAAGCAGTAGCCGGGATCGAGAACGATAGCGGAGACCTCATCTATTTTGAAAACCTGTTAGTCAAGCATATCGCGACATCAGGGGACCCAGAAAAGAGCATGGGGGAAGGGGATTTGGCCTTACCTCCGCCATAGGTGTCGGTCGGCGCCTGGGACGTGGGAAGAGGCTGTTGAGCCATTGTGGGGCGGGTGTAAGGAAAAGTGAGGGTGGGCGAAAGGAATTGAACGCGTCTGTAGGTTTAGAACTGGCCAATTCGATGGGCGGTCGAACTCTCGAGCTCTAGGCGCGTCGGATCGTGCGGTGAGAAGGAGTGTGCAAAGCGATAGGCCCCGCGATCGTGAATAAAGATGGCTGTGGTTGAGGCGGCTGGGGATGTAGTGGGCTGGAATTTAGTGTAAAGTAGGTGGAGCTCTGGTGAGCACCGTTTTTCGATTGCGCCGATTTGGCTTAGTCACGTGGCATCCCCAGCCGCCACAACAGCCAGACGTCGATCAAGCCTGGCGTGAAAGACAAACATCCACCTCTGTCAGGAACCAGGGCACTGGTTGACATTGAATAGCGGCCGGTGTATTCAGGGTCTATCGGTATCCCGTCACGAACCCCACATAGTAGGATTTGGTGGTGTTAGTTACCATTTGATCTATGATTCCAGCGTGGCGGATGCATTATGCCTGCGCAGTCACTAGCAAGGAAGCACAGTGATGAATTCCCAGTCGGTCTTGATGCAGGCCAGAGCTAGGTTACAATTTAGCAGTAGCGAGCTCTCGGCCTGGCCTACTGTGAAGCGAGCTGAGATTAGATCTCGCCGGTGCCTGAGGGTTTATTTAACCAGATAATGGATCATGCTCAAGCTCGAGGGAGGTGTCAGCTCTAACTACACACCATTTCCGCCCGAACACATCTAGCTCAACCTACGAAAGAACATGGATCTTGCTCATTTCTGTTCAGTAAAAATTACTGCAGAGGAGAAAAAGAAAGACTCCTTAAATTATGTTTCCTTCTCCAAAAGGGAAAAAGAAAGCCAGACCAATTTCTTGTCTGTGTTCTAATTGCCCACACCTGGGATCGAACCGGGGACCTCATCATTCACTAGCTATACTAGTGATGCGCTCTACCACTGAGCTATACGGGCTTGACTTGTTGTCAAGCTGGGACCCAAGCAGGCTCAAGTTCCCGTCTCGGTGACCACTTCTTTCTCGCCCGTCACCATACGCTGGGATTGAGCCTTTACTCTAACTTTTCTACAACGAGGGAGGAAAGGTGAATAGATCAGGAGGGTTTGGATTTTGAGACTGGGAAGTAATAGGCCCATGAGGAACTGAAGCCGCGACCGTTTCCAAGTGCTGTTTCGATGACTAAGCTGAAAGTGCAGCCACCAAAGGGTGAAAAATCCTCCGTCGACGGCAAGGGCCAAAACTTATCGTACTCAAATTCACCACGAAAGAATTTGACGCTTGAATTTTTTCTCTAGCGAGCTCTTTCCGAGCTCCTCTCGCCCAATTATGAAGGTAATGCACGTTTCGCCCGTACACATTCCATTTCCACACGTATATGATGATGTCGCTTTGCTGAACCGCTGCGGCTGAGCACAGCTTTGCTGTGGATGCTTATACTAAGCCTTTTATCTGATTCTCGTTCTCGCCATAAACATAACCATGAAGACCTTTTGGGCCGGACTTGAATGGCTAACTAGAATTCTGAACCAGGAGACATGAAGTCGTTACAATGCCTCCGCGGCCGACAAGCCCAATTAGTACAATGCATATCATACGGGCCTAGGAATTTGATCCACCCTCAAGCCCTACGGCTTCATACGCGCCCTAGGCACATACAGCATGCACAGTTTCAGTCATGCCGCGTATCCGCCCTTAAGTCATTCTCGACCACGGCGAGATGGCTGGTCGAGGGCCAGTCCGACGCTCCCGAGACGGAGGCGGAGCTGATGGATTACAAGCAGCGCCGTCTCGAGCGCATGGCAGCCTTGCAGAGTGGTGAAAACGCCCTGTTCAAGGAGACCCATCCCCGGCTAGAGCACCGCACGGAAACAATGTCTGTAGCCGATTTTTGGAGGCGAATGAAGACTTCGCCACGGGAAGCCCCGAGACAAGCGAGGTCACGCTTTACGGTGCGTAGATTCAAGCAAGAAAAACTATGTAGACATGGGGGACTAACCTGCCATTCCAGGTCGAATACGGTCCATTCGTCGGCACGGTTCCTTCCTCGTCTTCGTCAATATCGTCAACCAGTTTCAGGAGGTGCAGGCTATGATCAATTGGAGCCGGGTCTCGCAAACCTCTGACATTACCAAGAAGCAGTTCAAACTGTTTGCAAAACTGCTTGAGAAAGGGGACCACATCTGTAAGATACTCTCCTCCCTCAGAATTATGTCTTGACCATCATTCTAACCACCTCATAGCTATCACGGGCCGTGCCACTCGTACGAATTCGGGGCAGTTGAGCATTGAGGCGACTTGGATTCCGGAGCTCCTCTCGCCGGCATTAGAGCCTATTCCCGAGGTCATGACGGAAGCTGAGAAGAAGATTCAGCGGCGTCATGTTGACATGCTTGTGAACCCAGAGGTAGCTGACACTCTTCGATTGCGAGCGGCTATCATCGCGTATGTGCGCCAGTTTCTCCAAGAGCGCAAGTTTTGGAATTCCAGACTCCCATCATCTCCGACAATGCCGGCGGCGCCATCGCCAGGCCCTTTATCACCACCTCGACAGAGGTCCCGTCCAAGGAGCTTGCTCTTCGGATCGCCCCGAGCTGTGGCTCAAGAGGCTGGTGGTTGGCGGTGTGTCGAACGTGTTTGAGATTGGACCTTCGTTCCGGAATGAGGGTATTGATGGCACGCATAACCCAGAGTTTACCATGTGCGAATTTTACAGCGCGTACACGAATCTTCGCGACCTGGTTAAGCGGACAGAGGATCTACTCTCGGGCCTGGCCGCACATTGTCACCAACTGATTTCGACAGAGCTCAAGTCATTGCCACCCGTGGACGCCAAACTCTTCGAGGCGCCATTCACCTATGTGGAGTTTGTGCCAGCGCTCGAGAGTGCTCTCGGGTTTCACCTCCCCAATTTGGCGTCGGAGACGGCGCTCCCAGATCTCATCACGGTTCTCAAGCTTGCCAACATTCATGTCCCCGGCGGGGCCCCAAACACCCTTCCCAAGCTTCTAGATCGGCTCGCAGCCATCTACTTGGAGCCTCTCTCATTTGAGGGTCCTCTCTTCATTACACACCACCCGACATGCATGTCGCCGCTTTCCAAGAGTTTTATATGCCCAAAGACAGGCCAGGAAGTGTCTGCGCGCGCCGAGCTCTTTATCAATGGGCGCGAACTAGCCAATATGTACGAAGAGGAGAACAACCCCGATGTTCAACTGTACAAGATGTTGCAGTATCGCCAATGCGCTATTGAGAGGAACAAGAATGCGACCTTGGAGGATGATGTGCTTGTCGATGAGGTGGAAGCGGAGTCCGACCTTGTGGATGAGGTGATGGAGCAGACCAATGTCATGGATGCTCTAGGAGATGAGGCCGAGCCTGTCGACTTGGCCATTGAGGAGGCCATTGATGAAGAGGCGCCGGCAGTAGACCGAAGCTACATCCAGGCGCTCAGGGCCGGCCTACCCCCAACGGGAGGCTGGGGCTGCGGTATCGAAAGGCTCGTCATGGTTTTCTCGGGGGCTAAGAGAATCAGCGATTGCCTGAGCTTTGGGACTCTGAAGAACGTGGTTAGCTTGAATGCGGGCACCGGCGGTGAGCCGCTGCAGACTAAAGTGCTCCCGAAACCCGTTGGGAGGGACAAGCTTGAGGCTCTGTCGCGGAGATTATGAAAACATCCAGTAGCTGTCCAGCCAGCGAGCAGAGACGACTTGTATATACATTGTACGAATAGTGTTTAGAGACGGGGTAGCATGTGCAGATATACCTAGAGCATCACGCATGGCATGCGATGGAAGCGTGGGCGTCATGTCAGTATAGAAAGGACCCAAGCCAATGGGCCATGTATAATAATACCACTCAAATTCCTCCAATCATTATCACCGTTGCGCATCCTGTTGAAAACGTTGGACACAGAAAGGAATCCTGCAGCATATGCATCCTAACCCCGATGTTGATCACATCCCATTGGAAGGCCATTTCAGAGCGAGAACCACTGGGCTCTTATCAGAGAGGGAGGGCCTGGTGTCGTAGGGGGCATGCAAGCTCTGACTGACCCTTCATAGCTTGCTCGGTCCTCCCCATCCTGTCAAGACTTGGCCCCCTGCGCTTACCATACCCTACCTAAACGAATCACTTATCGCAAGGGAAGGGAAAGCCTCCCGTCACTGTTACCAATGCTTTTCCATGAAAGCTCCTACCGTGGCTATGTGACCAGCTTTGATCAAGGCGTCAGTAGGTCCGTACAGCAACTCTACGTTAGGCCAGGTCAGTTGAGACCTCATTCCAAGTATCACATCAGCATTCTTTTGATACCCTATCCTCTGTTCAACCATATCCTATTCACCGCCGCGTCAAGAAGAGAACGATCTTGAAAGACCAAGACCACGTATTCCAACAAAAACGAAGCCCGCATACCATGGGCACTATAGTCTGGGATCCCTCGAGCCGCACGTCCTCTCTCCCACGGCGTTGGAAAAAGAAGGGAAAAAAAAGCCATGTCCGAGCCCGCCGGCGGACGCGAGGATCGGAAGACGAGCCGTGTTAGCGGGCAGGAGGCGGGCAGAAGGGGCGGGCAAAAGTAGACGCCACTGCTGCCGTCGTCGAATGGTGCCTTGACGTCTATGTGCAGGTTCTCTCTTTCTTTTTCCTCGGCAAGGCCAAAATGTCGTGCAGGGAGCGCGGGATTGTGGTGGTGGTGGAAGCAATGTGCTAAGCTATACAAACCTGCGGGTGCATGTACGGAGCCAGCGCCGGGCGAGCACCGCCGCGGAAACCATATCAGTCGACCAAAGAGGAGTGCATCTTCCTTTCCCGACAACTTATCTCCCCCTTGTTCTTCTCAGGAGTCGACAAAGAAGAAGACAGAAAAGCCGGGGAGGGGGTGTGTGATGCTGGCTGCCGAGGAGATGCTCGCCTGCTGTGCATAAAATATAAATCTCGAAGCTGTGTTGTTTTGTTTCCTTGACTTGGAACCGGGACCACCCTTGCCCATTTACTTGTCGGCCCATCTATCTCAGACGTGGATCTGAAGAACAAGTACTCGTCAAAGGCATGACATCTATGGGTCCGGAGGAGAGGTGAACCACCGTTGACCTCCTCGGCCTTCTCATCGCAAGGACAGCCATTCCTAGCCTTCTTTCCAGGCCAGCTCCTTTGCTCTGCAATCTCCCTCTTAACCTCTCTCTCCGGGATTGCCGCTCTCCTCCTTTCGATGCCGTGTTTCGAGCGTGCTCTACTATCATGCTACAGCTCGCCTTCAGCCCGGCTTCTAGAGACGGCAAAGGGCGAGCGATCTCTCTCAACTAACGTCTAAGCGAACGTTTCTCATTCACCCGCTTTTTTTTTTTTTTTTACTTATCGTCCCTTTCTTATTTTACCTTGCTCGTGAATATTTTCTTTGCCATGAATCATCATTTTCCATTTCATCCGCCGCGCGCCCTTCTTCAACCCAGCTCGCAAGCTTCATCATTTTACGTGCGTGTAGTCTTACCCACCCCGGGTCTTTTTCTGTCTCGTCTTCGGTCTTTTGATACCTTATTGGAGAGAGGAAACGCACAAAAGCTGGTTAATATCCAGGCCGCGTTCTATATACGGCGTGTCGCCGTCTTGGCTTCTCTCGTTCGTTTCTGGCCGTTCCACCACTCCCAGGGGTCGCAGCCAAAGGCCGTTTCCCCTTCATCCTCCGACCTCCGTCCTTCTTTGCCCGGGCACATGCTCGAGATTTATATTAATTGGCATGACGAAATCACACCCTGCTCCAGCCCCTACCGCGTCCTGCACGTTCGGCATGGGCCAGCTGTTGCTAGCCACGGGGAGATTCGTCTTTTAATCAACCTTCTCTCACCACTCTCGACCTTATTTCGTTTCTTTTCCTAGCTTTTTTTTCTTTGGCGCAATATTGATTCTCCCACAGTGATACGAGCGAACTTGAATCAAGGAAAGCGAAAGCTACATAAAAATAAGATAAAAATCGGACCAGGGACGAACTGCTCGGAAGGCGCGGCTCTCTCTTATTCTTGCACCGATTCTTCACAACCATGGAATCACGGACACTCCAGAAGAAAACGTCTTTAAACAGGCCCTGGGAGAGTGGCAAACACATATGAGAATCAAACATCTTGATATTGCATCACTCGTTAGAACCCTTCTCTCTCCCCTTTCCCCAATGGACCGTACTAGAGACTGCACTAGAGTATTTGATATTTCTTCCGCGGCATTGCCTACCCATCGCTCCCCTCCGTTCCCTCGTCTCGGCCGGCCCGGGTTTTGGGCATGAGACAACCGTGGTCGATTTTCGTTTTCGTTTTTTTTTTCCCTTCTACATTTCTCTTTCATTTGCTGATCCCGTAATATACCCGATGGGATATAGGGGGTGGCCTCACAAGCTCCCTTCAAACCCAAGAGGTAAAGCGAGAGGGGAAAAAAATTACGGTTTCCGCCGTTGCCTCTTGCCTAGCCTACCGCGCACTGGAATACAAATAGACGAGGAAGAACTAGATATATGGGGGCCGGTATCTCATGGGCTGACGGCGGTACCCATGGAACCCCATGACTTTGCACGTTTAGGATCGGTGGGGAGGGCATCAAGGCGGCTCGCGGGCGAGTGGGGAGATGGACAACATTTGATCAGTGACTTTTTGGCTTGCATAGGCTGATTTGCTGATCGCCCCAAGGCCCTTTTTTCTCCAAGTGCGGGAGTCTGCGTCCTGGTATAAACGCCGAGGATGGGCCATTCACGCGCCGTTGCTCGCTTTTGCCCCCTTCCCCTCCCTCCCTTTTCCTTGACCTTATTTCTTGGGTCTGCATGTCACGTACGTACAAGAGAGTCTGGAGCCGTTTCGCCTTGCCGGGGCCAGGGTTCCTTTTCCTGAGAGGCAAGAGGGAGGAGAAGGAAAAAGAAAAAAAACAAGACCGATGGAAACAAAGGAGGGAAAATGATGTGATATTAGATGACACTGACACCAGTCATGGCGAAGAGCTGCATGAGGAGACATTCAATTTGGTGTCATGAAGGAACGCCACTCGTAGATTAAAGATCTTGGTGGGGGTATAGGATCGTGGTGGATGCAGCAAGGGGGAGGCAGGTCTCTAGAAGGAAAGACAAAAAGAAGGACAAGAAAAGAAAAAAAGTGCGCGAGGGGACTGAGAATCAAAGGGGGACATGGAAGAAAGGGAGCGAGTGAGGGGCGGCTTCAGGTTCGTTGGCGAGACTTTGGGGCTGGATCTGGATCTCATTCATGCTGGATGAAAATCATGGCACACACCCCACAGGACGCCCAGAGGGGAGGGCACGAGGTCTGATATGCAAACCACAAAGGCTCGGCTGGAGGGTGAGATCCTGACTTGTTCCTAGCTCGTACATGGGAGCATTCAATCAATCAATCAAAGAAGAAAAGTAGAAAATTGTGAGAGAGTATCCAACCATTGGTCGTCTGGTAAGACGGTGTGCAACGAGACATGTAGTAAGTCGACGGAGCAGGCGGGAGGGTTGCCATCACAAAGGACTACGATCGAGATGGCGGGACGGGCGTTGGGGAGGAGTCTCGGCTATCACTCTCGTCCTTGGCGCCAGTGGAATTCGGTGCAAGCGTGTGAGCTCGTCGATTTTTAATCCGCACGTCGACGAGTGGGAAGAGGGTCGGCACTATGGGCCTGCCTCCGATAATCCCCTCCTGCCCTCCTCTCTGCCTTGCTGCCTCCGCGATAAGAGCTAATGTTCCTCCTTGTATACATACTTGTTGGATACAGGGTCGCGGAAAGAGGGAGCTGAGACAAGGTAGTGTAAGAAACGACAGAGAGAGAAGGCGACGCGTAGTATGCCGTAGATGGATCGCCAAGTGGAGACTCCATCAAGCACTCCTGCCGGAAGCGCCCCCGTTCAGCATCACACGTGGTTCTGCGTTGACCTGACCACAGGAGGCTCTGTGTTCCAACCAACCAGACATCACAACCAGGGCGTGACTAGCCTCTAATCGCTTCAATGTTTGCCTTTGGGGGTAATAGGAAACCAGCGCTCCCCCTCTTCCAGGCTATCCCTTATCTTTTTATTTTCTCCCACCAAAAAAAAAAAGAAGGAAAACCCTCCCCATCTCTCGTCCGAGGCCGGCGCCCGAGACAGCCCGGCGGTTGGTGGGGTTTCTTACGGGTAGCGGGGTCAAGGGAGGCTGGCCCAGCCAGAAATCGGTGCCCTTTGTTGATGGGCCTATCGCCATGCGAACTCACCCTCCCTCTCCGCCCAGCCCTCTGCCCCTCCCCCGGTCTCTACAATCGACTCTTTGTGGCGTTCTGCCATGTGCAATGGGGTACAGGTTCAGCGAGTAGGCAGCCAAGCAGGGAGAGCAAAAACTAGGCAGGTAGGTTGACATCGACGGGGTTCACCTCCGGCTCCGCATGTCGATGGAGCCTTTGTGGAGCCTCGTGACACGGAGTTTGTGTTGCTAGGAATAGTCGGGTTTGGGGGCTAAGCTGCGACGTCGAACCAATGAATGGGGAAAAAGGAAAGAAAAAAACCAACAAGAAGCTGGGCGGCCAGACAAGGCTCCAACAGACTAGCACCAGAGCGCGTAGTCTACAAGGCGTTTTCTTTCGCAAGGCACCCGGCTCCTGCAAAGCTTGCGGCCTCTGCTGGCGGAGGAAGTGTCGCATGGGCAGGGAAAGAAAAGACGAGCAC